AATTTTTGTGTCAATATGATAAAGCGTACAGGCGTGACAGTCAATAGTGTGAATTTCCACCTTAGGGGACAAGAAAAAAATTGCTTTTTTTTCCTGCCATGGGGGGGCGCTCTTTTGGGGAGTAAAAATTCCTTCACAAATGTGTTGATGGCTGGACATTGCATCATCCTAGAAAACTTGGAGGCCAGTGAGGACAAAAATAAAAAGTTATAAGACTTTTAAATATGTGGATTTTAGGGTTATCTTTGGCGCCCCCTAGAACCTAAACCGTGGGATGCAGCGTCATGATTTGAATAACTTTTAATGGCCATGGGGTGTAGATTGGCCTGAGCAAATGTGGTACCGGTGGAATGAAAGCCTTCGGAGGAGTTAGCGAAATTCCAATGTGTGCGGATCGGCAAAAAATGCGGAATAACCCTTTAACCGTACATTTGACAGATACGCACGCATTGACTTTTTCGTAGATCTTATTGAGATACATGTGTGTGTCAAATTTTGTGTCATTTTGCCAAAGCGTACAGGTGTTACACTCAACAATGTGTATTTTCACCTTAGGGGACAAGAAAAAATGGAATTTTTTCTCCTGCCATGGGGGGGCGCTCTTTTGGGGAGTAAAAATTCCTTCACAAATGTGTTGATGGCTGGACATTGCATCATCCTAGAAAACTTGGAGGCCAGTGAGGGCAAAAATAAAAAGTTATAAGACTTTTAAATATGTGGATCTTAGGGTTATCTTTGGCGCCCCCTAGAACCTAAACCGTGGGGTGCAGCGTCATGATTTGAATAACTTTTAATGGCCATGGGGTGTAGATTGGCCTGAGCAAATGTGGTGCCGGTGGAACGAAAGCCTTCGGAGGAGTTAGCGAAATTCCAATGTGTGCGGATCGGCAAAAAATGCGAAATAACCCTTTAACCGTACATTTGACAGATACGCCCGCACTGACTTTTTTGTAGATCTTATTGAGATACATGTGTGTGTCAATTTTTGTGTCATTTTGACAAAGCGTACAGGCGTGACAGTCAATAGTGTGAATTTTCACCTTAGGGGGCGCTATGGAGCCATTTTGCATTTTCTTGTTTGGGCGACTTCGGAATATCAAATTTTTCACCAGGCCCGGTCGTCCTGCCAAATTTCATGAGTTTTCGCCAGTGGGAAGTGGGCCATTTTCCAGTTCAAAGGGGAGGAAAAATAATAATAACTAGGGCCCCGTTGGGGCACTGGCGGGCCCGAGCCGTGTCACGCCGCCCCCAGCGCGACCGCCTCCCCCACCCGATCGCGGCACACTCAAGGTCCAAAGATGGTGTGCGCACTTGTTTGTGGTCATTTACCATTATAATGAACGGGAGGCGCAGTTTCTACCAAAACGCTCGCTGCAGAAAAACTCCATGTCCTATTTGAAAAAAGTCTGGACCATGAGTGAGGGCACAAACACAGCTAAGATATATCCAAATGGCAAGTTGCTCCTCCTTTCGCTTTTGCCGAGAGAGCAGTGCGTTTGAGCCATTGAATGATGAACAGGAAAAACTTGACTTTATTCTCCTGCCATGGGGGGGCGCTCTTTTAAAGAGAAAAAACTCCTTCACAAATGTGTTGATGGCTGGACATTGCATCATCCTAGAAAACATGGAGGCCAGTGAGGACAAAAATAAAAAGTTATAAGACTTTTAAATATGTGGATTTTAGGGTTATATTTGGCGCCCCCTAGAACCTAAACCGTGGGGTGCAGCGTCATGATTTGAATAACTTTTAATGGCCATGGGGTGTAGATTGGCCTGAGCAAATGTGGTGCCGGTGGAACGAAAGCCTTCGGAGGAATTAGCGAAATTCCAATGTGTGCGAATCTGCAAAAAATGCGAAATAACCCTTTAACCGTACATTTTACAGATACGTGGCCATTGACTTTTTCGAAGATCTTATGTAAATACACGTGTATGTAAAATTTTGTGTCAATACGACAAAACATACAGGCGTAGCACTCAACAATGTGTATTTTCACCTTAGTGGACAAGAAAAAATTGACTTTTTTCTCCTGCCATGGGGGGGCGCTCTTTTGCCGAGTAAAAATTCCTTCACAAATGTGTTGATGGCTGGACATTGCATCATCCTAGAAAACTTGGAGGCCAGTGGGGACAAAAATAAAAAGTTATAAGCCTTTTAAATATGTGGATTTTACGGTTATCTTTGGCTCCCCCTAGAACCTAAACCGTGGGGTGCAGCGTCATGATTTGAATAACTTTTAATGGCCATGGGGTGTAGATTGGCCTGAGCAAATGTGGTGCCGGTGGAACGAAAGCCTTCGGAGGAGTTAGCGAAATTCCAATGTGTGCGGATCGGCAAAAAATGCGGAATAACCCTTTAACCGTACATTTGACAGATACGCGCGCATTGACTTTTTCGTAGATCTTATTGAGATACATGTGTGTGTCAATTTTTGTGTAATTTTGACAAAGCGTACAGGTGTTACACTCAACAATGTGTATTTTCACCTTAGGGGACAAGAAAAAATGGACTTTTTTCTCCTGCCATGGGGGGGCGCTCTTTTGGGGAGTAAAAATTCCTTCACAAATGTGTTGATGGCTGGACATTGCATCATCCTAGAAAACTTGGAGGCCAGTGAGGGCAAAAATAAAAAGTTATAAGACTTTTAAATATGTGGATCTTAGGGTTATCTTTGGCGCCCCCTAGAACCTAAACCGTGGGGTGCAGCGTCATGATTTGAATAACTTTTAATGGCCATGGGGTGTAGATTGGCCTGAGCAAATGTGGTGCCGGTGGAACGAAAGCCTTCGGAGGAGTTAGCGAAATTCCAATGTGTGCGGATCGGCAAAAAATGCGAAATAACCCTTTAACCGTACATTTGACAGATACGCCCGCACTGACTTTTTTGTAGATCTTATTGAGATACATGTGTGTGTCAATTTTTGTGTCATTTTGACAAAGCGTACCGGCGTGACAGTGAATAGTGTGAATTTTCACCTTAGGGGGCGCTATGGAGCCATTTTGCATTTTCTTGTTTGGGCGACTTCGGAATATCAAATTTTTCACCAGGCCCGGTCGTCCTGCCAAATTTCATGAGTTTTCGCCAGTGGGAAGTGGGCCATTTTCCAGTTCAAAGGGGAGGAAAAATAATAACTAGGGCCCCGGTGGGGCACTGTCGGGCCCGAGCCGCGTCGCGCCGCCCCCAGTGCGACCGCCTCCCCGTCCCGATCGAGTCACACTCAAGAACCAAAGATGGTGTGCGCACTTGTCTGTGGTCATTTCCCATTATAATGAATGGGAGGCGCAGTTTCTACCAAAACACTCGCTGCAGACAAACTTCATGTCCTATTTGAAAAAAGTCTGGACCATGAGTGAGGGCACAAACACAGCTATGATATATCGAAATGCCAGGTTGCTCCTCCTTACGGTGTTGCCTGGAGAGCGATGCGATTGAGCCATTGAGCGATGGGCAGGAAAAACTTGACTTTTTCTCCTGCCATAGGGGGGGGGATGTGGATTCTTTTAAGAATGTGGATTTTTGGGTCATCTTTGGCGCCCCCTAGAACGTAAACCGTGGGGTGCAGCGTCATGATTTTTACAATTTTGAATGGCCATGGGGTGTAGATTGGCCTGAGCAAATTTGGTGTCAGTGGGACGAAAGCCTTAGGAGGAGTTAGCCACATTCCAATGTGTGCGAATCGGCAAAAAATGCAAAATAGCCCTTTAACCGTACATTTGACAGATACGCACGAATTGACTTTTTTGTAGATCTTATTGAGATACATATGTGTGTCAATTTTTGTGTCAATATGATAAAGCGTACAGGCGTGACAGTCAATAGTGTGAATTTCCACCTTAGGGGACAAGAAAAAATGGACTTTTTTCTCCTGCCATGGGGGGGCGCTCTTTTGGGGAGTAAAAATTCCTTCACAAATGTGTTGATGGCTGGACATTGCATCATCCTAGAAAACTTGGAGGCCAGTGAGGACAAAAATAAAAAGTTATAAGACTTTGAAATATGTGGATTTTAGGGTTATCTTTGGCGCCCCCTAGAACCTAAACCGTGGGATGCAGCGTCATGATTTGAATAACTTTTAATGGCCATGGGGTGTAGATTGGCCTGAGCAAATGTGGTGCCGGTGGAACGAAAGCCTTCGGAGGAGTTAGCGAAATTCCAATGTGTGCGGATCGGCAAAAAATGCGGAATAACCCTTTAACCGTACATTTGACAGATACGCGCGCATTGACTTTTTCGTAGATCTTATTGAGATACATGTGTGTGTCAAATTTTGTGTCATTTTGCCAAAGCGTACAGGTGTTACACTCAACAATGTGTATTTTCACCTTAGGGGACAAGAAAAAATTGACTTTTTTCTCCTGCCATGGGGGGGCGCTCTTTTGGGGAGTAAAAATTCCTTCACAAATGTGTTGATGGCTGGACATTGCATCATCCTAGAAAACTTGGAGGCCAGTGAGGGCAAAAATAAAAAGTTATAAGACTTTTAAATATGTGGATCTTAGGGTTATCTTTGGCGCCCCCTAGAACCTAAACCTTGGGGTGCAGCGTCATGATTTGAATAACTTTTAATGGCCATGGGGTGTAGATTGGCCTGAGCAAATGTGGTGCCGGTGGAACGAAAGCCTTCGGAGGAGTTAGCGAAATTCCAATGTGTGCGGATCGGCAAAAAATGCGAAATAACCCTTTAACTGTACATTTGACAGATACGCCCGCACTGACTTTTTTGTAGATCTTACTGAGATACATGTGTGTGTCAATTTTTGTGTCATTTTGACAAAGCGTACAGGCGTGACAGTCAATAGTGTGAATTTTCACCTTAGGGGGCGCTATGGAGCCATTTTGCATTTTCTTGTTTGGGCGACTTCGGAATATCAAATTTTTCACCAGGCCCGGTCGTCCTGCCAATTTTCATGAGTTTTCGCGGGTGGGAAGTGGGCCATTTTCCAGTTCAAAGGGGAGGAAAAATAATAATAATAATAATAACAAAAGAAGGAAACTACAGGAACAAGAGGGCTCTCGCAGCTGCTTAGCAGCTACGCTCGGGCCCTAATAATAATAACTAGGGCCCCGGTGGGGCACTGTCGGGCCCGAGCCGCGTCGCGCCGCCCCCAGCGCGACCGCCTCCCCCTCCCGATCGCGTCACACTCAAGGTCCAAAGATGGTGTGCGCACTTGTCTGTGGTCATTTCCCATTATAATGAATGGGAGGCGCAGTTTCTACCAAAACGCTCGCTGCAGACAAACTACATGTCCTATTTGAAAAAAGTCTGGACCATGAGTGAGGGCACAAACACAGCTAGTATATATCCAAATGGCAAGTTGCTCCTCCTTTCGGTTTTGCAGAGAGAGCGATGCGTTTGAGCCATTGAGCGATGGGCAGGAAAAACTTGACTTTTTCTCCTGCCATGGGGGGGCGCTCTTTTGGGGAGAAAAATTCCTTCACAAATGTGTTGATGGCTGGACATTGCATCATCCTAGAAAACTTGGAGGCCAGTGAGGACAAAAATAAAAAGTTATAAGACTTTTAAAAATGTGGATATTTGGGTCCTCTTTGGCGCCCCCTAGAACGTAAACTGTGGGGTGCAGCGTCATGATTTGTACAACTTTGAATGGCCATGGGGTGTAGATTGACCTGAGCAAATTTGAAGCCGATGGGACAAAAGATTTAGGAGGAGTTAGCGAAATTCCAATGTGTGCGGATCGGCAAAAAATGCGAAATAACCCTTTAACCGTACATTTGACAGATACGCCCGCACTGACTTTTTTGTAGATCTTATTGAGATACATGTGTGTGTCAAATTTTGTGTCATTTTGACAAAGCGTAAAGGCGTGACAGTCAACAATGTGTATTTTTGCCTTAGGAGACAAGAAAAAATGGACTTTTTTCTCCTGCCATGGGGGGGGCGCTCTTTTGGCGAGTAAAAATTCCTTCACAAATGTATTGATGGCTGGACATTGCATCATCCTAGAGAACTTGGAGGCCAGTGAGGACAAAAATAAAAAGTTATGACTTTTAAGACTGTGGATTTTTGGGTTATCTTTGGCGCCCCCTAGAACGTAAACCGTGGGGTGCAGCGTCATGATTTGTACAACTTTTAATGGCCATGGGGTGTAGATTGGCCTCAGCAAATGTGGTGCCTTTGGAACGAAAGCCTTCGGAGGAGTTAGCGAAATTCCAATGTGTGCGGATCGGCAAAAAATGCGAAATAGCCCTTTCACCGTACATTTGACAGATACGCCCGCACTGACTTTTTTGTAGATCTTATTGAGATACATGTGTGTGTCAATTTTTGTGTCAATATGACAAAGCGTAAAGGCGTGACAGTCAATAGTGTGAATTTTCGCCTTAGGAGACAAGAAAAAATGGACTTTTTTCTCCTGCCATGGGGGGGCGCTCTTTTGGGGAGTAAAAATTCCTTCACAAATGTGTTGATGGCTGGACATTGCATCATCCTAGAAAACTTGGAGGCCAGTGAGGACAAAAATAAAAAGTTATACGACTTTTAAGAATGTGGATTTCTGGGTGATCTTTGGCGCCCCCTAGAACGTAAACCGTGGGATGCAGCGTCACGATTTGTACAACTTTTAATCGCCATGGGGTGTAGATTGGCCTGAGCAAATTTGGTGCCGGTGGAACGAAAGCCTTCGGAGGAGTTAGCGAAATTCCAATGTGTGCGGATCGGCAAAAAATGCGAAATAGCCCTTTAACCGTACATTTGACAGATACGCCCGCACTGACTTTTTTGTAGATCTTATTGAGATACACGTGTGTGTCAAATTTTGTGTCATTTTGACAAAGCGTACAGGCGTGACACTCAATCATGTGAATTTTTCACCTTAGGGGGCGCTATGGAGCCATTTTGCATTTGATTTTTTGGGCGACTTCAGAATATCGAATTTTTCACCAGGCCCGGTCGTCCTGCCAAATTTCATGACTTTTCACCAGTGGGAAGTGGGCCATTTTCCAGTTCAAAGGGGCAGAAAAATAATAAGAAGAAGAAGAAGAAAGAAGAATCCATCAGGAATAATAGGGCTCTCGCAGCTGCTTAGCAGCTACGCTCGGGCCCTAATAACAAAAGAAGGAAACTACAGGAACAAGAGGGCTCTCGCAGCTGCTTAGCAGCTACGCTCGGGCCCTAATAACAAACTAGGACCCCGTTGGGGCACTGGCGGGCCCGAGCTGTGTCGCGTCCCCCCCCCAACGCGCTGCCTCCCCGTCCCATTTGTGTCCTCTGGCCATCGCCCTCTCTGGTAACGCCCATCACTGCAAAGACCCTTTTCCTTCATCGGCGTTTGCTGTTCTTCCTGCCAGTGCGTGTTGCTTTCACTTACACTTGCCACAGCCAGCCTCGTGAGTGCCTAGCCTATTCGATATCACTGTCACCTACACAGGACAGTCATTACCTTTCTATTAATACTTTGTGTTTTAATTTCACATTAATTTCCATATTGTATAAACGACTGGAAAAAACTTGAGCCCCTGCCCCTGTATAATCATGTGCATGTCTCTGTTCTAGCTCCAAGGTGAATCTTCACTGCTCATGTTCTCCTCAGAAGCACTCACCTCACTCCCCTCAGGTTACTGTACACATGCACCAACTGCCTGCTTCAGGTTTGGATGGAGCTTCATGGTTGTCTTTTGGAGAAATGACCAGTCAAGTTGTGTTTGAAATTTGATATTTTTCAGGGGCAAAAGGAGCCTCTGCATTCTTGTCAAATATGTAAATAGCATGTTTTTGCAGGTGCTAAAAACCAGACTCTGAGTGTGTGTGTGTGTGTGTGTGTGTGTGCGTGTGTGTGTGTCTGTTTGTGCGTTCAAGTCACATGACATATTTAACCGGATGTAGCTGCAAGACGGAGCCTCGTTGACTCTCTGTTTCAACTTATCTCAAAAGTGAGGACCTCAACCTATATACCAGTTTTTAAATTGTGTTGATAGGCCAAATAAAACCAGAGTTATGATAAATTATGTCCGCGATACTTTTTTTCTGCTTATTTTGATCACGTTCGGCGCTCGATCGCGCTGTATGAGACAGGAAAACATAGCATGCAGACATTAGCGACAGGTCTTACAGGCGGAAAAGGCTTGCCAAAAGAAAAAAAAAACACACCACAACATCTCTCCTATTGGTGGAAAACTTCACCACAACAACCAATCCAAAATTATATGGTGACTGATTGACAAGGGGCGGGCGCTTACGTTCTTCCTGCAACATGAGAAGGGAGGGAGGGACTCTCAGCAGGGATGCAGTCTGGGACACGTAGTTGCAAACCTAGCGACTTTGTTGTTAGATTCAATGACTTTTCAGACCCCCTAACGACTTTTTTTAGAAAGAAAGGGACTTTTATCGACTTCTTCTGGAGTTTAGAGACTCTGACATGAAGCAGGCTTTCCTTACTGAGGAGTTAGCAACGCTGCTAAGGGTGCAGAGCCACACATGCGCTCAGAGCTCTGCATGGGAGACTGAAGCTGACAGAGCTGCAGCAGTTAGCAGGTTTCACCCTCAGAGACCACCAGGGGTTCATGTTGAGGCATTTTAATTTTTTTTTTTTTTGTGCCATAGACACTGTCAGCACAATCTGCAGTTACACTAACAAAAATGCTGCAAAAAACAAAGAATTATGGAAAAATTACACATGGACTGACATAGAGGAGGATCTACACAAGTTTTTTACATCATGTTTTACATCATGCATCATTTACATCATGTTTTTTTGTAGTGGCATAAATAAAAAGTGACATTTGTGAGACTATACAGTGTTTTGTAAATAATTTTACAAAGAACGCCTGGGCCATTGCCTGCATTTTGATGTAAATAGAGGTAAATCACTATGTTCTTTGTTAAAAATTTGCATATGTTTTGAAGTTTACAATTTTTATTTGAAGTTTAAGTTTTAAAAACAGTTCATCACACATATTTGTGGTTTAATTTCACATTAATTTCCATATTGTATAAATGACTGGAAAAAACTTGAGCCCCTGCCCCTTTATAATCATGTGCACGTCCCTGTTCTAGCTCCAAGGTGAATCTTCACTGCTCATGTTCTCCTCAGAAATAGTCACTTCACTCCCCTCAGGTTACTGTACACATGCACCAACTATCTGCTTCAGGTTTGAAATGGAGCTTCATGGTTGTCTTTTGGAGAAATGAACAGTCAAGTTGTGTTTGAAATTTGATTTTTTTCAGGGGCAAAAGGAAGCCTCTGCATTCTTGTCAAATATGTAAACAGCATGTTTTTGCAGGTGCTAAAAAACAGACTCTGAGTGTGTGTGTGTGTCTGTGTGTGTGTGTGTGTGTGTGTGTGTGTATGTTGGCGTGTGTGTATATGTGTGTGTATCCTGCAGTACTCTGTACTCCTGCAGTGGCCAAAAAGACTTTTAAGAATGTGGATTTTTGGGTCATCTTTGGCGCCCCCTAGAACTGCAGTACTCTGTACTCCTGCAGTGGCCAAAATGACTTTTAAGAATGTGGATTTTTGGGTCATTTTTGGCGCCCCCTAGAACGTAAACCGTGGGGTGCAGCGTCATGATTTTTACAACTTTGAATGGGCATGGGGTGTAGATTGCCCTGAGCAAATTTGGTATCGGTGGGACGAAAGCCTTAGGAGGAGATAGCCACATTCCAATGTGTGCGAATCGGCAAAAAATGCAAAATAGCCCTTTAACCGTACATTATACAGATACGCGCTCTTTGACTTTTTCGTAGATCTAATTGAGATACACATGATTGTCAATTTTTGTGTCAATATGACAAAGCGTTCAGGCGTGACACTCAACAATGTGTATTTTTATGTAAGGGGACAAGAAAAAATTGACTTTTTTCTCCTACCATGGGGGGGCGCTCTTTTGGGGAGTAAAAATTCCTTCACAAATGTGTTGATGGCTGGACATTGCATCATCCTAGAAAACTTGGAGGCCAGTGAGGACAAAAATAAAAAGTTATAAAACATTTAAGAATGTGGATTTTTGGGTTATTTTTGGCGCCCCCTAGAACCTAAACCATGGGGTGCAGCATCATGATTTGAATAACTTTTAATGGCCATGGGGTGTAGATTGGCCTGAGCAAATGTGGTGCCGGTGGAACGAAAGCCTTCGGAGGAGTTAGCGAAATTCCAATGTGTGCGTATCGGCAAAAAATGCGGAATAACCCTTTAACTGTACATTTGACAGATACGCGCGCGTGGACTTTTTTGTAGATCTTATTGAGTTACATGTGTGTGTCAATTTTTGTGTCATTTTGACAAAGCGTATAGGCGTGACACTCAACAATGTGTATTTTCACCTTAGGGGACAAGAAAAAATGGACTTTTTTCTCCTGCCATGGGGGGGCGCTCTTTTGGGGAGTAAAAATTCCTTCACAAATGTGTTGATGGCTGGACATTGCATCATCCTAGAAAACTTGGAGGCCAGTGAGGACAAAAATAAAAAGTTATAAGACTTTTAAATATGTGGATTTTAGTGTTATCTTTGGCGCCCCCTAGAACCTAAACCTTGGGGTGCAGCGTCATGATTTTGATAACTTTTAATGGCCACGGGGTGTAGATTGGCCTGAGCAAATGTGGTGCCGGTGGAACGAAAGCCTTCGGAGGAGTTAGCGAAATTCCAATGTGTGCGGATCGGAAAAAAATGCGAAATAACCCTTTAACCGTAATTTTGACAGATACGGCCGCACTGACTTTTTTGTAGATCTTATTGAGATACATGTGTGTGTCAATTTTTGTGTCATTTTGACAAAGCGTACAGGCGTGACAGTCAATAGTGTGAATTTTCACCTTAGGGGGCGCTATGGAGCAATTTTGCATTTTCTTGTTTGGGCGACTTCAGAATATCAAATTTTTCACCAAGCCCAGTCGTCCTGCCAAATTTCCTGAGTTTTCGCCAGTGGGAAGTGGGCCATTTTCCAGTTCAAAGGGGAGGAAAAAGAAGAAAGAAAGAAACAAAGAAAAACCCCTACAGGAATAACAGGGCCTACGCCCGGCTGCTCTGCAGCTGGCTCGGGCCCTAACTAGGGCCCCGTTGGGGCACTGGCGGGCCCGAGCCGTGTCGCACCCCCCCCCCCCCCCCAAACGCGCTGCCTCCCCGTCCCATTCGCGTCCTCTGGCCATCGCCCTCTCTGGTAACGCCCATCACTGCAAAGACCCTTTTCCTTCATCGGCGTTTGCTGTTCTTCCTGCCAGTGCGTGTTGCTTTCACTTACACTTGCCACAGCCAGCCTCGTGAGTGCCTAGCCTATTGGATATCACTGTCACCTACACAGGACAGTCATACTTTGTTTTTTAATTTCACATTAATTTCCATATTGTATAAACGACTGGAAAAAACTTGAGCCCCTGCCCCTGTATTATCATGTGCACGTCCCTGTTCTAGCTCCAAGGTGAATCTTCAGTGCTCATGTTCTCCTCAGAAGCAGTCACCTCACTCCCCTCAGGTTACTGTACACATGCACCAACTGCCTGCTTCAGGTTTGGATGGAGCTTCATGGTTGTCTTTTGGAGAAATGACCAGTCAAGTTGTGTTTGAAATCTGATTTTTTTCAGGGGCAAAAGGAAGCCTCCGCATTCTTGTCAAATATGTAAATAGCATGTTTTTGCAGGTGCTAAAAAACAGACTCTGAGTGTGTGTGTGTGTGTGTGTGTGTGTGTGTGTGTGTGTGTGTGTGTGTGTGTGCGTGTGTGTGTGTGTGTGTCTGTGTGTGTGTGTGTGTGTGTATCCTGCAGTACTCTGAGAAGAATAATAAGCATATTTCTGAGGTGAATTTTGAAGATTCATCTGAGAGTTAGGTTTGATTCGATTCGATTGACGCTCCCCAGCGTTCAAGTCACATGACATATTTAACCGGATGTAGCTGCAAGACGGAGCCTCGTTAACTCTCCGTTTCAACTTATCTCAAAAGTGAGGACCTCAACCTATATACCAGTTTTTAAATTGTGTTGATAGGCCAAATAAAACCAGAGTTATGATAAATTATGTCCGCGATACTTTTTTTCTGCTTATTTTGATCACGTTCGGCGCTCGATCGTGCTGTATGAGACAGGAAAACATTGCATGCACACATTAGTGACAGGTCATACAGGCGGAAAAGGCTTGCCAAAAGAAAAAAAAACACACCACAACATCTCTCCTATTGGTGGAAAACTTCACCACAACAACCAATCCAAAATTATATGGTGACTGATTGACAAGGGGCGGGCGCTTACGTTCTTCCTGCAACATGAGAAGGGAGGGAGGGACTCTCAGCAGGGATGCAGTCTGGGACACGTAGTTGCAAACCTAGCGACTTTGTTGTTAGATTCAATTACTTTTCAGACCCCCTAACGACTTTTTTTAGAAAGAAAGGGACTTTTATCGACTTCTTCTGGAGTTTAGAGACTCTGACATGAAGCAGGCTTTCCTTACTGAGGAGTTAGCAACGCTGCTAAGGGTGCAGAGCCACACATGCGCTCCGAGCTCTGCATGGGAGACAGAAGCTGACAGAGCTGCAGCAGTTAGCAGGTTTCACCCTCAGAGACCACCAGGGGTTCATGTTGAGGCATTTTCAGTTTTTTTTTTTTTTGCCATAGACAGTCAGCACAATCTGCAGTTACACTAACAAAAATGCTGCAAAAAACAAAGAATTATGGAAAAATTACACATGGACTGACATAGAGGAGGATCTACACAAGTTTTTTACATCATGTTTTACATCATGCATCATTTACATCATGTTTTTTTGTAGTGGCATAAATAAAAAGTGACATTTGTGAGACTATACAGTGTTTTGTAAATAATTTTACAAAGAACGCCTGGGCCATTGCCTGCATTTTGATGTAAATAGAGGTAAATTACTATGTTCTTTGTTAAAAATTTGCATATGTTTTGAAGTTTACAATTTTTATTTGAAGTTTAAGTTTTAAAAACAGTTCATCACACATATTTGTGGTTTAATTTCACATTAATTTCCATATTGTATAAATGACTGGAAAAAACTTGAGCCCCTGCCCCTGTATAATCATGTGCACGTCCCTGTTCTAGCTCCAAGGTGAATCTTCACTGCTCATGTTCTCCTCAGAAATAGTCACCTCACTCTCCTCAGGTTACTGTACACATGCACCAACTATCTGCTTCAGGTTTGGATGGAGCTTCATGGTTGTCTTTTGGAGAAATGAACAGTCAAGTTGTGTTTGAAATCTGATTTTTTTCAGGGGCAAAAGGAAGCCTCTGCATTCTTGTCAAATATGTAAACAGCATGTTTTTGCAGGTGCTAAAAAACAGACTCTGAGGTGTGTGTGTGTGTGTGTGTGTGTGTGTGTGTGTGTGTGTGTGTGTGTGTGTGTGTGTGTGTATATGTGTGTGTATCCTGCAGTACTCTGTACTCCTGCAGTGGCCAAAAAGACTTTTAAGAATGTGGATTTTTGGGTCATCTTTGGCGCCCCCTAGAACTGCAGTACTCTGTACTCCTGCAGTGGCCAAAATGACTTTTAAGAATGTGGATTTTTGGGTCATCTTTGGCGCCCCCTAGAACGTAAACCGTGGGGTGCAGCGTCATGATTTTTACAACTTTGAATGGGCATGGGGTGTAGATTGGCCTGAGCAAATTTGGTATCGGTGGGACGAAAGCCTTAGGAGGAGATAGCCACATTCCAATGTGTGCGAATCAACCAAAAATGCGAAATAGCCCTTTAACCGTACATTTTGCAGACACGTGCGCATTGACTTTTTCGTAGATCTTATTGAGATACACGTGATTATCAAATTTTGTTTCAATATGACAAAGCGTACAGGCGTGACACTCAACAATGTGTATTTTCACCTTATAGGACAAGAAAAAATGGCCTTTTTTCTCCTGCCATGGGGGGGCGCTCTTTTGGGGAGTAAAAATTCCTTCACAAATGTGTTGATGGCTGGACATTGCATCATCCTAGAAAACTTGGAGGCCAGTGAGGACAGAAATAAAAAGTTATAAGACTTGTAAGAATGTGGATTTTTGGGTTATCTTTGGCGCCCCCTACAACGTAAACCGTGGGGTGCAGCGTCATGATTTGTACAACTTTGAATGGCCATGGGGTGTAGATTGGCCTGAGCAAATTTGGTGCCGGTGGAACGAAAGCCTTCGGAGGAGTTAGCGAAATTCCAATGTGTGCGGATCGGCAAAAAATGCGAAATAGCCCTTTAAACGTACATTTGACAGATACGCCCGCACTGACTTTTTTGTAGATCTTATTGAGATACACGTGTGTGTCAAATTTTGTGTCATTTTGACAAAGCGTACAGGCGTGACACTCAATCATGTGAATTTTTCACCTTAGGGGGCGCTATGGAGCCATTTTGCATTTGATTGTTTGGGTGACTTCAGAATATCGAATTTTTCACCAGGCCCGGTCGTCCTGCCAAATTTCATGAGTTTTCACCAGTGGGAAGTGGGCCATTTTCCAGTTCAAAGGGGCAGAAAAATAATAAGAAGAAGAAGAAGAAAGAACTAGGGCCCCGTTGGGGCACTGGCGGGCCCGAGCCGTGTCACGCCGCCCCCAGCGCGACCGCCTCCCCCACCCGTTGCGTCACACTCAAGGTCCAAAGATGGTGTGCGCACTTGTTTGTGGTCATTTACCATTATAATGAACGGGAGGTGCAGTTTCTACCAAAACGCTTGCTGCAGAAAAACTCCATGTCCTATTTGAAAAAAGTCTGGACCATGAGTGAGGGCACAAACACAGCTAAGATATATCCAAATGGCAAGTTGCTCCTCCTTTCGCTTTTGCCGAGAGAGCAGTGCGTTTGAGCCATTGAATGATGAACAGGAAAAACTTGACTTTATTCTCCTGCCATGGGGGGGCGCTCTTTTAACGAGAAAAAATTCCTTCACAAATGTGTTGATGGCTGGACATTGCATCATCCTGGAAAACATGGAGGCCAGTGAGGACAAAAATAAAAAGTTATAAGACTTTTAAATATGTGGATTTTAGGGTTATCTTTGGCGCCCCCTAGAACCTAAACCGTGGGGTGCAGCATCATGATTTGAATAACTTTTAATGGCCATGGGGTGTAGATTGGCCTGAGCAAATGTGGTGCCGGTGGAACGAAAGCCTTCGGAGGAGTTAGCGAAATTCCAATGTGTGCGAATCTGCAAAAAATGCGAAATAACCCTTTAACCGTACATTTTACAGATACGTGGCCATTGACTTTTTCGAAGATCTTATTGAAATACACGTGTATGTAAAATTTTGTGTCAATACGACAAAACATACAGGCGTAGCACTCAACAATGTGTATTTTCACCTTAGTGGACAAGAAAAAATGGACTTTTTTCTCCTGCTATGGGGGGGCGCTCTTTTGGCGAGTAAAAATTCCTTCACAAATGTGTTGATGGCTGGACATTGCATCATCCTAGAAAACTTGGAGGCCAGTGGGGACAAAAATAAAAAGTTATAAGACTTTTAAATATGTGGATTTTACGGTTATATTTGGCGCCCCCTAGAACCTAAACCGTGGGGTGCAGCGTCATGATTTGAATAACTTTTAATGGCCATGGGGTGTAGATTGGCCTGAGCAAATGTGGTGCCGGTGGAACGAAAGCCTTCGGAGGAGTTAGCGAAATTCCAATGTGTGCGGATCGGCAAAAAATGCGGAATAACCCTTTAACCGTACATTTGACAGATACGCGCGCATTGACTTTTTCGTAGATCTTATTGAGATACATGTGTGTGTCAATTTTTGTGTCATTTTGCCAAAGCGTACAGGTGTTACACTCAACAATGTGTATTTTCACCTTAGGGGACAAGAAAAAATGGACTTTTTTCTCCTGCCATGGGGGGGCGCTCTTTTGGGGAGTAAAAATTCCTTCACAAATGTGTTGATGGCTGGACATTGCATCATCCTAGAAAACTTGGAGGCCAGTGAGGGCAAAAATAAAAAGTTATAAGACTTTTAAATATGTGGATCTTAGGGTTATCTTTGGCGCCCCCTAGAACCTAAACCGTGGGGTGCAGCGTCATGATTTGAATAACTTTTAATGGCCATGGGGTGTAGATTGGCCTGAGCAAATGTGGTGCCGGTGGAACGAAAGCCTTCGGAGGAGTTAGCGAAATTCCAATGTGTGCGGATCGGCAAAAAATGCGCAATAACCCTTTAACCGTACATTTGACAGATACGCGCGCATTGACTTTTTCGTAGATCTTATTGAGATACATGTGTGTGTCAATTTTTGTGTCATTTTGCCAAAGCGTACAGGTGTTACACTCAACAATGTGTATTTTCACCTTAGGGGACAAGAAAAAATGGACTTTTTTCTCCTGCCATGGGGGGCGCTCTTTTGGGGAGTAAAAATTCCTTCACAAATGTGTTGATGGCTGGACATTGCATCATCCTAGAAAACTTGGAGGCCAGTGAGGGCAAAAATAAAAAGTTATAAGACTTTTAAATATGTGGATCTTAGGGTTATCTTTGGCGCCCCCTAGAACCTAAACCGTGGGGTGCAGCGTCATGATTTGAATAACTTTTAATGGCCATGGGGTGTAGATTGGCCTGAGCAAATGTGGTGCCGGTGGAACGAAAGCCTTCGGAGGAGTTAGCGAAATTCCAATGTGTGCGGATCGGCAAAAAATGCGAAATAACCCTTTAACCGTACATTTGACAGATACGGCCGCACTGACTTTTTTGTAGATCTTATTGAGATACATGTGTGTGTCAATTTTTGTGTCATTTTGACAAAGCGTACAGGCGTGACAGTCAATAGTGTGAATTTTCACCTTAGGGGGCGCTATGGAGCCATTTTGCATTTTCTTGTTTGGGCGACTTCGGAATATCAAATTTTTCACCAGGCCCGGTCGTCCTGCCAAATTTCATGAGTTTTCGCCAGTGGGAAGTGGGCCATTTTCCAGTTCAAAGGGGAGGAAAAATAATAATAATAACAAAAGAAGGAAACTACAGGAACAAGAGGGCTCTCGCAGCTGCTTAGCAGCTACGCTCGGGCCCTAAGAATCCATCAGGAATAATAGGGCTCTCGCAGCTGCTTAGCAGCTACGCTCGGGCCCTAAAAAGAAGGAAACTACAGGAACAAGAGGGCTCTCGCAGCTGCTTAGCAGCTACGCTCGGGCCCTAAAGAAAGAAAGAAAGAAAGAAAGAAAGAAGAAAGAAAAACCTATACAGGAATAATAGGGCTCTACGCCCGGCTGCTCTGCAGCTGGCTCGGGCCCTAATAATAACAAAAGAAGAATCCATCAGGAACAAGAGGGCTCTCGCAGCTGCTTAGCAGCTACGCTCGGGCCCTAAAGAAAAACCCCTACAGGAATAACAGGGCCTACGCCCGGCTGCTCTGCAGCTGGCTCGGGCCCTAAAAAGAAACAAAGAAAAACCCCTTGGGGAATAATAGGGCTCTCGCAGCTGCTTAGCAGCTACGCTCGGGCCCTAATAAAAATTAGGCTTTGTAAAATCAAAATAATTAAAGCTGTTGGCCTTTGTAATTTTTTTTTTTTTTAAACAAGCTAAATTAAATTGACCTCAAATCACTGAGCAAATGTCCCTTTTTTTGTTGTTTTTGTCGGAGGATATTAGTAATTGATGGGCACACAAAGATTAGAGGTGGGGTAGGCAGGAATCTGTTCAGACAGCATCTTCTTTTGTGGTGTTTATACAAAAAAGTTTTTAATATCAGTCAATATCTATCAGTTATTGATGACATTTGGGAATATAACGATATTGCTGTGTTCTCTTGTGCCTGTGTAGTCAAAACATTTTAACATTTGAGCGGTTCGCTCATTCTGACCATTAACAAAGCCATTCTCCGCCTCCTCGACCTGATTGGTTGTGAGGCAGACGCTGCTCCCCCGTGTTGTGAGGCACACTCCACGTCCTCGAAAAACATTCATGCGCCCAAACAGAGTTAGCATGCTACAATATCAGACAGTAGAAATAACCCGGAAAGTAAGGGGGGAAAAAAAAGGTTGTGTCACAGTCCAGAGTTAAACCAAAAAGGGAAAGGATCCATAATGTAGAACAAAAAAAGGGTTTATTTAAAAAGAACAAAATAAAAAAAAAGCAACAAAAGAGGCAAAATCCACAAAAATCACAGGGCACGAGAGGGGACACAAGCATACGCAACAACATACAGACACACAATGAACCAACCCGGACAGAGGGGAAGACAGAGACTATACACACACTGGGAAACGAGCAACAGGTGAGGAAGACGAGACACAGGTGAGACTCATGGGTGATTAACGAAGGAGGGAAATGTAGGGAGTAAAAACACAAGGAATCAACTGCTACAAAATAAAACAGGAAATAAACACAGAAAACTGATCTAAAGAATAAAACAGAGAACAGGAGGGAAAGAGGGTGAAACACAAACTGAAAACTAACAAGACTGGACTACAGGGGAGCAAAGACACGAGAGACAGAACACAAAATACACTCAAATAAAATCAGGAGTAAACTAAATAAACAGAACATAGCATGACAAGTCTTATGATTTGTATTTTTTGACATGAGTTTATTTGGACCCTACAGAAAAAAAGTTGGTGTACTTCTTGAACATCAGACACAAGTTTTATAGACTCTTATCACAGGCCCAATCTCTTGAACATTAAAAAGTTCGAGGAATCAAAGTTAGTGTCCTCACTCTGGAGGTTTTTCTCCCATCTCATCCTCATCCTCTAAGGTCTTTGGACCTTATAAGCTGAAAGAGGCTCTCTGGCAAACACACACAGACACACTGTGATTCACACCCTGTTCCATTCCCTCTCAGAGGAGTTGTTAGACAGATAATGAAGTCAGCAGTCTCAAAGATAACTAGGGCCCCGTTGGGGCACTGGCGGGCCCGAGCCGTGTCACGCCGCCCCCAGCGCGACCGCCTCCCCCACCCGATCGCGGCACACTCAAGGTCCAAAGATGGTGTGCGCACTTGTTTGTGGTCATTTACCATTATAATGAACGGGAGGCGCAGTTTCTACCAAAACGCTCGCTGCAGAAAAACTCCATGTCCTATTTGAAAAAAGTCTGGACCATGAGTGAGGGCACAAACACAGCTAAGATATATCCAAATGGCAAGTTGCTCCTCCTTTCGCTTTTGCCGAGAGAGCAGTGCGTTTGAGCCATTGAATGATGAACAGGAAAAACTTGACTTTATTCTCCTGCCATGGGGGGCGCTCTTTTAAAGAGAAAAACTCCTTCACAAATGTGTTGATGGCTGGACATTGCATCATCCTAGAAAACATGGAGGCCAGTGAGGACAAAAATAAAAAGTTATAAGACTTTTAAATATGTGGATTTTAGGGTTATATTTGGCGCCCCCTAGAACCTAAACCGTGGGGTGCAGCGTCATGATTTGAATAACTTTTAATGGCCATGGGGTGTAGATTGGCCTGAGCAAATGTGGTGCCGGTGGAACGAAAGCCTTCGGAGGAATTAGCGAAATTCCAATGTGTGCGAATCTGCAAAAAATGCGAAATAACCCTTTAACCGTACATTTTACAGATACGTGGCCATTGACTTTTTCGAAGATCTTATGTAAATACACGTGTATGTAAAATTTTGTGTCAATACGACAAAACATACAGGCGTAGCACTCAACAATGTGTATTTTCACCTTAGTGGACAAGAAAAAATTGACTTTTTTCTCCTGCCATGGGGGGCGCTCTTTTGCCGAGTAAAAATTCCTTCACAAATGTGTTGATGGCTGGACATTGCATCATCCTAGAAAACTTGGAGGCCAGTGGGGACAAAAATAAAAAGTTATAAGCCTTTTAAATATGTGGATTTTACGGTTATCTTTGGCTCCCCCTAGAACCTAAACCGTGGGGTGCAGCGTCATGATTTGAATAACTTTTAATGGCCATGGGGTGTAGATTGGCCTGAGCAAATGTGGTGCCGGTGGAACGAAAGCCTTCGGAGGAGTTAGCGAAATTCCAATGTGTGCGGATCGGCAAAAAATGCGGAATAACCCTTTAACCGTACATTTGACAGATACGCGCGCATTGACTTTTTCGTAGATCTTATTGAGATACATGTGTGTGTCAATTTTTGTGTAATTTTGACAAAGCGTACAGGTGTTACACTCAACAATGTGTATTTTCACCTTAGGGGACAAGAAAAAATGGACTTTTTTCTCCTGCCATGGGGGGGCGCTCTTTTGGGGAGTAAAAATTCCTTCACAAATGTGTTGATGGCTGGACATTGCATCATCCTAGAAAACTTGGAGGCCAGTGAGGGCAAAAATAAAAAGTTATAAGACTTTTAAATATGTGGATCTTAGGGTTATCTTTGGCGCCCCCTAGAACCTAAACCGTGGGGTGCAGCGTCATGATTTGAATAACTTTTAATGGCCATGGGGTGTAGATTGGCCTGAGCAAATGTGGTGCCGGTGGAACGAAAGCCTTCGGAGGAGTTAGCGAAATTCCAATGTGTGCGGATCGGCAAAAAATGCGAAATAACCCTTTAACCGTACATTTGACAGATACGCCCGCACTGACTTTTTTGTAGATCTTATTGAGATACATGTGTGTGTCAATTTTTGTGTCATTTTGACAAAGCGTACCGGCGTGACAGTGAATAGTGTGAATTTTCACCTTAGGGGGCGCTATGGAGCCATTTTGCATTTTCTTGTTTGGGCGACTTCGGAATATCAAATTTTTCACCAGGCCCGGTCGTCCTGCCAAATTTCATGAGTTTTCGCCAGTGGGAAGTGGGCCATTTTCCAGTTCAAAGGGGAGGAAAAATAATAACTAGGGCCCCGGTGGGGCACTGTCGGGCCCGAGCCGCGTCGCGCCGCCCCCAGTGCGACCGCCTCCCCGTCCCGATCGAGTCACACTCAAGAACCAAAGATGGTGTGCGCACTTGTCTGTGGTCATTTCCCATTATAATGAATGGGAGGCGCAGTTTCTACCAAAACACTCGCTGCAGACAAACTTCATGTCCTATTTGAAAAAAGTCTGGACCATGAGTGAGGGCACAAACACAGCTATGATATATCGAAATGCCAGGTTGCTCCTCCTTACGGTGTTGCCTGGAGAGCGATGCGATTGAGCCATTGAGCGATGGGCAGGAAAAACTTGACTTTTTCTCCTGCCATGGGGGGGGGATGTGGATTCTTTTAAGAATGTGGATTTTTGGGTCATCTTTGGCGCCCCCTAGAACGTAAACCGTGGGGTGCAGCGTCATGATTTTTACAATTTTGAATGGCCATGGGGTGTAGATTGGCCTGAGCAAATTTGGTGTCAGTGGGACGAAAGCCTTAGGAGGAGTTAGCCACATTCCAATGTGTGCGAATCGGCAAAAAATGCAAAATAGCCCTTTAACCGTACATTTGACAGATACGCACGAATTGACTTTTTTGTAGATCTTATTGAGATACATATGTGTGTCAATTTTTGTGTCAATATGATAAAGCGTACAGGCGTGACAGTCAATAGTGTGAATTTCCACCTTAGGGGACAAGAAAAAATGGACTTTTTTCTCCTGCCATGGGGGGGCGCTCTTTTGGGGAGTAAAAATTCCTTCACAAATGTGTTGATGGCTGGACATTGCATCATCCTAGAAAACTTGGAGGCCAGTGAGGACAAAAATAAAAAGTTATAAGACTTTGAAATATGTGGATTTTAGGGTTATCTTTGGCGCCCCCTAGAACCTAAACCGTGGGATGCAGCGTCATGATTTGAATAACTTTTAATGGCCATGGGGTGTAGATTGGCCTGAGCAAATGTGGTGCCGGTGGAACGAAAGCCTTCGGAGGAGTTAGCGAAATTCCAATGTGTGCGGATCGGCAAAAAATGCGGAATAACCCTTTAACCGTACATTTGACAGATACGCGCGCATTGACTTTTTCGTAGATCTTATTGAGATACATGTGTGTGTCAAATTTTGTGTCATTTTGCCAAAGCGTACAGGTGTTACACTCAACAATGTGTATTTTCACCTTAGGGGACAAGAAAAAATTGACTTTTTTCTCCTGCCATGGGGGGGCGCTCTTTTGGGGAGTAAAAATTCCTTCACAAATGTGTTGATGGCTGGACATTGCATCATCCTAGAAAACTTGGAGGCCAGTGAGGGCAAAAATAAAAAGTTATAAGACTTTTAAATATGTGGATCTTAGGGTTATCTTTGGCGCCCCCTAGAACCTAAACCTTGGGGTGCAGCGTCATGATTTGAATAACTTTTAATGGCCATGGGGTGTAGATTGGCCTGAGCAAATGTGGTGCCGGTGGAACGAAAGCCTTCGGAGGAGTTAGCGAAATTCCAATGTGTGCGGATCGGCAAAAAATGCGAAATAACCCTTTAACTGTACATTTGACAGATACGCCCGCACTGACTTTTTTGTAGATCTTACTGAGATACATGTGTGTGTCAATTTTTGTGTCATTTTGACAAAGCGTACAGGCGTGACAGTCAATAGTGTGAATTTTCACCTTAGGGGGCGCTATGGAGCCATTTTGCATTTTCTTGTTTGGGCGACTTCGGAATATCAAATTTTTCACCAGGCCCGGTCGTCCTGCCAATTTTCATGAGTTTTCGCGGGTGGGAAGTGGGCCATTTTCCAGTTCAAAGGGGAGGAAAAATAATAATAATAATAATAACAAAAGAAGGAAACTACAGGAACAAGAGGGCTCTCGCAGCTGCTTAGCAGCTACGCTCGGGCCCTAATAATAATAATAACAAAAGAAGGAAACTACAGGAACAAGAGGGCTCTCGCAGCTGCTTAGCAGCTACGCTCGGGCCCTAACTAGTGGCTTTTCAGTGTAAACAAGTCACTGTCTCTATTGCTTTAGAATTCACTTTATCCCATCAAGGATGTCCTCCGAAGAAGCCGAGAGGCTTTAAAGCCGGCAGCAGGCTGGAGCGGCTTGAAAATTTGCTTTGGACCATTTGACAGAAGAGAAAAGTAAAGAAAGGAGTGAAAATAGCCAAACCAAAGCCAGATCAATTTGACATCCAAACATTTGGTAAGTTCTTAAGTAATTGTCTCAGTCAGGACAGATTTCCAAGACTGTTGATGTAAATGTTTTGATTTATTTTATTTCATTTTATTCATGCACACATACAACAACATAAAAACAAATATAAATAAAACTTACCACTACTGTGAAGAGTAAGTAAACAGTGACAAAAATGAAATAAGATAACAACAAGCAAACAAACAAACAAAAAATCATCAGCAGAGGTGAAAGCAGAGGGGAAGAAGAGGGAACAAGAGCAGACAAACAAATGAAAAGTGAGTTTAGATGAAAACAGAAAAACAAAAAAACAGAGGAGGGAAAGGGTAGAAGAGGAAAACAAGTAAATAAAAAGAAGAAGAAAAAAAACAAAGGGAGGTAGCATGATCTGTTTGAGTTTGAATCTAGCGTAAAGGATCTGCACGAGTTAGCCTCGAGTTTTTATGTATTTATTTTGAAACCTGATAAAATATAGGATCTACACAAATTAGCCTTAAGTTTTATTTTTTCATTTTAAGACCAATAAAATAAAAATATACACGAGTTAGCCTTGAGTTTTATTTATTTATTTATTTTTAATTTTAAAGCCTTTAAAATAAAAGATTTACACAAGTAAACTCCGAGTTTTGTTTTTTTGTTTTAGAACTTATAAAATAGAGGATCTACACTAGTTAACTTTGAGTTTTGTTTTTTCCTCTTAAAACTGATTAAAAAATAAAGGATCTACATGAGTTAGCCTGACTAGCAAAGAAAACGTGCCACAGCCTTTTCTTTCCCAATTTTTGAGTTTAGTTTTCATCTTCTATCTGTTTCTACTCTATACATACTCTATGTTATGCATTACTTGGTTCTAAAATGTGTGTTTATCGTTTCTTGATCAGCTTAATCTTTAAATATTTGCAGTTTTGTGATGCGATTCAAGTAGAGTAAGAAGAAAAAGAGATGAGGCAGAGAAAAAGAAGACTTCCAGGGGGAAAGTTTTAAGGTGAGGGAGTTATAAGATAAATAAAATGAATCACATTGTGGAAAAGTTTGCACAGTTTAGATGAGTTTAAGTTCACAAACAGACGTCCAGCGATCATTGGACTCTACTATCCTCCGCTGAGGGCTCTGCAAATTTTGCACACAGTCCTTTTCTTTGCAGCACTGAGGATGAAACGCTTCAAGTTTAAGACTATTTTAAAAGTGAATCGCCACTGCGTACACAACTCTCAGTAGAGATTCTCATGATGTAAGACAGAACTTTTCTCTGCAACTCAGATTCTGTCTGTTCCTAGCACGACAAGCTGGACTGATGAGGTACTATGGCAGTATGATAGGTAGTATGAGATACTTTAAGGTGACCATACGTCCTCTTTTACCCAAATATGTCCTCTTTTTGGGGGGCTGTCCAACCTTGTCCGGGGGAGGTATAAATTCCTTCAAATGTCCAGGGTTTTGTATGGAAATTTTGAGTTTGTGTCGGATGGACTTACTGAGTTAGAAGCGCGTAAAAAACACTCGACCCAACCTGAAAATCTCTAAATTTACTGCGCGCAACTCTGTGACTCCGCCCTCATCATTGACTTATCATTGCACAGCTAGCCAGATAATATTGATAATATTAACGACTTTCTCCCAAGCTCTGACTGGGAACTAAAGTAACGTCAAATGAGGTGAAGCGTGCTATATAAGCTAACAGCCTTCACGCTCAGTTGTCTTTTATGAGGCACATCCTGTACTTCTTCACTTCTGCTGGCTCAACTTGAAGGCAACTGCTTTATTTGGTTGCAACAACAAAACAAATTAGCAGTAAATAAATCACTTTGAGTTGGCACTAAAGGAGCCCGGAGAAACAGAAGTGAGCCAAGGGGATCTTAAGCACTTTGCAGCAGCAGCAGCAGCAACTCGAGTTTTCCTTAAGCTAAAGACTGGAGGGAGTCTTAGTGAAATCGAGCTCTCATTGACTTCATCTGTAGCAAAGGCAACCCTCTGTGAAAACTTTGCATCTCAGGCTAATTGTTGACCGTCACAGGTGATCAGTTTTAGACAAAACACATCCGGCTGTCAACAAACAGACTGCAGGTGGAGTTAAATATTTGCCTGCCAGCAGCTGCTGCTCTGTTAGATAACACGAGCAGCTTGTCAAAATGTCCACCTGCTTGAAGGGGGAGGTAGGAGATCATAAATTTAATGACTGGTAAAAAAAAAAAAATACTAAAAAACAAAAAGAGTGAAGAGGATAGTAGGTGAGAGTGGGTAAGATGAGACATTTTTCATATTTTGGATCACTTCATCAAGTCAATCATAGTTTTGTCTCTAACTAGTGTATCTGCATATATTTCAAGATGTTGTTCATCCCTGCAAACCAACAGAATGAGTGTAAACATAGCCCTGAACAAAATTCTAGTAAAACTTATGACAGACTAAATTCACTTTCAAGAGTGAAAAATTGTTTTTTTTTTGTGTAAATTAATGTCTAACCCCTTCACCCATGTGCTTCTAACCTTTACAGACTCCATGGATTGATGCCCATCTCCTAAATATTTGGTCACATGATCAATTTCTTTTACCATTTCCAAGCAACAGGGGGCGGCTCAACTTACCCCACTCTCCCCTATTGTGTAAAAAGGATAGAATAGCCCAAAAATTAACAAAAAGCCTAAACAGCAGGGAAAATAACAAAACAAGAAAAAGGGTCATTCTCCTTTTTTTCTGCTTGTTGTGAAGTTCATTTTCAAGTGTCCTTAAGATTAATATTTAAAAAGCAATTATATGACACTAAAAACCACCCAAAACTGCAAAATAATCAAACTTGGAACAACACAGACCCACATCCTCATTCAAACTCTGGTTCTTGGCTCCTCAGTCCTCCATAACCATTATGACAGCCATTCCCATCCCGGCTAACAACCTCTCTGTATCAATCAGCCTTTCCCTCATAATGTAATCTGCCGCTGCAGCTGCTTCTACCATCACAGCACCTCTTGCACTCTCTTGCCATCGCTCTCTCTCTCTCTCACGCCGTCTCAGTCCTGGATGGGTTGGAGTGAAGCCCAAACGGGTGTAAATCCAAGAATCACCCTCCCCTCCTTTGTGAATTTGACTCCAAACTCCTAAAAGTTGAGCATCTTCAGAGCAGCTCGGTTCGGTCTGCCAAAGGATGTTGTGGTAGGATTATGAGGATTATGAGGAAACTGACAGCCCGGTAAACTCACACTGGTTCGCAGTCGTACTCGCGGCCAATGTTAGTGGATTGGTTTGAAGGTGTATGTTTTCCATTTCCCTCCTAAAACCTTTCATTTTTATCCGGAGAGGGACATAAGCCAAATAAACACAGTATTTCCAATTCTTCACCATAATTCCTCATGTTACTGTCGCTTTATGTGATGAGCAAACACCTTTTGCTCTCACTGTCTTCTTAGCTAAAAGAAAAACACAATCAAGTCCAGAAAACTGGTTTGTTGTTCGGTCCATGTCATCTTGGCTTGTCAGTCAAATGTCATCCGGTTGTCAAGTAAACAAAAACATCAACTCTTCAGAGTGACACATGGACGTTGTGGTAGGAAAAGAAAATAAAGGATGTTGTAGATCTGGATACAGCAGAATAAGTGTCGACGCTCTTTTTTAGCAGCTTCCACATTTTACCTAACTGAAAAACTGAACATTTGTCTAAGCTGACCTTTTTTAGTCGGCTGTTTTTATGCCTTAAATTAACTCAATTAACCGAGGAGGGAGTAGGTTTTTCAGTCTATGGTGACAATTTTCCTCCATTTTTTGTTGTGGTACAAAAAGCTGTTGCCTGCAGAAATATCTCTCAAAAAATATATGCTTACTTAAAGAAAATTAAACCCTTTAAATCTTATGACACAGTATTAAAAGGGTGTCCATGTGATAAGACTTTTCCTGTTATCCACATTTTTAGTTTCTACCATAGACTGTATATACTATGGACAACTTAGCTCCGCCTTCCGTCATTATACGAATTTGAGGCTGAATTGCTCTCTGTATTTCCGGGATTTTCTCCACCACTTGCGCAGAAGCGTTGTACGTATTTGGCAGGAGAGTCCCTGTGATGACACTCTGCTCAAACAGGTGACCTACGCAATCTTTGTGCGCCCATAGGCTGTATCAAGTATCAATCATAGAAAACATGAACCCCCTAATAACTTTTAAAAATGGAGCTGCACAGAAAAAAGAGGACTTGAGCACAAACCAGTCTGACAGTAACTACATTTCAACATCCCAAGCAGGGGGGAGAAAAATTTATACTCTGAGTAATTCATTTCTAAAGTTTGTCCACAGCTCCATAGGGATTGCTGGAGGAGGCGGGATTTATGACCCATACTGCATCCCGTCACCAGAGGGTGCTGTTCTCGCAGTGGCTTCACAACATCCATTCTATATACAGTCTATGGTTTCTACCTTCCCTTTGGTATCCTCCACTTGCCCTTAAGCAGGTGTCCTTCAGTATTTGACACATCCAGTTCCTCTGATTGCTGCCAGAGGGAATCTTATTTTGCTGTTTTTGTTGTCTGAAAATAGCTGCTTGTAGAGCCTTAAGTGTCAGTAATGTGTAAGTCTTGTATGACTCATGAAGATATCCAAATAGGTCACGCCGAGACTCTAAAATTAGATGACCAAGGACTATGAGAGGGATGGTCATCCACTCTACCATCACGCTTTTCATATTTTTCCATCTTAAAGATTTTAGTGGATGGCGTTTCCTCCAATGACGTGTGCCATTTCTTCTAACTTAAAGGGATATTCTAGCGTAAATTTAAGTTATGGTCAAACACACGGTAACACCGATTTAGACACCCCCTCCAGAGATGAATGTTGCCGACTGCTTGCTTCTTTAGTTATACCAACTTCAGTAATGATCACTCATTAGCAAAACACAGTGGTCTGAGGAAGTGAGGAAGAAACAGGACAAGAGTCAAAGGATTTATGAGTTTTCTAAAATCAGGTCTGTATCAGCAAAGATGTCCAGAAGATTTCCTGTTTCTACAGACATCCTAATTCTAAATTCGGACTTTTAAAGGTGAATTGAAGCAGGTGAACAAAACAAAAGCATTTCAATTATCACCCTCAAAGATTGCGTACATTCAAAAGTTTCCAGCCCTCTCAAAAAAAAAATCCCGCTGAGAAAGTTTTTAAAATTCCATCAGCCAATTTTGGAGGATTTATTTTGGAGCCAGTTTTAGCTTAGGCACTTATTTTGGCTGATAAATATTCAGTGAGTGATGTAATTTTTGCATTTTCTTCACGCTGCTGCAAGTTCAGTCTGAGACTGTGATTACACAGGTCTGTGTTTGCTTAGGCGAGACAGTTTGCAGTAAAGCTTTTCCGGCTAAAAACCATTAAACTTACCCTTTGGAGTCAAGACACAGTTGCTTTTTTCTCCCCCTTTGCACCTGCACCAAAGAACATGCACTGTGTTGGAGTACTTTAATGAAATAATTGCTGTGAAATTAGCTGCTGATATATGCAAATGCTAAGAGAAGAGTGTGCTGATGTTCTGAGCTGCAGCCTGCAGGATTTGCATCATGCATTCAGTTCTAACACTTTATGGTTTATGGATTTACTCTGCTCTTTTGGAAAAAAAATATATATTCATATATTTTAGTCTTTTGGGAGTGAGCTGCACAACAACAACAGAATCAAAATGAAACAATGTTCAGCAGAAAAATAAGCAGATTACCTTAATTACTGTGGTATAAGGCAATGCCCTTTTTCTAATGCATTTTTTAAGAGAAGACATGGCATCAAGAATTATCTTAATCTTACACGGATTTAATGGGATTATTGAATCTTGATTACTAAAATGTATCCAGGTGCTTTTTTTTTAATGTTGTACTTCATACTTCCTCTTAAGATTCATCCAAACAATCACAATTTAAATCAACCGCTGCCCTCATGCCTGCAATTGTCATGAAACAAAGCACAGACAGGAGGAAACAACAGCAAGATAAGGGATCAGTTTAACCAACAGACGGGGTTTATTAGAACTAGGACTGGGCGGTTTGGCAAAAAATTAAATAAAAAATGATCACGATATTTTTTGTCATATCATCTGATCTCGATAATTATCACAGTTTTTCATGTATTTTTTGAAACTGCCAGTTTTAAAGCATCTGTACTAAAAACTAAAGAAACTAGAGATTAATAACATTTTATTATCAAACGGAAGTAAACAAAATAATATAAACAGAAAAAAAAAAACATCTTTACAACAATACAACAAAAGTAGATGAATATACAATACAGTAATACAGTGAACTACTTTAAAGTCCTGAGTGTTTTTGCAGATATGAAAGACCCAAAATAAACAAATCGTCCTCTCAGGGATAATGAAGACACCTTAAAATGTAAACATTAGATGATGTAAATGTAGATGATACGATTGATTGCTTTAGTCTGGTGGCTGCACCGCTAGTTGTGGCTAAACTGCTAATGCTAGTTGTGCCGTCAGCGGTGACAGGCTGTACAGACTCCGCTGGCATTTTCATACTGTCCACGTAATCACTCGGGAAGAACTTCTTCAAATGATTAAACAGATTTGTTGTGCTGCCGGTTTTAGAGGGCACCGACACACCTTTGCACATCAGCTTCATTACACTTTGGAGATACCCGAACCACCGCCACACAACCGACGTTGAATAACTTTTCTTCTCAACAATGGCACCTTTGGAGGATGACTCAAAGTCACGATTGACATCTGTTTTGCGTCCCTCAGCTCCGTGTTTAGCTCCACGTTCAGTCACTCTGTTTACTTGTCCAGCAACTTGTAGAAGTGAGCAGGAATAGATCAACTCTGGCTGTTGTGACGCACATTTCTGCGATGTTTGATCGAGTAATTATACTCACAGCTGATCATCGTGATCAAACTGAAATTTATCACGATCATATAATCGCCCAGTCCAAATTGAAACATAAGCAGAGATCGGTTCACAAAAAGGCAGTCAGATCAGGCAGAGGTATCCAAAAATGTGAGGCAAAAAGGCAAGGTCCAAAAAGACAGGAAGAGGTAAACAACGGCTAAACTATGACTGTGAATAATACTGGAACGAGACACAAGGTACAACAAACTGGCGACAAGACAGTGTGACACACAAGGTTAAATATAAGAGGTAATGAAGGTGATGGGAAACAGGTGGGGGACACAATCAGACGGCAGGTGTGACGAGACAGGGGCAGGCCAGACCAGACAGGAAGAAATATAGGAGACAGAAACAAGAATTAGAGATCTACAAAATAAAACAGGAAATGCAAGACATGAACAAAACATGAATGTGCAGAAATAAAGGAAACGTAGCCAATAAATTAATGTGAATAAAAGGAAACTTAACAGACATGACAGCAATATTACAACAAACTAATCCTTCCCCTTGACCAAACTCACCCCAAAAACCACACCTTTTCCCCACCTTAATAGTGACAGTGTATTCTGGGACATAACTCATTATAATCTCAGTCAAGAGAAGCATGAGTGACAGTGGTTTGCTCAGTGTTAAATGAATCAAATAAGCATTAATGTGATGCTGAACAAAACTGGTTATTCAACTTATTTATTATGGTGCTCGTATTTGACGCTGGATTTCATCTAGCGTTCTGCCAGTTTGCCCAACAGCAACGCGGAGGATCTGGATAAATGTGATGTGAACAGGACCTCTGATTAGCACTGCTGAAGGACCCCAGGGTGCCGAGGGTGATCAGGATTCGAGGTGAATTGAAGTGGTGTTGGGTCACGTTAATTTGACTGAAATGACAACTGACAGCAGCAGAGGACGGTTTGGAACTGTAAGAAGACGACAGGCTCATGGAGGCCATGGCTAAATGTGATTGAAGAGTGAAAACACTGAGAAACCAGCTGATGAGAGAGGGGAGCAAAAATGATTTAACTTTAACTAAATGACCTCATTATGTCTGAGGTCAATTAATCTCTCTGTCCAATGGTGATCATCGTGGTCTGGTCATGTTTTAGACAATTAGATTTACAAGAATTTCCCTTGAAGTTGTATCATGAATTTTTCTTTCCTTATTTGCATCTTTTATACTCTTCTTTTGCGATTAGATACACACCACTTAATAGCATGTATAGCTTATTTTTGCACCACACCACCACCGTCATTTTTAATTTCAGACTTCAAAGTGGAACACCAATAATTCATGTGTCATCTCCATAAATTGTTTCATTCATATATTCACTGCGTCTCTTTGGTTATGTACGATTTTCTATCTCTTAGAAATGCAAATAGATAAAGAGTTTTTCTTCATCAAGCTTTCAGAGCGGGAATTGGAGTTAGTAAAAAGAGTTATTTCAGAGCGTGAGGGGGGAAGGTTCCTGAAACTGCTCAGTGGACCTTTCCCCCTCATTTATTCACTCTTTTGGTATAACATCAAAACATATAAAGCATACAGACCACTGAACTGGGACATACTTTCTAGGATTTAGAAAATAAATAAACATAAAAAGTGATCAAATAAAGTGGCATACCAGTTAAAGGCTAAACCCTCTCCGATGAAAACCATGTTTTTCTTGTTGTCTACATGTTCATATGGCATTTTTCTGACGCTACAGGACATATCATGAGAAGAGTAAGTGTGAAATTGCATTTCTGAGTATTTCTGCATTCAAATCCCTCTGAATCTCTGGCAGACCCAAACAGCAGGTTCAGATACTGTCATGACCTGGCTCAGGTGGTCACAACAAAATGAAGAAGGAAGACACACACCATGTATAAACTCCCAAACAACTCATTAATTCAAATTAAACTGAATTAGAATGTAAGATATGAGGCGTGTAAATCAGTTAAAATCAGTATTGTGTAAGGCGTGCATGGATGGAAGTAGGTGTATGTGTGCGAGGGTGTTGTAATGAGCAAACATAAACTACAACTCAACCAAGCCAAACCGAACCAAACCAACCAAAGTCAAGTCGAATAAAGCCAAACCAAACCAAACCAACCAAAACAAAACAAAGCCAAATAAAGCCAAACTAAGTCAAGACAAGCCAAACCAAACCAAGTCAAACAAAGTCAAACCAAACCAAACCAAACTAAGTCAAGACAAGTTAAGCCACACCAAGCCAAACCAAACCAAGTCAAACAAAGTCAAACCAAGTCAAACAAAGCCAAGCCAAACCAAACCAAGTACCTGTAAAGGCAGTCAGGAGAAACGAAAGAGGGAATTGCAAGTAACTGTGGGCGCACCCAGGGCCCAGGTGTGCATAGTTACTCCAATTAGGGTGCAGCGAGAAGCCAACCAGACACACCTCCCACAGCAGCATATAGGGGCATCACAGATACAGTGAGATTTCTTACATCACAAATCCAAGCTCCGCCCTCAGAGCCCCGCTACGCAGGCCACTCTCAGAAAAGTATAGGACGATCACGGAACAAGCTCTGACTTGTAGACTTTCAGACATTAGTGTCCGAGAGCTGAATAGCTCCTATGTTACCTGCCACTTCTAATACACCAGCAATGTTAGGCTACAAGCTAGCATGAAGAGGAGTGTGCAAAGCAGAGCTGTCTCCACCCACGACTCAGAAGCGAATTGTTAATGAGCTACTGGAGCTCTGCAGAAGAAAAGTCCTTAAAAATGACACAGGAAATGTGATTTTGGCTAAAAATGTCAAAATCACAGTTTAAAGACCACTGAGAACATTTCAAGAAGTAAATAAAATAAAACGATCAGAGTGGGACTTTAAGCTGAAAGAAAATTAACTTTGACAGCAACAAACAGAATTTAGTGCAGCTAGTTTTTGTACATTTTCAAGCAAAGAATCTTGAATAACAATAATAACTTGAATAAGAAACTTCTGGGAGGTCAAAGAAAGTACACTGAACACCTGACAAAAATGGTATGGATAGATCTATTAGGCTTTCAGTGACTGACAGCTTAAACCCTTTCCTTTAAAAGATTTGCCAAAGCTTTAGTTTCCAGACGCTCAGATTATTTTTTATCTGTCGTTTTTACCTTTTTTTGTTGTTGTTGTTGAATAGATTCATCCACAGCATAGTAATAAAACGCCACCTTTATTGAGAATTATAAGAAGAATTTTTGTTGTTAGTTTTTTGACATCATAAGTATTTTCAGAATATGATAAATGAGAAAAAGATCCCAAGAAAATGATCCGAAATTATCTATTGCCTTCCTACATTTTATTGTATAGACTAATGTCCAATAATAATAAGAATTCAGTATAAACATGATTACAATCAGACACATTACAATACAAGTAACCCTGTAACTGATCTGTTTTCTTTTGTTAAATTCAGGTTTAACCTCTTTATGACAATATTAACTGTATCTGAACTGGTTGGGGGCCATTGAGGCTTCAGCAGGCAGGGGTCAAGGCACGCTGAGACTGACGCTTACAGGCCTGATCCATCCACTAAGGTCAGTTTCTTTAATCACTACACCACCCTGCTGCTCCAACCAAAGGAACAAACGCATACTTATAGGAACTGTATGTCTACACTGTATTTTTTGGGCCATTATCGCACTTATGAATCTCCTAACCCTAACCCTTAGCCGACAGACGATGAAGTTTCACAGCCATTAGAAATAACCAATCGGTGCCGAGCACTTCTAGCCAATCAGAGGCAAGGGAGGGCGGGACCTTCCCCTACCACCCTACAAAGAAAAATTTCGCTGCCCGGATCCCTCTCTTCATTATCCGAGTCAGTCTTGTTGCTGTTACCAATACTTGGCTGTTCAGTGATTATTCCAGCTTTCGTCATAGCTCAGACGACAGTTACCGTAATGCTCCAAATATCTATTGAGCGGAGCGACTCTGTTGCTTACCGAAGTCGTACTTACACATTTCAAAATATTTTTGAGCACAAGTAATCATATATGAGGCACGCTTGATTATGAGGCGCACCGTCAAATTTTTTTAGAAAATTTAAGGATTTCAAGTGTACCTTATAGTCCAAAATACACGGTATGTGCTGTGTTTGTCTGCTCCAATGGTGGATTTGAATGTCTACAGAGCAGAATTAAAAACAGAGCTGTGTATGAATGGCTGGTCATAAACTCATTAGGTGGTCTGCTGTGATTTACATAAGAGAAATTCATCAATTATTATAACAGGGTACAAAAAGTAAACAGGGAAAACAAATTGTGTTTTTAACACACACACACACACACACACTCATGCGGGATTGACTAAATGGGAAAGTCAAAGTGTTTGCAGGTTTAATGTAGCTCACTTCCCCGCACAGTGCAGAATATTCCTCTATGAGTTTATGATTAATGTTCACAGTGTGCTCGCAGTCTGCTTCCTCTGTCACATATTACAAATGGGCCATAAGAGATCTCAGATATATCTATAAAGCATCATAAATGATGATGCTGCCTCCAGGGGAAAGTGTTTCTCTCTCTATATTCATAAGCCACTGTTTGCCTGCTGCTGTAAATTTAACAGGGCATTATTTGATTATGAAAATCCCCAATAAATGACAGTTTATGTCTCATATTCTGCGCTATACTGCGAGAGTCGCAGAAAAACTGTGCAGAAGTGAGAACCAAGCCGCCGTGAAGCAGGAGGAGAAAAGTTTGTGTATGAATCAGTAAAAACCTGTGAGATGTTTACTAGAAACACTGCGAGTAATTTGAATAATTCATTGAATAAAGGTGTTTCATAGCAGGGATTTCAACTTCATTTTCAGTCATAAATATGCATAACTTCGATTCTTCACAGCCTCCAAACAGATGAGTAATAAAAATATTTCCCCTAACTTAGCATAGTACTCTATCTACTGTCTTTATTGCTCTAATGGCCGATATGAATATTTAGAGAGATGAATGAAAAACCGAACTGTGAGTTACTGGTTAAAGTTTAAAGCACATTAGGTGGTCTGTTGGTAATTTACATGTAAGAGATTCATCCATTATAATAATGAGAAACAAAGGGAAAATAATGGAAATAAATTGGACTATAAGTGCATGCACAAATGATTGAGTTTACAGTGTGTGCGGATGAAGCTATTAAAACCAGAACAAGTTCATGTTGTAGGCTGTAACCATGTCTATTTCTGTGGTAAAAACGGGCATTTTATCATGGGTGTTAACCTTAGTTTTTGCAGTCGGTCTCATGTGGACACGAGGAAACTGCAGTTGTTTGTACTTTTACATTGGCTCCATTTTTCACTTGGAGACTCCTGTGGTTTGTGTTGATCTTTTTTTGCTGATTTTGTCGTGTGCATGTGTGCATATATGAAGCACTCATGAAGAATATCTGTCATTGGAAATGTAAAAAACGGTTTATCACTTAGCCTGTCTCCTTCCCTTTGCAGTGATTTTTAAGTCGTAAAAATAACCCTGTTGGAGTAATCAGTCTTTAAGCTGAAAGTCTTGTTCACTTTTAAAGCTCATGGAAAGGTGTCAGTATTTATTTCAGTCTGTTACATAACCAGCTAAAAACTCCTCAGATATTTGAATCAAATTTGAGGAGTAGAAGTTTAATGTGAAGATTTATGTTTCTGAGCTTTTTTCATTGCTAAGTCCACTTGACTCCTCCTTGACAGGTGTAAAATAGAAATAAATAGATAAAAACAGAGTTGAATATAAACCCCTGTCGGCTGCTTTATCTTGGAAAAAAGAAGTAATGCTAACTTGCAAGCTAGATAATCTTGAATACCGCTGAATGGTTTGTGGTTTCTACCAGGAATGTAACGGTATGAAAATTCTACATCACGGTTATTGTGACCAAAACAATCAAATATTATCATGGTGTTTTTAAAGAATGTATTCAGAGGCATTGTTTACAGCATTTTCGATGCTTTTAACTAGCACTAAAAAATGCCTTGTTTTCATCATTTCATCATATTTAGACAGGATTACTGTCTTCAACTAAGCGTTCCCTCGACGTTACGACAAAACCCAAAATTTGCCCATACTTCTGACTAAAGTCCTCTTAGAGGGCTGATGGATGTCCTCAGTGTTGTCGTCTCCTCCTTCCGCCATGATTCCATTTCAAACTTAACAGAAAGTTCAAACACAAATTGTAGGCTACACAGTTCGCCTGCGTGGTTACTTCAGGTGACTCGCATGAAGCTGGGATAATTAACACAGGGTTTTCTCAACATGTAACTGATCATGACCATAGACTGTATATAGAATGGACACCGTCTGCCTCCTCGCTGGGTGAAGCCCCCCTGAGAACAGCACCCTCTGGTGACAGGCTGCAGTATAGGTCATAAATCCCGCCTCCTCCAGCAATCCCTATGGAGCTGTGGACAAACTTTAGAAATTTATCACACAGAATATAAATTTTTCTCCCCCCTGGTTGTGATGTTGTTGACATGTGCTCAGGTCCTCTTTTTTCTGTGTAGCTCCATTTTTATAAGTAATAAGGGGGTTCATGTTTTCTATGATTGACACTTGATACAGCCTATGGGTGTACAAAGATTGTGTAGCTCACCCGGGGGATACGCTGTTTGAGCCGAGCGTCATCACAGCGACTCTTGGCGACTCTCCTGCCGAATGCGTACAATGCTACTGCGCAATGTTGGTTTCAGGATGTGGAGAAAAAAACGCAGAAATACTGAGAGCGATTCAGCTTCAAATTCATATAATGGCAGAAGGCAGAACCAAGTATATACAGTATATGATCGTGGCACACCGCCACAGCTAAATAAAAGCCGCCACACCTTAAAAATGTGTTTTTTTTTTTACATGGCTCTACCTCGGACTCGTATGTATTAGGATACCTACGTGTGTCGAGTATTAGCATTAGTAAGTTATCGTTGGCGATCTCACAGCTAATTCATTACTCACAGTAACCGTTATCAACATTTTTATCACAATTTACCATTACGCCGTTTACCACTACATCCCTCGTTTCTTCGTTGTTTGTTTCATTACAGTTTTATAATAAATTTTTGATTATTTTATTATTTATATTTTTGCCTGTCAAACAGCCTCAGCTCCCATATCTGCACACAAACAAACACATCACCTGCTCTGCTCCATTCCTCTTCTCCTGAGGTCTACAAACTGCCTGTATGACTGTTACTTTTTTACCTTTTCCATCACCACGTCAGGTCTTGCAGCCTCTCTGACCTGATTTTCCCTCACTTTGTTTTCCTTATAGAATACTAAGCAGGGGATGGGAGCTGATATGACAAAGTTAAATAAAATGCTCACTTTTACCCCAAGTCTGGATGTCAGCATTTTTTCACAGAACTGTCAGAAAAGAAGAGACTAGAGATTCACATTCATCCCGGGAATAGCAAGTATTTGATTGCCGATGGGGCTTTTGGTTAGTCTGCTGATAAACCGCACAGACAGCTCGGTGCGAGGCGATCTGACATAATAGGACAAAATAATGAAAATGCCAGCACAGAGATGGGCACAGTGCAGACACAGTGGTTTGTTATTGCCCGGTTCGGTTCTTCTGGCATGACTTTGGGTCTTTAACAGCTCCAATCATTTGGTCAGTGCTTTCCACCACTAACACTGATTTTGATTGATCATCTCTGCCTCACAGCGTGAAAATAGTGCTGGGGAGAAAAGATGCCATTTCAGCAGCCACAGCAAAATATCCCACAGCTCAGGGCGGACCATATCTGAAAACTGGGATCCAAACTCAATCTGCAAACAGAAGTCATAAGACCAAAAATACACAGTCTGTTTGATTCAGCCCTGAAGGGAATATTCAAGCTTGTAATGGACTCATGCAAAACCAAGAGATGCTGATGTTGCTGTAGACGAAAAACATCACAGTATGGAGGTGTTAAAAAAAACTATCACTGTTTAATTTTGCTAACTCGTTCTAAAATTTCATGACACCAAACATTTTAAGCTGGTTGCTGATAATTTAAGTAGCAATGACGATATAATGACAAAAAATGGCGCAGCTTGTTTCATTTGTCTTCATCGTTGTGTTTCATTTAGTTCTGAGGCTGGGAGCGCACAAACAAACATTACAAACCCGCCGTGAGGACACACTGAACCTTTGAGGGATGACTTTTACACATCGCAGTCACAAATGCTGCCTCTTGAATTATGATGACGCTCTGACGGCAGGATGCATTTAGATTGGCGTCGATTACAGACATAAACATGCTTGATATGGAAGTGACACTCGTGACTTATCTCAGGCTCAGAGCAGAGGAGCTGAATCTGTGAGTCCTTATGAACACTGACTGTCTTTTCTCTTCGCTGTATTGATAGATGAGATCACAAACATTACATCTTGTAATATTAAAGGTGGGGTAGGCAGGATCTGATGAAGAGCCAGTTTTTGGAGAAATCTTGAATGTAAACTCTACCCCTCCCAACCAGTTTTCCCTGCAGCTCCTCTTCTCTCCTCCCTCTCTGCTCCAGCAAGCCCCGCCCACAAACAGATGCTCCTGCTCGCTTGTATTGTTCCAATTAAATTCAGATATAATACAGATAAATACTTCAGATAATTACAAATGGGGCCCAGTCAATGTGAAAGTAAAAAGCATTGGTGCTACTGTAGATGCCAACAGACTACCAGCAAACACAATGTTTGCAGGACTTCTACAACTAGGATAAAGTGACATAGTCCAGGACCCGAGGTCAACAGTTTAGCGGCGCTACAACACGCTACAGCAGGTCCCGTTTGACAAGAAGCACTTCTGTTACAGACACTTGGCTTACTTTGTTAAAGCGGTTTACCTGTCCAGCAGAAAGGTTACAGGGTCCGTAAGATCCCGAAGCGTCCCCCATCATTGTTGACTCGGCTTCTTAACTCTTGTCCGGTCTACCTCCTTTCGCCCGTTATTCCACCAGTCTCCGGTATTTACTTTGTTTTTTTGCTTGTGTCGGCAGTCGTGGCCAAAGGAGGATTCAGACAATTTTCTGTACATTCTGGTTTATTTCTACTGTCTGATATTGTAGCACGTTATTCAAGGACGTGAAGCGTGCCTCACAACACGAGGGAGCAGTGTCGTCCAATCAGGTTGGGGGAGGTGGAGAATGGCTTTGTTTACAGTCAGAAGAGCCAGCTGCTCAAAAAATGTTAAAATGTTGACTACACAGACATAACAGAACAAAGCAATATCATGATTTTCCCAAATGTCATCAATAACTAATAGCTATTCCTGCCTACTCCACCTTTAATTGGGTAAAAATGTTGTGTTAAGGCCGACATTATGATGCTTATAATAATGCATCAGATTTCATATAGCGCTTTATCAGAGACCCTCAAAGCGCTTTACATTGGATACATCATTCATTCGCTCACACAGTCACACCTTGGTGGTGGTAAACTACCTTAGTAGTCACAGCTGCCCTGGGGTAGACTGACGGAAACGTGGCTGCCATTTCGCGCCTACGGCCTCTCCGACCACCACCACACAACACTCACAATCATACACCAGTGGAGGACACACACTGGGAGCAAGGTGGGTTAAGTGTCTTGCCCAAGGACACAACGGACAGACTTGGGATAGGGGGGAATCGAACCTCCAACCTTCCGGTTATTGGACGACCGCTCTACCTCCTGAGCTACTGCCGCTTATGTGCTAGAAGGTGGAACATGCAGTTGTAAACAGGTGTCAAATACATCCCCAAATGTTCTGATGCACACTGCCAGGGAAAGGATCCTAATGACTGATGAGGTGACACCTCAGCCATCGACTAATCTGTTGTTTATGAGTCACATAACCTCAATAAAAGGAAGTAATTCCCGTCTTTATTGTTTATTATGGTGTGGCTCCAGTTTGTTTCCAGGCATAGGACAATAAAAACAAAGCAATCTGGGTGCAGTGCATGGACAGTTGGGTTTACATGACCACTCCTAAACAATGAAGAGTAGAAAAATGACTCAAATGGGATGAAAATGACTCATACAGACACTTTAATCAGAATAAAACAGCTGATTCAACTGAATTGAGAGGCCATGGCGATGTGAAATAAAAGGGGGTCCTTATGTAGACGACAACAGAAGCTGTTAATCCACACCACAGATGCTCGACCTCCATGTCTTTACTGTGTCAGAGTGATGTTACTTTGGTGAGCGACACCATGATTCATGCTGCCGTGACACCATGAACCCACCAAATCACCAGGAAGTGAAACTGAACAGTGAGCAGGGATTCTATTATACATGACCACCCACTCCTGATACACTATTCTGCTCATCACCCGTCATTCAACCAAAGATACTCATAAAAAGAGGATTTTACTAAAAAAGAAAATAATAATTTGTACATTTAAATGTTAGTCCCTCTAAATTATTCAACATCGCTTTTTTATATTAGCTCCAGGGGAGGCTTTTTCCCCCTACATTTATTAAATAAACTAAAATTTGCATTGAAACCTTTTTATGATATACAGAAGTGAAGAAGACCTTCAGATATTTATTTTGTCATTTTTAACACCTGAAACCTGTGCGAGAGGCTAGGAGTCAGCCCTGTATTTATATTGTCTGTTAGATATCCACAATAAACAATCAGTCAAAAGTTAGTTGACACTACTTAAATATGAAGATGACAAGATAAGCCAAGACTGCGTTGTTTACTGTGTTTGGGGGTTCGGCAAAATTGACACACCAAAAGTTCCTCACAGGAGCTTTAATTTTAAAGTCTTTACCATTGACTGTATATACTATGGACAACTTGGCTCCGCCTTCTGTCATTATACGAATTAGCCGAATTGCTCTCAGTATTTCCAGGTTTTTTTCCACTTCCTGAAACCACCACTGGCGCAGTAGTGTTGTACGTATTCGGCGGGAGAGTCGCTGTGATGACGCTTGGCTCAAACAGCGTATCCCCCGGGTTAGCTACGCAAATTTCATACACCAATAGGCTGTATCAAGTGTCAATCATTGAAAACATGAACCCCTAATTATTTTTTAAAATGGAGCTGTACAGAAAAAAGAGGACTTGAGCACAAACCAGTCTGACAGTAACTACATGTCAACATTGCAACCAGGGGGGGAAAAAATATGATATGACTTGTATTTAATTTCAAAAGTTTGTCCACAATTCTATAGGGATTGTTGGAGGAGGCGGGATTTATGACCTATACTGCAGCCTGTCACCAGAGGGTGCTGTTCTAGGGTGGCTTCACCCAGTGAGGAGGCAGACGACGTCCATTCTATATACAGTCTATGGTTATTATGTCAAAATTCACTATGGTATCACCACTCAGAATGGATTGCCATTGGTATGAGATTTTGACCAATCAGAATCAAATATTCAACACTACTGGTGACTGGTGAGAAAGCGCGGTAGTTACTGTTGCTGATTGGTCAGATTTTTACCCTTTATCTTTGAGGAAACTTAAAAGCCTGAGGGAGACGTTTGATTTCTCAATTTTGATTTTCATATTCCACCTTCATAACTGATGTACATATCCTACCTTTATGAACAAGTTTGTAATTTAGGGCAGCGGTTAAAGGAGCCATTAAAAGAAGAGGCACAAATTAATGAGGTTTTTTTTTACTTTGTTTATTTACTGAAACTTTGTCAATAAAGCTTTAAATCAAATTGGACTGACAATAACATGAGAATGAAATCACTTAAAAGTCTTTATTACTGCCTTCTTTAACAGATTTTTTATCACAAACCCACTGAGCAATAAACGGCTATTAGACCTTTTTTTTTTTTTTTTTTTTTTTAGACCTAATTTCAACCGTCTAGATTCTGTATATTTTTAGACAGAATTTAGATGCACTTTAACCAATTATTCGATAACTATTTATTTGAAAAAGCAATTATGAGTTGCATGACTGATCTCCAAGTACTTACGATAGCCGTTGAGCAATATACAGTGTATATAGATATAGCCCAGATTTAGATTTAGTCTAAACTTGGTCTAAATTTAGACGTCTAAAAAGCTTTCATGGTTGCAGGATCTCCCTGGTTAAAAAATAAATAAATAAATAACGTAGAATAAAAATTTTAAAAAAAATCTAAATGTCCAGCTGAGTATGTCTTTAATACATGTTGGTGTATTTAAATGTTTCCCTCTTATGTTTTCTCCTCTCTTAGATTTACAAACAGAAGTGATAAACCTCTTAAAGTGCCATTTTCAAATGCTGGGATGAGCACACTCGCACTTGGCTGATGTTTTGTTTGTGCCGTCAACTTTTATTTTCCTCTGTTTCAGTCGGTATTTCAATTTCCTTTGTTTATCTGAGCCTCAAAATTTTCTGTGCTCCGTTTCAAAAAGCATCCTATAACCTCATCCAGTACATCATGTTTGAATGCAGCAGGTTTCACCCTCTGTGTTTTGAAAAGAGAGCAGAGATAGGAAAAGGGCAGCCTGCCCAATAGCTGAAATAAAAACCAAAACATTTGCATCATTTTAATTAAAGTGATAACTCCGTCCGCTTTATCAGAAAAGCGGATGCAGATGAAAAATAATGTGACAAAACGTGATAAACGTGTTATCTCAAGCCCTGTTCACAGCAAACGGTAATTGTATTTTATGATTTTGTCCCCGCTGCACAGTCGCGATTCTTCTTCGCAGTGATGGCTTATGTTTCCTAGAAGTGCTCCGAAAAAGCCCCACCAAGAACATTTTTGGATTAGAGTAAAATTGCTGCTGAGACAATCCAGATGAACTGATAGCACGCTCACTCACAGCTACACACTCTCATTCATTCTCTCTCTCTCTCTCTCTCTCTCCCCTTTCTAGCTCTCTGCCAAACATGGGTGTCAGCCAAACGGTGCTATTTGCTGGAGCAGGACTGGCACTTCTCCAGACCATGGGGGTAGCAGGCTTGGCAACGCAGATCACTGATGGACTCGTTGAAGCGGTTGGCCAGCATGGACAGCTTGCTGCCGTGACACAGAGAGCAGGGAGCGCAGCCCGAGCCGCCACAATGCTGGCAGCTGTCGGCCTCCTGGAGACAGAAGAAAAACGCCATCAGAGGAGGGGGAGAGGTGGAGACGGCGTAGGTGAGGAGAGAAGATGAGATGTGAGGTTAGCGAAGGGTTAAAAGGAAGGGAAAGGTTAGGATGGAGAAAAGACTTGAGATGGAGGCACAAAGACTGAGCTGGAGAGGGAAATTAGACGGCAATTACTTAACGATAATGTTAATCTAAATGTCACACTTAACGCCTGACTAACAAACATTTTAAATATTCTGCTTACTGACTTAAAACTGATTAAAATGCATCGCTCACATTTAGCCTATTAACAGCAAACATAACCACAGCTCCAGCCTGCAAACACAAAACAAGCTGTAACCACATGGAGGACTTTTCTCAGTGTTCTCTATAATCAAATCCATTCTCTGAGTAGTTGTGTTACAGCATGTTGCTCAGCTGGTTGGTCATTTTTTTATAAGCAGCTGTTCATTACTGCAGAACTGACAATAACCAGCAGCGGCCTGTAGATGATCATGGAGCGGTGAGGTCTGTGAGGATGTAGAGTGTGATTTCCATCTGTAAATGTCGAGTGGTTTGTTATGCTTTTATTTGTATTTAAAGGGATATTCCGGCGTAAATTTAAGTTATGGTCAAACACACTGTAACACCGAGTTAGATACGCTCTCGAGAGATGAATGTTGCCTACTGCTTTCTTCTCTAGTTATACCAACTTCAGCAACAACCGAACAATAGCAATACACAGCAGTCTACGTCTACATGCGCAAACCTCAACCAAAAAGCCCTGATGAGTCGATCACCAAGTGCATCAGAGTTTTGCAGCTCAAGGAAGAACATTTATGATCATTGCACGCTATGGCAGAAAAACTACAACGTCTGCAGCGCAAAATGATCATGATTATATTATGATGATTATTACTTCATGGAAATGATCCGCTGCACTCGGTGATCGACTCGTCAGGGCTCCCCCACAAATTAGCGACCGCTAGAGGAGAGTGGGTGAGCTGTGTTTAGTCTCTTTGCTAAAGAAATCAGGCAAAGTTAAAAAGATGTTTGATGGCTAGTACTGTGGCTAGGACCCTATATGTACTGTTGATGAAGTTAGGTGCTGTTCTGAGCATTATTTGTGGCTATAGAGTGGCGTTTTGGTTGAGGTTTGCGTGTGGAGACATAAACCGCAGTGTATTGCTATCGTGCGGTCTTTACTAAAGTTGGTATAAATAGAGAAGCGAGCAGTCGGCAACATTTATCTCTCGAGGGGGTGTCTAACTCGGTGTTACACTGTATTTGACCATAACTTAAATTTATGCCAGAATACCCCTTTAAGAAAGGGTTTAATATTCTAAGAACAATTATGAGTTTCAAAGCTATATTGGGTTTTTTTTCCCCAAAAATCTCTAGTTTTCCACCTTAATAAGTGTCTAGATCTTCACTATTTCATTTAAATGAATCCATTCAATACATTCAGTAGTTTAATGCAGGGTTTAATTAAGACATTGCTATTGTGCGATCATTACTAAAGTTGGTATAACTCCTCTGTCCTGTGTTGTTTGGTTCATCCAACCACCATGCACACTTAAGCTGCCTTTCTTCGGTGTCACCTGACCACACACACACTAAAATACTAATGAGAGTGCAGCAGTGTTGCCCCAGCTGGGTTTTCCATGTGAGCTGGTTGAAAACCTTCTGAGTATCACTTAAAGGAAGTTTCAGTATCTCTATGAGCTGTTAATTTGGACTAGCTTGGAACAATTTAAGCTGCACTTGTCTTGAAATACGCCAACTTTAACAAAACAGACAGTTTTTTGTTGCGGGATTATAATTATTTTTGTTTTTTGACAAATTTTTCCTGTTGGTCAAATCTAGAATCCTGCAAGAATCGATCCTGGTGCTCTCATTGGCTGTGTAATGGGCTGACGACAACAACAACAAAACTTGCCAAAAACTGCTTTTCAGGTTTCATTATGGTCCACGATTTATTGCTGCAGGTGTTCAGGTGTTGTATTTTAAAGCAGCGTCAGGTGAGCTTTCTCAGCTGAAGTACGCAAAAGTTGCACACAGGGCTGAAAGTTGGTGCTTTGTCTTACAATTCACTGTTCATTCTCACCTACATTAGTTCAAGCTGCAGGAAGAGGAGGCGATGTTTCCACCCACTACATTGTAATATTCAGCTGTTGTATCACCGGCGAATATCTCGGTGTAGATTGCAGGCTGCATGCACATGATGAGTATAAATCGAAGCCTGAGTTATGTGAAGACGATGAAAAATCAACTACCTTGGATTTTAGGCAACAAAGGCAAAGATGATAAAGAACAGAAACTATAAAAGAGGAGTGAGATTGCCAAATAATGAAAGAAAGCTGAGATGAACTTTTTCTTCTTCTGGAGATGGAGAGAAATGAGAAAATAACGAGTGAGGTGAGAAAAGGATGGAAGGAGTCAGGAGAAGAGAAGAGTAATCAGCCAGGGAGGAGAGAGGGAGGGGATAGGAGCTGGAACTTGGTATCCTTGCAGGCTGGCAAGTGGCAAGCAAATGCTGCAAGGGCAGAGTAAAACTGTGGACTCATCACTATCTGTTCACAGTTGACAGATAACACCAGGACAATGGGATGGTGGTTATTGCAGCGGGTGGGGGCACAAAGAAGGTGGCAGTTACAAGGAAACACAGAGGAGATTGTGGGATGCGAGGAAGAAAAAAACCCCTCTGTGCAAAGGAACAAATTGCAACAATATGGGTGCACAGAAGACCCCGCTGTTATCCTCTTCAAAGCAAAGATAAAGTGGAGAAAGGATGAGTGGAGACGTATGCAGGGGAATAGAGAGGGGTAGAGGGATGGAGGGGAACACGTGGTGAGACTGAGAACACCAGGAAACAGGAACGAGGTGATAAAACACCTACCACACCACTGAGAATAATTTGGCCATGGATCATTACCTTAGTCTCCGAGTCGCTGATCTGTTTCTCTCCCCCGTCCTGTGTATGGAGTACTTTCGCCCTCCTCCTGCTCCCCCTCTCCCTTGCCTTTGGGTATCCCTCTAAGTCCACAGAAGGTACAGTGTGGTGCCGTAACGCTTCAGGGTTCCTCTGCGGTGCTCTGATGATGCGCAGATTGCTGGTGTAGATAATTATCTTGCCAAAATCAAGAACCGAGGACTAAAGAGAAGAGAAAATCCTGCATCAGTTCAAATTAACAGCGTGTGGCACATCTTAACACGAACTACTCTATTTGGCCTTTGCACAGATGTTTTTTTTTTTTTTCTTAAATCCCCGAATCTCAGAAGGGGTTTTGCAGCTCTGCAAAACACAACATGTTGTACAGCTGCTTTCTGTTCTGATGAGCTGCTGGTTGTATATTGTAGGATTTAAGAAATGCAGTTATTCTGGAAATATACTTTAGATCTTTATGGAGGAACCTCTCGATCTTTCAAATGTACATGGGACTGAAGGGGAAGAGGGGCGGAATACTGCAAACCTGAATGTTAGAGGGGTAATGACAGTAATGAATGGCCATAAAAACAGTTAAGGGCCAATTGGTGCATTTATACACAGATCAGGCTCAGATTGATGATGATTTTGCGGCAATATAAACAGCTAATTCAGATTTTCTGATCCCTCAAATTTTTAATTAATCGGATCAAGAAATTTTGCACATGTAAACATGGCGAGTGTGTCGTGAAAGCTAGTAGGTGTCTCAAATGCTGCGTTCCAGTTGTACTCAGAAGTCGGGATTTCCGAGCTCTGAGTCAGACCTCCAACTCGGAAAGTCGGACGATCCTCACCACCCCCAACTAGACGACAACATCATTATCCAAGATGGCAGCGCAGTGCATCAACAGTAAAAAGTAACAGTGAAAGCTCTTGTAAAGTTTTATTTATTAGCACTTCTGTTTTGTTTTTGTGAAATTAAATAAGTGGTATATGTTGTACTGCCCAACGTCTAACTGTGAACACAATGTTATGGTGTTTGTAAGAGTAAAATTCTGTGGTATGCACTGTTGACAACTGGTAAAGCTAGCAGTTGGAGGCTAACAGCGGCTAACAGTTGGAGGCTAACAACATCTGACAACCGCCAACAACAACTGCTAACAACAACTGTAACGGCTTACAGTTGGAGGCCAAAAACAGCTGACAACCGCTAACAACAACTAACAATTGTTTACAACAACTAACAATGGCTAACGAAAGCTGACAACCACCAACAACAACTGACAACAGCTAACAACAACTGACAACCGCTAACAACAACTGACAACCGCTAACAACAGCTGACAACTGTTAACAACAATTGACAACGGCTAACAACAGCTGACAATTGTTAACAACAGCTAACAGTTGGCAGCTAACAACAACTGACAACAGCTTCCAACAACTGACAAATGTTAACAACAGCTAAAAATAGCTGACATTTGTGAAAAAACGGCTAACAACAGCTGAAAACAGCTTTCAACAACTGAAAACCACTAACAACAACTGACAACGGCTAACAAAAGCTAACAACCACTATCGAAGACTGACAATTATTAACAACAACTGTAACGGCTAACAGTAGGCGTCCATCTTGGTTTTCTGACTTGTTTACCGCAACGCCGTCAACTCGGGTGTAACGTCATTCCCAACTCCGACATCGGACTTCCGAGGTAACTGGAATACAGAAAAAATTCCAAAATATCCATCAATCTCAAACACTGTTGCCACGGCAGTGAACTCAGAATGACAAAGGAAGATGTCGTATGATATGTCGTTTTCACTTGTTACTTAAACTGTTTACCTCAGTAAAAACATTTTTTCTTGCAAATAATCAAGTTTTTTTTTCTTTCTCTAACTAGTAGAGTTACATGTCAGTCCAACTTTAATTCATGCAAATTCACAGAAATTCAGTTATACTGTCACTAACTTCTGCTTGAAGTACATCCCCTCATTTTGCAGCTAAAGCGACATTTCTGCTGAGTCACAGATGATGTCCTGGTGTTAATTCTGACATTTCCAAACTTTATTTTCTGGCACAAAAAGTTTCTGTTTTGATACTTTTTGAAATGAGCCAATCACACACTCTTCTTTGTGAAATCTTCCTTATTATAAAACACAGGGATATAGCATTTTAGTCATGTAGGGGAGAAACTCATTAGACAGCCGCTGCGCCCTCGTTGACCACTGTGCGTTGCTTTCATTAAAGGTCCAAAAAGGATAAACTTAATTCAGATTGCTGTTTTTCACTGATTAATGTGATAAATACTGGCCTCGGTCACCAGAGCAGAGCATGCCTTTGTTTAGAGGATAAAAGAATGAAACTGACACTAAGCCAGCAGGCGATGTAGCTGACCTCCCTCTCAGCCCACTGCACTAATGAAGCCACTGTCACAGCAGCTCAGTAACATCGCCTTTTTTTCCTGTCAGATTAACTAGTTTGTTGCTGTCATTGTTCCTCTTTAATTGTTGTACAGTTTGTACCGAACAGCATGTAGCTAATTCTATGATCACCCAAGGATGGTCTTATTTAAGTCTTGATTGCTTGTTTTGCTCTAAAGATGTAGGAATTAATTACCGAAATGCATTCTGTTGGCTGGTAATCCAGCATGTGTTTATTTTGGCATGTCTCCTTTTAGCATATGTAGGCTTGCAATGTTCTGCTGGGTATGCCAACCCTTCCAAAATAGCAGTTCCCTTTATGTAAGTCTATCCAAAGAGTGATTGCAGTAATCAAGCTCAATTTAATGGATTTGGAGACGCACGAATCAAACAAAATCATGAAAATATTAAACAGATTCTAAGCATCTTAGCCATTAATGTGTACGGCTGTAAACCGATTGTGTTATTTCTATAACTGGCATTTGACCATTGAATTTTATTATGTATAATTGCAATTATATTTTTGTCCTGGTCCATTTAAGTATTGTTTTTTTTCTATTATTGTTGCTTTTATTATATTTTAATGTGTAGTGAAGTACTTTGAGAGCTAAAAAAAGTGATAAATTTAATCAACTTTACTCTTAAACGCGTGCATGCAAGTATCTAAAAAAATTTGATTCAATGTTTTAAACTGCTACCCAACTATTTCACATCACATCCAATTATGTGCAGAGATGGGCATTTTATTTTCATCCATCAAAAATCGTATTATTTTCCGATTCCAGTCCATTTAGGCGGCACCGGGAAATGAATTAAGACATTAAGACAGATCCAAGTACTTAACATTCTGACAGACAAATGGCTCTGCTGGTGAGAGATCCAATCTAAGTTGATGTTGATTAATATCAAAATGTAATGAAATCAAAACCATGCAAGCAGCGTTACTTACTGTGCCATCTCCCTCTGTATCCTCAGTCTGGCCTGCAGACGGTTTGTACCCACTCATTCCTCTGTACACATTTATTCTCTGGGCAATGAGTCCTGTGGGAGGACAGACACCTGGGTACAACATAAAGCATGTTGTCAGTGGAACTTGCAGACTACAGAGAAACAAAGATCTTGTAAAAATGTGCTTACAAGTCATGTACTTTGGGATGATGGTCTACAATGACAAAAAACACCTATGTTATGCTAGCTTTTTCAGCTAAGATGATAGGCTTACCAAGTCCTCTATTTACATCATGCTTGTTTGACTCATGTTTTGAAGAAGGCCAAGTTGTCCATTTTCAAAATCACATTTTTATAACATAGATTGACCATACGTCCTCTTATACCCGGACATGTCCTTTTTTGGGGGGCTATCCGGCCTTGTCCGTGGGATTTTATAAAATCCTTTAAATGTGCGAGGTTTTGAACGGAAGTTTAGAGTTTGTGACGTGTGAGTAAAAAACATTCAACCCAACCCAAAAAACTCTCAAAATTTACTATGCACGACTGTGCGACTCCAATCCTGTGTAGTTGTGTTCTCTTTTTGGGGATTCAGAATATGGACACCTTATATAACATGGTTTCTGGTAAACCAGTGCAGGAAAACCTATGGCTACTTTTAATTTAACCTTCTTACAGCAGGTCAAATATTAGCCAGCTAAGAACGAGAGCCTCTTCAGTTACAGTTGGAGGTTAGCGATGTGAACTTTGGAGATGGCAGGGTTAGCCCCTCTTAATTCTCTTTGTGAAAAGCTTTGCCAAGAAAGGTTTGCTTGTTATAGCTCCAGCTTTCCTTAACATAGCGTATTTTACAGACAATGAGGCGCACTTAAAATCCTTAGATTTCATCAAAAATTGGCAGTGCGCCTTATAATCCAGCGCGCCTTCTGTATGATTACTTGTTGTGCTTACTGACTGATTTTTTGTGGTACAATGCACCCAAAAATCTGTTGAAATGTGTATACATACACAACGTACATGTACGACTTTCGTAAGCAACGAAGCCACTCCGCTTAATGGATATTCAGAGCATTTCGGTACGCTGTGTCACTACCTAATTGGCCCCGTAACAGGACCCCTGAGCAGTCTACAACACTGCCTGACTGTTACGTCTGAACTAAAAGTGCATTCATGTAGGGCAGCCCGGGCCCAGAGTATGCGCTAGCAACAAAAAACAATCAATGCGCCAATGCGCTTTACAATCTGGTGCATCTTATGTGTGAACATATACACATACAGTATATGCAGTTTTAGCATGCTCACGGCCTGTCTGAGCATCTCAGCCATATAGCCTACTGGGGTGAAGAATTACAGTGATTGAAATGCAATTGTAAGGCCAGAGGAAGCAGCCCTATCTAACATTTTTATGTGTGGAGAAAATAGCTTTTAAACAGCTTAATGAGAGTAATAATATATTTAAATAAAGAAAGTTCTTGTGCCGTTAGTCCTTAGGTGTCCAAGTGAGTTTATTACTATGACAGATAAATAAAGTTTAGTGCAGCCTAAATTGAAACCAAGAGGAGCAGACTACAAATACAACTCTTAGCATTAACATACAGTTAGTGATACAGTAGATTACCAGATAGATTCTCACTCACCCTCTTGGTCACCATGAGTCTCCTCAAAGCCACAGAGCTGCTCCATCTCCAGGTGACTGGGTGGGATCTTGCGGTGAACAAAGCTGTGAGGGTATTTCTCCTCTGGACTGTCCAGCTCCTGACCATCTTCATAGACATGCTTCAGCACCCGACCGCTGTATGACGACGCCAGCTTGAATCTCACCTGTGGTTTTGAGTCAAAGGTGACACCTTTTTACTCGCTGTTTGAATGCACTTGAACGCTGACTGCTGTATGACTAAAATCCAGAGTAGAAAATTAGAATATAAGTGGAGAAAGAAAAACGCTTTTGGATCAGGCGGATTCAAACACTGTCAGCATTTCAATATGCAAGTTAACATCCTGTACAAGTCCTTCTGTCGGTTTGACGACGTCAGACACGCCGGCTTCATCGATTGGTGATACAATGTGAGGAAACATGACTTTGATGTTAAGACAACCGTCTACAAGACCCACAGATAGAAAGATCAGTTATGACCTCAATATGTCTTTTTTTTATCTCAGCGCTGTACAGTCATGAAAACACTTGAAAATCCATCCAAGTAAACAACTCACCTTTCTGGGCTTGGTGCCTTCATAGCGCTGGTTCAGTTTTCTCTGGAGCTCCTCCATGGTGGCTGATTGAGAACAGGGACGCAGGGAGGGGTCAGTCCATCCAAGGAACTTCTCACCTGGGGCGAATCGACATCAGCTTGACACCGAGGGTTTGCTGGTGTGATTAAAAGGACGAAGTGGCGAATGGATGAAGAAAGAATGTATTGGTATGCAGCTAGATGTAAGCACAGGGTATGAGAGCACGACTGAAGAGCTGTGTGTAAGAGGTGGGTGGATGAGTAGTTGAGATAAAGCTCTCTCTGTGTGTCCTGCCTCCAGTGTTTGACTGCACCTGCTGTTTTTTTAGGGACCACCTTTCTAGCTCTCCATGCTAAATAATTCACATCCAGATCGAGTGTACAAAAGCGTGGTTGAGAAACCAGAAGCTCTGTCATCAAATAATTATGATCACCAGAATAGAAGGTAGTTGGAGCTTATGTGTGGTGCTGTGTGTGTTTAAGGGCGGGGAAGAAAAGAGTGAGGCAGAGAGGGAGTTGTGCGATAGTTGTAAGAGTGGCTGTCGTTGGACTGGAGCCCAGCACATCAGTGTTTCAAAGTAAACACGATATTTGATGTCTGTTACTATCTCGCTGAATACTTTTGCCTTCACAGAGAGTTGTATGACACTGTAAAAGCCTCTTTGAGAGTGTGTGGTTGAATAGATGTGTCCATATGTAATTTAGTACCGGTAAGTGGATGAGCAAAGTCTGTAATTTCCAATTGCAAATACCAAAGTGCTGCATCTCATCTCTGTGGGCATATCCCACTCTACATAATACGGCCTGTGGAAATTCATAAAAACAGAACATCCGTATCCAGTAGATTTCCTCCATAGATGTGCATTCAGAAAACTTGAGGACATACCACACAAAGTTTAAACCTTTTACAGAATAAAATCTAAAAGCAGTTTGTATAGAGCGCAACCTCTGGCTGCTCCCTCTGTTTGTTATAGTCCAAAGACGTACGATGTAGACATACAGTACGTCACCCTGTATGACGCATGTCTTTGTCATACGGGGTGGTGGGAGATGAGCGAGTGCTGTTTTTAAGGCTGGGAAAGATGCTTAAAGGGATGTTCCAGCGTAAAATAAATTTTGGGTCAAACACACAGTAACACCAAGTTAGACACCCCCCTTGAGAGATGAATGTTGCAGACTGCTTGCTTCTCTAGTTTTATAACTTTAGTAACGACGGCATGATAACAATACACAGCGGTCTGAGGAGCCATACACAAACCTCAACCAAAACGCCACAAAACGACAGACCTCAGGCCAGTCTATTACAGACTACAGTGGTGTGACGCAGCTCAAGGAAGAACATTTATGATATGAGGTCTCGCTACAAACAAGGTGCTGCTGGAAGAGGGCAGGTGTGTTGTGTTTAGTCTCTTTGCTAAAGAAATTAGTCAAAGTTAAAAAGATGTTTGGTGGCTAGTACTATAGCTGGGACCCTATATGTACTGTAGATGAAGTTAGGTGCTGTTCTGTCCTTCTGAGAAAGTAGCCAGAACCCTGAATTATCAAAACCGTCCTGCGCAAAAACTGGCAGTGTATAAGCGGCAAGTGCTCATGACCAGAATACCAGAATTAGTGTAGCTGACCGCGCCTCTGAACTACGCAGCACATCATGTCAGTATGTGTGTTTGTCTTAAGATAGAGAGAGGATCGAGTCGAAAGTCCCGCTTGTCGCAGAGGAGCTGAAAGATACAGTTTTCTTTAAAGCAATGAAACAATTGCAAGCTTTAGAGTCTGAAATTGTGCGAATTATATTTTATTGGTCGTTTTGATCAAAATAAAAATTTAATTCATAATCTACATCTTAAGTTTCTGGGTTAGGATCTCTTTGGCAGGGCAGGGCACCAAATACACTATCGGGGAAACACTGGAATGTGTCTATGCAAGTAGACCCCTTTAGGGTCTAAATATAAGTTAAATCATCTGGGTACCTCTCATAGTAGATCTCAGGTTCAAGTCTGACAGACATTTTCATAGACACCTCAAATAACAGAGAAGTCTTCTGTTGCAGATTACTCTCATCTGAAATGCTAGAGGCACACAAACCAAATCGAACACCGCCCAAGTCTTAAAGATAACAGATTAAAACATAAAATAGTTTGTCCATGACATTTAAAATGTGGATCTGCTCCTCTGTTGTACCAAATAGAGTAATACAGCAGAACAGATATTTACAACTGGTTCCAAAGGTTGAGGAGAGTAGAATAAGAGATAAAATAATTTACATTAAAGAAAATCTGCTTATTTCCCATCTTGATCCCACACTGCATTAACTTGAAGTAATGGGTCACACAATTAGTGCTTTAACTAAATTACCATATGCTAAGTGTTTCCTATCTTGTGTAATGGCTCCAATTATTTGGTAAATTACATATTCTAATTTTGTATTTAACTCCCAATTACCTGTAACTTAGTGTGACTAATCGTAAAGGTTACCATTCATTAGACATGGAGTAAAGACTCATGGGTTTGGTTCAGGAATAGAGAGTCTTTATCATGACCAGAACTGAGAATTAAGCGAACGTGAAGCTTTAATAGCCTGGGTGGGAGCAGTACTTCTTTTTCTGTATTCTCGACCAAAATTTGACTGTTGCGATTCGTCCTCCTAGAAGCTCTGATGTTGGCTCTGTCTGAACTCTGAACTGTTGTTAAAAGGGGGAAAAAAACGAGAGGGGTCTGGCTGCAAACCTCCACTGTCAGGACCCGAGGTGACATTTTTTTCTCACACGCTCCAGTTAGTTTGAAGTGGTCATCCTGTTTGGTATTTTGTCTTTGTTGAACACATGAATGCACACACACTCAAAAAAAATCAGATTAGAATTATATTCATGAAGCCCCCCAAAATAAAACTGCCGGTATGTTGGCTTTTGTTTTGAAAGGTTTTGAATCAACTTCTTACGTAAAAAAAAAAAAAAAGAGACAAAAAAAAAAAATTCTCCTGGTATATTTCCTTTATTTTGAAAGGCTTCAAACTACTTCCAAAGTAAAAATAAATAAATTAATTAATTAATTAATTAATTAATTAAAATAAATAAATAAATAACATACTCCCAGTATATTCACTTTTATTTTGAAATGCTTTGAATCAACTTCTTATTTAAGAAAACTTTTTTTTTTTAAATGTACTCCTAGTATATTCACTTTTATTTTGAAAGGCTTCGAATCAACTTCTGATGTAAAAATATTAAATAAAATAAATAAATAAATAAGAAAACGTACTCCCAGTATTTTCATTTTTATTTTGAAAGGCTCTGAATCAACTTCTTACTTAAGATTTTTTTTTTTTTTTTAAACGTTCTTCAGGTATATTTGTTTTTATTTTGAAAGGCTTCGAATCAACTTCTGATGTAAAAATGTTAAATTAAATAAATAAATAAATAAGAAAACGTACTCCCAGTATATTCATTTTTATTTTGAAAGGCTCTGAATCAACTTCTTACTTAAGATTTTTTTTTTTTTTTTTTTAAACGTTCTTCAGGTATATTTGTTTTTATTTTGAAAGGCTTCGAATCAACTTCTGATGTAAAATTAAAAAGAAAAAAAAAAGTACTCCTGGTATATTTGCTTTTGTTTTGAAAGGCTATGAAACAACTTCTTGTGTTAAATAAATAAATAAAATAAATAATGTTCACCCGGTATATTCGCTTTCATTTTGAATCAAATCAACTTCTGGTTCACTCAGTGGAGGTCTGCAGTCAGAGTGTCTTGAAATAAAAAAAACCCGATAAGAATCACTGATAAGGAATATATAACATGAAACAGCTAAATGAACTCAGCCCTTCTCTATTTCCCTGTAGATGAGTTTTCTAACTGAGGCGTGTCTAAAAGTGCCAATATCATATGTAACTCTCATTCTCACACGTTCTGAATCTCCTTTTTACTGGAGTAATAAAATACCAAACCTGAAATCCTTTTTTATTAATAAAGCACTTAATATTTCTCCAGGGTTAAACAAAAGAGGTAGCGGCATAATCAGGCATCTGTTGACCAAATGTGTGCTGATCAAAGCCTTTAATTTTTAATAATGAGCTGTAAATCAGTATAATTAAAATGGTTTCTACAGAGAATACATCCAAATGGTCCATGAAAATGTTTTCGTCTTTATTCTCTTACTCCTCACTGAATGCTTGACACATTTTTGAATTAGGTATCTATTATCTCTTTATGACCTTTAAATACTTTCCACTGACACGCTCTCTGTTTGGAAGAGTGTTTCATTCAGTGTGAAGTGGGACAACGCTGATAAAGCATCTCTTCAAAGCAAAAACTTAAACAAAATGGCCAAGTGACAAAAAAGGGGAGTGCTCGGTTATCTTTACACGAAATGGAGTGAGTTTTAATACCGGAACTTAAGAAAATGTTGTCATTTTAATTATCCAATCAAATAAAAGTATCTCTCACATCTCTAATTTTGTTTCCTGTCAGGACCAGAGCCGCCTGTCCGACCCTGATTGAGGTTAATAGGGTTTGATTCATGCTGTCAGTATCTTTTTGAGAAACACGTTATCAAGATTTCAGTCGCATGAGTGGAAGTACTAAAACTGGAGCCTGCATAACAGTGAAGGGTCACGATCAGGCATTATGTGTTTTTGCTCGTGTATGTGTGTGTCACCTAGTTCTGCACTCCACTCTATACATCCTCCATTTTTTCATCATCTGCCCCTTAAAGTCTCATTCCGATCATTTTTTTTACTACTTAAAGTGTTCTCAGTGGTCTTTAAATTGTGGTTATGAAGTTTTCAGCCAAAATCACGTTACCTGTGTCATTTTCAAGGGCTTTTCTTCTGCAGAGCTCCAGTAGCTCATTAGTAATTCACCTCTGAGTCGTGGGCGGAGACAGTGTTTCTCTGCTCACTCCTCTTTACACTAGCTTGCAGCCTAATAGGGCACTCACAATAAGCGTGAGTAAAATCATCTACTCACTTAATTTGCACAAATCTAGATGCGTGAACGAATAGTATTTACTCACTCCATTTGCGCGTCAATGGTAATCTTTAGCTTGTAGCCTAACATTGCCGGTGTAGTTATGGTGACCTTAACGTCCTCTTTTACCCGGACATGTCCTCTTTTTTGGGGGGGCTGTCCAGCTTTGTACAGGGAAGTTTATAAAATCCTTTAAATGCCCATGGTTTTGTAAAGAACTCCGTGACTCCGCCCCCGGGTAGTCGTGTCCTCTTTTTGCAAAGTCAGAATATGGTCACCCTAGGTGTAGCAGAAGTGGCAGGTAACATAGAAGCTATTCATCTCTCAGACAGTATTGTCTTTGGGGACGTGATGAAATTTAATATCATTATTTCTTTCTTACATACTTTCTTACGAGCATTGCAATCCGCTAACGCACACGCTTGTTCTGCGATCGTTCTCTCTACTCTTCCGAATCAGGCCTGCATAGCGAGGCTCTGGATGCTGAGCTTAGATTTGCTATAGAAAATTTTACTCTATCTGAACCATAGACTGTGTATAGAATGAACGCCGTCTGCCTCCTTGCTTGGTGAAGCCCCCTCGAGAACAGCACCCTCTGGTGTCGGGCTGCAGTATAGATCATAAATCCCGCCTCCTCCAGCAATCCCTATGGAGCTGCGGACAAACTTTAGAAATTAATTACACAGAATGTTCAGAATATTCAGAAATGCAATTTCACACTTACTTTTCTCATGATATATCCTGTAGCATCATAAAAATGCCATATGAACATGTAGACAACAAGAAAAACCTGATTTTCATCGCAATGAGCCTTTAAATGCACGCTCACAGCAGTCGGCTTATTCTATTTGTAGACTGTTGCAGGTATCATTATTCACATTATGAAAGCGCTGATAGCTGAAGCAACTCTTCCTGCATCTTCGAGGAGCAGTTTTAATCTGACAAATGGATGGCATTAACCTCATGCATGTCAGGATCAATCTTACAATTATCGTTACAGATGACTGATGCTAAGCTGGGAGTGAATGAACGCTTTAGAGAGAGGGGGTGAGAGAGTGCTGCCACTAAACTCTCTCTTGTCTCCCCCTCCGACCGGCTTAATCAGATCGCAGAACAAGCAAGTACGGTCACCCAGGCGGGAAATTGTTTTGGGTGCGTCGCTGTGAAGGAATCGTTTAATGTGCCAAGATTCTTGCTGCTTTCGGTTTAAATGATTGCCACAGTAATTCTGTCTCCCTGTGTCTTCACATTAACAGCTCATGTAAATCCTATTATCCCCATTACCCTCCATAAATACATACAATATGAGCTACATGGCTCAGGTACAGTACATGTTCTCTGCCAGGTATATAGATCTTCATCCAACGCATTTCCACAGAGATATAATAGTTTTGGTTTCACTCTGCTTGTGATAATGCGTGTGGACCTGAGTGTGCAGTACAAGCCTCATTGAGCCACAAATGTAGACCCAAATGGAAGATCCCCCCATGACGCAGCATCTGTCTGCTAAGTGTTGTGCATAAATTAGAGGTGAAACTTTATCTTGTGCAAATCCGTGAAGCAGGTGTGAGCGTGATGAGAGCAGGAAACAGTTTAAATCTTTTTTATTCACTCCTGATTATTAGATGGATTCGATTTTATAGTCTCAGTTTTTGACAGTCATCAGCCATTCTTCATTTAGATTATAAAGTCCCAGGGTTCCTGCAGATCCTAAAAATCTCAAAAGCTAATCTCATATATTCTGTACGGGAAACCCTGCAGTTGATGTTGAAAAGACGAGGCTGAGCTGCCAACATCTTCACCACCCGCTCCTCTCTCTGGACCGTCTGCTTTCGACGTTTTATCGCCAGTAATTCCTCATACATTCTTATTCTTCTTGTTTTGACTGTCAGATTTCGTTTTCCGCTTTTGTTAGAGCTCATAAGATTGCTGTTTGTGTTACGCCACTGCTTCTTGTGATAATATCAAACATGTTTAAGATGAAACAGAGCAGATTACCATCTTAAATTTAATGACTGAGATGACGGGAGTGTGCTGTGACTCCGATAAAACTCCTAGATTTACTTAAGACTTTTAGTTTTTAGTCTGGGACTGTAAAAATGGTTTGGTGAGACACACGAGGTTTAATACAAGAGGTAATGAGGGTGATGAGAAACAGGTGGGAAGACACAATCAGGCAGCAGGTGTGATGAGACAGGGGGCAGGGCAGACCAGACAGGAATAAAACTAGAGGACAGAGACAAGGGTTAGTAAACTACAAACTAAAACAGGAAGGACATTACATGAAACAAAACATGAATGTGCCAAGATAAAGGAAACTTGACCGACATGACACATATAGAAAAATTCTCGGGAGCTCAGCCTCCATCTAAGACTTTCTTAAGTTTAAAATCTTACTTTTAAGATTCCTTAAGATTCCTGAGTGCATGATTACACTAATGAATTCATTATTTCTCCTTAAAGAATGAGTCTGAATCTTGTCATTTTCTGTCTTTAATTTGCTTTTAGAGGTGGGGTAGGCAGGATCTGAAGAAGTGCCATTTTTTTGGTAGAAATCTTGAATGTAAACTCTACCCCTACCAGCCAGTTTTCCCCTCAGCTCCTCCTCTCCCCTCCCTCTCTGCTCCAGCAAGCCCCGCCCACAAACAGACGCTCCTGCTCGCTAGTATCGTTCCAGTTAAATTCAGATATAATGCAGATAAATACTTCAGATAATTACAAATGGGTCCCAGTAAACGTGAAAGTAAAAAGCACTGGTGCTACTGTAGATGCCAACAGACTACCAGCAAACACAATGTTTGCAGGACTTCTACAACTAGGATAAAGTGACATAGTCCAGGACAAGAGGTCAACAGTTTAGTGGCGCTACAACATGCAGCAGGTCCCGTTTGACAACAAGCACTTCTGTTACAGACACTTGGCTTACTTTGTTGAAGCGGTTTACCTGTCCAGCAGAAAGGCTACAGGGTCTGCAAGACCTCGAAGCGTCCCCCATCATTGTTGACCCAGCTTTTCAGCTCTTGTCCGGTCTACCTCTTTTTTAAGCGCCCGTTATTCCACCAGAGTCCCTTGTATTTACTTTGTTTTCTTGCTTGTGTTGGCAGTCGTGGCCAAAGGAGGATTCAGACAATTTTCTGAACTTTCTGGTTGGTTTCTACTGTCCGATATTGTTGCACGCTAACTTTGTTTGGGCTCGCTAACGACACGGGGGAGCAGCGTCCGCCTCACAACCAATCAGGTTGGGGGAGTTGGAGGATGGCTTTGTTTACAGTCAGAAATAGCGGGCCGCTTAAAAATGTTAACTTCACAGACATAAGAGAGCACAGCGATATTGTTATATTACCAAATGTCATCAATAGCTAATAGATACTGTCTGATATTAAAAGCTTTTTTGTATCTTATACAATGCTTTCTTCTGTTTTTTATTTTAAATAGGCCAGCTGATCCAGTTTACTCTGACTGAGCATCATTCTACTCTCTACTCCAATTATTATTTCTGCTCTACATAAACAGTGATTTTCAGGCGCGGTCTCTGAGAAATCAGCTGTTCCATGAGCTGGTTTTACCCATCCAGTCACATCCGCATTGTTAGCCCCCCCATTTGTCTGCTCCCTCTTTCAATACGAGTCTTTTTCTGCCTCTTTGCTGCTGTTATTCACGCCTTTTCACTTTTCTCATCACCACAGAATTGCAGCCATCATCTGTCTGGTCTGAGCAAAGTCCTCAACCACTGATATCTGGACTCCAGGAGAGAATTTGTCCCACTGCTGCTCAGGGCAGACATCTCCATCTTTTGTACCACTCCACATTCAATGTTCCCATCCTCAGATGTGACAGAAAATTTCAATCCATTTGCTGATAAAAGCAGACCCTCCCTCCCACAATCGAGAGCCACAATCACCACAAGCCGCTGTTTATTTATAGAAACAGACGATTTTGAAGTCGGATTACTCTCCAGATAGTCTAAATGTACTCAAAAGAGATGTGCACACCTCACTCTGTGAGTCTCGCTGAGAGCCTGAGGGCTGCATACATCCCCGCTGCTCATATCTATAATGCACCCTAAGATATAACCTCCCCTACGCTTTGAATCCTCACCTCGCGTCTGAAACACAAACAGCGAGGTGAAACAGGCGCTTTTAAAAGGTATGTACTCATTATTTTGCCGGTGCTATTTTTGACGCTCTGTCAAGGGGAATAGTATTGACTCACTCTCATATCAGTGGGACCTATTTTAAGGCAACAGTGGAAGAGATGAGTCAGAAACAATGGCTTAAATTTCCCCAATTGCAGTCGTTCACCTAAAGTCATAAGAGAGCCAAATTTAGGGGGAAGGTGAAATCACATTGATTGTCGTACAGGAAGTCCTGTAATGATAATCCCCTCCAGTCTGCAGATTTTAGCCAGGAGGTAATGATCTCCCTTTGCCAAAATAAGAGACGAGAGCTTTACCATGTAAATTGGAAACCACTATTTTTCTGCTGCTGCACCCTCTCTTACTTTTTCCAACCCAAACTCAGACGGTACTGTTTGACTCTCTCTCTCTCTGCCCTAAGGTGGCTGTCAGGGAGGATGGGGGAGGAGTGTGAGACAAAGATGAGGGGGAGAAGATGGAGATGAAATGAAGGAGAAAGTGATAGTTTGGAATTAGAGATGGATGGGACTATGAGGGAGACATGCAGGAGGAGCACGAAAGACTGTATTTTTCTCCAGTCACGTCTGCAGACGATGAAGGTCACCGACAAAAATAATCCTGAGACATTTGGCGAAGGCTAATCTGACATAAAACCCTTCTCACTAAAGTTTCATTACATCTGTTATTGCTCAAATATCCTATTGAACGGCTAATAAGCTTTTTCACAGATGGGGCTCTAAATGCTCATGGTTTTGGTTCGGTCAAACTGAGAGACAAAGAGACGCTCTTATGGTTCGAAAGAGTGCAGGGTCATTGTCACACGACTTTGTCGTTTAGGAATAAAAGGATTTGGTGAACGTTTCTTTTTCTTCAGGGAAAATCATAATTATCCTCTATGAATTATACTGATGCTGATTAAACCTGAGCAGTATGTAGTGTTGTGTCGTTCATGAACGTTTTACAAGATACAAGATGCTTTATTGTCATTGCACTTTGGACTTTGCACTCGAAGGCGTTGGGTGGGGGAGAGGTGAGTGTGTGCGTATGTGCATGTGTGTGAAGGTTCATGGATGCGTCTGTGCGTAGGCCCAGGAGGTCACTCCGTCCATCGCCACAATCTTGGTGACCTTGATTTGGTTCCAGACGAAGTCAACAATCTGCAGGTGTCCATGAAGGAGGGCGTTAGGGAGGAAAGTTCAGAGCGTCGAATTGCTGAGATCTCCTGGAGGAGTTGTGCCAGCGTTGACCTTGGCCAAGGCCGATACCGTGGGAGCTGAATCGTAGATTCGCCTCCAAATGTTTCGTAATTTCGCATCATATATTTGCGTCAGTCCCAGTGTATAAGGACCTTTACTCGTAAGAGGACGGGGCTCCGAAGCACTGACTGATTCGGTGAACGAATCTTTTGAACGAATCGTTTTAATGAACGGATTCTAAAGATTCAGTACAGTCAAAAGAACTGTTCCTTCCATCACTAACAGCATGACCTCTGTATTAGGTTTTAATGACTTCTTCTAAAACACAAAAGAAAAAAAAACAGATACTCAACATTTATATTAATGTGCCAGCTGCCAAAAACACTCCTGCCAGATGTGACTGTTTGAGTTTCTTCAATATAACACATACATTTCTTTGCCCACCATTAGAGGCATCTCTCTGGATAGTAATTAAATATTAATGACTTAATTTACACATTTATCAAAGACAAAAAAAACTCGGAAACTGCAGACTGTAAGTTTTCCAAGTTTACAAAGGGGAATTAAATGGTGACACAGCAGAAACCATCAACACTGTATTCGATTAGACTGTCATTAAAAAAATCAGCTCCGCAGCAGCAACGTTTTAAATAGAACTTCTAATGCGTTTAAACTTCATTATCTTAATTACAGTGTCTGTCAAATGATAGATGTTGCAAGTCACAGTCAAGTTAATATTTAATACTTCACTGGGAATGATTTTCTATCTCATATTAATAAGCCATGCAGTGGTGGCTCCTATGAAATCTTAAAGCCGTGCAGAAACTCGAGGACTCCTCGTGTGACCTTCTCTCCAAACCGTTCTCACCTCATTTCTCAGAATAAATAAAATAACATAAAAAGTGCCGCAAAAAATAAAAAATAAGCACAATTTTCTCCACCCACTGGATCTTCAGCTAAGGTGAGATTCAGGACAGCGTTGGAGGAGTCAGTTAAAGTAAACTTTTGTTGCACGATCAATGTGTATTTTTCTAAACGCCATTTAAAATAGGTTGTTAATAAAGCGAGTCCCTCAAATCCACTGGTAGTGATCTGAGTGGGTACACACTAAATCTTAAAGGTCTCATGTTAAAACTTTTAGTGTTTGAATATTTGTTTTTAACAGATTTTTAAGGATATATTTAAAATGTACCTGTTAATTATTATATAATGTTCTTACATAAAAATTAGAGTTTTATCACCTTTTTTTTTTTTTCGGCCCTCTTAAAATGTGGCCTCTCACTAAAACTGGAGCCCGCTGGTAAAGAGATATGAGCAGACACAAGTTTGAGAAAAGAAGTCTCTGCAAATGTTTGTGCTACTTTTAAAGCCAATATAGATCAACAAAGAACATTTGTAAAGACTGTAAAGGAATCTGTACATACATTTAGGAAAGCTAATGGATGCCAATGTTTTTGGGGAGATAATGAAAGTTAATATCATAATTAGCTTTCTTTCAAGCATGACAATCCGCTAACGCACACGCTTGTTCCGCGATCGTCCTATCTACTTCTCTGAGTCTGGCCCTCCTCCAGGGGCGGAGCTTGGATTTGTGATGTAGGAAATCTCACTGTGTCTGAACCTGCCGTTTGGGTCTGCCAGAGATTCACAGCGAAATGCAAATTCAAGCTTATTTTTCTCATGATATGTCCTGTAGCATCAGAAAAATGTCGTATGAACGTACAAAAAAACATGATTTTCATCAGAGCGGGTCTTTAACTCTTTTTTCGTGTCTGATTAACATGCACATTTGTGATACGATGATTTGAAACATTGAAAATAATCGACAGAGCTCATTACAGTAAACAATCAACAGCTGCGTTTTATCATCACAGACCAGTTACATCTACACAAACACGCTTTTTAAGCAAATAATTATCAAGTACATGTTTTTTTTTTACTATTTATCCTTTTATTTGCAACTGCAACCAAGCCGTGTTGATTACACACCGCTTCTTGATTAGCATGGCTGCTACAAGGAGAGCATGTTTTTTTATGGGATTGTTTAATCTTACAAAATGCAATCAAGAGGTCACTCGGTAAGGACCCAAATGACTAATAATTATAATATTCTCGAGCCTTCCAGTCTTTTGTGCAGACAGTAATTCTCTGTAAAGTGTCTGTTCTCACACAGAGGGACTCTTCCTGAAGTTTAGGCTTGTGTGTTTGTGTGTTTGGAAAAGTTGATTCAGTTAAAGTTTGTCACTACAGATTAAGAAGCTGAAACTCTTCACATTCTTCCACAGGCGCCTCCTCCTCCACACTGTTATCCAAAGTAAAACTACATAGACAGTAAAGGTCAAAGCAGAAAATTAATCACTTCTTCTTGAGTTAAAACCTGGACATGGTTTTGTAGAAGCTGCTGCTTGTTAACTTCAACAGATTGGTCAATAGATCACTTTTGGCCGAAATTGACGAAACATAAAATGTACACACAAAAAATAAATAAATAAATGTAAATAAATATAAAAGTTGAATAATAAAAAATAAAAATAATTAAAACACAAATAAAAATAATTAATAAAAATTAAATAATAACAAATTATAAAATAATACAAATTAAATAATACAAGAATAATTAAATAATACAAAATTATAAAATAATACAAATTAAATAATAAAGGAATAATTAAATAACACAAAATTATAAAATAAATACATAAATATATATAAAAAAATTAATAATACAAAAAATCTAATTAAAACAATAAATAAAAAAAATAAAATGAAATAAAATAAAAAGGGAGACTTAGGGGTAAGTTTTCCTAAAATGGGCTGCTCTGGTCCTGTGATGATCATCGCATATACATCTGCTGGTATATTCTTGGTTACCAGGGTGACCAGTCCTGCGCCATCAAGCAATTTGATTGGCGTAGCAACACCATCATCCTGCAAAAAATGCCAGTTGTAATTTCTTTCCTACAGTTCTCACAAAGTCTGGTATCGGGATCTTCTTTTGTAGCTATACTTAATTTGATGTTCCGAGGAGGTCATAAACTCACCTACTTAATCTCCAAACAATACTTACCAGCTAACCATCAGATTTAATTTACAGTCTGGACCGTTACAGTCAATCTATCTTTTTGTAGCCACTCCAAAATTTATAGAAATCCTGTGAATTTGTCAAGCTAACAGACAACAGAGAAAAAGGTCAATCTCCTGAAACGAGGAGAAATGAATTGGTCAGATTGTGTTGTATCGTACAGCTTGTGTTTTTGTTCAGAGTGAGAGGAAGGTAAAAAATAACAATGAGGAGAAAACCCTCTTAGAGATACCAGCGTATCTATATTTTAACTCTAACCGCTAAATTACAACACCAGAGCCACCCACACAGAGCAGCAATAACTTAAAGAAGATAGAGGAAAAAATGGTGGACTCAGCAGAAACGGCTACAAAGACCAGATAATGAGAATCAAACTCCGACCCCAGCAAAAGCATGTGTATAGTCTTTATTTTATCACTGGGCAAGCAAAACCTTTGGCTTCAGTGCTAAAGCCACCAAAAACCCTCATAAACCAGTCTGAGGATCTACTGCACAGGAATAATGTTTCGTGAACGGGTAGCTGTACAAAAGAGGATCCTAACAGCGTGAGACAAAGCCCAACATCCAACCCAATGAGGAGGTCTATCTAGGGATACGATTTTTGGTTTTCATTTTCATTCACCGGTCTTGTAATAATGCTCAATCCTACACCGAGTTGTTATTTGTGCTTGCTTCATATCTGTTTTCTTCACTTTGCTAGATATCTCTTTCACTCAGCTCTTAGTAAGTTTTAACATCCCTCTCTAGTTTCTGCAAAGTTTTCCTCCTCTTGTTTTCTTTCCTCTGCTGGTAAAGAATCAGCCATAACAACAAATCTGAAATTACCAAGAAAGTCTGGTAATGAGCCTAGAATTAGAAACATCTTTTAACCCAAGTAAAATGACAGTAACTTAATCATCTCCATGACAACTGGGCAACTTCTCTGCTCAATTATCAAACCAGGAGAAGCCATCTGTTTCACACAATGGCATAAATCCATTTTACAGTAATGCTAGTGACTTTGATGGGGCTATTTCTGTGACATGGCAAGTGAACATGAACCGACATGACCCCTTAACTACTCAGAGGAAATTTAATCAGGCAGTGAAGTTTATGTACGGTCAAAGATCTATGAAACGTTTGAAACGCTATTTAAATCAAAGATTAGTACAGGCACCATTCACTAACAACAGACAACTTGGAACCATCATGTTCAAGAAGCAAGTCATGAGCATACAAGGTAATAAATTAGGGTTAAACTTAATTCTCCAGGCAAGGACAACAATGTACTTCACAGTTGCAGAATAGAAATGTGAGTTGCGTGAGAACTTATAGAGGAGATAATGACAGTTTCAAGACCACCCTGTCTCAGATTGCTCATTTTATGTGCATCTGGTTGTTCTACCTTGGGTGTGCAAAATTCCACTAGTGTATCTTGGTCTTAAAGGAATATTCCGGTGTAAATTTAAGTCATGGTCAAACACACTCTTTAGCAAAGAGACCAAACACAACTCACCCATTCTCCTCCAGCAGCCGCTTGTTGGTGGGGGAGCCCTGACGAGTCAATCACAGAGTGTAGCAAATCATTTCCATAAAGTAATAATTATCATAATAATCATTTTCCACTGCAGACGCGGTAGTTCTTCTGCCTTAGCGTCTCGGTCTGATTGCATTTCCATGAAGTAATAATCATAAATGTTCTTCCTTGAGCTGCGAAACTCCACTACACTCAGTAATCAACTTGTTTGGTCTCTTTAATAAAGAAAGGCAAAGCTAAAACAATTTTTAAAAGCTAGTACTATGGCTGGGACCCTATATGTAATGTAGGTTTGCACGTGGAGATGTAGACCCCAGTGTATTGCTATCGTGCGGTTGTTACTAAAATTGGTATAACTAGAGAAGTAAGCAGTCCGCAACATTAATGTCTCAAGGGGGTGTCTATCTCTTTGTTAACTCAAATTTGCGCTGGAATATCCCTTTAAGTTGCAATCATTGTGTTTTGAGTGTAGGTTTACAACATGAACTGATAAAAAAGCATCTTCACTTTATCACACCTTTGCAGTCAAATTAACGTGTCATTGGAATGGATTCCTGAACAACAATGGCTAAAAATTCCCCATCCTCACACGGAGAAGTTAATCCTGGCAGTTCCAAGTATAACTTTTGGTTTGACATCCATGTGCTAACTAACAATATTGATCCTATCTTCAGATGAATGTGCAGCACCCGTGTTAGACTTTGATTTGAACATCAGTGTGTTCATGTTTGCTTTATCTGTGCTAGATACCGAGATTGTGCAGTGCTGTGTGTGTTTCCAAAAATAACTAAAAGAGCATTGGAAATGGAGGCAGCATTTGGCAGCCGAGGCCTCAATCTCATGTTTTCTTGGCTTTAGAGGAGGGCGTCTTTTAGAGAGAGTCTGGCTGCTTTGTGAAAAGAGAAACGGCAGTGGCAGATGTCAGCCGAGTGAAGGGAGTTTACTGGAGCAAAATCAAGTAAACAGATAATCTCCTATCCAATAAAAACACAATTGCTGCCTAAAAGGCTTACATATCTAATACAGAGATTGAAATGACATTAAAGATTTGTTGGTGGGATGTATGAAATACATTTTAACTATGTTTAACACCTTTTTTACTGATAGATCTTGTCTGAATTGACCTGCGTTGACCTGAACACAGATGAGATTGTATCAGTTGCACCAGGACTGGAACTTGGTCATCTGTAGTTTTCAGCTCCATAGAGAAGCATTAGAAGTCGTGGTTTTTCATCTGTTTTATGTCTTTAATTTTAAAATAATAGAAAGAAATATGGTTAAAAAAAAAAAAGGTGTGTAGATGTAATACCGACACAAGTTATCCCGACAGGATGGACAATGGGGTGTATTTCATTCCATTTCCAAAACCAAAGAAAGACCGAAGTAAATGTCTGCTATATATTAAGTTGTGTTGCAGACCGCACAGCCAGAATGTCTACGTTTGTTCTAAGGCAAGTTACGCCAACGTAGCTTTGAATCTACTAACTTTACCTACACTTATTTAGTCATCATTAGCGATGTAGTAACAGAGATTTCACCTCTGGCAAACTTGCTTACGCTAATGTTAGCCCAGGTTAGCACACTAGCTGAGTGACTGTAACACTCAGTGCCTCTCCAGATGAGTTTGAATAATTAAAGGTTAGTTAATTTAATCCTACCCTGCTGTACATGAATAGTGTTGGTCTCGGATGTCATCTGCACTCGTGAGGAGATGCTTCTCCCACTTGCGTTGGGATCTGTACACCCTTGCCTACAATTAAACTGTGTTCTCACCAACTGCATCTAATTTAAACATTTTGGAGATATCTATCTATGGCATAAAGAAGTTCCTTTTGAAGGCTTTTCGAAGAAATCACGTCGTTCTGTGTCCAGAATTTGTCGAGACCTTCATAGGGTAGCGTTTTGACACCGACAGCGGCCATTGTTTAGCACAGCTCAGCTCTGGTTGTATGTGCGAGTAGGCAGTTGTTGTTGGCAGTTATCAGCTGTCGTTAGTTGTTGTCAGTTGTTGTTAACCATTGTCAGCTGTAGTTAGCTGTTGTCAGTTGTTGTTAGCTGTTGTTGGCGGTTGTCAGCTGTCGTTAGTGGTTGTCAGTTGTTGTTAGCCGTTGTCAGCTGTCGTTAGTGGTTGTCAGTTGTTGTTAGCTGTTGTCAGCTGTAGTTAGCTGTTGTCAGTTGTTGTTAGCTGTTGTTGGCGGTTGTCAGCTGTCGTTAGTTGTTGTTAGCCTTTGTCAGTTGTTGTTAGCTTTTGTTAGCCGTTGTCAGCTGTCGTTAGTTGTTGTCAGTTGTTGTTACCTGTTGTCAGCTTTCGTTGGCAGTTGTCAGCTGTTGTTAATTGTTGCTAGTGATACCATTTTTAAATAACACATAACTTCAGGGGGACGTTCCAGATGAATTTCCGACTTGGAGCTCGGAAATTCCGACTTCCGAGTACAACTGGAACGCAGCATAAGTGATAGGTCAATTGTTCATTTCTAGAAGATGGTTGTAATACGATACAAATAGAGAGGATATGCAAATGTCTCCCATACTTCCAGTGAGCTGAGCTAAGAAAATCGTCTCACTTTATTTGATTAACTAAAGAGGATTTTTAATATTCAAGCTTTGACAAAAATCTTTCAGCTTAAGAAGAAGTTTGAACTTCAGATTGGGTCGCACTCATCTTTTGTAAATCCATTTCTATAATCTGTGAGTCTATCATAACTTCTTAGTATCTACTCATGCGATGGAGTATCATTTTAAGTGGCACCAATGGGAATGATGGGCTGTGGCTTTGGTTCTCATTTATTTAAGACCAACAAGAAGAGACACTGAGTGTAGATTCAGCAGGTGCATTAGCTCTGGATGAAAAGATCTCTGTAAAAGGAATGGTTTTATATCGCCCAAAGATTATGAAATCAACTTTCTTCAATTAACTCCAATAATGATCCTTTTCATATCTCATGTAGATCAGTCTCTCTCTTGCCATTCATCATCAACCATAACCAGTCTGCAGAGTGCTGAAAATACATTATGTGATTAAGCAGTTTTCTTTTTTTTTTCTGCAAATTAATGCCAAAGGGTGTCAAGTTAGTTCTTCACACTCTTTGTCTTTCCCAATCTCTCCTTTCCACTTCTCCATCCAGCTCTATAATTGGACTGATAATGGTGTAGATGACAGCCTGTGGCTGGGACTCTGTGCTCAGTGTATTCAGTCTTACACAGTGCTTCAACCTGTCAAAGATTTCCATTATTCATCATAGGAAGATCTTAGGGTGCCTGGAGAGTGCTGTCTCCACAGGGCCCCTGTTCACAGATCACTTTTCTGTTTGTTCGCCTCCACAAAAGCACCAGACTCAAATCAGTTTCCTTCTCTTTATTTTAGGAAAATATAAGAGGCAGAGTGGGTGGGGAGAACCTTTTCCGAGAGCTCAAGATTGAACATGTTGGCATTTGCACACAAAATTGAGTGTTTCTTTCTTAATTTGCTGCGTTAAAGTTTTCCCAACGAAAAGATAAAATCTCATCAAAATAATGTCAGTGAGAATAAAAACTGAATTCTCTATCCCCTCAGCTCTGTATGCATCCCATAAGGCATTTCAGGATGCCAACAAATCCACTTCTAACCTTTAAAGGGATATCATTCAGCATTTACAATACAAGAGCGTGCAAAAAGGGATTAAGACTCAGAAAGGACAAAATAGTATCACCTCACCACGGCAGAATCTCATCATACTTCAGTTTTAATCTGTATAGGAAAACCCAAGTTCACCTTTAGCTTAAAAAACTCACAAACAAATTCAAATCAAGAGCTCAGATGGCAATTTGTTATCTGATTTGACATTTATTGTGGGCATTATTGAACAATTCCCCTTGTCACAAAATTAAAACCTGAATGTATGAGACAGAAAAAGAGCTGAAACTGTTGAGGCTCTGAACCACAATGTAAGAAAAGCGACAAAGCACCAAGGCAAGCAGTTTGTTGTTTTTTACACTCCTTGTCTACCTTTTGTGTGGGCTCGAGCCATTTTCCCGTTGTTGTAGCTTATGTTATTTTTTTTCTGCAAAACAAAAACAGCTTACCATCTCTTGTTTGGCTCTGTTGTATGCTTACACATTCTGTCTACTTAGCCCATCCATCTTCCCCTAAATCCTGCACATAAGCCCAAAACAAGAGATATCGCCGCACGCACAAATGCACACACGTACACAAAAGAACATCTGAATAAAAAAATAATGCAGGGAGGACTCACAACAATAAAACAGCTGCTCCAGCGAGGCGAGTTTTAATGTGCCAAAATAAAAAAAATGGAGCAAGGACAATCAAAACACTCCTGTCTGCCCTTGGGGGTACACTGGGAATACACAAATAAAACAATGACATAACCCACTGCAACAGTTAATGTGACCCCTTGCATTTAAAACTGCTAAAGTCGAGTAGTATTATGAATTTACATGTTGTAATCATTGGGAAGTAAAAAGCATCAGAAAAATAATGAAAATAAAAGAATGAAAGATAATATAAGATGGCATACCAAGAGGGCCTGCTATGTTACAATTAATTCACTTTCATGTATAAAAATCAATACCTCCGAACATACAGTGCAACAAAAGTTCGATATACAATCAGTGAAGAAAGCAATGACTGGGTTCATGCTGCTCAGAATGAATAATACAGCCTTGGATTGATGCTGATATCAACATGAACAGACATGGAGAAAAATTAAACTTTGAGTATCACCATCAGGTAATTCATAGTGTAGACCAATGATTGTACAAGCATGGGCTGGTGTGTGTGTGTGTGTGTGTGTGTGTGTACTGGTGCACCTATCAAAAAGTGGACTTTCCCCCTGTTACACATTTACTAACTGAGGACTTGTCTGCGATCAGGACATTTTTCAGGTCCCTTCTTCGTTGTGCTTTAGATCAAATCCTAAAATCAGATCTAAATCTAAAGATTTACAATTTGTGTGTGGGCGTGCAGAGGTAAATTTCCCCTGGTGCGCCTTGCAGGCTAGCTGTTTTTTTCTTGTCTGTCCTTGATAACTTCAGTTTTGTCAGGATAAAGGAAATTTAAGGGCCTGTGTCCAGTAATAGTATTTCTTTTCCCTGTTTTTTTGTTTTGTTTTGTTTTTTGTTGTTGTTGTTTGGCTTTTTGTTTGTTTGTTTGTTTGTTGTTGTTGTTTTGTTTGTTTGTTTGTTTGTTTGTTTTTGTGGCTGGCAGCATCTATTTCATCAGAGTTCATTGTTTTGGTCCTCAGCCCTTGGTATAAAAATACCTTCTGTATTGTTTTATGTCGATGTGCTTACAATGCTCTCTCACTTCTCTCATATTGACCAATCAAAATCAGGAGGAAGTGGGATTTCAGATAGCTACTTAGTCAACAAGAATGGTGGAGGATTAGCAACGGTACATTTGCTATGTGCAGTTTATCTCCAGCACACAGACATATTTTTGGGGTACAATTTCTAGGTTTAGAGCTGCAACAAATACCACAACAAGATTCTTTACCATTTCTCATATTTAAAAAAAAGATTTTAAATGTATACAAAGAAATACTAAGCATACAGAATAATTCAAGTCTGACTTTATAATATTATATACTTAATTTACTCGGGGAACTGCCACTAGGCAGCTGTCAAAATCTAGCAACAGAATCACCAGCACAAAAATAAATAACACCACTAATGGACACAGGCCCTATTTAGTTCAAACTGACCCCTGTCCTTTGTACACAGTTCTTCTTGCTATCTCTAAAACCCATTACACTTTGTAACAAGGAGTTGTTTCATAAGATAGTAAATTCATGTTACACAAGTGCAGATTATGTCTCTAACCTCCTTTCCTCCCTACACCCCCTCCTCCACATTGACCTCCATTTCCTTCCTCCCCGAACAGTCATATCCTCAATCTTTCCCCTTTTCTCCTCCCTCTAAAGCCAATTTTGTCTCTCATCTGTCACAGCCTCCATGTCATCTTTCATGTCTCTTTTTCTTGTCTCCGTAACATGCAACTTCGGGCCCTTCCTCTGAGTTAGACCACTGATTTATTTTAACACATTACCCTGAAAAGTCTTTGGCTCCCTTTGCCCAGGCTGAGTTACAACCACCTCTCTACCTTCGTAGCTTCAATTCCTCATGGTTGTCTGCATGATTACCCTGCGTAGACACAGTATGACACAAAGTCAAAGTGACAGTACACATGAGGAGGGGGAGAAGGGCAGAGTTGGAGAGGAATTAAGGCAGGATGATGAGGCGTAAAGAGACAGAGGTTGGACCAAGACAGAAATAATTGTCCTTGGGTTATTACAGAGTTTAAAGGGAAAATAATCAGGGATCTTATCAAGGTTTTTATATTTGATAGAAATAAAGTATTGCCTTTTTCTGTTAATGGGAGTTCTGTCTTTTAAACTATTTTGATATGCACTCCTGAGAATGAAACTTTGATCATGAGCCCCAAAAAAAATAACCCTTTAACCATATAATTTTACCTTCATCATTGCCAACTAATGCCAAGGCAGGTCCTTTTGACTGACTTAAGTGTCTAAATTGATTACAAAATAACTCTACTTACAAGATGTAAAGAAAAGGCCTTCTCTTAGAATGGTACATAGGCTTAGACTCTGTGTCTGTACCTAAACCGGACGTCTCTCGAGGGGTGAGTCACGCCAAAGCCCAACCGACTGGTGTCAACATCGGGTATCTCCTCTTCAGGATCCATCAACTCCAAATCAAAGTAGACCAACATGAGGAAAACAAACAGTTTCAGTTCATTGAGTGCAAAGAACCTCCCGGGACACATTGTCGTTCCTGCGCCCCAAGGCATGCTGTGATGCTTTACCTTCTTCCCCGCTTTAAAGAAGGTTGTTTTCTTGCTCCCGTCTGGATTCAGAAAACGGTTGTATTTGAACGAATGTGGATCAGAGTAGATCTCCGGGTCTGTGTGAATGGCAATGTAAGGAAAGGCTGCCATGCTGTCACCGTTGCGAATTTGGTATTCACACCCATCAGCCATCTTGAAAGCCATGTCCTGGATCACTGATCTGAAGAGGAATAAGGTCACGGTGAGGCGAAGAGTCTCTTCCAAGGCGCTATCAAGAATTGGCATTTTCGTCAGCATGTCATAGGTCACATTGATCAAGGGGCCACCATGTACAACTTTCTGCCCTGATTCCTTCAGAATATCATCCACCTCCTTCTTCACAGCACTCATAGCCTCAGGGTGCTTCATGAGGAAGAAGAGGAGCCAGAATGCTGAAGGTCCTGCATTTGATTGCGAGACCCAGAGAAGAATGAGCATATGTCTGTCAATCATGGATTCCTTCATACCCATTTCTTGGTGGTCTTGCTCAACGTCCAACACCCAACGACTGATGTTATCCCTGGTCTTCAGCTTCTGGACGGACAGAGCGTTCCAGAGGGATTTCTTTAGCTTCTCCACCTCCATCTTTTCCCATGGAGTCAAAAGTCCAACAGCCAATTTAGGGAAGAGGTGATAAAACTTGGAGTATTCAGAAAACAGGACTTGAGAGTCAGCTAGGTCTTTCTCTTTGGCTTTTTCAACACTTCCACAGGACTTCTGTGACACTTTACCAAAGAGAGATAAGTAGCTAGCCTTGAAAATCATCTTAATGCTGAACACTGACAGGTTATCTTCTATCCAAGTCTTGCGGTCTAAAGACAGGCAAATGTTCTGCAACATCACATCTTGCAAATTTGACATCATGGTCTGAGTCAGCACCTCCAATCCATCCCCCCTCAGGTGTTTGTTGATCAGAGTCGAGTGTTTCTCATGACCTGAGATTTTTACACCAAAGATTCGCTCTGCCACCTTCACCGAAAACTTGCTTAAGCTCAGTTTTTCTTCACTCTCATGGACGAATGCCGCCAATGATAGAGGGTCCAAAAGGACTGTGATGTACATGCCTGCCAGTCGTACTGTGAAAATCTCGCCATGCTTTTGCTTCATCCTCTCCAGGAACTTCACTGGGTGCCTGTGAAACTCGATAGCATGACCCAGCCAGGGAATGGGCCCTTTATCCAACGGGGGTTCTCCTGGACGCCTCTGTCGAAACACCCCAAAAAGGTACAGACCCCCGATTAGAGAGGCAACAAGACCAAGAAGCAAATATAGCAGAAAAGTCATGTCTGATTCTTCTTACAGCCACAAATGGTTTGATGTGAAGGTCCAAATACAGCATGAAGGACTTTTGCCCTTTGCTGCCTCATGGCATTTTTTTTTATCCCTCCCAGATTGACACATATATCGGTCAGAGCTTGGTAATAATTAAACAAATGACTAACACAAGCCATTCATTATTACAGCAACTGAATGAGGTCAACCCATTGCGACAAAGAAAGAAAAGTTTCATTTGCAATTGTGTTATTGACGACTGTCTAATTTTAGCCAATGTTGGTGGCCAAAATCACTCTTCTGCTTTACTTGCTCAACATAAAATATCCTTAATCAGTCATTCATTACTTTGCTTTTGCAACTCATACATATTTTCGAATCTTTTAAGAAAAAAAAGCAAGAGTTGTAGCTTTTCTTTGGGGTTTATTAATCAGGGTTAATTAAGGGCAAGCTGTACTGTTACACTTCTCTATTTAGATAAGTTTTATCATTGCTGTTAATGTTCAATCATCAACACCAGCGGTCTCAAAGTCCAGAACTGTCAACAAGCAGTAAATCATTACCACTTTGTGCTCTTTTAGTCATAAAGGGAAAACAACAAAATACAACAAGACTTCATTTTATATTTGGATATTTGGACACAGTTTTTCATTCTCTCCTTTGTTTTCTCTGGATTTAGATCACAAGTAACTGGTTTGACACACGGTAAACTTTATATAAAAGCTTGACCACAGTGCCCTCATTTTTTACTGAATAAAAAGTGAACTGATGTGGGTGAGAGTAATCAACTTGACATTTTACTGCTTGCAAAAAAATTCAGCCAAACTCGTACAGCCTTGTCGTGTCACAATTGAGTAAAGTTGTATAGTTAATAGTCCCCATTTACATATAAAATCTAAAATTGGGGTTTTCGATTTTTGAGAAGTATTACGGTGTCTTTTGCATTCAGTGTGGGAAGCAGGCTGAATACATGCCACTTTAATGAGCGCGAACATGCCTGTTGGATGCAATACACAATTAATTATTACCCTTGTGAGTTTGCACCAGAATTACTAGTCATATTAATGGATAATTCATGTTTTTATTACCGTAGGCCTGAAATGTTGGTCATATGTGTAAGCTGCAGATGCATGCCACTATCTGGAACCAAAGCTCAGTAATGGCATCTCATAGTTTGGCAGTTCTTGATCCAGAAAATGGAGAAGAACTTACATAGGGTGGCCATATTCTGAGGACACTACTACGTGGGGTGGAGTCATGCGCAAAATTTTGAGGGTCGAGTGTTTTTTTACGCACTTCTAACTCAGTTAGTCCACGGTACACAAACTCAAAATTTCCATTCAAAACCCCGACATTTGAAGGATTTTATTAACTCCCCCCACATGGCTGGTTAGCGCCCAAAAAAGAGGACATGTCCAGGGGAAAGAGGACGTATGGTCACCCTATACTGACAAGAATGTTTGGATAAATGGGTTTACAACCAACTCGGGCAATCCACAGTGCAGGCATGTTACCCTGTATGAAGTACCGAAGGCTGGTGGTGCTAGCTCCGCTAGAGGTAGCCACACACTCAAAGTCAATTTGACATTGTTTTCTTTAATACGAAGAATAAGAATAACTTTATTTTATCCCTGAAGGGAAATTCAATAATAAAGTGAGTAAACTCTTCACCCAGCAGAAGTATCCATCAGCAGCCAACAGGAAAAAAAAGGAAAAAAAAGAGCAAAAATTACAAAAATGACATATAATACAGAGAGATCAGACTTGCAGCAACCTTTTGGTTCAAGCGCATCATTTGAGTTTAGTTCATTTCAATCATTTAATTTACTTGCAGGCTCTGTGACCGTATGTTTAGCCACATTGAGAAAATTGCTCAATTCTGACTGTCTTCTGAGTGTTTTCTTTCCTCAAGACGAGTTGGTAAGTTGAAAAGTTTATCTTCTACTTAAACAGACAGAAAATTAGAAGCTACAGAAAATCCTCCGTAATGACGTCCTGGCTCCCAGTCTTGATCTGACACCAATTTATCTGTCTTTGAATAGATGTTCTTATAAGTGCAGCTACCAAACATTTTTAGATTAAAAATCTTAATATAAGTGACAAATATGCTGAGTGCTGTGTTGTAAAAAGCAATCACTGGTTGTATTTTCCAGCTACTTGGAATGCATCAGAAATAATCAATCCAACCACCATTTAATCAAGTTTAAAGTCATTTTAATCCTTGTGACGGGAGACCTGAAAAAGTTTGCATTTTGACCTTTTACAAATCTTGATCATTTATTTTTCATTTCAGCAAACTTTTAACCCAAGTTAAACCCAAGAAAAGGTTTCATTTTAGGTTCATACTGCTGAATTAGGACACAGTGAAGTGTCTGAGAAACCGCTTGTACGTGACACAATTAATAACCTGGGTGAATGCAATGGTTTACAGTTTTGAAGAACAGAAAAAGGACCCAAATGCAGAACAAAAAATGACTTAATTAAAAGAACTGAATGAAAAAAAGCAATAAAAAAAGAGAAATCCACAAAAATCATTGGGGCAAAATCACAGGGAGCAACTGGGGGCACAAGCATAATGCAAACATTGACATACAATGAACCAACCAGGACAGAGGGGAAGACAGGGACTATATCCATACTGGGAAACGAGCAACAGGTGAGGCAGACGAGACACAGGTGAAACTCATGGGTGAAGGAGGGAAATCTAGGGAGGTAAAACCAGACGAGAAACACAAGGAATCAACTACTACAAAATAAAACAGGTAATAAACTCTGAAAACTGATCTAAAGAAAAAAAGACAGAGAACAGGAGGGAAACAGGGTCAAACACAAACTGAAAACTAAGAAGACTGGACTACAGGGGAACAGAAACACTTGGAAAAAGACACAAAATGAACTCAAATAAAACCCGGAGAAGAAAACTAAATTAAAAGAACAAACCATGACAGTTTATGCTGCAGGCATCAGTTGAAATAACCACAGGAAATGCTGAAATTACAAGAAAGTTGGTGATAAATCACTTTTTTTTTCAACAGACTTAAGGTTCCTTTCACACTGGGAACATTTTTTTATGCGATTGTTGGCTGATTGTTTACGTGTCGGAGAACAGAGTGCTTTTTGATAAAAGACACAAATATTACAAAGATAACGACCTGAAGGACAACTTGTGGAGAGTCATAACGTCTGATTTCTCATATGACGATGGTTTGTGTGCTTTAACAGTTTGCTAAACGTCTTTGTTTTAACTTTCATCTGTGCTAAGTAACTTTAGCTCATAAGCTAACCTGTTCAGATACAACATACCATATGTATTTTCACTGTCTCAAACTCAATCGCATCGCGCTTGATGTGTATAGTCAGGCACGTCAAAATGCGCCTCCGAATATTTCTTAATTTTGCGTCATATATTTGCGTCGTTCCTGGTGGACAAGGACCTTTATTCGATGATAAATGCTAATGGGTCATCGCTAACAGAACTTTCAGTACCGTGCTTTTATAAACATCCAAACACTCTCTTTATGCATCCCCAACAATAAACACCATAACCCATTAGGTAGTGTGTATGCATGTGAGTGTGTGTCTGAGCAGAGTGCATGGAAACAGTTTCCTTTAATAAATTACACATAAATTATACATTTGTCTTCAGATGCAGGGAAGTCTTGCCTTGTAGAGCTTGTTGTTTGATTTTAGAGGGGTATTTATTTCATTCAAGTTTCAGTTTCATTTTCCAAGATATGATCCTGTACACCACAGAGAGAAAGACCTCAGGTGATGGATTATGCCATTACCCACAATGGGGTTTCTGTGCTAAAATTTGTCACATTCCTGACCTTGGCTGCTAAAATTAATGGTACCCATGTCACCCAAACTTTGTTTTCCTCCGATATCTCTTGCTCAATTTTTCCTACACTTGTCCTACTACCCTAGAATGATAATTCCTTTGGTTCAAGGTTTGATTTTGAGTCAAATAAATCAGTTTGTAGTACAGAGAATTGTAATGAAGCCAAATAATAAAAGAGGACTTCTCGTGTTTTGGATCTGCTTCTGTGGGGATGCTGATAAATACTGTATATGATATATCTAGTATGCTTTTGCAGACTTTTAACTTTTTGAACCCAGATTTACATTTTATTAAAAGATGCTCCAGTTGCACTTATCACATTTTGTAATATCCATCATAGACTTGGAAAAAAAAAACATTCCAGCAGGGGAAATGATACCAACTCAAACCCCGTTTTAAGGGCCAATCAGGGTTAAACTGCTGCAGGCATGTGATCATGTTCAGGCAGACAGAGCAGATAAGGAAGCCCAAGGACAGCTGTTTGTTTTGAAAGGCAATCTTTGCGGGTATTGATTTTTTTTTCTTCCCAGGTGCTTGTGCTCATTTGAATGACCTTGCTATGCAGTTATTATCAACATCCGAGCTGACTGTAGGAAAAATGTTGTAAATTAATTAACTCCGACTACTGCTACCATTCAAATTCAGAGGTTCTGTATGGTTAAAAAAGTATTTTGTTGGTTTATTCTGCTAATTTTTTTATTTAATCTCTCCCTCCAAACTTAATGCAATCCCTTGACCTTTAATCACCTTCATTTCTTATTCCTCACCTATCTATTTGTGGATATTTCTCCAGTTTGGTAGTACTAGGGCATAGTCAGAGGCAAAGGTGGTTTCCTTGTAATAAATTACAGCAAAGGGCATTTCACAGAGGCATTCATCTAGAGTGGCTTGCAGTACTGGGGCAAAATTCATAATTCTGGTATGGTTGTTTCTAGTGGAAAATAGACCAGAAACCCATCGGTGCCACCTTCTCTCTATACATTCATCATAGAATGCCCTGCAGGTAGTACAAGGCCAAACATGGATGCATGTTTGTGTCGGCAAGTAGCAAAATTAATGTGAACATCAAGGTAACACTGAAAAAAGTGCACATAACAAAAACAGATTCCAAGCTTCAGATAATAAGAGTTGGTTTTTCCATGTCTGGAACACCTCTAACGGGAGGCGTCCAGAAGGCATCCTAACCAGATGCCCGAGCCACCTCAGCTGACTCCTCTCGACGTGGAGGAGCAGCGGTTCTACTCTGAGCGCCTCCAGAGTGTCCAAGCTCCTTACCCTATCTCTAAGGCTGAGCCCGGCCACCCTGTGAAGGAAACCCATTTCGGCCGCTTGTATCCGCAATCTTGTTCTTTTGGTCATTACCCAAAGTTCATAACCATAGGTGAGAGTCGGCACGTAGATGGACCGGTAAATCAAGAGTTTGGCCATACAGCTCAGCTCTTTCTTCACCACGACTGATCGGTTAAGCGTCCGCATCACTGCTGACGCCGCTCCGATCCACCTGTCGATCTCCCGTTCCATCCTACCCTCACTCGTGAACAAGATCCAGAGATACTTGAACTCCTCCACTTGAGGCAGGACCGCTCCTCCGACCTGGAGAAGGCAGTCTACCTTTTTCCGACTGAGGACCATGGCCTCGGACTTGGAGGTGCTGATTCGCATCCCAGCTGCTTCACATTCGGCCGCGAACCGCCCCAACAAGAGCTGAAGGTCACCGCCCGACGAAGCTAAAAGCACCACATCACCCGCAAAAAGCAGCGACGCGATCCTCTGCCTGCTGAACTAGACACCCTCCACCCCTTGGCTGCGCCTAGAAATTCTGTCCATAAAGGTTATGAACAGAACCAGTGACAAAGAGTCATCACTGTTAATTTCAGAGGGGTTTCATAACCAGTAAAATAAAATAATAAAACTCGTCACAAAAGCCCTAAGTACAGCCCACAGTTCTGGGAGACAAATCCAGCTGATTGGAAATAATAATAATAATAATGTGCTTATGTGCTGCTGAGCATGTAAAGACATACATAACTACCAAACAAAGCAGCTCAAAATTTGCATTTAACCTGGTAAATCTCCAGCAAATAACTTCTTAAATCTAAAATGATTGTGAAGTCGACCGTTATGTCGAGCTTTGAGTTCCTGAAAGTAGTCTAACAATCACCATTTATCACCTCTGATGTTCTGGTGGCATGTCATTATTCTGAATTTGTCACACCATAATAAGTTTACTCTGAAGTTTCTGCATGATTTCACCATTTTCTCCAAACTTCAGTTTTGTTTTTCACCATCGTACCCCATGAGTACCGTTGATTTCCTCTTTCCTCTAAATGGCCTCATAAAACACTTGGTTTCTCTGAATGTCTTGTTTCCCCTTCGGTGTTCCTACACTGAAGTATCAGTCGTTTTCTATTGGTATCAACCCTGTGATACCTGAGCAGTGTTATACAGTGTGCAAACACTATTTTATTTTGACTCTTCTGACAGCAGTACATCATTCAGTGCATATCATCTAATGCTCTTGTCACCTCGGAGAAAGTGGATGTGTCCCGCCTGGGAATGATAAACAAGGTTGCGGTGAGTGCATCCAGTCTGAGGAGCTGACAGTTGAAGAATTGAAGAAGATAGGTAAAGGTAAACACGATCTGGTACTGAACCAGAACTTGTATTGAGTCAGTTAAATTTTTCAAAAAGTCATGAGCCAGTCATTCATCCTTATGCTTGCATAAACCCAGTGAAGTGATGCAAAACAAATAGTGAAGGAGGAAAAACTTGGCAGTGTTGAATCTGCAGAATGATCAAAAGTAAAAGAAGAAATAAGTTTGGCGAGGCTGAGAGATTTTGGGTCTGATTTAAACTTGCGTGACCTCTCCTGAAAACTGAAGAATGATTCTGTCTTTGACCTTCGGTTGGTGTTAGTCGACACGTTAACATGCACAGTTAAGTAGAGCTATAGTCATTACTTGATTAAGCAGTTTAACCGGATGATTCTCCTTGTCTTATTCATAGACTGTATACAGAATCGACGCCGTCTGGGTGAAGCCACCGTGAGAACAGCACCCTCTGGTGACGGGCTGCAGTATAGGTCATAAATCGCCTGTTTAAATGTTTCTGCCCCCTGGTTGTGATGTTGACATGTAGTTACTATACGACTGGTTTGTGCTCAAGTCCTTTTTTTTCTGTGCAGCTCCAATTTTAAATGTTATTAGGGGGTTCATGTTTTCTGTTGACACAGCGACTTCCCGCCTATGCGGACAACGCCACTACGCAAGTGGTGGAGAAAATCCCGGAAATACAGAGAGCAATTTGGCTTTAAATTCGTATAAAGATGGAAGGGGAGCCAAGTTGTCCATAGCATATACAGTCTATGGTCTTAACACACTGTGAGGTAGAGGACTGATGTATATCTGTGCTAACACATCGTTGCTTTCAGATCGCCTTAGTTACTTTGGCTCTTAAAGAGGAGTCCATTTCAGATCCAGGAGCCCTGAAGAGTTGCTCACCTGGTGCAGTGGAGTTTCACAGCTCAAGGAAGAACATTTATGATCATTTCTTCATGGAAATGCAATCAGACCGAGACACGAAGACAGATGAACTACCGTGTCTGCAATGTAGAATGATTATTATGATGGCTAATACTTCATGGAAATGATCTGCTGCTGTGATCGACTCATCGGGGCTCTCCCACAAACAAGCGGCTGCTGGAAGAGAGTGGGTGAGTTGTGTTAAGTCTCTTTGCTAAAGAAACCAGGCAAAGCTAAAAAGACGTTTGGTTGCTAGTACTATAGCTAGGACCCTATATGTACTGTTGATGAAGTTAGGTGCTGTTCTGAGCATTATTTGTGGCTACAGAGTGGCGTTTTGGTTGAGGTTTACACTATTGTTTGATCATTGCTGAAGTTGGTATAACTAGAGAAGCAAGTAGTCGGCAAATTTACGTCAGAATATCCCTTTAAACTAAGTTATTCCAGATGACTTTTAAACAAGTTGCACACAGCCATTGCATTAATAAGGTCATCTCTTACTGCATTAAACTTCGGTGTTTCCTGACCAGCCCTGGGTGGATAAATCTTCCTGCGGCTCTTTGCCTAACAATAAAAACAAAAACCCAACCCTTGCTGTTTAAGCTAGCTACAAAAAACAAACAGTTTCTGTCATGGTTATAGTAAATAATAAGTAAATATAAATAATAATGTAATACAATTTTAAACCTCCTGTCGTCTACACCCAGACTGACTGTTCATATCACTGTGAGGTAGAGGACTGATGTATATCTGCGCTAACACATCGTTGCTTCCAGAGAGGAATATTCCAGTGGTTTCACCTTCCTGTCCATCATGTAGAAAATCTGAGGAGCTCCACACACTTTGCTTCTCTGCACCTGATTTTATGTTAAGTCTCTGTTTCTGAATCCGTCAGTGTCTGTCCCTGTGTGATATCTTTCTCATCCCCGCCTGCTCATCCCTTTTCACACATTGTTCAAACAGATGTCAACATTGAAATGCCAACTTCTTTTTTTCCCCTCCAGATGTAAAATGTCGAACATATTATTCTCCTTATTTTACCCGAATATTTTCTTTTTCTGTCTGTGTCTCTCTCTCTTACTATTTTTATCACAGCCTTCCTCCCTCTTTCTCTGTTCTTTGGTCTCTCCTGTCACTTTTCTGTCCTTTGTCCCCCCCTCTCTCCATCCTTGTGCCGCTCTCAGCTGTCCTAATGAAAGGATGACTGATGTAGGTGTTAGCGGGGAGATGGGGCCTGTCATTTATTTTCCTGTTTTCTGCAGCGCTTGCCTGGGGCCAGAGTCACCTCGACCACAGACGTTTCCATGAGAGCTTTCGGTTCATGCTGAAATGGCACACACGGGTAGAGAACGATATACTACACATACATACAACACACATCCTGTTCCTAACCTGCTGTTTGATGATGTCCTAGGGTGTGGGAGTCAAATAATACACTGTAATTGAGTCTGTTGCCACTGTGTTGCTCACCCCCTCTCTCTCATTGTGGCGGCAATCTTTCACCACCGGTTTCTCTCCTTCTGAAGGCTGTTAGTTTCTGTCTTTCAGTTTTCTCCTCTAAGTACTCCTTCTTCTGTTCGTCACTTTACTCTATATTATCCTTTATGTTTTCTGCTTTTGCAAAGGCTACTTATGATCGTATCTATTTATGTACAGAGCCCACTGTGTGTGAACCCCTAAAAACAGGGTCTGCTCAGTGTCAGGTTGTGAGATGGGGTTATGTTAGGTCATATATCATTACGTCCGCCAAGGACGTTATGTTTTCGGTAGCGTTGGTTTGTTTGTTTGTCTGTTAGCAACTTTACGGAGAAAGTAACAGACGGATTGACCTGAAATTTTCACCAGAGGTGCATCTCAGCCCCAGGAGGATCCCATTACATTTTGGTGGTGATCCAGACAAAATTCTGGATACTGTGATCCAGAACACACAAAAATAAGGGTGTCGTTGGAATTTTCAATGGTTAAAGATAAAGAATGGGCGGCACAGTGGTGTAGATAGGCAGCACAGTGGTGTAGTGGTTAGCACTGTCGCCTCACAACCAGAAGGTCCTGGGTTTGAATCCCAGTCAGGGCAATCATGTTGAAAATGACATGATGAAATGTAGCAGACATGACACCATTTTAGGGGATGTGATTTTTCCGATACTATCTGAAATTGACCCTCTAATGCAAACACTACTTTTGCACAAACCGAGTATGACATGAAAACGAGAGAGAGCTTAGAGACGCAGCACAGCACTGATCATTTGCACAACAATGGACCCTAAATACGGCCTATTTATAGTCATGGATACAAAAGGTGGGCGGTCCTGAATAGTGGCTGAGGGTAAATTAGCAGAAACACACTGAGAGGCAAAAATGGACAAAAGCTTCCTAGACCACCACTATCTTTGATTGTGTTCTGTGTGAAAGGGTCTCAATGAGTGCTCAAGGCCTCTTGGGGGTTTCAGTGCGCTTATACTAAAGGTCCTGTCACTGTATCGCAGGGTGCATATTAATACAAGGTTAAAACAGGCCATTATTACTTCAACTACTTATATATGTAAATGTCCATTATGCACTTTGTATAATAATTCAGATCTTTGTGTTCACTCCTCAGAGTGTAGGCATGAACATTACATTTGCAATTATACTATATATGTGGGCTTGAATATAGAATCAGTGCAGAATTAGTCACTGCTTTGAAATCACGTCTTAAAAATCATTTTTATAGACTTGCTTTTATGTGATTTTGTCTTTTTAATAGCTTTTACCCTTCTTATTCTATTCTTGTTTTTGTGGTTGGGTTCCTGTGTTGGCAGGGTATCACAGTACTTATGATGTCTTTGTTTTAATGACGTCTCAGCTCATGTGACACTTAGCAATGCTTTTATGTCTTCAATTCCACCTCTTAGTCAGTCCTACACGACGCTATGTTTCATGTTTGGGGAAGTGATGACGAGAAAGGGAAGCTTGCTCTGATTGGATAGAAAGGGTCCAAATATGACCAACTCCAGGTCTGACGTGCTTATAACCACGGTCAACACCCCATTTATGCAGTTTTATGTGGATGGGATTTTATTTGAAAACAATGACGTGTGTGCGTGACGGAGGTGGTTAGATATCCGTTTAAAAAAATACCCAGCTACATGTGTGCAAGGTCCACATGTATACCTCATGTATACTACATAAGGCCTCATATTCGGGCCACTAAGAACTACTTTCTTAAAGGTGGGGTAGGCAGGAATCCGTTACAGAAGCATCTTTTTTTGTGGTGTATATACAAAAAAGTTTACAATATCAGTCAGTAGCTATTAGTCATTAATGACATTTGGTAATATCACAATATCGCTATGTTTTGTTAAGTCTGTGTAGTCAACATTTTAAACTTTCAGAGCGCTCCGCTCTTTCTCACTGTAAACAAAGCCATTCCTCGCCTCCCTCATCCTGATTGATTGTGAGGCGGATGTTGCTCCCCCTTGTCGTTCATGAGCCCAAACAAAGTTAGCATGCTACAATATTGGAGGGTAGAAACCAACCAGAAAGTACAGAAAATTGTCTGAATCCTCCTTTGGCCACGACTGCCAACATGAGCAAGAAAACAAAGTAAATACTGGAGACTATGGCGGAATAACAGGCGCTTAAAAAGGAGGTAGACCGGACAAGAGCTAAAAAAAGTCCGCTCAACAATGATGGGGGACGCTTTGGGATTTTATGGACCCTGTAACCTTTCTGCTGGACAGGTAAACCGCTTTAACAAAGTAAGCCAAGTGTCTGTAACAGAAGTGTTTCTTGTCAAACGGGACCTGCTGTAGCATGTTGTAGCGCCGCTAAACTGTTGACCTCGGGTCCTGGACTATGTCACTTTATCCTAGTTGTAGAAGTCCTGCAAACATTGTATTTGTTGGTAGTCTGTTGGCATCTACAGTAGCACCAATGCTTTTTAACTTTCACGTTGACTGGGCCTGATTTGTAATTATCTGAAGTATTTATCTGCATTATATCTGAATTTAATTAAACGATACAAGTGAGCAGGAGCGTCTGTTTGTGGGCGGGGCTTGCTGGAGCAGAGAGGGAGGGGAGAGGAGGAGCTGAGGGGAAAACTGGTTGGTAGGGGTAGAGTTTACATTCAAGATTTCTCCCCAAAATTGGCACTTCCTCAGATCCTGCCTACCCCACCTTTAATTCCAGTCATCTTATTTGTATGACTGGAAAATGATAATCGACAAATGATCAGGAGCAGATGTCTTTCAATGTGATCTATCTTTAAAACGATGACGCTGGAGTAGCTTCAAACATTTCCCTCAGCATGTCCTGTAAATACAGTTTTAATTGGGTCAAAACTCAAGATCTCAACTGAATGTCTGTCTGTATAATCGGGCTGCGACCTCGATTATCTCACTTTGAAAATTTACTTCATATTGAAGCGAGTGATGCTGACAGACTAGATATGCTACCCAGTCTGTATTTGCTATTATACTGTGGCCTACTTACAAATCATCAGCTGTGTATTGCTGTATTTGAAAGGCAGGCGATATGATTGTGCCATTCACGACGAAAATTAAACTTTTGCAACTTTAGACTGCCTCTTCATAATGAAAACTTTACCAAAATGATCTGACATGTCCTGATTTGACACACCTCGCCAATCTGAGCACTAAAGATAATTTGCAACTACTGAAGCCCTGATCTCCCTGTGTGAGACGTCTAATCAAAACATAGTCTCCAGAGTGTGAACAAGTACGGGAGACTATAAATAAACCCCGACCAAACTGCCTGTCTTTCTTCAAACACAGCTGAGGCTGCGATCAGGCAAGCGTGTCCAATCTAGAGCGCCTAGGCGATGCAAACATCTTTTGAGGATGACATGTCAGTCAAACGAACGGGAAAACAATGGAGAGAGATGAGGCATGGAGGAGATTGACTGGTGGAGGTGTCATTCAATGCACATACACACACATGTACAGGACACAACTGTGCACATGAGGAAATGTGTATAATAATAATAATAACTTTGTTGATATGGCACTTTTAAAGACAAGAGTTTACAAAGTGCTTTAACATGCAGGAAGACAAAGAAAGATAAAAACAACAAAACAACAACAAGAGAAAACTTGAGGGAAAGAGCCTAGACAAGACTAAAACCCAGACTACATATCCTAATGTGACATTAGTGGCAATTAAGAAATAAAATTAAATAAATTAAGCATCATTTTGGAGTATAAAGTCAACAAGACACAAGTAAGGTGGAGGAAGGCTATTTGGTGTAGAATAACCAACTGCAAAACACTCCTTCTCCTTTCCTCTTCACTTAAATATATACTCTGTGTATATCTGTGCTGTCCACTGCCTGACATAGACAAGGGTGCATAGTATAGGACGTTTATCTGTTACCCCCAATTTCCACTGCAAAGGTCTGATCAGCTCCGCCGATTGCAGCTGATCGTAACCATTCAAGTTAATGTGTCAATTTCCACCGGCTTCTTTCCGTTCCTCAGCTGATCGCAAAACTTCTATTGTTTCTGGACGCCTCAGCATGCCACATAAATTCAGCACAGATTAACCCGCGCTGGAAAGGAAGTCGGGCACAGACACAAAATAAAACATCCGGCTTCTTTTCAAAATAAAACACTACGTGTTTAAGGTGGATCATATTTTGCGCCATGCAAACAGTCGGGGACGAACAAGTCAAAGGTTTTCAGACTTCATTTCACCTCATTGACACCATGGATGAGGAGATGCTGATTCTAGAAGTCTAGAAGTAGATTTCCTCCTCTGGAAGGACACAGTCTTTGGCATACATGGTTATGTGGCTGTCTTTATAGAGACAACTCGTTATCGCACAATTGCACGTGACTCCGTGGGTTCTTGTGAGTTCTTGCAATTCCTGCTGTCCGAAATCCACCACGAAATTTGTCTCACAAACTGATTTGGTAGGAATTGGCAGACGGCAAAAATAGCCGCAGTTTTAGATCATAGCCATTCCAGATGCGGCGGTGGGGTTAGTTGTTGCGGACAATGACGTTTGGGGATTTAAAACTCCGGTTATTTACGTCCACAAGCAAAAGTAAAACCTGAAGTTTTCTAAAACCTAAATTTGGCTGGAGTTTTTCAAAAGCACTGTTTTTAATAATCCCGTGGTTTTGTGTGGATGGCACGCCAAAACGTATGAAAATATGTTCATTTTGGCAAATACCCAGCTACAAGCGGACAAGGCCTGAGACAACCTGATCACGAGATGACCCTCCCTTTAAAGGATTACTCAAAAGAATGATATGAATTCTGTTATAACAAGGAAAACATACACAGTATATTTCAAGCTTTCATTAGTTTGCCTTTCTACAAACTTAACCTATCAAGAAATTCTGAAAAATGTCCCTGTTATTACTATTACCACAAAAAAACACTATGTTATTTATGAACATACTGAGGCATGCTGGGAGAGAGGAAGAGTAGGAGACATGGACAGGTGGACAAAAGCGGCTTACAGATAGCAACCTACCTGTGAGGGATACTTTCTGGTCATATCTTTGAGTGACAACCGGGAGAAGTACACACAGACACACACATACACATATGCTCAGACAGTCATTCAGGGGTCTGTGATAAGGTAATCCATTTACTGGTGAGGGCCGGTTTCCTGCTATCATTCTGAATGATGGAGACTGGCTTTCATCTCTCAGCCCTACCACTACCACACACACACACACACACACACACACACACACACACACACATTTTATCATTTCAAAGGTTTAATTAGCTTATGAATATTCCCAGGCAGTGAGAAGAATCCCCCCCACCCCCAAATAGATAAGCGGTTAAATGTTTTCACTCAACCAGAGGTCAAATGTGATGCAGTTCATTCTCAAATTCTCAAAAAACTTATTTTATCTAACATGCTGTTTTTTTTTCCCTTCTTTTTTTTCTCAAAAGTGGTAACCCAGATTTATGAATATTTGCTCAGGTAAAATTACACTGTCGTTCAAACAGATTTAGCAATCACAGAATAAGGAAATTAACTTGTGACTTGATTAAGGGGGCTTTCACACCTTTGTTGTTTGGTCGGGACTTTTGGACTTTTCTGTTTAGTCCAAAACAAAATGATAGGTGTGAAACCTCCCAGGGACCTTAGTCTGACCAAAAGAGGTGGTCTCGGTCTGGACCAAATTAGACCTATGGCCTAGGCCGTCATGGTGCCAGGAGCACCAATCCCTCAAGCACCGGACCCTTCATGTTCTTCCAGCAGGTGGTGGGTCCACTGGAGGGGGTGCCTATGTGGCTTGTTCGGGCTGGGCCTGGCCGGGCTCCATGGGTGCAGGCCTGGCCACTAGGCACTCGCCAAAGAGCCCCAACCCTGGGCCGGGTACACTGGTTCCCTTTTTTCTTCTTCATGAGGGTCCTCTGAACCGTTCTTAGTCTGACCCTTCGCCTAGGACCAATGCCATGGGAGACCCTACCAGGGGCAAAATGCCCCAGACAGCATAGCTCCTAGGTTCATTAGAGCACGCAAACTCCTCCACCATGGTAAGGTGTAGGTTCAAGGAGGAAGGTTTAATGAAGTTCAGGCAAAGGTCGGTACACAAAAAGGCAGTCAGGTCAGGCAGAGGTATCAAAAACAAGAGGCAAAAAGGCAAGGTCCGAAAAGGCTGAAAAATACTGAAAAATAAAAGAGAAACTTGATCAACATGACAAAAGGCCTGATTGATGTTGTGAAACTGTAATAGTTTTGTTTTTCAAGGCACTAAATCAAACCAGTATGGTGCAGAAAACCATGATGGCTCTAGAAAATTGAATACACCTCACGTCACTTCACATAGTTTGACTTGAGAAGACACTTGAGCTAACCTGTCAGAGAAGTAGAACTTCTGACATTAGTATTTAATAGTTGAAATCTTTAAAATAAGGCCATGGTCCATCTGTCTTCGCATGTGTATGTGCTCTAATGAGCTCCACAGAGCTACTGGTTGTTTTGATGTTTTATTCTATTGTTTATTCTATTGAAGTCTGGAGCATCTGGCAATATTCCACATCCCTCTTTTTGGTGCTTTCTGTGTTCGCCCGAATCTCTGTTTTTTGTTTGCCTCTTTCTTTCTCTTAAAATAATCATGCAAAGGCACAAAAATTTGTTAATTATTTTTCTTAATGTTTTGACATGGGAGCCAAATGACTAATGCTCCAGTTATTGTCTCAGAGGAAATCCAAATCAACAAACAAGGACCTGTTTCAGAGAATCGCAGAAAAAAGCAGCCTGCAGCTTGATCTCCTGGTAATTCCTCAAAAATCCTTGAAGACACGGTGAACGTGGTTTCATCATTCTGTTTGAATATTTGTTTGGGAAAACCCACTTAAGCAAATATAAAGCAACAAACCCTTTGAAGACTGACTGTCAACCCTGAAGGTAAACAGAACAGAGAAAAACATATTCAAAGTGTTCCTGACTTTGTTCATAATTTAAGGTTTTTGGAGTTCAATTAAATCTGAATATATCTCTGCTTTAACCCCATTCTGTAAAATTCTTTTGATATATTTTTGACATGTTTCACAATTATTTTTTAAGCCAAAGCTTGGTATTAGATTATTCATGAGAGTGGCCACATTAGCGTCGTGAGAGAAACATTATTTATGGTGTTGAATACTGTGGAGAGTCTTTGACATTTTAACATTACAGGGAGAAACAGGGCTATACTTGGAGCAGCCAGCCCATGTAAACAACATAAATGTCTGATTATGGGGCAATTATCTGATTATTAAGAGCATGTGAACATTGTCATTGTCTTGTCCTGCTTCCCCTTCATTTACAACTGCAATGCCTGTGATTAGATCTTTAAAATTAGCTTGAAATGACGACTCTCGCAAGCAAACAACAACTTCTCTTAGAAACACAGTGTGAGCCGCAAATAGAAACCTACACAGTTCAATGTGACTGTGCCTCAAGAGGTGGCTCACCTGTGGTTCATGAAGGAGTCAGGAACCCCAGACTCAACCTAAACCTGTGTATAATTATGAAAACAACAACAGAGCTGGGCACATGTTTGCTTTCTTTTTTTATTATTAGCCTGAAATATGGACATTTATTTTGAAAAATTACAAAACTTAAACATCGAACTTACATTTATCTTCAGATGTGTGCATGCTCTGAGATACCGCTGCATGCAATGCTGTGTGCAGCTGTATAAATACAGGAGCTATGCCAAGTGTCCATGCCTCCCACCTCATCAGGAGTAAACACAATTTCTATTTAAAGTCCTTGAACTAGATCTCATCCTCATTTATCCCCCAAAGACTTTGCTCTCTAAAGACTGTCCAACATTCCACACGCGTATAAGGGATTGTATGATACAGATCCAAGTGAGCTGACGGTATCTGCAAAGCAAATGCTGGTCAAGTGTTCCTACATATAACATAACCAATTTTTACTGCTAAGGAAAAAAGTTCTTAAAACCACTTTTCAAACTTTTTTTTCATGGGTTCAATCAACCTTTTTAAGAAATATGTGTGTTCCTGCTCTTTTACCACAGTTTCCATGTATAATCAATTTTCAGATGGTTCAACTATCTAAGGTTTAAACTTGTTTAAAGCTCCTGTGGGGAGTTTTTTGACATCTAAGAAATAAACTGAAATGTATACAAATTTTCTTTTAAGAAATTCAAAAACATGCAAAATAATCAGCGACATGATTGATGATTTTTATTAGGTGTTTTTTAATGCCTGAAACCAGTGGGAAAGGGGGTAGGTTTCAGCTGAGCGACTGGACGTTACATTTTCTACACAACATTTTTACAGCTAACAATATTTGACAGTCAAATGTCATTTTTTAAATTTTTGTCAGACACTAATAAGCATTTAGAGAACAAGATAAGCTGACATTATGTCTACAGGGGGGGACAAAATTGACACAATCTTACAGTTCCTCACAGGAGCTTTAAAAAGTGATTCATAAGACCTTCTTTCAAGTCTAGAGCTGACAGATTTCCACTGAAACAAGTCGTTGAAATTAACTACTTACTTGGTTGCACGTATTTTACAGTATAGGGGAAAATGTTTGAAGCTAAGAGGTTATTACTTTACTACAAAGTGTCATTCAAAAATGGGCACCGTGGCCCGAGTCGTACCTATTTGCTTAGCTGTTAGCTAGCTAAATTTCCTTAATCTGCGTGGAGCTGTAGAACAGTACCAGACTCAGCAGCACTGATGGTAATTAAAGACTACCACTCAATCTTAAAGCTATAGAGCGTAACTTCTATCGCCCTGCATTAGTACAACAACACAGCCAGCACTTCAATATGACGAATGGCCTGGTGGTGATATTTTTTTTTTGTAGGACAGTAGGGGAAATTCCCACCTCCTTTGCCTCTGATTGGCTAGAAAAGCTGGAAACGTGCTCAAGCCAAACGCAGGCTGTTGGCTCTGTACATTGAACGGAACATAATCGCACTTCTGAATCTCCTAACCCTAACCCTAACCTTAACCCGGCAGATGATAACCCGGAGCTCAGTACTCGGTCCAGTACATGTAACAGCAACACATCCTGCTCATAATTAACAGAGTCACTTACTTATCCAGCAGTATCAAGGCAGCATTGGTGTCGTTCCTCAGTCCAATCTTCTCCTTTAGGGCTCTCCATCGAGGAAAAACGACGCCGATGTAAATACACGTTAGTCCTGTCCGTTTGTCCCTCTCTTTCTTCGCCAACACGTAGAAGTTATCTACTATAGCTTTAATGAAGGCCTATAATTCTGTGTACATTTAAGAAAGTAAGGTTCTTATTTGGACACTTCTGCTACTTCCTAATCATAAATATTCCACACCACACCTGAACATAAATATTTCTGATGAATTTCTGTCATTGTTTTGTCCTGTTGACTATTTTGCAACGGTCACAACACTCCAACCCTTCACGCCCACAAATAAGACACTTCATTTTTTTTTCTCTCTCACAGCAAACAGAGGTAGAAACTGTCATTTCTGACAAGACCTAAGGTTGCTAATGTTTTCCCAGGGGATTCGCCACTCATTATCCACTCTATTTGCTGCTAGCTGATGTGACATAGGGAGGGTGGGTGGCAGCTCTGACAGAATAATGCCTCACTTCAGGCTTCGGGGCTGCCATCCTGTTACGTCTCTGTACACTCAGTGGACAACAGTAGAGTACTTTTTCAAGTCTTTGAGTCGACTTGGATGCTACACTACAGAAAGTGGCATCGTATTTATAGGGTTAGGAAGTTAGTGTAGTGCCAAAGGAGTGAAAGGAATGAAAGGGTGCCATAGGAATTTGTAGATAGATAGATAGATAGATAGATAGATAGATAGATAGATAGATAGATAGATACTTTATTAAGAAGTGACATAGCTCTTTAGCCACGTCTCGGAGAAGATCAAAAGGCTGGTCTCGCGGAAGCACTGGTCAGTCTTGTACAGCGCCGTCAGTTCATCCAGCTTGTTTGGCAACGGGTTCACATTCCCCATGGTAACAGAGGTAATGGACAGCTTGACTTGCCTCCGACTGTTAGCATTCGCGTTAGCCTAGCCTTTTGTTTACGTCCGGCTTTCCTCCCTCTGTACCTGTGCTGCATTTCGGCCGGGATAAGATCACGAATACCAGGTCCTCCTCTGGTCTTATGGGAGGAGAGCATCTCCTCACAGGTGCACACCAGTAGAGCACCACTAGTTCGTGATAGATGATACGAGTGGGGGATGATCCATAAGTTAGGAAAAAACGTGAAAAATACAGAACAAACGCACGCTCCGAGCAACAGTACCTGCCACCGCTCGCACGTGCACAGACATAGATGGATGAAATATGCCTAAAACTTCCTTTTTTTTCGCATTTGACTAAATTTCCTGTTGAGTTCAGTAATAATCTAAACCGTGTTGAAGATTTCTTACCTCTCAGCCCCTGCCATCCTTTCTGTCACTGTCACACTTTGCTGATTTATACTGCGCTTTATATTCCTGAAACCTTTGGCTTGCAGGAAAAATTAACATATTAATGTTTGGTCCACATTTCCCATCAGTTTTATCATAATTTATTTTCACTTTTGGACGTTTCTGATGTTACATTCTTGCCTGAGACATAAAGACGTGCTTTCTCTATATGCTGCCCTCCATCATTATCTTTTATTCAGAGGACACAACTACAGGCCATTATCAATCTGTCAGTTCTGTCACATTAATTCTATCATCCTGTATGCTTGTATGTGTCTTTACATACAGATGACTTTTTTTCATGTGGCCTATTAGTGTGTGTGAGTGGGCGTGTGTGTATGTGTGTGTGTCGGGTACCTCATAGCTGACATGAATTGAAGGGTTGTTACAGGATTGAAAGTGTTGTGTAACGCTTTTAACTGAACAACACACACAACACATGTAGGTGTTCTTTCATCCAGAACCTTGAGGTGTATTTGTATTTGTTAGCGTGCAGATGTGCATATACTGAGCGTGATTATTGCATGTCAAAAGCCAGTACCTTGGTAAAAGTGGAAAAATGCGTGGGTGTGTGCTGCAGTGACAGTTGCAGTGGTGCCGGGGAAAAGAGAGGGGATGTGACGAAGAATGATGAAGTATTCAGGGTTCATCTTTTCCATCCTCTGAACCTCTCTTCTTCGCTCCCTCTTTCCCTGAATCCATGTGAATCCGCTTCAGATGTGGCTTACATTTATATCAAAACTGAAAGCGAGGGCTAGGACTCCATTAAAACATTAATCTAATTAATCAGAGGCTTTGTAATAAATTAATCCCAATTCATCGCATATGAATATTTGACCTGAGACCAACTTAGCTCTGAGTTAGTTAAGTTAGCTTCCATGCTAGCTGCAACGTGTTTAGTATTTAGGTGATATCGAAGGCTTGAGAGAGAAGATACTAACTCATAAACGATTGTTTGTCATACTTTTATTTGGGTAGGCAGGATCTGAGGAAGTGCCAGTTTTGGGGAGAAATCTTGAATGTAAACTCTACCCCTCCCAACCAGTTTTCCCCTCCCACAAACAGACGCTCCTGCTCGCTCGTATTGTTCCAATTAAATTTAGATATAATACAGATAAATACTTCAGATAATTACAAATGGGGCCCAGTCAAAGTGAAAGTAAAAAGCATTGGTGCTACTGTAGATGCCAACAGACAACCAGCAAACACAATGTTTGCAGGACTTGTACAACTAAGATAAAGTGACATAGTCCAGGACCCGAGGTCAACAGTTTAGCGGCGCTACAACACGCTACAGCAGGTCCCATTTGACAAGAAACACTTCTGTTAGAGACACTTGGCTTACTTTGTTAAAGCGGTTTACCTGTCCAACAGAAAGGTTACAGGGTCCGTAAATTAAATGTAAATTAGGATATTTCTACTTTTCCGAAATAAACCCGTCATAATGTCATAGTGTTAATAAAAATAAAAAAAAGAAGCTAACTCTGAGGAGTCACTGCCTCCAGCCATCAGTCGTTGACGGCTGGCAATCTTTTGGGATCAATTGAGCTATTTGTCCTCAGGCTCAGACTCGTCTAACATTCTGGAAAGCATTTTCATTATTAGATTATTCAGCTGTCTAGATTGTGAAAGTCTACATGAATCATAGAGCTAAAACCAGCTGCTAGTTAGCTTAGCACAGAGATATAGCCTTATGCTAATCAGGGAGCAATTGAGTTATAATATCAACAGCATAGACACGTTACTTCAAATCTACAGTCTGCATGATCTTTCTCAAGCTGTCACAAACCCATATCACCATTTAAGACCCCTCTTTCTCAGGTAAACAACCTCAGTGTACAAGAATTTGAGCTGTTATTACCAACACATTACTACAGCTGCAGTGTAGATACTGTCTGCCGCTACAGTGCTGCATCCCTGCAGATAACAAGAAAATGACGATACTAATGGAGTGTCTAATATCCAAGTTTCATTATGTGGGAAAATTTGGAAAACATGCTCAGAAAGTGGCCGAGACATGCAGCGGTGCAGTGAACAAAGTGTCTGAAAACAATAAGGCAGTGATAGAGAAAGAAAGCTATGATGCATTTAAAAACTTTAGAAAATAGATATAGTCCTCAAATCAGACAGCTCAGGTTCGACTCTGATTTGTGTTTTCTTGATACACAACCTTCCCTTCTCAGTTCTGCAAATTCTGGTACTCATCTAACAAGTGTAGGTTAGAAAGTATCAAGTAATAGACTTGTAAATAAGCTTGTGTCTTAGCCTTTGTGTGGACTAACAAGTCCATCCACATGCAGCACTGTTTTTTGCACAGCTCCATCCACAGATTTCTCAGCAAGCCTTGCAGGCCCAGAGCAGAGGTTCTTCAGGCCAGGGAACCTGAACCAGCAGGAGTCTCTGCCAAGAGATTTCTCACTGCACAGTAAAAATGGTACAAGTCCTTCCAGCAAACCAGAGGAATGAGCTAAACATACACTTTGAAATTGTCACAAGAAGGAAGTCATCCCGACACCTTCAAAGGGAATGTTTATCCCCGCAGGTTTCCTGATACTTCAGCATGAGTGCTCTGTACCAACATCGAGCAAGATGACTTTTTCTGCAAGAGGAAATAAAGACTGAAGTCAAAAATCCTTTATTTTGTTGCCACTATCCCAACAAAATATAGGATTTTTAACTTCATCAGAGTGCCTCAGATCTCCAGCTTTGATTGCCACCCTGCACCATGGACCTTTATTAACAACTGAAAGGCAAGTCACTGCTCTCATGCTCATTTAGACATCGTTTGTCCTCCTGAAGAGCAACTGATCCTCCATGGATACTCTGACCCCACGCAGAACTCACCCACTTGTTTTTTTTAATGTATCCTTTCCTTTTGTTTTAGACTACAAATGATTTGTGATTTGAACGTCATGAAATATATTTTGCTTTTCTTGCCTATGACTCGTGATGTGAGGTTGAGGATCGACCGACTTGCTCTGTAACATTTTTTTGATGACTGAAAATAATAATAATAATAATAACTTAGTTTTATATAAGGCCTTTCAAGTAACCCAAGGTCGCTTTACAAAAGGAGATGGGGCTAGGGGATAGAGGAGAGAGGAGGGGAGGGGGTAGAAGTGGGGGTGGGGGGCGGTGTGGTTAAGGACCATAGGCTTCAGTGAATAAAAAGATACTTTGCACATTTTAACCTCTTTTCCTCACCACATATAAAACGTGATATATCAGACATGAGAAATCACCTTTTAAGTTGGTATTGCTGCATTTTAACAAATCAGTAGTTTTCAAATGCTGTAAAAATGACCCTGATGTGAGTCATGTTTTGTCTGTCCAAATCAATCATCAATATTTGAGTGACTTGAATGCATTAATAATCCTCGAATATAAACATATAATGAAGCCTGATTTATGACCGATCCCGTATTTGTTTACATGGGAGATAAAATTGCATCTGCCATGTTTTCCAGTTCTGGCATCAATATTGTTGAACGGCCTCCAAGGGCACAGCTTACATCACGGACAGATGATGCTTTTAATTTTAACACCATACAGTACGTATAAATACAAAGATGTCAAGACGTGCAGAAAAAGACCAAAATACAGAACAAAAACTGATTTAATTTAAAAGAGAAAAATCCACAACAATCAGTGGGAGCAACAGGGGACACAAGCACACACATAGACACACAGACATACAATAAACCAACCAGGGCAGAGGGGAAGACAGGGACTATATACACACTGGGAAATGAGCAACAGGTGATGCAGATGAGACACAGGTGAGACTCGTGGGTGATTAACAAAGGAGGGAAAACTGGGGAAGTAGAAACACAAGGAATCAACTACTACTACAAAATAAAACAGGAAACACTGAAAACCGATCCAAAGATTAAAACTAAGAACAGGGTGGGAACACAAACTGGACTACAGGGGAACAGGAACACTAGAGGAAACAAAAAGAAAATACACTCAAATAAAAAAACCAGGGAAAAACTAAATTAACTGAACACATCATGACAAAGAAGAATATAGTAATGCTTATGCTGAGCTCTAGTTACCTCGGAAGTCATCTGGGAATGACGTTACACCCGAGTTAATAGCATTGGCGTCATAAAAGCAAGATGGACGCCTACTGTTAGCCATTATCAGCTGTTGTTAGTGGTTGTCAGCTTTTGTTAGCCGTTTTCAGTCGTTGTTTGTAGTTGTCTTCTGTTGTAAGCTGTTGTTAGATGTCGTTAGCTGTTGTCAGTTGTTGTTAGCTGTTGTCAGTTGTCGTAAGCCATTGTCAGTTGTTGTTAGCCATTGTCAGTTGTTGTTAGCCTTTAACAGTTGTTGTTAGCCATTGTCAGTTGTTGTTAGCCATTGTCAGTTGTTGTTAATTGTTAACAGTCATCATTAGCTGTTGTCAGTTGTTGCTAGCTGTTGTCAGTTGTTGTTGGCTGTTGTCAGTTGTCGTTAGCCGTTTTTAGTTATTGTTAGCAGTTGTCAGCTGTTATCAGTTGTTGTTAGCGGTTGCCAGTTGTTTGCGGTCGTCACTTGTTAGCTGTTGTTAGCTGTTATAAGCAGTTGTCAGCTGTTGTGAGCCATTGTAAGCGGTTGCCAGTTGTTGTTGTCAGTTGTCAGCTGTTGTCAGTTGTTGTTAGCGGTTGCCAGTTGTTGTTGGTGATTGTCAGTTGTTGTTAGCCGTTATCAGTTTTTGTTAGCGGTTGTCAGCCATTACCAGTTGTTGTTGTCAGTTGTCAGCTGTTGTTAGCTATTGTCAGTTGTTTTTAGCCATTATCAGTTGTTGTTGGCAGTTGTTAATTGTTGTTAGCTGTTGTAAGCAGTTGTCAGCTGTTGTTAGTTGTTGTCAGTTGTCAGCTGTTGTTAGCAGTTGTTAATTGTTGTTAGCTGTTGTAAGCAGTTGTCAGCTGTTGTTAGCTGTTGTCAGTTGTTGTTAGCTGTTCTCAGTTGTTGTTATTAGCTATTGTCAGTTGTCGTTAGCCATTATTAGTTGTTGTTAGCAGTTGTTAATCATTGTTAGCTGTTGTAAGCAGTTGTCAGCTGTTGTTAGCGTTTGTTGTCAGTTGTCAGCTGTCGTTAGCCTTTGTCAGTTCTTGTTAGCAGTTTTCAGCTGTTAGTTGTCGTTAGCTATACCTGTTGTAAACAACGTATAACACAGTATTTTACTCTGACAAACACCATAGCAACACATACCATTATTTAATATACAGAAACAAAACAGAAGTTCTAATAAAAATACAATACGAGAGCTTTCACTGTTACTTTTTACTGTTGATGCACTGCGCTGCCATCTTAGATTAGGACATCATCAAGTCAGGGTTGGTGAGGACTGTCTGACTTTCCAAGTTGGAAGTCCGACTTCAGGGGAACATTCCAGATTAATTTCTGACTTGTAGCTCGGAAATCTACAACTGGAGCGCAGCATTAGAAACAAAAACTACAAAAGGCAGTCAAATGTTACGCCTTGTAAAGGAGGAGCGTGACAGCTTTTGAAGCCGAATTATTACTACGATGAATTTCTTTTTGTCTGTCTTTGGTACAAAAAAGAAAAAAAATCAATGTAACCACCCGCATAGTCTAAGGAGGACAGATTCTAGGCTTCCATCATCCCCCACACAAACACACTCACACAGCCCAAAACGAGACAAACACCACTCAGCAGCAGCAGCAGCAGCAGATCACAGACTACTGTACAAACTGCCAAGGTTTGTAGCTGCAGGCGAACCAGCACCCTCATGCCCCCCCACCCTGCATCACGCTGATGTTTGATAGAGAAAGACAGAATTAAAAAAAACAGAGGAGAGACAAGGGGAAGGGCAAAGGATGAAACAATGAAGTATCAGAGAGAAAGTGATATGAAGAGCGAGCGCGAGGAAGTGTGTGTCTGTGTGTGTTATGTAAACCCCAGGTGGCGCTTGTTGTCCTGGATAGAAGTATCACCAAGGGGACGGCTGCTCCAGCTTAGCAAGTCTCTCACACCTCTCTCTGTTTTTTCTCCCTCTTCTCTCTCAATTTCCCCACAAACACAGCGTGTTTGCGTGAATCAGGAGGGGGAATAAAGAGGGCACTAAGAAAAAAGAGCAAAGGGAAAGGATACAAAAGTGATCTATCTGTTAAAAGAAGAAGAAGAGAGGGATGAATTCAGAAATGTCTAGTTTAGGGAAGTACAAACACCACCCTCAGCTTATTTTCTGGAGTCATGTGTGCGACTTGGGAGGTCTGATCTATTTTTCTCAGAGCTGTGGTTTCGTATTTCATCTCTTTCCTGGTGATTTTGTCTGAACTGTTTCCAAGCAGAAACCTGGGTAGAGATGCATCTGCATCACACACATTTCCACACCCACGCACACAAACACCCCTCCCTGTGGGGCTGTTGACGATAACAGCTTTTGCTCTACACCTGATGTATCTGCGGGGGATCGTCGCCTTCATGCTGAAACAGCAGGAAAAGCACCATCAGCACAGACGCTTTATGGTCCCTGTCCGACTGCTGACTTGGGCTTCAGTGTTCCAGATCTTGACCTCTACGGCTGCTGTGGAAATCCCAGTCCTGAACCCAGATCAGCACTTAAGACTGATTTCACTCCACTGAACAGCAGAGGCAACGGGAAACACATTAAGGAAAGTTCAGATCTGGGGCAACACTGCCCCCCAATGGTTCAGACAGAGTGGTGTAACATGTGAAGATGACGTAAAGGAGAGCTGTGGAAGTGGGTGCTCTTATGTATGTGCATGTAAAGATGACAGTATTCCTCCTATATGCAGTAAAGTAGTTCCAGGGCCACAGGGTGTGATTGTGGACTCTCCAAGGACTTTCTCCAGAAGCATCCTTCTAGTGTCTGTTTGCTTTTGTTTTTTAACCTAACAATGTTTCATTTATTCAGAATTTAGACACCTCTCAGTCCATTTCACGTGTTTGGTCCATCTAGTCGTGGCAGATGGTTTCTCAGCGTGAGTTTGCTTCTACCCAAGGTTTCTGCTTGGAAAAGTGAATGTTTTCTTTGACCAAGTTTGCTGGCTCATGTTGGGTCTCTATGTAGTAAAACAAAGAGGACAGTCCTGCTAGTCTCTATGGTCATTGGATACGTTGATTTGGCTCAATCAAAAGACGAAAGCAGACTGACTTAGGGTGACCATATTCTGAATCTTCCAAAAGAGGACAGGACAGTGCGGGGGCGTTGTTAATTTTGAGAGTTTCCGGGGTCGGGTCGAGTGTTTTTTACGTGCTTCTAACTCATTAAGTCCACATGACACAAACTCAAAACTTTCATACAAAACCCCAGACATTTGAATATTTTATAAACTCCCCTAGACAAGGCCAGGCAGCATCCCAAAAAGAGGACATGTCCGGGTAAAAGAGGACGTATGGAAACTTGAGACTACTTACGGGCAATTTCATGCCAGATAAAAGGATTTTGCTCGGACTAACCCTTTAACACAAGATATTTGATGCTTAGATGGGAGGAAAGAGACTTTTATGGGTGCTCTGGAGAGCTGTTGAATGTCCCGTGTAATTAAAGATGTTGCTTTAAAAGGAGCAGCGAATAATTGTAGCTCCTTTAGTGGGTATAAGTTTAAAAAAAAGCTGTCTTCAAATGGAGAAATGAAGTTCCAGAGAGTAAGTAGGACATTTTTAGGGTGTATCTGAATTGCAAAGCAAATAGATTTCCCATTTACCGGCCCGATGTAGAGCCACTGATGCTGAGGCAATAACATTTGGTCATTGCGCAGGAAGAGAAGGATGTTGCCACAGTGCCCAGAGGCAGCTCTGCTCGGGGCAGACTTTTCTCACTAACAACCCCCAGTAGGCAAAGAGCCGCAGGAAGATTTATCCACCCAGGGCTGGTCAGGAAACACCGAAGTTTAATGCAGTAAGAGATGACCTTATTAACACAATGGCTGTGTGCAACTTGTTTAAAAGTCATCTGGAATAACTTAGTTTAAAGGGATATTCTGACGTAAATTTGCCGACTGCTTGCTTCTCTAGTTATACCAACTTCAGCAATGATCAAACAATAGTGTAAACATCAACCAAAACGCCACTCTATAGCCACAAATAATGCTCAGAACAGCACCTAACTTCATCAACAGTACATATAGGGTCCCAGCCATAGTACTAGCCACCAAACATCTTTTTAGCTTTGCCTGATTTCTTTAGCAGAGAGACTAAATACAACTCACCTACTCTCTTCCAGCAGCTGCTTGTTTGTGGGGGAGCCCTGACGAGTCGATCACCGAGTGCATCATTTCCTTGAAGTAATAATCATCATAATAATCATTATGCACTGAAGACGCGGTAGTTCCTCTGCCTTAACCTCGGTCTGACTGCATTTCTATTAAGTAATAATCATAAATGTTCTTCCTTGAGCTGCGAAACTCCGCTGCACTTGGTGATCAACTTGTCAGGGCTTTGTTGATGAAGTTTGGTGCTGTTCTAAGCATTATTTGTGGCTATAGAGTGGCTTTTTTTGGTTGAGGTTTGCACATGGAGACATAGACCGCTGTGTATTGCTATCATGCGGTCATTGCTGAAGTTAGTATAACTAGAGAAGCAATGACTCGTCAACATTCATCTCTCGAGGGGGTGTCTAACTTGTTGTTACGGTGTGTTTGACCATTACTTAAATTTACGCCAGGATATCCCTTTAAATGCAAGGTGGAAAATAAAAGAAAATGGGTCTTGTTTATAAAACTCTGTCACAGCCCAATAAACTCGTCTCTGCCTTTCATAGGACTGAAGTGTGTCGAGTTACTTGGACTAACAAGAGAAAGTACAAATAATATATAAATGTGGATATGAGGTCGAGTTTAATGTGTGAGAGGCATCTTTATGAGGTGAGGTTTCCACGTTCACACCTGTAGTGACAATTTCTTGGACAACAGACCATAAGTCATAAATTATGTGAATAAACTTTGTATTTTCCTGAGTGGTTTTACTGATTATCACAGTGAGATTCTGGGGCTTTTTTGCATACTGTTTTAACAAGGATTTCAGCTGGGAATTTGTGAACTACTCCATGTTTTCTGTTTGTTGATGTCCCTTTGATGTGCATGGGAACATAGCAGAATGGCACAAGCTGTTCTTGGAGTCTGAATTCAAAATGTCCACAGTGGGAGCGAAACTGTCAAGTGAAATGCAAAACTAAGCGGTAGCGCCTCTCTCTAAAGAATGCAGAAATGACGAGTTTGCACTCCAATATGTTTGAATACATACTGCAAATAACCAGAGAGAGAGGTGATATTTTGTAAAGTCCCCGATGAAGAATTGTAAGGCTTGCACCTTAAAATGTTCAGCAAACTGTATGTAGAATACAGCTCTGTTTTGTTCACATCTCTTTTCTTCTTGACAAAAACCCATTTTCTTTATTTTCTTTTCTCCATTCGATCTAAAGCAGCAGCCAGGTGGAGGACCACATGCGTAAGAGTTAACAAATTACATATTTGCCCTTTGAGGACCCATCTGCTTTGTGTATGAATAACATTTTCCACATCCGCTCCTTTGCTGGTTGGCATTTCAGGTTCAGAGAAGCACAGCAATCAGGACTGCTGTAATAATATGATTGAATGCCTGAGGTGAGCACAAGAACTGAGGGAGGAAAGAGTATCAGAAATATGGAAATAAGCTTTATTATCCTCAGAACTGTACTTGAACTGTTGACTGTTGAAGCTACACAGTGGTCGTTTTTTTTTCCCCGAGAAATCAGACAAGTTGTTCTGCGTTTTGAAAAGACTTGCAGACTTGTTTTATCCCACACTCTGAGATAAATGAAACATCTCTCAGGGGCATTGATGCTTGCTTATGAAAGTAAATACTTCCTAAATTAAGCCTTTTTTTTGCTGCTTTTCTCTGACTCTACTAAAGTTCAGATTTAAATGCAAAAGAGAGAAGAAGTTTATTAGATTGATTTGTGTGATATTGAGTTATGTCCTCATTGTGCACAGTCTGAGCCTCAAGGTCTAGACAGATTTGTGTTATCTTTGAAAGGGACCAAATATGATTATGTTTCTGGTGACCTTTTATGCAAGAGAAAATTACAAATGTGGTTTAACCAAATCACTTTTCTGACGCTTTTATAAACATTTTTTTTACAAGTTTTAATCATAGACTGTATAAAGTACGGACAACTTGGCTCCACCTTCTGTCATTATACGGATTTGAAGTGACGTTGTACCCATTTGGTGGGAGAGTTGCTGTGATGACGCACGGCTCAAATAGTGTATCACCCGGGTGAGCTACGCAATCTTCATATGCCCATAAGCTGTCTCAAGTGTTAATCATAGAAAACATGAACCCCCTAATAACTTTTAAAAATGGAGCTGTACAGAAAAAAGAGTACTTGAGCACAAACCAGTCTTACAATAACTACATGTCAACATCACAACCAGGGGGGAAAAAAATTCATAATTCTGTGTAATTAATTCCTAAAGTTTGTCCACAGCTCCATAGGGATTGCTGGAGGAGGCGGGATTTATGACCTATACTGCAGCCCGTCACCAGAGGGTGCTGTTCTCATGGTTGCTTCACTCATTCTATATACAGTCTATGGTTTATATGAAGAAAATAGTGGCTTGAAGTGTTCACAAAGATCACACAGAGCATCATTTTCAGGCGGTAGAGTTGCATCTTCAGCGAAAAAATCTTGTAAAATCTCATTTCTCAAAGATAAATGAACCGTACTCTTGACAAAAAATGTCACACTGAAAACAGATGTTTTTAAAGTAGTTTGGTGTCTGACTAAGAGTTGTACCAGATGGTAAGTGATACTTGCTGATAGAAAAATCAACTTGAACCACATAACAATGCATTTTCCCTCAGCTCAAAATGTAGCTGCAGAGCTCTCGTATCAACATAAAAATAAGAGTATTTCATGGTTTTATTCATAAAACTCCACCTAAACCAAGGTCCATCAGCGGTGTATATAAACACCTCACTATGCAATCTACTATCAATCAAAGTTTGTCCTTTGCAGTCCTCTACGAACATTGCAGTGAAGGCATGATTTATTTGCAAAGGTCTCCTCAGGGGAATTCAGAACCGAGTTCAAACCTTTTAAGTATTGATTCTTGGAGCAATTCATAGCAGTAATCTCAGCTGGCCTTCACCAGTCTCTGTTTCATTGTGCGAGGACAGGTCCTCATTTACTGTCAAGTGTCTCTTCAGGAGCATTCGAGGGCGGTGGACACATGATATGTCTGCGTCTTCATCCTGCACTTCATCTCTCTAATCATCTGACACACAGCCAGAGGATAGCAGCAATACACTGTGGTCCAGTCCTCACACACACTGCCCTGTAGAGTTGCACGTAAACAGCCACACACAGACATGCAAACAGCAGAAGCGAACATGTGGACACGACAATGCAAATTATGGGTCTGTTGTATATTTTAGCTAAGAGCAGAAAAAACGTAATTAGCTCCCAAAGGGATATTCCGGCGTAAAATTAATTTAGGGTCAAACACATCATAACACCGAGTTAGACACCCCCCCGAGAGACGAATGTTGCCAACTGCTTGCTTCTCTAGTTATACCAACTTTAGTAACAACTGCACGATAGCAATACACAGAAGTCTGAGGAGCCATAAACAAACCTCAACCAAAACGCCACTCTATAGCCACAAATAATGTTCAGAACAGCACCTAACTTCATCAACAGTACATATAGGGTCCCAGCCATCGTACTAGCCATCAAAGATCTTTTTAGCTTTGCCTAATTTCTTGAGGAAAGAGACTTAACACAACTCACCAGCTCTCTTCCAGCAGCTGCTTGTTTGTATGGAGACCTCCAGGCGAGTCCATTGACTGCAGTGGAGTTTCGCAGCTCAAGCAGGAATATTTATGATCATTTCTTTATCATTTCTTTGAAGTAATAATCACCATCTTAATCATTTTGCACAGCAGACACGGTAGTTCTTCTGCCTTAGTGTCTCAGTCTGATTGCATTTCCATGAAGAAATGATCATAAATGTTCTTCCTTGAGCTGCATAACCCCGCTGTAGTCCGTAATAGACTGGCCCGAGGTCTCACTACAAACAAGCGGCTGCTGGAGGAGAGTGGGTGAGTTGTGTTTAGTCTCTGCATAAGAAACCAAGCAAAACTAAAGAGATGTTTGATGGCTAGTACTATTGCTGGGACCCTATTTGCACTGTTGATGAAGTTAGGTGCTGTTCTGAGCATTAATTGTGGTTATAGAGTATATTGCGGCAACATTCATCTCTCGAGGGGGGGTGTCTAACTCAGTGTTACGGTGTGTTTGACCCTAAATTAATTTTACGCCGGAATATCCGTTTAACAAATATCTTTTGTCGTGCACTTACTCTTATCTTGTACCGCTCCCTGATCCCAACTCGTAGAGCAAAAGTGGATCCTGGTAGCAGAGGCATGCACAGACACTCGCCATATTGATGAGCTAAACTCAAGTCCAAACAACATGGCACCAGCGCCCCGAGAAGACCTGCAAGAACACGCACAGCAAAGCAAAAGGTGTGTGTGAGGGATGTGGTTATCTCCCTCTGACAACAGAAAAGGCTGTGTTTTTTAAAGTACATGTTGTCTTGTCTCCACAGACGTCAAACAGGCCGGTGCTCCAGCCACCTCCCGTCTGCGTGATGGTCGTGATGGTCGTTGTTGTGACACCGAGGCCGGGCTGTGTGAGCACAGGGTCTGTCACTGCAGGGAAATTGTTCGATCTCAAGTTAAGTTTGCTTCCTGTGGTGGGGCTTGCTGCTTCCTCTTCTTGAAACGCCGACGATGAGGGTCTTGAGTGTGACAGTTCTGGTCTGAAATTGGATTTTTGATTAATTTTCTTTTGATTATTTATTTATTTATTTTTACTGATGGCTGAGTTACAAGAAAACAGAAATCAGGCAAATTAGTCTCCTTTTTTTCCTTCTCTGTAAACAGAAATTCAATTTATATCCTTTTTGTTCAGCTAAATTCCTTTTCCTATGGCTGCATGATTTGTACAAAGCTGCTCACAGATCAAAAATCACACTGTTGTCTTATAAATATTAAAGCAACATTATGATACAGCATTTCTCCTTCCATTCAGCTATGTAAGGCCCTCAGCAATACTTATGCACAGCAAATTGCAGGGAAAGCAAAATATAAATGAAATTACATTTTAATAGGAAGGAGCTGTGGCAACAATACGTTTAAGTAATGATCCTGTTTAATTGTCATTAATCACAGAGACACTAAAAAGCAGGAAAAGATTAAGAGGAAGCACAGCAGTCCAACAAGCAACAAAAAGATAAGTGAGCTGTTTGCTGTAACTGCATTATGCTCAGTGGTGACAGAAAGAAAAATACACTTACTGATGTGTGACTGTCGTCTGCTCCATGACTGGAAGCTTTATTGGCATCCAGGGGGGAGAGGCGAGGAGACAGAGAGGAAAGGGGTGAGCGAGGAGTCAGCAGGAACGAGGAGTCGGAGGTGGAGGGGGGGACAGAGTGACACTTCCCAGTGAGAGGGTGTGTGTCAGAGCAGATAAACCAGCAGACGTGCGGCTGGGCCAGAAGCTGCGTGACAGAGATAAGTCTTGTAGTTGTCCTCTTTCTGAGACTTTACTGTACCCCCCACTTATATGGAAAATGAAGAGAGGGGGCAGATCCACATCAGGGTGCAAGAGGATGAATGTCTGGCAAAAAATAATCACATGTTAATGCATTCACGCTCCAAACACAAAGTCAAAAACAGGTCCGAACAGACTCAGGTCTTATTCAAAGTTGTAGAGTAGTAGAGTGTGACAGAATTACAAAACATAAAACTTCAAAAAAGTGTAAAATAATTAGTTTAAATATGCCATAGGTTTATTTACAAAAGTTAAACATAATCTGGAATTAGTTTAAACCATGACAAAGATATACAGATACACTTACCTTTTAAGCAGTAGGTTAATAGAGACACATACAGGAAGGAGCTGGGAAGTGAGAGGTGCCTTTCTCAACCCAAAAAACACCCATGATTCATTTCAGGCTTACAGTTAATTATGCATTTCCTCTCTGTGGCCTGACACTGACCTTTAGTTGTAGTTTTTTTAGCAGTGTGGTGTGAGAGGTACGTGGCGGAAAGACACGTAGTGAAACTTTCACACACAGACTGTGCTTGAATAAGAAACAACAGATGTCAACAGATTTATTTATTGTCATTAACCCATTACCACCTGTTATCACACTATCAATTAATGTTCTGGAGTAATGTATGGATGTATTTCCAGAAAATATCAACATAATACATCAACGACAGAAGTGCATCACGTATTGACGCTAAAGTTCGCTAGCATACGACCTGCTACGGTTGCTAGGCAACAAGAGGAAGTTGGTGGTCCTCGTCTGAATAACGTTACGAAAATGCGCATTTAGACAAAAGTTTTCCCTGTTTTATCAGTTTAAATACGTGGACAGGCGATTGTTTTCATTTTTTAGCCTATATATGATAAGCTAAGTTTCTAAACTACTTAAAGTTACCTGGTTTTAGATTAAACTAGCATAAAGATTTGAGCATTATCTGCTCGTCTCGGCCGAAAGTGAGGGAAAAAGACGTTTTCTAACTTGCTACCTTGGCTTTAGTTACAACAGAGTAATTTTTTCCCCTTAGGATTTAGCTATCTTTTGTCTCCATTCACTGAAACCTAAATTAATTTACCCTCAGTCAGGTCTGTGTACTTCATGACAGATACCCCCTCACAGTTATACATTCATTTATCAGAAAGCTCTGGCTCCAAGGTCATTGTTAGTACCTACCCTTTGGGCACAAATAAGAACTTTGTCAAAGCTTTGACGCTCTCATGAGAAGATCCCTGCCTTATTGTGGCCCAGTCTTATTTATATCCCCAAATGAAATAAACAACACAGGGCCAAGAGACTGAAAATAAGGAGGCAGAGTATTCCATCTGTTTTATTTTGCTGAAAAAACACAAGTCAGACGAGAACCATACATGGAAAAACAGAAGAAAGAAATAGAAAGCTGTCTGACAGGCTGACAAAACACAAGGGAACCATATTATCTGCATTTAATGTAAGACCAGCAGACACATATGTTAACAACAGATGTCCAGGAGACTACAGTGAGCAATGCCATTATTTCCCGATGCAGGCAATGTAGACATAAAAAGATCGGCTTATTGTTGTCAAAAATACTTTTATTTAAAAGCGTTCTTGTACAGTCGGTTTCTTACTTTTGTGCATTGTGTGAAACAGGAAGAGTGACACAAAGACAAACAGCCAAAATAAAGTTAAACTGATCACAAGGACTGAACAAAAGATAAACCTCAGTTTTATGAACCCAAACAGCATTTCCTGGAAATTTTTAAGGTTGTGTTTTGTTTTTCCTGCACCTTTAAAGAGCCCCATTTAAGTATAAAGACCCTATTCCAGTGAAATAGGGTTATAAAACCCCAAACTATCTCGGTTGTGTAGACTAAAGCTGAATACACTGCAAATCTGTGTCTAAAGGGAAAGTAGAAACAAACTTTTAAAGTCCCATTTGTTCCAGATATTCCCTTGGATCACACTCAACAGGGAAACACTGCGTAACAATGAAGCCCTGTGTACCTGTCAAATCTGATTGTGAAGTAAAATGTGCAGTACATGAATGTGAATGGTAAGAGTATTGTTCTGAGTCATTATTCTATGGCTTTTAGTCAAAACTACTCACTCTGCTGTAACATTTTTATGATGTCTTCAAACGTTTTACTGAGGTAACACTGCAGAGTGTGTCCCCTTGTGCCTGTGTGTGTGTTTGTCTTAATGGGAGACTCATAGTTCCTCTAATGGACCAGATAAACCAGAGTGTCCCCGATGTCCACTGTGAGGCCGTTGTCAGCCAGAGTCACCCTCTTCTCCTCCAGATTGACGTTGAACACAGATTTAGTAGAGATAGGCAGTTTGCCCCGTTCCTCGTGTCCCAGGACGGGCACCCGGCGGGGCCCCAGCACGGGGTCCTCGTACCTCATCAGCTTCACTCTGGATAGATCTGGTGAAGGGAAATCAGATGGTCAGAGAGGAGGGAGAAAGAGAGGGGAATATCTGAAAAAGAGAAAGGTACGGCAGCCCTGGAGGGAAGTGTCAGAGGCAGGGTGCAGGAAAGGTATGATACGATGATGAAGAAGGAGTGCACAGCCTCTGTGAGCAAAACAGCATGTCAGAGGACAAGAGGGGAGACTTGGGTGGTGGAGTGAGATCGTAATTGGCTGCTTGATTCAGTCCAGTCAAGAGGATGTGTTATGCTATGTGTGGAGATTCATTTTTGACCCAAGTGGAGAAATACATGAGAACCAGGGATGGGAATTTTTAAGATTTTATCAATATCGATTCTGCTTATCGATTCAGTTCTTTAACGTGACCCTTATCAATGCCTTTCTTTGATTTAAAAAAAAAATAGACAATAGGTTTTCACCATTAACTCAAAATTTTATTGAGTCTCTAATAACAGAGAAAGATATATTATTACTGGCTAAAACGAACAGTTAAATAAAAAAAACCATTAAATCGCTATCGTCTAAAAATAATCAAACAACAAACTATTTGTACAGCTTTTACTTCCGTCGGTATTAGGTCGAATACATAATACGTTGTTAAGTCTGGCATGTCATACATACCTTCCATGCCGTGCGGAGTCGGAGGGGCTGACGACCGGAGGCGAGCATCGAATACATGTGGCTCCATATATGACAAATGTTTAAGCATGTCACTGGTGCTTCCACCTTCGCATGTTTTCACTGCTCGACAAATGTTCAAATCGCGCTGTTGTCGTCTTTCTAAGTGAAATGAAACCACGCTTCAGTTCTTTTCTGCCTACTTTACGTACCGTTCGCCATGTTTTTTTCTCTGTCTCTGTTCTTGTTTGCGTAGACTGGCAGTCACGAGACCGTTTCTCAAGACACCCGGAAGAAAGGAATCAGTAAGATAAAATGTAAACGATGAAGAACCGGTAACTGATTCCCATCCCTAATGAGAACATCACCCCGTGGTTCAGAAATGTTCTCATCCGATCTCGACAACACTTTGATCATTTGGTAATGATATATTATTTCCACTGAAGAGCCAATTTCAGGCTTTCAGACGAAGCTTGATAAGTTTTTCTCCATACTTAAAATACATGTTACTAACCTTTGATGAGTCTGTTGACCTTGGCTAGCCTACGGATGACGCTGTCTCTGCTGTCTCCCTGCCGGATGTCAACCTTTGTGGAAAACAGGCCGTTGGATGGCTGAGGGTTGACCAGGGAAACACACACCCCAGGCTGGAAAGAGAGGCATGAGAACACACTCTTAAAAGTTGACTTAAAGCAGTGGAAAGACACACAAATATTAAAAGATCAAAGATTAAAAAAAATAATGAAAACACAGAAGGAAATGAAAACTCTAGATGTCACAAGCTAATAAAGAGTTGGACCCTCCATCTTACTGACAACAAAACGAACAGAGCCTACTTTAGAGGATCAAAACATTTACCTCTGTTCTGAAAACACTGAACGGTTTCCCAGGGCAACAGTCCTCCTTCACTTTGTCATCTGCTTCAGAAGCAAACAGGACGTCTATCTGCTCCAGCTGATGAGAGAGACAGTGATCATTAGCTCGATGTGTTACAAGATAACTGTATAAAGGTGTGTTTTGTATGCACAGATCCAGGATTTCCTCTTTCTGCAAAGTCAATATTCAGGTTGAGATTGAGATTACCCAAAGAAAAAGCTCAGTAAAGAGTAAGACCCCAAAAAGTACCAAAATGTCTGCAGAAACCTTTCATGATGCAACAACTTCTCCTGAAACCATCCTTGCAGAAAACTACATATTAAGACAAGACTGAATATGAGACTTTTAGTCATACAGCATGAAGAATATCTGTATCATTTAGCGTCAGTGTAGCTGCTCTTTATTTGGCTTTCATCTATTGAAAACACGGGTCTTCGGTCCCTGGTGCTCCTTCGATGAAAATGTGTACAACTTTCCTCTCCGGTTGGTAAATCTGTGCTGGATTCACCGAAAGTATACTGGAGACTTGGGTTTTAATATTTGACAAGGCTAAGCCTCCGTGCAGAGAAAAGTATTAAGGGCTTTCCGAGCTGACAACTGCGCTCAGGGTTTTCTCCACTGACTTTTGCAGAAGTAGTGAAACTCGGCTTCTTCAAAGCTGAACTGTTTCTTTCAGGCGAACCAAAATGCTGCAACTTCGTGTTACGGCTCGACAAACAGAGATTAACTGAGGTATCTTGTTCTGTTTGTTGCTCATATCTGAAACCGCCCTCTGGTGTAAAATGTGGTCAAAGTGTAGATTTTGTTTCTTTTCTTTTTTTGGCTTCATGGGGTTGCAGTCTATTCGAACACATTAACTTCTTTATGGGTGGCTTCGTCACAAACTCAGGAGCCCCTCAGGCGTGCTCTTAGCTTGAACATACTTTTAAGTGGGGTCATCTTCAAATGTCACGTCTGATTTAAAGCAGCTGAACAGAGTTTTCATTTTCTGTTGATTTTGGCGGCCACTATGGACAAAAGCGGTACTGTTTTAGCACGTATTGTTGTACAGAAACTAACTTTTTTGAGAGCAGTTTGAGGCGACTTATTTTGTAAATGTATCTAAAATGGGAAGTGAGTCTGGGTCAGCCCGCCGCAGAGTGTGAGACAGATGTGGAGCAGCAGGATGACTGAAGTTAGTGACACAGAGCTGCTCTGTCTGCCTGCCTGTCTGTCTGTCTGTCTGTCTCCGGTGTGGAGGAGCTTCTCACTCAGTGGCTGCAGCTGTAGCACGACACAGTGTCTGCAGGAGTTGTCACACGTTGTCACCTTTTGTGTAGTGACAGTAAAATGCGCGTTTTCAGTGCAAATAAAGAGAAAAAACGTGTATCTCTGGTCTGAGTGCTGTAAATCGTTCTGTTTGTGGTCCCAACCCGACCGCTGGCTCCCGTTTTCCCTATTTAGAAATAGCTTATCTTCACACAGATGGGCTCATTCACTGTTGCAGGTGACAGGGAGACATCAGCAGAAACGAGAGGTTTTTGGTATCGCTTTATTTGACGCCTATCTCTATAACGCATTATAAATATATGTCTAATGCGTTATAATCACGTTATAGTGCTATATAACTGTAATGCATTATAAATATATGTATAATGCATTATAAACACGTTATAGCACTGTATAACAATATTTAGAAAGCCTCATAAATGATCATAACGCTTTATAGCAATAGTCATTACACATTATAAAGCATTTTATCATGACTTACAAGGTCAGGAATTATAATGTGTCTTATTGTTATAAAGCTTTATGATAATGAGTGTTTATAATGATAGTTATACAACTTTATAAGCAAATTATAACACATAAATATAAATATAATGCATTATCTAAGTGGGCATTGTCAGTGAGTTGTTAACAGTCAGAACACATTACAATACCTGACCTTGTAAGTCATGATAAAATGTTATAATTATTGCTATAAAGCATTATTATCATTTATGAGTGTTTATAACTATAATTATACAGTGCTGTAACGTGGTTTTAACGCATTATACTTGCATTTATAATGGGTTATAGAGATAGGTGTCAAGTTAAGAGTTACAGATTTTTTTTAATCTAGTTAAAAGTTCCATACAGGACGTTTAGGGGGTGTTGGACCACTTCATATACCTCCAGAGAGTTGGTTAAGTAGACCAGGTTCTCCATTAGGACTGCCCGCTCATCAAACTCCAGCTCCAGATCCAACACCCTGGGGCCGTTCTTCTCCAGGTTCTCCTACAAAACAAAAAACACAAGCCAAATAATAAGACGCTACATCAGCACAAAAAGTGAGTTAGAATTTGAAAATCTAAACCTTCAGGATTATAAAACACAGTTTAAAATTTGCGACATGTCTAACAAGCCAGGAGTTGGAAGAGGAAGACTGCGATGTTTTATCCACCCTTCTGTAGAAGTCAAGGCTCTAAATTCAGCTCTACGCTGAAACTCATTGTTATGCTGCGGCTGTCGTCATGAGATTATCAAGGAGCAAAAATGCTTTGTGAATAAGCACGGCAAAACAAACCATCAAACAAAGAGAGCTGGGAGAGAAACAACGACTAAAGGAGCAACTTGAGAGAGAAAAACCCTGGACAAATACAAAGCTAATCATGATTATTTATGAGTTTCTTTTTGTTTGATCACCGTAGAGAAACAGAGACACCTGAACGAGTTCTGAGAGCCCGGCGAAAATTTAATAAGCATCGTGGATACAATCATTTGTTTGCAACTTGACCTCGATTCCAGCGGAAACAAAAACAGAAGTCACACTTAAAATCTAATTTGGTCATTTTCCTGTCTCAGATGTGATGAGTGATTACTCCGAACAGATCAAACCACTTGACATAAAAATTATTCAGTTTAGAATCAGCTTGAAATTGAATTTAATCTGAATCTCTGAGCTCTGCAGAAGAAATATAAAAGACAGGACAAAGTTTGTGAACAAAACAAACATCAAGTCCTGCGGCAAAGATATTGATGGTATAAAAAAAAAACAGCAAACAAATGAAGATACAAGCCGAGACAGCCTGTCCAAAGTGTGATTTTGTTTTCTCTCAGATCAATGAAACACATCAAAAGCTGCAGGCCATGTTTTCAGTAACTTCTTTGGAATTTCAATGCTAAACCACTTTTGTTATTGGCTACAGTTTTTGTCTTTGTTCAGCACCAAAGAAGAATGAGAACAACAATGGCTTTTGAAGCTGCAGACTCCAATCTCTTTACAGAATTACTAAAGCGCACGGTGAAATGAGCAGAAGCAGAAGAAGAGACACTTCAGGACTAAGTGAGCCCAATTAGGTGGTTAACAAAGACCCACTCGCACAATAGAGCAAAAACAAACACAAGAAAAAGACACCATGAAGTCACATATACAGTACAAAAAACACTGATAAATATGGATTCATTTATTGCCCATGGTAGAGATTTAAAAGGATGTGAGGGGACAGTGTGTGCTCTGCAAACGCAACTATAATAATCAGTGCGTTCATTCAGAGCTCATACGGCACGTTTCAGTGTTGTTTTCTCTTCAGGTTGTTTTGGGCACAGAACCTTCTGTTTTGCCATCCTGAAAAAAAGTGCTGTATGAGCTCTGAATAATTCTGGAGTCCAGCCGTAACGCCAAAGCTCGTTTCTTGTTCTCTTGACATCTGAGTAAGGTTCACTTCCGGGTCACGAAACTTTCTACAGACGAAAAAGTCTAAATCAGATCAAACTAAGATTACCAGATTTCTGTCAACTGTGTGATCACAGACAACAAATCGGTACTACTTAGTAGCAGCACATGCTCCAAATATCCCCCCATAAAATCTGTTGTTCAGGACTGCGTGCAACATGCTAACTTGCGCTTCCTACCTACTCGGCTACTGTAATAACCGTTGTTCTAGTCTACACCCAACATTTTTTTTTCTCATTCATGAAACGCTTAAATCAGGGACATTTCCAGGGACAGCCTTAGCCAGGGACAGGTTTATCTAATACGGGGATTGTCCCCCGAAATCGGGGACGTCTGGTTACCTAAGGCTATGTTCACACTGCAGGTCAAATCAGATTTTTTAACCATATGTGACACATATCTGATTTTTTCATCTAAGTGTGAACAGTGCAATTCTGATTTTTTCTCAGGTCACGTTCATCCGACCTATACGTCATCAATATGCGACGTCACCATTGTTCGACAACACAAACAGGCGCGGAAAGGCTTTGTGCGCATGCGGGTCAATTCACGGACGCTTTCTGTTCACATTAGATGCCACATTCGGTGTTGTAATGTAAACGACCGCACAAAAAGATCGGATTTAACCAAAAAATCCGAATTGTGCATCATAACCTTCAGTGTTAACGTAGCCTTAGATAAAACTGTTGTTATCCATTTATCCCATTTTCATTTGAGCTGAAGAAAACAGAAATCGGACAATGAGCCGTTATCTTTTTTTCATTTTCATTTTAGAGAAGAATATTTAGAAAACAATTTGTTTCCTCGTTTTTTCAATTTTGGTTTTATTTTGAGAATTAAATGAACAAATGAAACACAGATTTATAACGTCACTCCTTCCAGCTTTTACCTTTATCATGGCCACAAAAGGCATGACTCTCTTCATGTATTTCTTCAGTTCAGGCAGGGCTCCCAACTCACTCGCTATCACTTTGTTGTCTGGGAGGATCCCATTGTTGCTCTGGATACAAAACAAGAGAAAGAAAAATAACAATATTACAGAGCAGACAGAATAATTTATGCAATCACAAGATGAAATTGTGTAAACTCTCTGAAAGTAATACAGAGCACAAGTAGCTGCAGACATTTTGAAGTGTGTCTGGAAAGCAAATCAGTGCAGTTGTTCATTAAGCATGAATGCTGTCCTTTGACTTAAACAGAGGCATCTGTAGGCAAAGAGCAAACCCAAAATACGAGGATTTCAAAGAAGAAGATCCACTTAGCCCGAGGTTTCACCAACTAACGGACCAGTCAACTATTTCAATCACCAGTCAGCATTGAAGGCAAAAGTCCACTCATTTTCATTATCACTAGAACTCTTCTTCTCTGACTGTCTTGTTTTGTATTACAATAAGTCTAGGGCTGCACGATTTTGGCCAAAAATAAAGGCCCAACTCAACTAGAAGTGGGTTTCTCTGCTATAAAAGACTTCACTTACCATCATATATTTATCAGAAATCTCTGTCAAATGAGGAAAAATATCCTTAAGAGACACAGAGGTGAAACATTCACTGGTGATTATGTTTGTTTCTCACCTTGTAGTGCTTCCCAAGCAGGGATAAGGCGCTGTGCTGCCATGGCGGGTAGCTCTTGGCAACATAAATGGAGCAGTGGGAGGGCTTGGCTGGTGGTTTTGAGTCACCTTTCTGTTGGAGAAAAAAAAAAGGGGGGGGAATTCAGACTCATCTAATTTCTCCTCTCGGTCAGGTACCTGAGCCTTTGATGGTTCTTAATTCATTCACTGCAGTGACGGCATATGTTTCTGGGGTGGGTGACCTAAATGTGCCTGGATTATTTAAGAAGCATCTTTGTGGATGTGTGCCATCTTCTGAGATGAAGATGGGGATCCGTTAACTTATCCTATGTGACAGCTGTCGTGTCTACTTAAGTCTTGAACCCTGTGCACGTCTGTTATGTCATTTCCACAAATGAGTCTTCAAGGGACGGTATAAATACGATCAATTAAACATTATAAAGATAGATAAAGCTGCCTTGAAGAGAGAAGCTTTGACCTGTCAAGTTTAACATCTTTACCAAGACAGTGCCATTAAGAACAACTCATCTTTCTGTGTTTGTTCAGACTAAAAAGACAGAATCTTCTCTCAGTCCTTTCATCTCTTTTTTTTTTCTTCAATCACTCCTTTATCTTGCCCTCGCCGCAACAAAACATTTTCAGTCAATCGATAACAGCAGTCAGGAAGGCTGTGATATCGGCTGTCTGCAGGTCTTGTCAATACTCGTTTTGCTTCGCTCTGAGCTGCCGACAGTCACTTATCGAAGTGCCGAACTAACAGTTAACCCACCGTGTCCTGGCTTTTCTGAACAAAACTCAGGCTTAAATCTTGAGGTGTGTGCGAGCGGGTCACCTGAACAACTTTATTTAAAGAGTCTAGTATAATGATTTTGGTGCAGCATAAGAAGCCTGAACATATCAGAGAGAAGGGAGACAACCTCAATAATCTACAGCTTCTGGGCCTCTGTACTTTTTACACATGCTTACAGGGTTTGTCAGAATTAAGGTAATTCTCCTGTTCTGTTTAAAGAAGCACAACCAGGGGATTGTGCGTTTTAGGGGTGTAATGGTATGAAAATTCTACCTCAAGGTTATTGTGAACAAAATAATTATGGTTTTCAGTATGATCGCGCAATTTTTTAAAATTTATTCAAAGGCACTGATTACGTCATTTTTTATGCTTTTATCAAGCGCAAAACAACGTCTTGTTTTCACTGTTTCATCCTATCTGGACAGGATTACTGTCTTCAACTAAATGTTCCCTTGATATTCCTACAAAACCCAAAACATGCCCATACTGCAGACTGGGTCCTCTTTAGAGGGCTGATGGACGTTTTTGGCACTGTCGTCTCCTCCTTCTTGGATGAAGCTAAATCCAAGTTTAGCTTCATCCGAGTGAAGCTAGATAAAAGCCGACACACCTTAAAAATTAGTTTTTTTCTTAGGTGGCTCCACCTCGGACTCATATGAATCAGTATACATTCGTGCGGCACACTGAGAAGCACACCCACTGAGTATTAGCATTAGTGAGATATCGTCGGCAACCATACAGCTGATTAATTAGTGAGTTTTTGTCCTCCATCACACAGCTGATTCATTCCACACCCACCCACCGGTTTTTGAAATGAAAACGTTAATCGTTATCGTCAACATTTTTACAACAAATTACTGTTACACTGGTTACCGTTACATCCCTCGTGTGTTAAAATGGCTAATGTTTTTAACAAAGCTTGAGTACAATGCTGTGTTCGGAAGTCAAAAGCCTGAGCTGGGAATGACGTCACATCCAAGTTCCCAGCGTTTCAGTGACCAAGTCGGAAGAAAGCAAAATCAGAGGCGGAAACAAGATGGCTACATCTGCGAAAGTTATTTTAGCGCTTGCCTTGTCCAAATTTATATTCTATTAGGAGACTGAATTTAACAGATGACCTAAAACAGAGAGCTAATGCTACATTCGAGTTACCTCGGGGGTCAGATGTCCGAACTGGGACACCACACCTGATTTACCGGCACCAAGTCGGAAAAAGCTAAATTGGAGGCGGAAACAAGATGGCTACATCTATGAAAGTTATTTTAGTGCTTGCCTTGTCGGACAAGGTAAGCGCTAAAATAACTTTTAACAGAAGTTTTTAAATGAGTCTAGCTTGCCTTGTAAGAATTTATATTCGGACAAGGAAAGCGCCAAAATAAAGTTCGTAGATGTAGCCATCTTGTTTCTGCCTCCGATTTTGCTTTTTTTTGGCTAAAATAACTTTCTACATCTACTAAAGTTATTTTAGCGCTTGCCTTGTCAGAATTTATATTCGGACAAGGCAAGCACTAAAATAATTTTCGTAGATGTAGCCATCTTGTTTCCGCCTCCAATTTTGCTTTTTTTCCGACTTGGCGCTGGTAACTCAGGTGTGACGTCTGTCCCAGCTCGGACATCTGACTCCTGAGGTAACTCAAACGTAGCATTAGCTCTCAGTTTTAGGTCATCTGGTAAATTCAGTCTCCTAACAGATTGAATGAGTGATTGAAAAGTTATTTTAACAAAACTCTATTAAACACGACGTAAGCTTGCTTTCAGCATGCTGCCTGATATTTTCACACTTTTTATTGTTCTGTTTTTGCAATTTTCTGCCTCACTGTGCTCCCTGTCACACAAACACCACCCTGTTAAACAACACCTAAGGGAGACTGACTAGGACTCCAGACTGCCTCAGATTTAATTATAACTCCTGCTGTACTTTGAGATGAGTGCAGTACTTCATTGAAACCTCTTCGAAAAGAAAACAATCAATTTCGAAAAATCCATATTCATTTTCAAAGTTATGACAAAGCCATTACAGTAGTTTAGGAAACTAGCAGTGAAGCATGTCAAATAAAACAGGCAATTATCTTACTTTGTTTTTGGGCGGCTGCATGTAAGCTTTGAGCCTCAGGCGGAGGTCATGCGCCGTCTCCATCAGGTACTGAGAGGACCGGATCAGAATTTCGTCGACTGGACCTGCTACAGGCCATGATGCTGTCCTCAGAGAACCGGCCTGACAAAGAGAGGAGGGAGGGAAATGGGGTGAGAGAAGTTTGAGGACTAAAGTCTGAGGTGTGTATGCACAAAAACACAACAATAATTTAAAGTCCACAGGAGCTTCTGAATCCTATTAACTCCACAGCCAGGGGGTCAAACCATCCTCTAAACAAACAATCCACACAACATGTCAAGTGTGTAAGAATCCCAGACTGATGTGTGCACCTCTGTGTCCACTGAGTGCCTCTTAGCTCTTTGGCTAGCGGCGCTGTACACATGATTGGAGCTGAGGGGCTTTTGTTGTTGCTAAGCGACGACCAAAAAAAAACCTGCTCTGGCGCAGCAGCACTCTTTCATATTCATAAATTTGAGTGTTAAAAATATTTCTGGCTCTCAGTGCTGTTTGGAGGGTACAACAGTGTGTGCATTCCTCGTATACTGATGAGGAAAAGAGGCCCCTGGTGTGAAAAAAACAGGCTCACGGTGAAAACGCTCAGGCAGCAAAGGGATTCAGTGGGTTAGTCACCGTTTCACACAGAGGAGCGAGCACTGGGACCAGGATTTTAGCGCCCTGTGCATGTTGTGTTCCCATCTTATGTCATGTTTTAATGTCTTCATTTGACTCAGTTTAAGTCCAGTTATTCAGATTTATGATGCACCACTTGTGAAAATTGGGACCAGGGTGTTTGGAATAACAATTTCACTCACAGCTGACAATGACATTACGTCTTTGCAGCTTTTGAGTCAGAGATGTGATGTATTTAAATGATTGCTGGTTCTTCCTTTTTTTTTAAGTCTAATGTCTATAGATAACATCTTATAAACTGCATGTTCTTAATCTTTCTCAGAGACCGTGTTGTACTCACACACGGCGCACACTTTCCTTCATGTTTGATCCTAAAAATAAATCAGGTTGTCCAGCAGGGGACTTCTTCTGCCAAATGAAAAACTTCTCTGAATCAGCAGTAAGGAGCAGTGGCTTTCCAGATTTACAGTGATGAAGATGAAGATAAAGATGAAGATAGGATGTTATAGCATACAGACAATCATTGGCTACTGACACTGGTGCATAACACAGTACTTGCTGATGTGCAAATGTCTGTCAACGGGGTTGATATTTGCCAAATCCACTGTGCAACTGATTCATGGGTGCATCCCTAACTTATAAAGCATATTTTTTAAAAAACAACTAATTCTGACCAAGTTGGCCTGGGACGATAACAAATTTTGCTGGATGATATATTGTCCCACAAATAATTGACGATAAGCGATATTATTATCGACATTATTGAGACCAAAATAACCACTTATGTAATGTTAGTATATCACATATTTTCTGGAAGGCAATTCGTATTGCCGGTCAAAAACTTTCTGTGGGCGCACACCATTTTGCACTGTTCCGACTGTACTTGCTTTGTCGACCAAACGCTTTTCGTAAGCGTTGACTGTCGGGCCGACGGCTCTGCATCTCGGGTGTAGTGTTAGGCGGTAAGACAGTATATATTGTGTGACGGTATAAAGTGTCTACCGGTGGAAAGTTTGCGATACCGTTTATATCAGAGAGAGAGAGAGAGCACAGATGTCTGCTGCATCTCTCTGAGTCAGTGTGTAGTTCATCCGTTTGGGTGCGTTTCCATATATTCACCAGCGCATCGTGCGGAGTTTGTTCGCTCCGTTTGATTGGTCAGGTTTGGGTGCGCCCCCAAAAATCACCAGCGTGTCCAGCAGACTGCTTGGCATAGTTTCGACGAAGAAGAAACAACTTGACTGGTGGTGGTCATGGCGGAGGAGGGATAAGTGGCAGTACCGAGCAAACGGAGGCAGCCCAACCCACCCAACACGAGGAAGAGGAGGAGGAACTCAAAACTCAGTCGCAACATCGGTTGTCTGGAGATTCTTCGGATTTAGAACATCCATTTAAATCAATAATCAAAAAACAATAACATGCAAAGAGTTGTCGTTGCTGGAGGAGGAAACACCAGCAACCTCTTCCACTCAGCTGGGAAAACTCGACCGGGTGATTGTGTTTGAGGTGGCTATGCAAGTTCGTTGTATTGGCTTCTTTTTTTGTCGCTACCATTTTTAAACAAAGTCGGCATACTGTCTCGACTGTGTTGACGATTCCACCTTACTCATTGGGCTTGAAATATCCCCACATCGGGGCTGTGGCATTTGGCTTTGCATTAAGCTCTTCCATGCTCCTCACGAAGCTCACTTGCTGCAGTCTGTTCGTGTGTGCTTGCGGTTCCGCCTCCCCCCCACAGTCACAAAGATCCTGAATGAATGACAAGATGGTTCACTCCCTTCATTTCATTCCACTAAAGCACAAACGCACCCAGGTGCTGAGACCGATGCGCAGAGTGAACCCTCTTGTCATCCGGCGTGTTTGGAGGCGTGAGACGGGGAAAACAAATACAGGTATGCACATGGCGATACATCGAGGCCGGAAAAATTATCAAATTCATTTTCATTTATCGTGCGATTAATTGATTTAACAGATACAACAAGAAAATAACTATAAACAGCAAAACATGCTTTTGTAACAGCGTACTATAAAAGGATAGTGACCCTTTCATCTCTAAGGGAACGCCAAAGAGAAAGTTCAAGTCTTCAAAAATGATTCAAAGCATTAAGCTGTTCCACAAGGTAGGGCCTGATTGCCCCCGTTTCTAAGACAAGCTTTAGGTGAATCTGATTGGTTGACCTCAGCGCTCCAGCTGGAGTATGAACACGGCTAAGCTCTGTGATGACAGGCGGTGCATATCCATTACAGGCCTTAAAGGTCAGCAACTGAATTTTAAAACATATCCTGTGAGGGACTGGAAGCCAGTGAAGGGACAGCAACACAGGTGTGATGATGAGGTCCCTCTTTCTTCTCAGTCAGAGGGCGAACAGCAGCGTTTCGAACAGGAAAGGACTATAAAAGCATGTTTCACCCTCTCTGAATCTTTAGCAGAGAGATGGGCATTTCAGCTGAGGAGCACACAAGCAACATAAAATCCAAAACCTGGTGAAAATGTGACATTTCTCACCTTCCCCAGCAGACTCCAGGTGTATTCACAAAGATGGGGGCAGATGGGGGCCAGCAGCAGAGTTTGTCTCTCTATGAACTGGAAGACCAGGTCTCTGTGCATGCCCTCGATAGCCAGCTCACGGTACTTATCTTTGGCTGCCTGTAGACACAAATAAAAGGAGTTTAAAGATCATTTCATTGGCCATCCAACGATTCTGAAACTATCTAGGAAACACTTGAAGATGGCATCTGAATCGTCAGTCATGGTCTGTTTTATCTACTGTGTGATCTGTCGTTGCAGCATCTCTGATACTATGACGTTTAATGCTGAGTGGGGATGAGAAGCTTTCTCATCTGATGATGATTTGCGAAGCGTTTTCTTTACCTGGAACTCGAAGAAGCCGCTCTTCAGAGCCTCTTTGAACATCATCCTGTCGTAGTGCTGCTCCGTCTTCAAGATACCGGAATTTATCTCACTGGACGGGACACAAAATAAAATCTGTTGATCGTTGACTCGTGGTTTTAGGTCCAGACTTTCTGAGGGTACCAATCAAAACTATGAAGGACTGAGTTACTTCTATTTGGCTGATTAAACAGGCTGCTGTCTATACAACCCCGTACATCAGAAAATATGACTGAGCAGAGATTAAAGGGATATTCTGGCATAAATTTAAATTATGGTCAAACACTCAGAGACACCCCCTCAAAGGATGAATGTCGCCGACAGCTTGCTTCACTAGTTATACCAACTTCAGTGACGACCGCACGCTAGCAATACACAGCGATCTATGTCTCCACGTGCAAACCTTAACCAAAAAGCCACTCTATAGCCACAAGTAATGCTCAGAACAGCACCTAACTTCATCAACAGAGTCCTGACGAGTCAATCACCGAGTGCAATGGAGTTTCGCAGCTCAAGGAAGAACATTTATGATTGTCATTTCATTTCCATGAAGTAATAATCACCATATTAATCATTTTGCACTGCAGACACGGTAGTTCTTCTGCCTTAGCGTCTGGTCTGATTGTATTTCCATGAAGTAATGATCATAAATTTTACGCTGCACTCTGTGATCGACCCGTCAGGGCTCCCCCACAAACAAGCGTCTGCTGGAGGAGAGTAGGCGAGCTGTGTTTGGTCCCTTTGCTAAAGAAATTAGTTAAAGTTAAAAAGATGTTTGGTGGCTAGTACTATGGCTGGGACCCTATATGTACTGTTGATGAAGTTAGGTGCTGTTCTGAGCATTATTTGTGGCTATAGAGTGGCGTTTTGGTTGAGGTTTGTAGAGACGTATAGCGCTGCGTATTGCTATCGTGTGGTCGTTACTGAAGTTGGTGTAACTAGAGAAGTAAGCGGTCTGCAACATTCATCTCTCGGGGGGTGTCTAACTCGGTGTTAAGCTTCAATTAACGGCAGAATATCCCTTTAATTAGAGCTGAATAATTTAGGTACACATTAAAAACAACAGAATGCTACTCTTTCACTCCATCCTGCGTCTACCTGGCAAACACTCGATCGTTGAAAGTGTCTGCAGGTCCTGTCCTCAGGTTGTTTTGGTTTGCAATCATCTCCTTCACCCACTCCACCCAAGTGTAGAGGCGCAGGATCCCTGCATCCGCCATCGTCTCTACAAAGTTGGCGTCCTCCACTGTGTCCCCTGCATCAGCCAGAGCGAGACGCATACCTGAGAGAGGGAGCGAAAAGATTTGATGAAACAACAGAACAGATGCAATTTAGCTTGTTCGGAGAAGAAAATGCCTCTACTCTCATCAGTTGCCTTTGTCATTTAAGTCCAATTCTGTGTCCCGACTCTGAACTGAGTCCTTTTTGTTCTTCAAAAACCTCCTTGAAACTTAGTCAAGTTTGCAGAAACTTCCACGGTCTGAGAAACCTTCAAATCACCAGCAGACATCACTCCAAGCTGGAAAGCAGGAAGTCAACTTAATACGTCTATTTGTTGTCAGAGTGGGGAATATTCCAGAAACCCAAAAGGCACATTTATCTATTATTCAGGTTGTTCAGAACAGAAAAAAAGACAGGGGGTAACACTAACAACCAAAAGGAGAAAAAGACAACAACAAAAAGGAGGTATCGATTTATCCCGAGGTAAACTGAAGGCAGGAGGGATTCAAGAGTTCATCTTTGTCCCAAACACAACAAAACACACAAAAAGAGCCAAATAATAAAAAAGACCTGAACTACAAATGACTCTGCTACTCCAAAGTGGATTACCAGGACTATTTACTCGAAACAGTACCCCTTAAACAAAGAATTCTGTCTTATAAGACTTTTAAGAACAAGTTTTTAACTGACAGTGATCAAGTCTTGTCTGAGAAATCTTCCAATAAACATTCGGTTCTAAAGGAAAAACTTTTCTACTTCTTTTGCATCTTCTTATAGTGCTGACACAAAGATAAGGCAATTTAAAGGTACTATATGATAGGACTGGATGATAATCCGAAAAATTTACCAATACTATATTACTGCAAATAAATAAATAAATCAATAAAAGTTGTTTTTGGGTGTGCGTAGGTAGGCTATGGTCTCATGTCCCTTTAAGATGCTGTCCTACATCAGAGACGTGACTCCACTCCATCCAGTCCGTGACAAAGAGGGAAAGACAGGTGAGGAGATGGAGGACGGTTCAAAAGTTGTAGCGGCTTAAGTAGACGAAGTTAATGTGGGAGGGGGTGAGCAGCTTGTGGAGTAGTTATCGTCTATTTATCGTTATCGAGGTGAACTGATCAATATATTGTGATATTGATTTGAGGCTGTATCGCCCAGCCCTACTGTATGATGACTGATTTGAACATAACGTCATGAAGGTCTTCGATATTCATGAGCTGCTGCAGGTAGAGAAATCATGCAGCATGTTCATCAGGAAGATGGGTGCTTTCTAGTTATCTTTACCATAATAATAGATGTTTGTTCTCTAATCGAGTTTAATGACCCCCCTCTCTACGAAAACACACCCCAATCTGCTCTCCCCATGAATTCGTAATAGGTCACTTCTCCCATTTCAATAAAACATGATGAAAACCAAGAAAAACAGCGAGAATGAAGGATAAGAAACAGAACACAAGAGGAAGAGCAGTCGAGAAGAAAGCGCTCGTACCGTCTGCTGAGAACTTCTCAATGGCCTGTGTGAGCGTGAGGAAGTTTCCAGTTGATTTGGACATCTGGTAAGAAGAAAAAACAGGTGTTAGCAGCCAGAAGCTTTCAAACACGCCTACGTGAACAATTCCCTGACAAGCACAACCGGCAGGTCGCAGACTGTCTGTGTTTGCAGTGCAAATCAACAGCCAGCATGGAAATGATTCCAACAGCATCAAACACGCTGCAATTACCGGCACATCTGTACGACAAAAGGTTCGCCATGAAGTTGACAGCGGTGGTGTGGCTGCTACTCTGTGTGACGGATCTGTTCAATAACTGATCGTCTGATAATCGGGGATAAAAAAAGGAACTGAACGTTTCACAAACCTTTTCAGAGTTCAGGAGCAGATGTCCGTTGGCTCGCACCGCTTGTGGCCATTTTCCGCTGTGGACGAAAAGAAAGAAGACGTGACCAAACAAGACTCTAGGCCAGGAGTGGGCAATACATTTTTACATGGGGCCACATGAGAAACCTAGCCTGTGTTGGAGGGCCGAACCAACAAAAATGTCAACATCAATTTGGGGTGGGGGAAAAGCAAACCCAAATAAGCAACTACTAGTTAAAAACAAGCCCAAAAAAGCGCACCCGCGACTCGCGAGTTTAACAAGTGACTTATGAGAGAAACAAGCTTAAGGCTCTTATAATAAGCTCACTGAGCAGCTATAAGGCGTCTACGTATATATTTTGCAGATGTTTAAACTTGTCTCTGTTCACGAATGCAGATCTAGGATGTACGCATGTGTGTCTAAACGAAAATAAAACAACGGCTAGGTTTTCAAAACAAAAGAAACACAGGTATAGCGTGTAAATGATTTGATTGACGGACCTCACGAAGGGCCGGGCAGGGACATATAAAGGGCCGGATGTGGCCCTCAGGCCCTAAAATGCCCAGGTCTGCTCTAGGCCAATCACAATTCTACGACTTAGCCCTCGGTTTCTTGCATTCACATCAAGCGAAGAGGTGTCCCACTTCTCCATAAGGTTAAGGGGAAGGGTTAAGGGCAAGGAGTAACATTTTGATATGATTTTCATCATAATGACACTTTTTTATCACATATTCAATCCTTCGCTACTCCATGTAAATATTAGCAATGTTTTAAAATCACGCGTTATGACGAACTAGCTAACAAAGCTGTAGCTGTTGATAGCTACACAAATGTCAGACTGCTATTTCAAACAATAGCTCAAAAGGGGTAAACGTTACAACAGTAGATTGTTTTCCGACTTGTTTACTGGTATTGTCGCATCAGCCTACGACACTGCCAGCAAGCAGCAAGGCATGATGACATAGCGGAAATTTACTGGCGTCTCGTTTCCTAGGAGCATGTTTTCACCTCTTCCCCTTGGGCCTCAAAACAGAGGGCCAAGGAGAACAGGTAGATAAACGGGTAAAACCATAGACTGTATATAGAATGGACGCCGCCTGCCTCCTCGCTGGGTGAGGCTACCGCGAGAACAGCACCCTCTGGTGACGGGCTGCAGTATAGGTCATAAATCCCGCCTCCTCCAGCAATCCCTATGAACAAACTTTAGAAATTAATTCCACAGAATATAAATGTTTCTCCCTCCTGGTTGTGATGTTGACATGTAGTTACTGTCAGACTGGTTTGTGCTCAAGTCCTCTTTTTTCTGTGCAGCTCCAATTTTTTAAAAGTTATTAGGGGGTTCATGTTTTCTATGATTGACACTTGATACAGACGGCGTACGAAGATGGCATAGCTCACCTGGGGGATACGCTGTTTGAGCTGAGCGTCATCACAGCGGCTCCCCCGCCAAATGCGTAGAATTCTACTACACAAGTGGTTGAGAAAATACCGAAAATACCGAGAGCAATTTGGCTTCAAATTCATATAACAATGGAAGGCAGAACCAAGTTTTCCATTGTATATACAGTCTATGGTTAAGAGTGACAATTGTGATTGGCCCTCTGTCCTCCTATCTTTAATAATAGTTGAAGCTTCTCAGCGATTCCCTACGAGTCCATGAGCTGCACACTCACCTGTCTTTAGGCCACATCGCCACATGGTTGTACAGGTAGTAGGAAAGGTGATTTGGCACCAGGTCTTTCCCAGACACACGGACATCAACGGGGTACCAGTACTCAAACTCCCTCCTCAGCCTCTGTAGATGCTCTTTAGGGATGTCTGTCTTTGGGAAGGGAGACGTCTTGAAGAAGATAAAGTCCCACACCTCTCTGGTCATCTGCTCCGGCCTGTAAAAGAAGCAGGCATGAGGATGTGTAGATCTGGGGACGTGTTGAGTTGAAACTAAGTGAAAAGAAGTAATTAAAAGCTTCGGCGCTGAGGAAGACTTCACTCCTCTTCGGCCCTTTCCATCCTCACACTGAAGGAAAGACTTTGGGGATACTTAAATGAGTATCGAGCTATGGATTGATTTTAAAAACCGTCTCTGACAAGCAGCATTTGTCATTGAGAGGACGTTGTATATATTAATTTTGTTGTTGTTCCATCGATGAAGGCTGAAAACAAATTGACTTCTGTTGGACTCTTACAAACAACACCTGCCGATCGAAATGATTAAAAGAAAAGCAAATTTAATGAGAGATTTTTCTTCTCCCTCGGGTGAACGATGCGTGAGGTTGTTTGACGGCAGAAACAAGGACGAGAGAAGGAGAGGCAGGCAGCAAAAGACGGGGTAATTCAGTTAGAGCTTGATCTGTATTTATTCCTGTGTGTGTGTGTTCTTGGAGTGTTCACGTGTGTGTGTTGTAGCCGTACTTGATGCCGAGTGGTGAAGCTCCCTGTCCGTTGAGCACGCCACCTTGGAGGAGGTGCGCCACAGTGTAGTAAGCCATGTAGATGGTGGAGTCTGATAGTGATTCAATCAGCCACTGCTCGTCCCAAGGCAGCCGTGTCCCTATGGTAACAAGAAGACACACACACACACACACACACACACACACACAAAAGGAGACAGTGACAAAAGTTATAAAAGACAGACAATGGTTGTGTCTGTGCTGACAAATCCTTTCTGTTAAATCAGCCATCTTGTCAAGCTGGTTACAGTTTGGAGCCAAATAAAAGTGGAATAAGTCCGCTGCTTTATTGTGTAATCCTTGGCAAACAAACAGAGATCCATTTTAAAATAAGATGCACTTTACTCAAAGCGCAACTTGCCGACCTGCTTCTTGGCAGACAGCAGCGGTTTATCTTTTCATCCCTGACTTGTTGTATTTTCAAACTTAACTTTTTTATTTTAAACGTGGGAATAATGAAAAGTACATAGTGATAAAATAAATGCTTCTCAATCAGCCTTAAAGACACAAGAGCTTAAAAATCTCCTACGACAAAGTAAACAGCGGAGGCTCCTGTAAAATAGAGTTAAGTGAAACATTCAATGAGGAGGAAGTAATACATTAGGAATATGAAGTATCTATTATATGGCATCATTTAGTCTATAATTATCATAACTATATCCCCCCACATTTATTAAATAATTAACTTTATTTTATTTTATATATGTATATATTCTAAACATTTATTTATTATTCTATTATTTATTTATCTATTTTTTAAAAATTTTATTTAATGTCTTTTGTCTTTGTTCTCTTATTATAATAATAATAATAATTTTATTATTGTAATTATTTTGTCATAACGCTTACTTTTTCTCCTTTCATTCTCTCTTCAACAATTATTGCAATTTAAAAGAGGGGAAAAATCAGGACAATCACACCCACGAACACACACACTCCTCAACACACATAAAACACCAACCCACCCACCCACTCACTCTTATTTAAACACAACCCAGCAACACCTGCAAACTTAAAATATCTAAATGGTATGTGCTCCTGCTCTTCTTGTCTCTTTGTTTTGTCTCCATCGTCTGTTTGTACTGCGTATATATTGTTAACCACTTGTCATGATCTGTCTTGCATCACTTACTGAAAAAACAACTTTAATTTGAAATGCATCGACTTCTTTTTCATCTGAATTTTACAGAACAAAAGTGTATAATAATGTATTAATAAAAACATTACTCATATCTAAACATATGACGCTGGGATGTCTGAAAACGTTTGAGAAATATACTACTCTGTTTTGCAGTAATGGCACTAAACAGCAAGTCATGCACTTAACCAGAGTTTGACATGCTCTATGTGTGTGTGCGTTTTTTTGTTATGTATATATTTTTATGTTTTCATTGTGCTAAGAAGGTTTGCACTTAATTTTGTTTAAATAAAGATATTCTATTCTATATCACGATTTCAGTTCATGTTAAAAGGATCTATTCGTTATACAATAACCTATTTTTAATTCTAATTGGACAGAATGAGCCTTCAACATCCAGGCCTGGACTGTAGACCAGCTGGCCTTCAGTCTGCATCTATTCTTGAGCAGCATGTACAGAAAGGGAGGCTGCTGCTCGGTGTTTTGTCACTAGTACTCTGTCTCCATCTATTGACCATGAGAAAAACACCCTGTTCTTTTTTTTTTTTTTTTTGGCAGAGCAGTCAATCTCACAAAAAAGACAATAATACCTTTGAATGAAACAGCTGTTTTAGCTGCACAAAGTTGATTAGTACAGCTGATGACACCGCTGCTCACAAACCACAGAGATAAATACTCACCGAGTCCGTAGGTACGAGAGCAGGCGTGCTCCTGAAGCCAAGCCAAAGTGGCCTCAAAGTTTCTCCTGGTCTCGTCACAAAATCTGTTTGGCAAAAGAGGAACATCTACAGTCACTAAAAGTTTGTATTCTGTTTGATAACAACTATTTTTACAGTCCACATGAGATATATTATAGGAGCCCAAAACAGACAAAACATTATTACAACACATTAAGGGTGGGACAAAAAATCAACACAGCATAGTATCGTGATATTTTGTCTGGTGATATACCATATCGTCTCATTGACCAAGTATCGATTTTTCAAATTAATTGCTAACATGAAGTCAAATCTATGACAATGGAAAAATAAAATCAACTGTCTGTCCAATGTGGTTGGCAGACGGACATCATAGAGCAGGAGAAAGTTGGTACAACAAATATATATATCAGGTTTGCAAGATGTGCTACATGAAAATAAAATACAGCGTAAATAAGACAAACAAAAAGGAGGCCAAATGCTTAATTAGCTAAACAGCTGAAAAAATTATATAAATCGCAATACTCACCTTAATAATATAATATTATCGTATCGTGGCCGAAGTATCGTGACAATATTGTATCGTGATATTAATGTAACGTGGCCTAAGTATCGTGATAATATCGTATCGTGGGGCCCCAAGTATCTTGATAATATCATATAGTGGGGCCCCCCCAAGTATTGTGATAATATCATATCATGATATTATTGTATCATGGCCCAAGTATTGTGATAAAATCGTATCATAATATCATATCGTGGGGCCCCAAGTATCATGATAATTTCGTATCGTGGGACCCCAAGTATCATGATAATATCGCATCGTGGGGCCCCAAGTATCATGATAATATCATATCGTGGGGCCCCAAGTATCATGATAATTTCGTATCGTGGGGCCCCAAGTATCATGATAATATCGTATCGTGGGGCCCCAAGTATTGTGATAATATCGTATTGTGGGGCCCCAAGTATCATGATAATATCATATTGTGGGGCCCCTAAGTATTGTGATAATATCGTCTCGTGTGGCCACTGGTGATTCCCAGCCCTACAACAAATCAGAGGTGTCTTACGTTTCCAAGGACTTGAGGGATTCATTGGCCTGCTGCTTCCACTCTGCATCACCATAGTCCAAGTACCTGAAACACATCAAGCATTAGCATATTCTGAATTTCACCAACTCCATCAGTCTTTCTTCTACTTTGTCACTCTTTATCCACGGCAGCAAAAGTGTAACAAAATAGCGACCTAAAACAAATTCTTCATCTGAGATTTACCCTCAAGTTTACTCACCACTGATCACAGAGAGCCACCACACACTCATCAGCAGAGCGGGACATGACCTGTTTTTCTGGCTCCATGTAGATCATAGCCTCACCCTATCGTAGATATGTGCGAATAAAAAAGCATTACAAGGGAAGGTATGGGTTTATCAAACACTGTATGAGATGGTAATCCTATAATATAGAGTAAAATTAATGATGTCTTACCTTCTCAACCATCATCTTCTGGATAGGTTTTTTAACATCCTGGACCTTCTGCCCCTTGTAGCCATCAACCAGCATGATCTGAGACGAAAAGTCAGGCACAAAAACTTTAAAATGTCCCTTTAAGATTTGGCTGACAGTTAGGTAAGCTGAGAGTGAAAACAGCTAAGTTTGTAAAGGTGGCATGATCGATGCAAGAAAAAGAGACTTACAAATCCAAAACATAAATAATAGTGAAACACCTCAGCCACATTTTCGTTTTAGTTATTAGGTACAAATTCATGCGGCTCACAATCACAGCTTTTCAGCGGGGAACAACGGCGAAGGCCAACATGTGGCCGATAGCCGGTTTATAAATAATTGAGTCCAGCCTTGAGCTTTGAATCGCTCAGTTTGTGGCTTCAAGATAAACTGTACAAGCATCAAACCTTAATATTAAATCCACAGGGGGGGCTTTAGAGGATCTGCATTCGGCTGAACTATGTAGCTTTTCTTTTTTAACCATTAATCTTACTCACCCCTTCATAAAACCCCTTCAAGTAGACCTTCTCCTTGGCCTCGGCCAGCTTCTCCTTGTCGTTCTGGCTCTGGATCTTCAGCTCATCACACACCAGAGGAGCAGAGAGATTTCCAAATCCTGGGATCTCTATGATTGGGACCTGAAGAGTGCAAACACATGCTGATACACTCACGGGGGGGAGTGGTTTTTAAAGAACTGTTGAAGTCTGAATAGACTCTGATTGGGGTAGAGCAGCTTACCGGCTCGAAAGGCAACACCATCTTGTCTTCAATTCCATATTTCTCCCGCAGAGCCTTTTGAAAAAGCAAAATTAAGAGGAGGATAAATAAGCAAGCTTAAACAATCGATGTTTACTTCTCGAATACAAGAAGCTTTATCAGTGTGGGCGTCGGCACCGCAGACTACTTTAAAAGCGCTCTCTGTTCAAACATTTTCAAATATTGAGTTTTTTAAATTCCATTCGATGTTTCAGATATGAAGCAAACTGCATCTGAAGTATGAAAACACTCAGACTGAGCTGTTTATTTAAGGTCTGTCACCTCACCTGTTTCTTCTTGATATCTCTGAGAGCAGCGATGTCATCAGGAGCATCAGACGGTACACTGGTGACGACCCCCGTACCTGCAGAAAACGCAGAAACGGCATAAAAATCAACACATGCAAATGAGGCTGCATTTTTTCATTGACAGTGGGAGCTTTGTTTCACATCAAGGTGTTATCACGAGCAAAATTAACTAAACTGTGAGAGGATAGACAAAATGGGAAGAGGGAACAATGAGTGATGAGGAAAGTTTTAAACTGTGCTGGATTAATCTCTCCTGAGGATACACTGTGCTCTGGTGATTTGCTTGTCATTCAAAACACCAATTAAAACTGTTTACAAAAAAACAGCATCACAAGACAGATAAAAACTTAGACAAATTTACACACCTGAGAAAAACCGGTCGAAAATAATCGATGGTTCATACTCCTTTGAGAACAGAGGAGTGCATTTAAATCTATTTCAAACAATTACAAATGCTCTCCCTTGAGGCAAAACAGCAGCCAGTATTTTAATCTTTTGACGTCACTGAGCCACACTTTTCTAAAAGGCTGACCTCGGCCAGCTATTTTGGGACTCCCCGCTATTCTCCTATAAACCCTCCATGTATATCTAAGACAAGGAGGAACGAGAGATGAAGGATAAATAGAAGATAAAGCTTAGTGCAGACTGTCTGGCCGGGAGTAATACCCAGAGCAACGAGAGCTGGAATATATTATCTTGATTTGAGGCGTGTGTGGATCTAAAAAATAAAAAAACTCCTCACCAACTGCCAGATACTTTTCACTCAGGTTCAAGAAGAAGAGAAAATAAGGTGCATCAACTCATAGGGGAACGCTTTAACTACTGCGAGAAATTTCTGCCTTTAGAGATACATTTAAAATAGAAAGCATGACCCCTGAATAAACCGCTCCTGTTTTCGACAGCTTTACCTTTGTCCTCTTTGATGGTGAGCATAGGCAGAGCGTAGATGATCTTATAGGAGGTGAGAGGGGCGCTGAGGGCACAGCCGAGGATGTCCTAGGAGAAGATGACAAAAAAATGATAAAGCTGTGATGGTGGAGCAGACATGGGACTAACATTACAGCATGGGATGTACATGTGCACAAACTAGGGCAACACGATTTCAGCCACAATAAAATCCCAATTTTTTTCCTCTAAAACTCGATTTTTGATTTGGATTTTTCATTCAGTGACAACTTCACCAAATTTTCTCTCTAAAAATAAAAAGTTTTTCTATCATCTCTCAAAACGAAAACACTAAAAATGATGGAGTGAATATGCCAAGCCAGTAAGTGGTGCTGTAAGGCTGCACAGGAATTGCAGAAAAGACAGTAGAAGAGTACAGAGTATGCGTATAAAGGTTGTTTTGGCCGGACAAGCATGGGCGTCATTAGAGTTATGCTGTGTGTCACATGATCTTTTCCAGAGATGCAGATAGACATCCACACGGAGATGAAATGTAGTTGTTTACGCATTTATACACTCTCCCGCTTTCAAATAGTACTATTTACAGTTTCCGTTTTTCCGTGTCTGTGTGGACGAAACACCGATACAACAAAAAACGTTTGCATTTACTCATGAATTTGTTTCTGTGTGGACCGGTTGATACCGCCTTCAGTCAGACTTTCCAGTGGGGAGTGGTTTGCTCTTTCATGTGGTTTGCTCTGTACCAATTCCACATGACTGACTCGCTCTTGACCTATTTAGCCACAAAATTATCGCCTTCTTTTGCGAACGTCATGTTTGTTTACACTGGTGTGTGTGGGAACTGGGGAGCGCTCCCTCAGTAAGAGGGAGCCTACGGTGGCCTGGAGGCGCGAGACATGATTGAGAGGAAAATCAATTAATTGTGCAGCCCTAGCACAAACATCTAAAAGGTTCACACCTGTCCAAGTATTTCCATGACCACCGGCACTACTCCGTTCTCTTTGGTGAAGCCCTGGTACGACATGTTCCTGGCAGATCTACTGGTGCAGATGAAGATGTCTCCACTACTGGTCTCGAAGGCCACATACTTCATATCCGGTCTCACCCAGCAGTTGGTCTGTCCAAACATGGTCTCTGGTCTCAGAGTGGCAGCGACGAGGAAGATGTTCTTGCCTTTCATGCCGCTGAGGGGAGGACACCGTTGGTTTGACTTTCTTTCACTGATATTTTGTGAGATTTACTTATAAAAGCCAGTCTGTTACCTGCTGTAGAAGACCTTGGATTTGAATTTTGCTGTGTATGGTTCAACCATCTTCATTTTGATGAGAGTGTACTCCTGAGGTCCAACTCCCTACAGATAAAGTCAAAAGGCGTATTCAGAGAGTGAAGCACAATAGAGAAAAATAACACTGGGAACACTTCTTGACACAGTGGTGTGGTGTGACTGTGCCTTTAAAGAATATACAATTTAAGCTCCAGTGAGGAATGTAAAAATCTTAAATCATGTTGCTGACGGTCTTGTTGTATAGAGGCATCAACATGAACTCCTCACAGGAGCTTCAATCACATTTAATCACGAACCTCTCCTGTCTGCCTGTCATGGTCCATGCATGGTTGTCCGTCCTTTGGGGAGTAGATGGTGTACCTGCAGGGGAATTTAAACAGTCAGACTACATTACAGAGCAATCATTGCATCATCATTGGATTAAACTCCCTCAGTCTGAAGGGTTACATCTACTTGAGATCTCTTCTTCTCTCTGGAGTGATATCTTTGATGCAGATTTATGATTCAGGCAAGCTAAAAGGCTGCATACACACTTGTAGGTCATCTCACCTTTTGCCAAACTTGATCTTTTTTCTCTCCTTCAGCGTGACAAACTGCCATCTGACGAAAGAGTCATAAAAGGGGTTCACGTCCGTGGTGATGAAGGAACGTCTCCAGTCCACCTAAGAAGTCAGAAAAACATGATGGACTGAAATGAATGACTTTTTTTTCCCCTCAAGGCAAATATTTACCTGTAGTTTCAAGTTATCCAACAAAAAAATTAAAATGAGTGTACCACTGGGGTTATGGGAAATATAACACTCATCACAGATACTGAAATAAACCAGTCTGTCACACCTCACAAAGGCTGACGAGTTAAGATTACTGCACCCTTAAGATACTCTAAATCAAAGCACAGATTTGTCATTTTTCATTGTATACAGGAGTCTAACAGACAGAGACAAATGCATAAAACCAGTGCCCTTTCATTCCCAAGTGTCACCTTGACTCCCATCTGTTTCAGGTCTTTGACAGCCAAAGGGGGGAAATACTCCAGCCAGTGTTCAGCGTCAGCAAACCTGGAAATTTCCTGATCAGTCAGGCCCAAAGACTTCATGATGTCCCACTGGAAGGTTGAGGATCCAGCTTTGGCCACTGCTTTACTCTAACAGAAGAATTAAGAAGAGAGATTAACACTCTGATTTCTGATCTAAGATGAAGCCACTTAAATTCAGTGTGTTTGCTTCCCTCTGTGGTGGAAGCCATCAGTATGCTCAAACCTTCTTGCCCTTTGCTTTGTCTTTGATGATGATTTCATCAGAAACCGTCTTCAGCTTCTCCTTCTCCTTCTCTTCTTCATCTTCATCTGGAAACTGTGGAGGGTTTCCATACAGCTCCATCTCTCTCTTCAGCTTGTCTGCACATGCCTGTGGGACACAATATGTGTGCATTACCAGAGGGAAGGAAAATAGAGCCGGTACAGTTAGGAATTAACTACTCAGTACTGCAATTCTGCTTTATTGATAACACTTCTTTGTTTATTTTAACTGTGTAGCATTTTGATATTCAAAAATAGATCAAATATAACGTGCACTATCTTTGTGGCATCATTTGCCTCCAACATCTTCGTGTCAGTCAAACTGTACACCTACTTTGATTGGCATTCCTGTGCAGTGAAGTCCAAATGGAAAAAGGCATTTCTTCCCTTTCAGAGCCTGGTAACCAACAGCGAACTGAAAGATAAAGGAAGTCATATGGTAAACATTTGTCATGAGGAAAGCACAAAGAAGTTAATTCCTCCATATGTGTCTGGTTTGGCGTGAAAACATACCTCACACTTTGACAGGCTGAACGTGTGGCCAAGGTGCAACCGGCCATTCATGTAAGGGTAGGGGAAGGTGACAAAGTACTTGTTTTTGCTGGGAAGTACACAAACAAACACAAAAAATATATATATTATTGCACCAGACAACTTAAACTCAGAGATATACCCACAGTTTTCTGTTTTTTAAATGGGTTCCTGGATCAGCAAAAGAAAGCACATCTGCAGACACATTCCTGTATAAAATATTTTCTATATTATCTGGGTTTCTTGATTGATGATCACTTGTACTCTTTGTATTCTATATGGTTTTATGAGCCAGGTAGAGTCCTCAGGTCTTCAGGAAGTTCTCTGTTAACATTACCTAAAGTTAAAACCAAAACTTACAGTGAGGCTATTTTTACTACAGCCCCCGTCTACGGAACAGTTTACCTGAAGACCTGAGGACTGCACCTAATCTTAATGATTTTAAAAGCAACTCAAAACGTACCTTTTCAGTCTTGCTTTTAGCTAAATTTTACATCATTTACATTGTTTGAGTGTTTAAGGATTTATCACTTTTTAGTTTTAATGACAGGATCCTCTTTTATTGAGCTATTTTGGTGCTCTTATTGTAGTATCTTTTACTGTTGTTTTTATTTCATTTTATTATTATTTCTTAAATTTAATCCTGTTACTTTGTTCTTAGATTTTAACCTAAACCCCCAGTGTTTCCTTATCTTGAGTTTTAAAATGGTGTTTCCTCAGTGCACACATTCCTGTTTCCACAAAATCAAGCCCTTTTTAGTTTATGCATTTTAATTCTGTTTCTGTTGCATTTAGATGGTGGGGTGGGAATGAGGGGTTGGGCTGGGGTAGATTTGGGTAATTTTTTGTTACTTTCATCCCTTTTCCTGTGTAAAGTATTTTGTGCTACATGGTTGTGTATGAAAAGTGCTATATAAATAAAGACTGATTTGTTGATTGATTAATGTGATTATGTATTAAAACTGTATGTGCTGCCATTCTTGTCCAGGTCTCTCTTGCAAAAGAGATCTTGGATCTCAATGGGACAAACCTGGTTAAATAAAGGTTATAATAATAAATAATAATAACAATAATATGGACAGCTTCTGTGAAGATACTCACTTGCTACTTTCCCCAATTGTTGACGGTGCATCCAGCTCAAAAGTCTTCTCCTTCTCCCATTTCTCCTGGATGTCCTGCTCTATCTTTCTCAAAAAATCCAACTTTGCTGTTCCCTTCCTTTCCTGCAACACAACACAGAACAGAAAAACAAACACATTATGGAGTCAGTTCAGCTCAGTTACCCAATACATAATTCAGACTATTCAGTAACTTGGATCAGGAGTAAAAAATAAACTTTGTTTATGAAGAAAACTGCTGTGATTTCAGGTCCATCTGCTCTGGATTTTTCTGCAGCTGCCTCGTTCACTAGCTCACGTTAGCTAACTGGCTAACAGCTACACTAAGTTTACAGGATATAATGTAACGGCTGACTTAAACAAGCACGAGTCATTAACAACAAATAATAAATACAGAAATACACCTACCGTCATTTTGACTCGAGTGTCAATGTGGTTTATATTGAATTGTTGAGACAGAAGAAGTTGTTCCCACTTTGACAAGGGAGACCCACGCCACCGGTGCCTGGCTGATGACACACGTGCTGCGTCCGAACTGCCCGCTCGGATACTACATGCTACTGCTACGTGCTACTGCTAGATCCTACTCCTACATACTAAAAACGTTGGCCCAATTCGGACACACTAGACGAGCGGTGGGGAAAGACGACCCCCGCAGGCAGAGAGTAGGTACTGCGCCCGTGCAGACAGTGGTAACTGAAGCTCCTCATCTGCGGGCCTGGCTGTAGTACTGCAGCTGTGCAGTTTAATGATGGAATAAGTGAGCTTTACCTCCATGATGTCGCCACATATTTGCTCATAAAATGATTACTTGGGCAAATATGACACCATGACATGACAAAGAGATACAACCGCACATTTTTTAGGACAGTGTGTGAAGTTACATGAAACTTACATCTGTACTGCTGCGGTCCCGCCTGCTGCTGCTGCTGCTCCGACATGGTGCGCGCTGCTGTGGCCAGCCGGCGTTCGCGACACTTTTAAATAGGCAGAGCAGCTGGTGGCGCTAGCATCACATGCGCTTCTACAACTTTTAAGAGGACGAAGAAGAAGCCCGCGGTGCATTTTGGGTCAGTAGCATGTCCGTAGGATGCACCGAGACCAACCTACAATGTGGGCGTGTCTAGCATCTGAAGTAGTATCTGAAGTAGCATGCTACTCGCTCCGGTGGCCAATTCGGACATGCTAGATACTACTTCGACTACTACTTCGACTACTACTTGGCAATTCGGACGCAGCTACGGATTCGACTTCCCGCGGTGTATTCTGGGAACTGTAGTCCACCGGGCTGTTTGGAGGTCGTGTTATTAAACAGTTAGCGAAGTAAGGCATTTACACGCGCGCTGTTACTGCGATTTATTAAAAATATTTTGATTTACTTCAACAGGGCCGTGATTATAAATTTACAAACCGCGTTTTCGCGCTTACTCTACGTGGCTATAAACATAGATATATATATAAACACTAGATGAGTACGCACGCTGTTACGCATGGCGGCCATTTTGCTACAGGACGCTCACCCACTCATAACATTCCAGTAGCATTTAAATAACCATAGATTGTTTAATTTTAAACCGATTTTCAACGGTTTGGTTTGTAACAAACCTCAGAGTTTTAGTTATATTCCTGCATACTCAAGAATAATTTTAACCATGGATTTTCATGAATAAACATTGAGCAGATAGGTAGAGCAATAGCTATAGGCCTACACACACAAGGCAGTTATATTAAATCATTTAATTCATTTAATGGTCTCACTCACAGCAAATCTGTTAGCCAAGTTAGACAGCTGATACACACAAGCACATCCACAAAGACTGACACTTAGACAAAACAAATAAATAAATGAATAAATGAATGAATAAATAAATAAATAAATAGGCTGTCATACAAGAAATAAAATCTTAATTGTGGTCTCAGCAACAACTGCACTCTAAAAGACCCAACACAAGGGTTGAAAGGGACCGACTACTTATTGGGTTATTTTAACCCAGAATGTTGGGTTATTCAAATTAACCCAGTATTTAGACTTGTGTCATTTTTATACTTTAGATTCCAATTTTTAAATTTTAAGTCATTTTTTGACCTTTTAAAACTTGATTTTAATGTTCTCCTCATGTATTTGCTCTTAAAAAGCATTATTTTTATATTTTCAATATTATGCTCTGATCTTTGAACTAATAAATAAATAATATATATATATATATATATATATATATATATATATATATATATATATATATATATATATATATATATTTAAAAATCTATCTCAGTTTGCTTTTAAACTTATCTTTTTTGATTTTCCAAAAGATTTATAATTATTGCTGTTTTTGTTACATAGTTTTTGAAAAGGAGGTTGACAGTTTTGGTGAAATGTTGACCCTGTTTGGCCCTCAGGTTAGACCTAAAACCAGATCATGGCCCTTGCTGTGGTTGAGTTTGACACCCCTGGCGTACCAGAATGGTATACTGTAGTAAGATGGCTGCCGTGTAGGGACGCCGGTGACTCCGCCTCGAGTCATCTAGCCTCTCTTATATATATCTACGATAGATACGTCCTCTATCCCGAGTTACGACAACTCCGCTTGTGTTGCCATGCCGTAAAACACTTCGTCCGACCTGCCACTGAAGAGAGACAGAAGGCCTAAAGCTTATCAATTTCATAGACGATGAAAGTAGGGTTATCAAAACGCACTTTGATTTTATAGACAGTATTTACGTCTTTCTCACGATGATCATTGAGAATGTTGAAGCCTTGAAATCATGGCTGGCAAAACTTCTGGAGCCAATGTGAGTATTGAATTGAAATGACATTTAGCTCTCATGCTATGTAGCCACGTTAGCTCCTGCTGTAGTCAGTCAGTGTGTGTGTTTGCCTCGGTATCTGTGTGTGCGTGTGTGAGGGGTTTTGCTGGAACCTGATGGCAGATTCGTGCACGAGTTAGCGGACCACATTGCCGCTAGCTGACTTTCCATAACAGAGCGGGATGGCAGGATCTTTGTTTTTACTCCTGCTTTAGAAATGATTAGAATCTAGAGGAAAGTTTGTCTGTTTCTGTTGGTATTTTGGAGTCGTTTTGTCACTGTTTGGACTCACAAAAATACCACTTTTCTCAGATCTTTGTGGAAACATCTACCTGCAACAGTTAGCCAACTCTTATACTGTTATTTCTGATTTTAACACAGACTGTAACCAAACCTTGAACATCTACAGACACTCATGAGAATGTTTTACATTCAAATGAACATTGTTTGCATACTGGGTTACCATAGAAACAGTTTACCTCCCTCCTTTTTCTTCCTCTCTGTTTAGCATGGTTTAATTGAACAGTTTTGCAGTTACAAAGGATGAGAATGAACCTATTGATGAATTTGTGTTTTATTGTAATGATGCAGAGCGTGTAGGAGTGACTGTGTTTGTTGTTGTGCTGCAGACACCTCCTGTCTCACATTTACAATCATGCTCCTACAAGTTCACTGCAGCACTTTGAGGAAAAAGAAGAATACTTTTGCTTCACATGGAGAAAAACCTTGTTGAAAAACATTGGTTTTCAAATCATGCATGTAGGGCTTGGCGATAAATCGATAATGATATATTAGTGATGGGCACGGCAGTTCTTTTAAGATCTACTGAATCACTAGAATCAGTTCACTGAAAAGATTCGTCCAAAAGATTCCTTCACTGAATCATTCAGCACTTGGCGGAAGGAGCCTGCGACTCCGACCTCCTGAACTAATACACGGCTGAACAGGTCAGGATTCAGTTCAATTCATAGCTTCTGGGACCAGGAGATAAGAGTGTTTGGCTGTGTTGCTTTGGCAAACAGGTTTGTAAAAATGAAGTCATGATGTTTTAAGTTTACTGTCTGATGGTATGTTATTTACCAGGTCTGCTCGGTAAGTTTGGGTCAGTGAGTGATTGGTTCACTGAATGTTTAGAAGAGTTCACACTGAACATTCACCGTTCCCTCGCAAACCACTGCAATGATAGGATGCGGCAGGTTTAATGCACTACTTGTTACATGCTGTGTCCTATTGTATGCAGGTTGTTGTGGTGGCAATTTAGCAGTTAGTTTTGTCCGACAAAAATGATTCCAGAGAGTGTAGTTCAATACGTGATTCGTTTACCAAGTGATTCAGGCGTCAGCGCATGTGGTCCCTCGTTTGCCGGATACTCATCTGGCATCTGCACTGCTGACAGCTCAACTGAAGTGAGAAACGAATGAATCACTTGAGGAATCACTTAAGTTCACTTAAAAGATTTGGTTCTTTTGAACAAATCGTTCACAAACGACGCAACACTATGATATAGAAACTGAATTCCCTCAATATCAATATCAATATAAAACATGGTCAATATGCTTTTCGATAGTCGGCATTCTGCCATGTTTTGGTAGACTATACGAATAGCCAATGAAAAGGGGAGTTGCTCCGGGTCCACTTCGCACTGAACCAATCATGTGCTGAATTAGAACTAAGTATCAAACAACTGCGTAGTAGCAGGCTGCAGCTACACGCAACCATAGCACTTAAACACGTGAAGCCGACAGAGAAAAAAGAAAATGAGTTCTACCCCCAACAAAAATGCAGATGAAGGCTCAACAGATGACGACATCGTCGACAACACTGGCAAGAAAACATTTTAGTTTGTTTTTTTTAGGTCAGACATGATGTCGAGTACATGTGCTCGTGAACTCAGGGAATACCTCAAATCTTTTTCACCACCTGAAGCAGTGCTACGCGGCAGAGCACGCGCAACGCAAAAGGTTACAAACCCTGAGTGGGGCAAGGCGCTCAAGCCGACCGTTCAGTCCGCTCACTCAAACGCAACGCCTTACGACAAAACGTTGAAGAGACACAAAGACCTCACAGACGCAGCAGCGAATTGTATTGCAAAAGACATGCTACCAATAAGCACTGTATATCATTTTTATATGTTTATATATATCGATATCGACTGATAAGAAAAAATTGTATAGTGATAAACTTTTTCCCATATCGCCCAGCCCTACATGCATGTGATATTAATATCTTGTGGCGACTTCTACCAAATTTGGTGGTTCACTTGTGAAATAGAGACCTGTGTTTTGTCGCCTTTCCTGCTTTTGTTTGGATATGTAATGTAAGGGAACGTTGTGTTGTAGAGTGAGTTAAGTTTTATGCACTTGTGTTATCCATTTATTTGTGTTCCTAGTTGTACATTAGCTCAGTGTTGCCAAAGTGCCTTCCTGTTGCAGCCTGTCAAGGCAGTGCTATAGCTGAATGAGAGCGCTGCTACAGTATGAACGGCTTTTAAATATGTTTCTTTTTTTTCTTTCTTTATTTTACTTTTAAGGGTTTAGTGTTCAGAAGCTTCATTTTTTTTCTTTTTGATTTATAGGTGTTTAAGGGCTTCACTTGTCTCCGGTTAGGGTTAGGGCACAATTCTAGGAGAATCTGATACTGCAATAAATTTAGTTTTTGTTTTATTGGAATAGAAAAATATACAGCTATTTTAATTATAGAAAATGTGTTTTTTTAAGTGTATCTATATGATTAAAAGCTTGTCACAACTAAACAAAACATTCTTATTTTTACCACACTTACCTTTAGCAAATCTGATGTTACATGGAAAGAGAAAAATATGATGTTTAATAGAATCAATAAGAAGTGTGGTCAATAAACAAATACTGAACGGTACATAGAAGCTTAGATAACTCAGACTTTCTATTGTTTATCTGTTATTCTTCATGATTTACACATTACATGTGTTTGCAGTGTTTTTCTCCTTATTTCAACATGCCTCCAAAAAGCAGTTTTTCACCATTAAATCACCTCCATTAATCTGAGGTTTAGCTGACAGTTAACTAAAGCTTCATTTGACTGTATATCAACATATTTTAAAAGCATGGCCACAATACTCTAACAGGTCAAATGTAGATGCTGTGAAGTGTTAGTATGCATAAAAACAAATCCTAATTAATTCTGATAGTTAATATTTTTGTGGTGTGTTGATTGCAAATGCTTTTATTGGGATGTTGATGAATTAGCAGTTTGTTGTTTGGCTCCAGTTTAGTTTGATTTGGACATTTCTGCACACACTGATAGATTGACAGTTGACCTCTCTTAGTTTAATTTTATGTATATTTGACTTGTCTCACTTCCCTGCTGTAATCTCTTATACTGTCCCGCCGACATTGAAGTGACTAAACTCCCTCTCACCCGCAGATGCGATGCTGACCCCTCCGCATTGGCCAACTATGTGGTGGCTCTTGTGAAGAAAGACAAACCGGAGAAAGAGCTGAAAGCCCTCTGTGCGGATCAGCTCGATGTCTTTCTACAAAAAGGTATAAACTCCACTCCACTCCAAGTTTCTCTCTTCTTGTTTTCAGTGAGTGCGTCACGCTGTGAGTTATTGACCGCAGCTCTTTCTGGTCGAAAGGACTGAGCAAAAACAGTTCCCCTCCAGCAGAGATTTCCAACATTCAGCCGACTGTATATATTTTTACTCACACTTTGCATCCCACAGTATTGACTGCTGAGTTGTTACACAATCTGATAAAAAAATCGATCAGCTTAAACAATTTTAGGTGAGTGACAAACTGGACGACAACTTGACTGTTCAAGAAATCTGACCAAGAGGCTTTCATACTTAGCCGAACTGATCTGTCTGAGCTAGGTTAAAATGATTATAGATTAGCAGAGAGAAAGAAAGAAAGAAAGAATAAAAAAGAGAGAAAGAACTATTAAAGAAAGAAAAAATAAAAAAGAGAGAAAGAACAATTAAAGAAAGAAAGAATGAAAGAAAAGAGAGAAAGAACAATTAAAGAAAGAAAGAATGAAAGAAAAGAGAGAAAGAACAATTAAAGAAAGAAAGAATGAAAGAAAAGAGAGAAAGAACAAAAGAGAGAAATCTAAAGATAGAAAAAGAGAAAGAACTAATGAAAGAAAGAAGAAAAAATAAAGAAAAAAGAAATTAAGAAAGAAAGGAAAGAAAAAAAGAGAAAAGGAAAGAGAAAAAGGAAAAAGAATAATAGGAGGGAAAATGGAAAGAAGAAAAGAAAGAACGTAAAGAAAGAATGAATGAAAAAAAGGAAAGAAATAAGAGAAAGAATGAATGAAAGGAAGAAAAAAGAGAAGATATGAAAGAAAGAAAGAAAAAAGAACAAATTAAGAAAGAAAGAGAAAAGGAAAGAAAAAAGGAAAAAGAATAATAGGAGGGAAAATGGAAAGAAGAGAAAGAATGAATGAAAGGAAGAAAAAAGAGAAGATATGGAAGAAAGAAAGATAGAAAGAAAAAAGAGAAGATATGGAAAAAAGAGAGAAATAAAGAAAAAGAAAGAATGGAAGAAATTAAAAGAGAAAGAAGGAAAAAGGGAAAGAAAAGAAAGAAAGTTTCTCTCTGTGTTGACTGTAGCGCCCCCTCTGGACAAAGTGGTTACCCTCATATTCTTGATCATTTTTAAAGTTTTATTGATTGACACAAAAAACCCTCCTGTTGTCATTTCATGTTAAAATGTTTTACTTATTATCTGATGCTTGTCATTCTTGAAAACAGCCACCAGAGGGCATGATGCATGTGTTGAAAAAGTCCCCAGTCTGTTATGTTTTCAGACATGGACATCACATTTCTGTGATTGTGAATTTAGAAAATAAGAGGTTGTTCCATGAGTGAGGAGCGATTCACAGATTGAAACAAAGCCGATTGATCCTCTCTCACATGATTCTTTGTGTCTTCACAGAGACGGTAGGATTTGTTGATAAGCTTTTTGAATGTCTGACAACCAAGAACTACCTGGGAAATCCCCCTGCTAAGGAGGTCCCCAAGGAGGAGGTCAAACCACCTGTAGTTAAACTTGATGTTGTGGAGGTAAAAACAGTGATTTACTGCATTCAGACTTTGAGCTGGAAACTGTTTCAATAATATCCTGTTGCAAAAGAATTTAAATAACGAATGTGTTGTTATATTTCATGTATTTTATGTTTCTTTCAAGGCTGAAACTCCAGAGGAGGAGAGAGAAAACAGGCGGAGGAGAAGTCCTCTGAGAAACCGCTCTGACTTCAATGAGCCCAGGTACAGCTGAAACTTCAGGGACTCAGTCCAAGTCAGCTCCACGATCGAATTGGAGTTATTTAAATTTATTATTCTGATATCAGGGCTTGATACAAACATAATTTTTTTAAGCGCACATGTGACTCTTAAAACAATTCACACACATCTATTTTTAGTCGCAAATGTGGGTGAAACGGTCAGACTGTCAAGCCCTAAACTTGCTAATCAATCTTGGAAAAACTTCCTTCATACATGCACACAACTATAGTTGCCAAAAAAATTTAAAAAATGGAAAGCCGACTGCATCTCTTGTTTTTGTTCAGTTCCATGTGAGCACATTTGACCTTCTACCCCACAGGAGCCGAGATGACAGGAGGCGAGATGAGCGCAAGCGCCGCGACTTCGATCGCCACGGGAAAAGCGGCAGCGACTCCCACCGAGAGCGGGAGCGCCACGAGCGCCGCAGGGGCAGCCCCCGCGGGAGGAGCTACAGCCGGAGCCGCAGCCGGAGCCGGAGCGGCAGTCGTGGAAAGAGCAGGGACAGGGAGCACAGAGGAGGCAGAGGTGAGACAGTCCCCCCCCACACACACACACACTACCTCACCTTGCTACACACAACCAATGACAACAGCAGCAGCACAGGGGAGCAGACCCAGGAGTGTAGGAGTGTCTGAAGCCCGTAAGCAGAGAGTTAGTGAGGCAGAGAGGCAGTAGGAAATAAACTGAAGGTGCTAAAACCGCAGCGCAGATCTGGATGTAGAGACAATGTGGACGGCTTTACAATCTCATCAGTGGGGATTCAACAACAGAGGCTGGATTTGGCCTTATTACCCACAAGGTTTATCCACATCAGAGTGACTTTCATTTCTTCGATGGTGTTTTTTTTTTCTCTACTATGATCCAGTCTTTAAACCTATCTCTGTGTTTTTTTGTCTTCTGCAGACTTTAAATCAAAGTTTGAGTCAGAACGGAAAGACACCGACTGCTACAACTCGTCATCATCCGGCTCCCAGCAGCAGCAGCAGCAGCACCCGTCACCTCTGCTCCCCCTGCCCACACCTCCGCACCCCTTCTCATCGTCTTCATCCGCGGGAGTCTCGGGCGTCTCTGTGGTGACACCGGCCCACCTGCCCGACAGCACGACAGACAGCTGGTCCGGCTACTACAGCGCCCAGAGGCAAGACGGCGCCGGCAAACCGTTCAGCAACAAGGGCATTTCACTCAAACAGCGGTGCAGGGATTACGATGGTAGGAGCCTGTTTTCCTCTCTTTAATGCTGTTTTGTGTGTTTTCATTCATGGTGATATGATCTTTGAAAACTTTGCTGTGTTTATCGTGTCAAGTCCCCATGAGGGTCACTGATTACCTTGTTTAGTCTCATCACTAATGACCACTGTTAAGCAGTCCCTCTCATCTCTAGAGGGTTTATACTTACCCACTGTCCCTGATGTGTTCTGCTGTCTGTCACAGTGTTCAATAACAGCCACCAGGGAAACTGTTTGGTAATGAGACTGTTGGGTAAATGCATCCTCGGTTGGCCCTGATGACTTTCTTGATTTATTTTCACTCTTCTGTTTTTTCCTCTGTCATATTTCTGTGAAAAAATCCAACATCTGATCTGCTGATTTTCTCCCCTCACTCAGAAAAGGGATTCTGCGTCCGTGGCGACCTTTGTCCATTTGACCACGGCAATGACCCTCTCATCGTGGATGATGTCAACTTGCCCAACATGATCCCCTTCCCGCCCCCACCTGTCATGCCCCCCGCCGGCCTACCGATGCCCCCGATCACTGAGCCACCCCCTCCCCTCAGGATGCCTTCGATGCCACCCTATGGGCAGCCACCACCACCAGGCGTCTTCCCCATGACCGGTAAGTCAGACGGACAAATGTCCATATACGGCAGCTAATAAGCTACTGAAATTGATCTATATTCTGTTTGATGGCTTGATTGTTGTTTGGTTGAAAACCTCTTCTGTAAGTTTGACTCTCAGGAATATGTCACACAGTGTCCACACTAAACTTCTCAAAAGCTGGTTGTAGAATTATTTATACAGAAGAAATCTTAATTTATGTCAGTTTATGTTTTCTATAATGGTAATTATTGTTCTTTGTGTAAAGCATGTGTTATGATAGAGTATAAGGGCAAAATAAAATAAAAAAGAAGACTTTGGGATTAAAGTCGTTAATTTACGAGTATTAAGTCTAACTAACGAGAATAAAGTCATCATGGAATCATTATGATACTTTTGATAATGTGGTGCTGATGTGCTAAAAGATAAAGTATCTCCTTGTTTGATGAAACCGATATTGGAGAACATTTTCATGAAGTGCTCCATGGCTCTAATTTCAACAACTGTCATCGTAAACAACGGGTTAGAATATAAAGACTTTATAACAACTTCACTCTCCTAAGTGATTACTTTATTCTTTAAAGTTAATGACTTTATTCTTGTTAGTGATGACTTTATTCTCATAAGTAATGACTTTAATCTTGTTAGTAATGACTTTATTCTTGTTAGTAATGACTTTATTCTTGTTAGTAATGACTTTATTCTCATTAGTAATGACTTTATTCTCATTAGTAATGACTTTATTCTTGTTAGTAATGACTTTATTCTTGTTAGCGATGACTTTATTCTTGTTAGTGATGACTTTATTCTTGTTAGCAATGACTTTATTCTCATTATAAATGACTTTATTCTTGTTAGTAATGACTTTATTCTCATTAGTAATGACTTAATTCTTGTTAGCAATGACTTTATTCTCATTAGTAATGACTTTATTCTTGTTAGTAATGACTTTATTCTTGTTAGTGATGACTTTATTCTTGTTAGTAATGACTTTATTCTTGTTAGTGATGACTTTTTTCTTGTTAGTAATGACTTTATTCTTGTTAGTAATGACTTTATTCTCGTTAGTGATGACTTTATTCTTGTTAGCAATTACCTTATTCTTGTTAGTAATAACTTTATTCTCATTAGTTATGACTTTATTCTTGTTAGTAATGACTTTAATCTCGAAGTCCTTATTTCTCTGAGGAAAAACTCTGCTATGTCTCTCTTTATACACCCTTCTCCTTTATTCTAATCTGAGGAGTTTCGACCTCAATCTTTGAGTGTGATTTATACCTAAGTTTTAAAAAATGCACGATTTGATGGTTTACGTGTTTTCTAGACTGAGTGTTTTGATACATATTTCACCTAAAGATTGGTGAAGAACTTCCTGTGTGTATCAGCTGGTTTATGTCAATGACTTCAGTTTTAGTTTGGGTGAATTTAACACATTAATCCTCATTCGATCTCTTCTTTTCATCCAAATGATTAAATTAAACTCTTGATTAACTTTCCCGCTCACTAAAACTCTACTAATTTCTTTGTTTTATTGCTTAAGCTTGAGTTAATAAGCAAACTAGGATTTCATCAGTATAGTTCTTTTCCTGGTGTTTCTCTGCAGTGTATTTGCAGCTGAACTAACCCCTGGTTTTTGCTTTTGTGTTTACGAGTGTTTTTAAAAATCACATATGAATTCAATCAGTCTCTTCCAAAACCATCTTTGTGGATCGATTAAAATGAAAGTCGTGTGTTTAAATCAGGGCCTTTCTGTCACTCCTGTAATATACCTGAGACATCAGCTTGGGCTTGTGTCTCCCTCAGGACCCCCACTGATAGCTACCAGTGGGATTGACACCCCCAACCACCAATCGGCAATCACTTCCTCTCCTCCTATCGGACCACCCGGGGTGGGGCTGCCGCCTACTCTTCCTCCTCCTCCTCCTCCACCTCCTCCTCCTCCCTCCTCGTCCTCATCTGTGTCTCTTCGTCCCCAATATGTCCAGTCTGAATGTAAGCAGCCAGGCTTTTCCTCTTCAGATTGGGACTGTGAATCTGCTTTCTTGTTCTCTGATATTTCTTTTTTTTTCTGCTTTTAATGTTACTCATGATCAGACAGGACTCTCTGCCGTAAATAAAGAAGTAGAATCAGTAAAAATTAATGAGAGTTCGGCTGATTTAGAGGGATTTCAAGGACTTTGTTTATTATTTGTTTGAAGTTTGTTTGTACAGTGCCCATCATAAGTCAGTACACTCCCTATTAAAAGTGAAGTATTACTCAATATCTAGATGAGCAAAAGTATAATTTCCAAAGCTTTGACAAAGCTGAGTTTAAGATAATATTTTATTTACCATGAGATGAAAATAATATGATAACTAAAATTTAGCTTTTGTTTGCAATCAATGGTCTACATTTGGGGGAGTATTTTGTTGTATAGTCTACCATAGAAAATGTTGATTTTGAAAGGAAACTAAATGTTTTCTGACAACTCTGAAGGGGTGTACTCATTTCTGCTGAGCACTGTAGAGCATGAAGTGCATGATTGATTTTTTGTCACGCTGCAGTGACAGTTCTCGGCCAGAGGGTAGCGCTGTTCATCAACCTCAGAAGAGACAAAGTAGCTCAAAAGCAATCAACATGAACTCTGCTGCTGTGTTTCATTGTGCTGAGTGCTTTCGCTGTAATTCAGCTTATGAATAATTGTACATTTCTACAGTAAAAGCTAAGTTAGTGTTTCTATTTTCAGTCAATTTCAAACTCCAGACTTTGTCCTGATTTCAACCCTGATACAGAAATACAACTGTCTCATTTTGTCTCAATGGAACAGTAAACTTTGGTTTGGAACAATCATCGAATGATAACATTTGATTTGTTTTTATTTTGATTAATTTACTTAATTTGTGTTGATATATTCATGAAATACGAGGGTGCTGATGTTTGTCTGTTTTACTTTGTTTTAAATTTAGATAACTACGACCCAGAAGGATACAACCCAGAATCCCCTGGCCTGACGACGGCGGGTCGAAACACGTATCGCCACTTCATCCCGCGGGTGCAGACCCAGCGCTCCAACCTCATAGGCCTCACTTCCAATGAAGGACAGGGCTCCAGAGGTAGAACACTCTTCGATTCTTCAACCTAACCTTTAATATAAAACAGGCTGGAACAAAGGATATCAAACATTCAACTTTAATTCATAAGTAGAACGACCGACTCTTTACTCTGTCTTAGTGTGAGCCAACATTGAGAATCGCAAAGGTCTCATCATTCCTCTGTGTTTTTGTCTCTGTGTGGGTTTTCAAGCTGCCAACATAGTGATCCAGACAGAGCCTGTCACTGCGGCGAGCACTCCTGGAGGTAACGTGCCCCGCTTCAACGCGGAGCAGGACAACAGGAAGAGAACCATGGGACCCAGTACAGCCGAGGGACCTGCAGCTAAAAAACCCTGGATGGAGAAGTAAGGAGTCGAAGACACGCACATTTGAAACAGTCCACTCCAAAATAAGATGTTCAAGTTTGAAAGCGAGAGTGACTTTTAAGAGACTCGGTTCACACAGTACAGTTCTGCGTCAGTTAGCACGACAATAAGCAGTAAATAGAAAACCAGAGGTCCTCTGTGTGTACTTTTTAGGGTTGTAAAAAGTCCGCCATGATTCCATTTCAAACTTAATAGAAAGTTTAAACGTTTAAACTGTAGGCTACACAGTGCGCCTGCGCGGCTACTTCTGAAGACTCAGGTGAATGATGATTAACACAGGGTTTCCCCTACGTGCAATTGATCATGGCGCATCGCCACGGCTAAATAAAAGCCGCCACACCTTAAAAATGAGTTTTTTTCTTACGTGGCTCTACCTCAGACTCATATGTATCAGTGTACATGCGTGTGGCACACTGCGAAGTATTTGCATTCGCGAGTTAACGTCAGCAATCTCACAGCTGAATTGTTAACCTCCCCATTTATGATTTACCATTACACCAGTTACCGTTACATAGTAGTACCTTAGGCTGTAATCAACCAAAGAAATTCTTAGTCAACTACAACCCTGAAAATTTCAACCAAAAATTGACTAATCAGGGGCAGACCGACTGCAAACCCTTCTGCAACGGGGGACGACACGGCTCGGCGGAGTGAAAATATACTGACATGGATGGTAGAGGAGGACTCACATGAAAGTTGAAACGCTCAAAATTAAACTATAAATATTCAGCAAACCATCCGACGTTGTATGAGTGGACGCTCTTTAATGTTCCTGTCTCCAGCGGGTTGGGCGAATCCAAAATGGTGAAAACAAGGGGGGTGTTCTGAGACAGGCTGTTACCATGTGAAACAGGGGTGCTCTGAAAACACCCCCACTAGCATTTGGTACGTTCCTTCTGATGAAATTAACCATAGACTGTAAATTGACGCGAAAAAAAATCGAGTCGACCAATCAGAATTTTGGTCGACTCGGCACACATTGACCTATAAGTCAACCAGTCAACTTACTTTCGGAGCAAAACATCTTCTTTATCTTCTCCAGTTTTTCTGCTTTTATTAGTTATCTTCATTAACACACATACCATGATAAACTTCATCACAGTCTTCTTCTTCTTCTTTTTTCAGGCCAGGCTTTAACAACCAACATAAAAGTAGCTTTCCTAAGAGGTATCACTATGTCAACACTAAACTGGAGGTGCGCAGAATCCCACGGGAGCTCAACAACATCACCAAGTTGAATGAGCACTTCAGCAAGTTTGGAACCATCGTCAACATCCAGGTGAGGTGGCAATCTTTGTAGTCATCGAGGTACTTTAAACTGCGAGGCTTAAGCTCTTTCGATCAGCCAAAAAGTTCTGCGTATGTTGCAGTGGCATTTTCTCGACAGAAGGTAGAAACCTTACGCAATTTCACTCAAAGCAAACCTTGATAATCTACTCTCTTATTCAGGTGGTGTTTGGTGGAGACCCAGAGGCAGCGTTGATTCAGTACACAAAGAACGAAGAGGCCAGACGGGCCATATCCAGCATCGAAGCCGTCTTAAACAACCGCTTCATTCGAGTGTATTGGCACCGCGAGCCAGGCACCAACGCCATCGCACCTCAACAGCAGCAGGATCAGAGCTTAGGGAGTCAGGCACCCGGGTCGGTGCCCAGCCAGGCGCAACAGCACAGCAGCATGCATAAGGTCAGCATGCAGAGCTGAAACAAAGTCCTTTCGCCTTCTTCGCATGTCTTACTTTATTAGATTAACCTTTTTTTCCTCTTTGACTGCAGGGAATCAAGCAGCACAATCCCGCTGCCTATGTGTTGAACAAAACTCTTCATAAGAATCGCCTGACAGCGGGGGCTGGGGCGACAGCCACGACCAAGCCAGACGCCCTGAACCCAAACACAGACACTGCCACTGTAAGTTTTAGTCATCTTGTTTTGTTAATATGAGCAAAGAAAGTTATCTCCGTTACATAAAAAGGAAAGAATAGAGAGAACAGAGCCAACAGGGAGAGTCACTCAGCCGACACGAAGCTCTTTCTGATTGCCTCAACGCCTCAATCAGCCTCTCCTTCTGTCTTTTGCTTTTAGTTGGCGCCTGCACTGACAAACGCCCAGAAGGGCCCCTACTCTTCCTCAACCCTAAAGTCGTCATCGAAGAGCCTTGGGAAAACGGCAAAAGTACTCGAAGCACAGGAAGTCCTCAAGAAGAAACAGGCACGTTGCTTAATTTTTCAATATGTATTTCGACTGGTACCAGAATAGCAAAGTCAGGATCAGCCACTGAGAGATGACCACCAACAGCAAACAGTGTGTTATCGGTCTCACTGAATGTGTTTTATTCATCGCTTTTGTTCACTTAGGAGGCATTAAAACTCCAGCAGGACATGAGGAAGAAGAAGCAAGAGATGTTGAAGACTCAAATCGAGTGTCAGAAGGTAAGACTGGCTCGGTGACTCAATCTTAGCTCATCTTTCTGTTTAAATTATTGCACATTTAGCTTAAGCGTTTCAGTTATCGAGTCGGAAGTTGGCTACATCTACGAAAGTTATTTTAGGACTTGCCTTATGTTCGGACAAGGCAAGCGCTAAAATAACTTTCGTAGATGTAGCCATGTTGTTTCTGCCTCCGATTTTGCTTTTTTCCAACTTGGTAACTGAAACGCTGGGAACTCGGGTCATTTTCAGCTCAGACTTCTGACTTCCAAAGTACACACTGTTGTTATGGTAACATGGGCTCTGCATGCTGGATGGGGCGATGCCGGATAGAAGTGCCGGAGCGGAGTCTGGAATGGACTGCTTGTATCTGAGATTTTAGATGCACGCCAATATAACCCGATATTCGTTTTTCTGCTGCTGGTGTCCCTATCCAATATTGATATTGGATATCGGTCCGATATATCGGAGCGGGACATCCCTAACAAAACCTAACAAGACAAAAAGTGATAAGATTTCAAATTATAATCCTTGCTCAAATATTTTATATGGACGGGCTTTTGAAGCAGTTTTTTTAGCCAGGCCCTAAAACTTGCCTTGTTTCCAGCGATTTTTTCTGTATTTAAATATCCCCTGTTTTCTTTGGTTGGAGCTCAAAATTGTAGAAAAGTATCATATTCATTATTTTTAATATAACAGGTGGATAGGAGAGGATACATGTGTCAAAAATTGGTGGTAAACTCCAGCACGTCGCCAACTACAAAGCTGAAAAAGGGAAAATTACATGTTCATCATCAAATATGATTTTTCTTTTTTTTTTAAAGGTCTGTTGACATGCATGTGTGTCTTTCTTAGGCCCTAATAAACCGCCTTGAGAAGAACAGAGGGATGAAACCTGAAGAGAGAGCCAACATCATGAAGACCCTAAAAGAGCTGACTGAGAAGATCGCTCAGCTGCAGAATGAAATGAACCCGGCATCCCAGGCCCCCGGTGCCAAACCCAACCACAGCCAGCCCAAGACCAAGACTGATGTAAGACTGATTTTACACAGATACACTCAGAGGGATGACTTCTTATTATTCACGCTTAAAATTGAGCAAAATGTTTTCTTCTTATACCTGACTTGTCACCAGGCCCAGAAGGAACTGCTGGATGCTGAGCTGGACTTTCACAAGAAGATGAGCTCTGGAGAGGATACGACAGACCTGAAGAGAAAACTGGGACAACTACAAGTGGAGGTAAAAGATTTGAAAAAAGTCCCACAATGATCAGTAGGATTATTTAAAACCGGTTTCTTTTTGGAAAAGTACACATGAATAAGAAGTATTAATTAACTTAAAGTAGAAAAGATGGACTGCTTGGTCGTCAAAGTTGATAAATCCAAAGTTACTTACATTTAGGTCAACCACAGATTAACAATCAGAGTACAAAAAGGTCCAGTGGACAGTGATAGCTTTTGTGCGTCATCAGTCTTTTCTACATTTGAGGACGTGACACCAGGAAATTGTTCAGAGGAAGTTGACAGATAAGACGCTGAACAATATCTGACTGTGAATAATGAGAGAAGAGAGAGTAATATTTATTTATCAAGTTTTTCTTGCTAAATGGATGAAATCGGTTGGTAGCTGCGGACAAAGCCTGTAAAGCACATTGAAACCAAAGATAGGAATAGGAAATACCGAAAGACTCTTCGGTTCAATTTTTTCAAAAATGAGGAGGCGGTGACGGTCATTCAAGAACATACAAGCTTTACTTGGAGACAGTACAAAAAGTGGGCCTTGTCTCTGACGTCACCCATTAGTTTCTGAGTAGGCGTTTCAATACTCAGTGATAGCGATCATAACAGGAATGCTGACTCAACATAATATACAGATAACCTACAGAGGCGAAGAGGAAGAGCCGAGGTGGGCTTTTGGCCACAACAGGCCCACCTGTCTGTCAAATCAGTTTCACCCCTGATGATGCAAATGTGCGTACAACTCCTGGACTTACAGTCAGTGTGACTAAAGGAAGGACCACAACCATTTTTAGACAAAGCTGTAAACATGTCAATAAATTAGGTTTGTTGAAATATGTCAATAACAGAGTTTCTGCAGCTTTTGCAACCAGATGCAAGTGAAAACTCAAGAACTGCAGTTTTGTTGCTTTCATTACAGTATAAAAGAGTCTTACATGGTTGGGATTATCATGCATATTAGGGGTGGGTATCACCAGTGGCCCCACAATATGCTATTATCACAATACTTGGGCAACAATACAACACTATCATGATACTTGGGCCACGATACAATATTGTCACGATAGTTAGGCCATGATACGATGTTATCACAATACAATATTGTCACAATACTTGGGCCACGATACAATATTATCATGATACGATATTATCCGGTACGGTATTATCACGATACTTAGGCCACGATACGATATTATCACAATACAATATTGTCACAATACTTGGGCCACGATACGATATTATCATGATACTTGGGCCACGATATGATATTATCACGATACGATATTATCACGACACTTGGGCCACAATACGATATTATTGTGATACTTGGGCCACAATAAGATATTATCACAATACTTGCGCCAAGATACAATAATATAGTAATTTTTAACATTCTTCAGTATAGTGAGTATTGCAATTTCTACAAATTTTTCAATTTTTTAGCTAATTCAGCATTTAGCTTTCCTTTATGTTTGCCTTATTTACTTTGATTTTTATGTTTATTTAGCATATCTTGCAAACTTCATATACATTTGTTGTACTAACTTTTTCCTGTTCTATGAAGTCACCTCTGCCAACCTCACCGGACAAACAGTTAACTTTATTTTTCCATTATTATAGATTTGACTTCATTTTAATGATTAATTTGAAAAAATGGATACTTGATAAATGAGACAATATGATATATCACCAGACAAAATATCGCAATGCAATGCTATCGCGATTTTTTTCTGAAGTAATCCCAGATGGGACTTTAGGGTGCTCTGGATGGCCTCTTTAAAGAGTGTCACAAGAATTCAGCGAGATCAACATGAGATTTTCCCCAGTTCGAGACATCACCAAACAGTGAATCTCCTAAAAGTCGAATTTGTCATTTATTAAAAGGAAAACAACTTTTTTTTGCAGGGCAACAGTGAAGGAGGCTTCTAGAAAGCTGGGTTCGAATGCTAGGGGCCCCTAAAATGAATGTGTTAAGAACTAGTCGGGCTTTGAATCATGTAAAGCTGCTAAGAAGCTACCAGAGGGACAATATAAAGATAAAAATATGAGCAGAATAACCCCCTTTTTTATGTCTTTTTTTGGGGGTTTTGTAAACAAGCTCTAAAGTTTATGCAAGGCTACCTTCCTGCAGCACAAATAAAGACCTATAACTCATCTCTCATTCAAACAGACCGCACCCACAAGTACACTCAAGGTCGGCTGTGTCACCAGATCAGCCTTACAAGAACACAGCTTTTGTTAGCAACACCCTGCCCAGCATGTTTCATTTCATTTTTACTTGCTATCTACCCCTTGTGGATCCTAAATTATCTCGTCATTAAAAATGCATACGTCTACCATCCATCCAAACGAGGCTGTCCTTCTGCACATTAAACCGCAGCCACTTAAGAAAGCCCAGAGGAACCGCCACTAACGAAGCCAAATAAGACGACGCCGGTCGTACGCTGATGGAGCCCCGCCTCATTAAAGTTTGAGAAAGTCGCAGGATGACAATTAGAGGGAGAAGTGAGGGAGGGACAAATGGATGAGAGAGAGAGAGAGGGAGAGAGAGAGTGGTTAGAAAGTCATTTTAAAAATGGAGGAGTGACAACTGATGTTGAGAGGCAGAGAGGAGCGAACGAGCGAGGAATGATAAAGCACCGACGAAGAGGACGTGTAATGTTCTCTCTCTCTACTTTGTGAGAATTTGATTTCACCGCTGCGCAAGATTCACTTTCCTGCCTCTGTGGACGCCAGATAAATCAACACTAGAGTTCCTGGCATGTTTGTTTTCCTGTAGAAAAGCATCAAGACTCACAATCTGTTTTCCACATCTGCTCCTGATGATTTTTTTAACACAGCCAGGTGGCGTCCGTATAGTTTTGTCAATGTGCCTGTTTGTATTCATAACTCAAAACCTCCCTGTCTGTCTTCCCTCAGGCCACTCGGCTGGGACTCATCCGGCCTCCAGGCGGTCGAGGTCGGGGTCGAGGCAAGATGGCGGCGGAGCCCGGTTCGATGCATGTAGGGCGCGGAAGGGGCCGCAGCCGAGATATGATGGGTCGCGGCGGATCTGTGAACCGCATGGTGGTGGACCACAGACCCAGAGCTCTGGCTATTTTGGGCGTTACTCAGGAGGAGAAGGACGAGCTGATGCCGCACTTTGTGGTGAGAAATCTTGACTCTTCTTCGTGACTTGTTTTGTTTTTATTTTCGTTTCATGGGTCACACCAAAAACTGTCTGTTTTGTCTTTTCTCAGAAATTTGGTGAGATTGAGGACGTCCGTTACCAGGACGCCAACACGGTTGTTATGACCTTTAAAACGAGGAGTGAAGCGGAGAATGTAAGCCTTTCTCTCTATCCATAACTAAATCGGTAAAATACATCATAATGATATAATTTTGTAACGTATTTCCCCTTTTTTTTTTTTGGTTTTCCAGGCAGCGAACCAAGGAGCCAAATTCAAAGGTCGCGTTCTGCAGATTTCCTGGTACAAGCCGAAGACGCCCTCTGTTACAACAGAGCCAGAAGAGGAAGAGGCTAAAGATGAGGACAACACGGTACGACACAAAAAAAACACCAACATTAAAGCACAATACGCCATCATGTTTTATGAAGAGTGACACCAAGCAAACCCAAAACCAGGGCTTGAGCTCCGTGGAAAGTGCAGATCTGAAATTTCCAAGCGGGCAAACTTTTTTTCTGAGTTCTGGTTATATTCACAGATTCTACTTTCTGTTTCTTTCTGGTGCCTCTAAATTTTTCACCACAGCTCCCAGTGGAAAATCAGGGCAAGCCTCTCAGAACTAAGAGCATCTCAGCCCTTTGAGTAAAACTGCATTACTGTCAGGTGAAATCCTCCTACTGTAATTTCATGTTATGGGACGAGAGGCATTTTTGGAGCCTCAGAAATCAGCAGAGCAGATGCTGTTCGCCTTTTTTAATTACCTCATGGAAAAGAAAAGACGTTTTCCACGATATTTAAACCAGTTTAACTCATTCAGTGCCAGGTTCATTTACGCGGTATTCACCAAGTGCCACCATTGACCGCAATCGAAATTTCTGTATCTTTCAGGACCCACAGAATATCTTGTGCTTGGGCTAGATTTAAGTGCAATATCTCAAAAGGAAGGGGTGATTCTCTTCTTTCATTAGAATAAAAAAGTGAGTCTCTAACCCACTCCTGTGTTTGGTTATTGCCTGCTCAATGCAGCGTGGTCATATCATATTTGCCGAAAAAGAAACCTCGGAAAAACACATTTTTACAAAGAAGAGACTTTCAAGCTACTTCTTCAAACTACTTTACCGGTGGCATCAAGGTCCTCCCTTTCTCTGACACCTCTCCTCATCACTCTCGAGATCCCAATGTGATAGATCGCTTTGTGATGGCTGGGAGTCGTGTTATTAGCTCTTGAGAACCTAATGCCGTAAACCACACAGACTGCTTGCGTCCTTCTCGCCGGGACTGTCGCCGAGTTACGGTTCAGTCTGGCTCAGACCGAAAATTGTTTCTTTGATTGTCTGCTGACGATGTGAAGGTCCAGTACCAGGATCTCTACTGGCTCCAGAGACGGTAGCACCGCGCCCACAGGAGACCGTTAGCTCTTGGCTAATGACTTCGGCATTTTCCTACTCTCCTCATAGAGAAAAACACTCCACAACTAGGCTAACTGGCACACTTGATGGCACACTTCTCACTGGCGAGTACTTGGTTTTGTTATTGTAACATGGTTATGACGTATTTGTCGGCTTTTCTGCGCTCAGAACGACCCCAAACTCAATCACATGTTGGGGAGGAGCATCCTCTGATGGAAAACAAAAAAAGCTAAAAAATCTGTCAAAATCTGTCAATGGTACTGAATGAGTTAAAAACATCAGTTTCATTGCATTGATGCTCAATGAGATTTATACATTTTCTTTTCTTTTTCCTTTGAAACAGAAGGAAGCTAGCTCGTATTTGCCCGGTGAAGAAGACGAAGAGGAGGAAGAGGAGGACGACGACGAAGACGACGAGTACGAGAGTCGATCCTGGAGACGATGAAGGCGTTGCGCTGCTCTGATGAAGAATCAGTCCTGAATAATTTCCCCACGTGCAGAAATAATCAATACAAAAGAACTCACACTTTTTTTTTGTTTGTTTTATTTTCCTTTCCAGTATTTTCAAGCGAAGTAATTTTACACTCGAATCAAAGTGAAAGCCTCTTTACTTTCTTGTACATGAAAAGAAGCTTTGAGGGGACGACAGTTTTTGTAACCCTCGACTAAACAGTTATTTAAAACATCTCACTTTTGCTGAGAAAGATAAATGTTAAGTTGTTCTTATAGATAGAAAATCCTATGTAAGTTTCCGTGTGCTTACCAGACGATAAATATCAGTAATGCACAACATTTGTGTCTACTGTGAATAGGTATTTTTATACATACTGTATTTAAGCTCTTCTCACCAGTTTTTTGAAAAATCTCGTCCTCCGTTCAGGGACAGCCATTCCTTCACTCACAGAGCGTCCTCTGTCGCTCCCGGAGAGATACTTATTTATTTTTCCACTGCATTAACGCACCACGCAGAACTTTTTTTGGCACAGTCTGGTGTGTTTTTCGTTTCACTTTGCTCTTAGAGTTTGTTTTGGTATGAGTAAACCCTAAAATGGAAAAGGATCCAAACATATTTGACGTGGCGTGTCGTATTCCTGAATAAACAGGGCCATCACTGATACTGTACTCTGACCGTATTTGAGCCTGGGCGGGTACAAGAAGATACCAGTGCAATAGAAAAATCCAAACTGTGTTTACAGATGGCCGTGTCCATGCACGTCACATACAGTCTCGTAGTAAATATCAAATTCTCCCCTCTTGTATTTTGTCGCTCACTAAATGTCCGGTGCCACTCTGTGCAAATCCAAACACCTGAAGAGGTGTTCGACATTTCCTAAGAGTGTGAAACATTTTTCACTTGTGTCATTCTGTCTCCTTGACATCTGACAACGATCAGATCACCCATTTCAGAAATGTGAGATCTAAAGACAGGTGTTTGAATGTAAAACTGAACAGTTGATTTTAATATATATATAAATATTTGATTTCTTTGCCTTACACAATCAGCGGATGGCTGAATTTTTACAAGATTTGTGATTTACTTTTGTAAATTTTGTAAATGCTTGAAAGAGGAATTACTGTTGTGTTTTTTCAGTTTTTTTGTAAGTTTCTTTTTCTGATATTTTACACGAACGGCGAGTTTATGTCTGATAGGAAAAGTTCAAGCAAGAGTGCTTAGTGTCTCTGCTTGTTCATAAGACTTTTGCTTGTTTTCGTCTAACCAGTCCACGCTGTGATTTCACTGAACAAGTCATGGTAGAAGCGCATTTCTGTCAAAATAAACGCAGAGATGCGACAGGAGCGATGCACCTCAGCAGAATTTTATGCGGTTGTGCATTTAAACATTGTCAGAAAATGTGGGCCTTCTATGACAAAACACGTTTCTCTTTCTTTTTTTTTTTGCCTTCTTTAAGTTCGCCGTTTTCTAGAATCCTCAGGGTGGGAGGAATCAGACTCATGAAACTTCAAACAGACGTGTGCTCGATGCAGGAAAATATTGTTTTCACATTAAATTCTCTCACTGACAGCTGTAACTGTGTTTACATGCAGCCTGATCAAGTGTTGTTTGACGTGTGCTTATCCAAACTCAACTGATCATATCCGGTTACCAGCCTGGACAAACATGCATGTAGAAATGTAGAAATCTGCACTCGAAGATTTCTACCTGCGTGTGAATTCTGTCACTCTTTCAGAATTTCAACCACCTTTAGTCTCCTCCTGGTATCCACAGTTTGAGGATGCAGAAGTGTTAGGAACCCTGTATGTGATCTCCTCCCACCTGTCGTGTTGGTAGTGCTCTTGTTTGGATTGCATATCTCACTGTTGATTGGCGAAGCCCCCCCCCCTGCCAGTGACCTCGTTCTGCCATTAAAGCTTTTTGGTCTTCACTATCATGGTGTTGGTCAAACTAAGGTGCCCAAGTTTTCCCGTCGGCACTCAGTGCTTTCTTTGGGATGGTTTGCTCATTTGATGCTTTTTTCTTTAACAAGGTCACTGGCAGTCATAATGGACTTATCCATACTGGTGGGGTTCTTTGCCTGTGTAAGTGAGGATTCAGGGAAGGTCACTCCCCCACTTTTTGTACTATCTTCTGTATGCTACTATCACACAACAGTGTAGAAATATGTCAAATGTTTATTGAATAATAGTTTGGAATTTGTTACTGTTTATATTTGCAGGATGTGGATGTATTTTCTTCATGTATTTTGTTTGTAAAAAAATGGATTTCTAATTTACTAGCATGTTTGCTTTTGCCAATAAAGATGGAGGAATGGGTGCTTGTTAAAAAAAAAAAAACATCAGAGGAAGAGAGAAAAAAACAGAGAAAAGAGAAAAAAGAAATTAAAGAAAAGAACATTTTGAGTTACAGAAAGAAATTTGACCAAAAAAGAGAGAAAGAACTGAGATTGGCAAGGGGAAAAAAAATCACGAGCAAAAGCATTCCAGAAAATATAACCTGAAACTCCTGTGTGGTCTCCTTTATTTGCATGGTAACCATGACTACTGAAGCATATAGGACTAGTTTATAACTTATCAAGAAAGAGGAAATGATCCTGAAAGTATTCCTTACTTAAGTACTGCGACAACTTTCCCCACAGATGTAAGCATTAATTAAGTCTTGTTAAATCTACGGTAAAAGGATGTAAAGTGTTTGTTCAGTGTGTATTTATATATGACACAGATGGCAGGTGGTCAAATTAGCTCAATTAGAGGTGCATTAAGCTCCTCCTCTCTTCTCCAGCAAGCCACGCCCACAAACGCTCCTGCTTGCTCGTATCATTACAGTTAAATTCAGATATAACGCAGATAAATACTTCAGATAATTACAAATGGGGCCCAGTCAATGTGAAAGTAAACAGCATTGGTGCTACTGTAGATGCCAACAGACTACCAGCAAACACAATGTTTGCAGGACTTCTACAACTAGGATAAAGTGACATAGTCCAGGACCCGAGGTCAACAGTTTAGTGGTGCTACAACACGCTACAGCAGGTCAGTTTGACAAGAAACACTTCTGTTACAGACACTTGGATTACTTTGTTGAAGTGGTTTACCTGTCCAGCAGAAAGGTTACAGGGTCCATAAGATCCCGAAGCGCCTGTTATTCCACCAGAGTCTCCAGTATTTACTTCATTTTCTTGCTTGTGTTGGCAGTCGTGGCCAAAGGAGGATTCCGACAATTTTCCGTACTTTCTGGTTGGTTTATACTGTCCGATATTGTAGCACGCTAACTTTGTTTAGGCTTGTGAACGTTATTCGAGGACGTGAAATGTCAGGTTACACCAGGGAGCAGTGTCCGCCTCATAACCAATCAGGTCAGGGAGGCGGCGTAGGCTTTGTTTACAGTCCGAATGAGCAGACCATTAACAAATTTTAAAATGGTGACAACAAAGGCATAAGAGAACACTGTGATATTGTGATATTCCCAAACACGGGGCTGGCAAGTTTCAGAAAATGGCGAGTGAAAATTTAGCATTGGCGGCGAACATTATTTTGCCTTTTTTAACGTTGATTTATACCTCAAGACTGATGTCCTCACCTCCATACCAGCTGCTCTCCCTAATGCTAGTCTTAATTAACCAGGAATTAGAAATGAAAATTGTAACAAGAATTTTGACTAAATACATGTCCATATTGCATTATGTCGAGTGGGTTTTAAATGTCGGCACTGTTGTGTGTGAAAGATAGCGACGCCAAGACCCCAAAAAAGCGTCAGTGTTTCAGTTACCATATCGGAAAAAAAGCTAATTCAGAGGCGGAAACAACATGGCTACATCTACGAAAGTTATTTTAGCCTAGTATTTCGGACAAGGCAAGCGCTAAAATAACTTTCGCAGACGTAGCCATCTTGTTTCAGGCCTCTGATTTTGCTTTTATCTGACTCGGTAACGACGATGCTAGGAACTCGGGTGTGACATCATTTTCAGCTCCAACATCTGGCTTCTGAGGTAACTTAAACACAGCATTTCGCACTAAGGACAGATGGATTGGTCTGGGATTGATTATCTCGGTCAGTCATATCAATTTAAACTATGGACTAAATAAAACCAGATAGTAACCTTTCAATACTGCACAATGAGGAAGAATAAACCAATAATTACTCATAATAACCTCACTTTAACACCAAGTCCCCTAGAACAAATCCCTCCACATCAAAGGGAAGGACCTCTGACGCCCTCTTTAATTACAGCGCCCGACGACTACAACATATTAAAATATCCCTGAATAATTCATGACCGTGTCTTACTTTAGGAAGTCAAGTGAAAACACTCAGAGTCTGTTTAGTTTAATGCAGTGACTTTCTGCTCTTCCCAGGGGAGGAGATCTCAAACTGGAGCCTGAGCGGTGGTGCACTGCTCCTGGCAGATCCCCATAGAGGCCCCGGGACTGGGGGGGTAGAGAAATAACAGAATTGGGTTTCAAGAAAGTCAAAATATGCTATTGAATCATATAGAATGTGTTAAATGTATTATTTAGCTGGAATGGGAATGATTTTTTCCTGGATAATAATGAAATAAAAGGTCTTAATGTCTTTTTCCTCAAGAGTTATGTTGCCACCATGAGAAGAATGAGGGTCTTTTTCTGAGTTTTGTTTGTCTATGCCAGCGTGTATGATAATGTCTAGACTTGTTTTCATTAATGTGGACCTGTTATTTTTTATCATGTCAAACTAAAACCAAAATATATTTGTCGAAGGTTTTATTTCTATAGGTACGTCACTTCCGGGGATCGTCACTGAGGGGTGTGGTTTTGGGATGTTTGGCGGGTAATTTAAATCTCACAGGTGTAGTCGGCCGTGGGTTTGGTAAGCTCTGATAATTTTCTGTTGACCGTTTTTTCATTGTCTTTTATCGTTTTCATCGTTTCACTCATCGTGTTTTAACCTCATTTAAAAGTAGCCCAAGTAATGTTTATAGGTGGTTTAAAAACCAAATATTAAACATTAACAATGTCCTACTGACAAACATTTTAATCTAGATGTTTTACAACCAATATTCAAACCCTATATAAACCTTGAATAAATAGTCCATTAATAATTTAATGAAAATTATTAATCATAGTTTCATTGCTTGTTAATGGTAAACTAACTATTAACCTACATTAATAAACTATCCATTTACCATTTATAATTAGTCTATATGCTGTTTTTAAATGATGATTAAACATTAATAAACTCTCTATTTACCATTTATAAGTTACGGTTATTGTGAAGTGTTACCATACTTTTATATACTTCTATCAAATCAGTATGATCAACAAATTACTAAAAAAAACACCTGAATTACAGTCCGATAAATGACAAAAATGTCCTCTTGTAGTTTATCAGTTTCCAAAAATATCTATCATATCAAAGGAGATAAATAAATATATTTGTTAAATTTTAAGGACATTTTAATTTTTTGTGAAATAAACATTTCAGCTCCAAAAAAATTTGAATTTTCTGGCCATATTTTGTGGTGTCAGGCCTTAAAGGGGCTACAGTTTGTCTCTCCAGCAAGCAACAGGTTCACCTGGTGAGAAAAAAAAAACTAAAAAAAAAAAAAAAACCTTGGCCTGTTTTAATCTGTGTAATGAATGAGAACATGCCAACATGGTAATGGATGCCTGCCACCGCACTGCTGAATTATTCACAGTCTGGGGGAACCAGAGAGGCGGCATGCAGGATCAGATGGACCTGCTGTGTCATCGGTCCACCTCTGCCTGCTTCGGCTCCTCTTTCCGCCTGTTCAAGGCAGCAAGGTGAGTTCAAACCAGGCGGCCACCTGAGAAGAGTGTAAGCGGCCCCAAGGAGGAAGGGTGTTCACATGAGGAGGAGAGGAGGGTGAGACACCCGGGTCAGAGCGCTACAGGTGTCATATACAGTCTGATGAAAGGAGCACAATATCTATCTATCTATCTATCTATCTATCTATCTATCTATCTTCTATCTATCTATCTATCTATCTATCTATCTATCTATCTATCTATCTCATTTTAACCCTTTTTCCTTTTTTTACCTTCATTGTTTTTTCTCTCCTCCTTTTTTGCAGTTCCCCATCTTCCATTCTGACTTTCTTTTTCTTTGTTCATTTCTTTCTCTCTTTCTTTTATTTATCTTTTTTTCCTTCCGTTATTTTCTTCTATTTTTCCCTTTCTCCCTTTTTATTTCTTTTTACTGTTTTTCATCATCTTGTTTCATCCTTTTCTATATTTCCATCTTTCTTACCTGTCTTTCATGTCTTCCTTTTTCATCCAGTCTTTGATTTCTTTTTTCTTTCCTTTTTCTCTGTACCTTAATTTCTTTTAGTTGTGCTTTTCCGTCCTTCCTTTTTTGTCTGCCATCTGTCTTTCTCTCTTTTCCTTTTTTCTATCTTCCTTCCCTGTCTTCTTTCCTTTCTCTTCTTTCTTTCTCTTTATTCTTTTCTTTCATTTCTTTCTATTCTCTTTCCTTTTTCTTTCCTCATTTCTTCCTTATCTTTCTTTCTCTTATCTTTACTTCTATCTTTCCTCATTTCTTTCTTTTTTCTTCTTTCTTTCTCCTTATTCTTTTCTTTCCTCCCTTTCTTTTCTCTTTGCTCCTTCGTTCTCTTTCTCTTATCTTTACTTCTATCTTTCCTGTCTTTCTTCTTGTTCTTTTCTTTCCTCTCATTCTTTTGTTTATTTCCTCTAAGTCTTTTCTCCTTTTTTCTTTCTCTTCTTTACTTCTATCTTTCCTCTCTTTCTATTTTCTCTTCTCCTCTTCTTTCTCTTATCTTTACTCCTCTTTCCTCCTTTTTCTTCTATATCTCCCTTTATTCTTTTATTTCCTCTTTTCTTGCCTCTTTTTTCTCCTTTTTGTTTCTCTTATCTGTACTTTTTTCTCCTTTTTTTCTTTCTGTTATCCTTACTCCTTTTTTCTTTCTCTTAAATTTTTTTCTTTCAACTTTACTATCTTTCCTCTCTTTCTTTTCTCTATTTCTTTTCACATTTTTTTCTTTCTCTTATCTTTACTTCTCTTCTTCCTTTTTTCTTTCTTTTTTAATGTTTCCTCGTGTCTTTCCTTCTTTTCTCCTCAACTGAATAATCACCCTCACTAAACCCAGACCAGTAGCGCTGTCTATGGTGCTGAATTTCCCCCCCAGTTTTGCCTGTTTTCTCTCAAATTTTCTGACATCCTGGAAAGAAACAGAAAATCTTACCAATAAAGATCCTGTGGATGAAAAGTACCTTAAATTTTGTATGTATTTTTACGCTTGCGCACAGATGCCATCACCCTGTAACTTGTAAACTGAGCAGACGAGCGGGGAAGGGAGGGAGAGGAGGAAAGAAAGGGAGGAGGAGGTGGGGGAGGAGGAGGAGGAGAGGGATGCCGGGAGGCGCTGCCCCGTGTTAACAACTCAGTCTGGTGGAGGAGAGCAGAGGAGCTTTGTGGCTGCGTGTCTGCTTCATCCGGGGGCCGCTCTTAATGTCAGGGGCCACACTGCTCGCGAGCTGCTTGCAGGGAGGAGGATGATGATGACCATGAACGGCAAGCAGCATTTCTCCATGCACCCGGCCCTGCACGAGCCGCCCAAGTATCCCGGCCTGCACTCAGGCTCGGAGGGCATGCGCAGAGTCTGCCTGCCCGGCCCGCAGGTACGTTGAGGTCGGAGGGAGAGTGGAGTGGAGGGGGAAATATCACAGTTGAAAAATGTCTGTAAAGTTGATTTGACAGGACTTTGTTCTATTCTCTCCCTCTCCCTCTTTTCCCCTTCTGTCTGTTCCCCTTCTCAACACCCCCTCCCAACGCCCCACTCCCCTCCTCCCCCTCCTCCTCTCCCCTCTCTCATCCACATGTCTATTCGAGCAATGCTCTTGCTTTCATATTAATTTTTATGACCTGCGCTTTGAGGAGGGTTCTCTCCTCTCCTCGGCGCTGCTTGCTTGCCTTTGGAAAATGTTTTTTAGATCCTGAGCGCTGCCTGACAGAATTCCCCACTGACTCCAGTATGCGCACTCTTGCTTGCAGCTGCAGGGCAATATATTCGGAGGCTTTGATGAGAGCCTGCTGGCACGGGCAGAGGCTCTGGCGGCTGCTGACAGCATTGTCTCTCACGGCAAGAGTCACCCGTTCAAACCAGACGTGACTTACCATACCATGAGCAGTGTCCCCTGCACCTCAGCCTCCTCCTCTTCCTCCACCACCGTGCCCATCTCCCACGTCCCTTCCACCATCGCCTCCCACCACCACCACCACCATCACCACCTCGGACAGACCCTGGAGGCCGGGGACCTCTTGGATCATCTCTCCACCAGCCTGGCCGTGACCGGGATGGGCGGTCCGGAGCCACCCGGAATGACCACACCGGCGCACCACCACCAGGTTCCTCACCACCACCTGCAGACTATGGGGCAGCTGCACCAGGCGATGGCCACCATGGCGCACCCTCACTCGCTGTCTGTGCACGGTGGGATGGCGTGCGTAAACGACGTGGAGTCGGATCCCCGGGAGCTGGAAGCCTTCGCCGAGCGCTTCAAACAGAGGAGGATCAAACTCGGGGTGACCCAGGCGGACGTCGGGTCTGCGCTCGCAAACCTCAAGATCCCAGGAGTGGGATCCTTGAGCCAGAGTACCATCTGCAGGTTCGAGTCCCTCACCTTGTCTCACAACAACATGATCGCGCTCAAGCCGGTTCTGCAGGCCTGGCTGGAGGAGGCGGAGGCTGCGTACCGTGAAAAAAGCAACAAGCCGGACCTTTTCAACGGGAACGAGAGGAAACGAAAGCGCACCTCCATTGCCGCGCCGGAGAAGCGCTCTTTGGAGGCGTACTTTGCCATCCAGCCACGGCCCTCTTCGGAAAAAATCGCGGCCATCGCGGAGAAACTGGACCTGAAAAAGAACGTGGTTCGAGTGTGGTTTTGTAACCAGCGGCAGAAACAGAAACGAATGAAGTACTCCGCGGTGCACTGACTTTCACACACATCATCATGAATAAAATAGCCTACTACATTTTTGATCGAGTGATTAATAATAGCCTAAGTAGCCTAACTAACAGGGATTATCAACAGCTCCTCACGTCTCCTTTGGGATTATCTTCAAAAGACTTCTACGATCTTCCAGTTTCTGTCACCCACTCTTTCTCGTTGCACTTTTTTTCTCCACATTTTGTTTTCTATATTGGACAGGTAAATGATTGTGTTATTGATCTGTGAAGATGCTGAATTTGTTGTTGTTGCTCGTGTATCTCGCACACACTAAATATGAACTTTCCACCCTGACAGTTTGTCACATTCAGGGATGTTAACTCACTATTTTATTGTTTTAAAAAATGGAGTTTAAACGGCCTCCTCCGTTGGCTCTTGTCGGTGGTGTTAATCCAAGCTTGTATGAAAAGAAAGAAGTTGAGGCCAGATTTAATTTAACTCAACTTGAACTGCTTTTTTCCCCCACTCCTTTATTTTTAAACAACAACACATTTTTGCAACCTTATTTTCTCTCTTTGTGGACACTGTGACAGTCATTTACGCACAAATATGAATAATTACGCTTTCACAAGGTAGTCTGTTTATCCTGAATTATTTACTAATGAAACGACACAGTCATGTTATGACGAGGCACCTCCGTGTGGCTTTGGCTGCTATATTTTAGTATTTTGGTGTGAACATGTTTTGGAGTATTACAGGTAAGCTATATTTATCATATAGCGAAGATATACAGTGTATAGCCCCAAAAATCACCTATTATTTAGTCGAAGTATTTTTGCTCACTTCTGATTTCACTTGAAAAAAAATGTGTGAAGTTTAAACTTAATAAATTATTGGTTATTTTCTACAAATACTTTGAAGAAGCGACTTTATTATTTTAGCTTTATTTGACAAGCTGTAAAACAACAAAATAGGTGTTTTATTTTGAAGGTCACGAACCGTTAAAATCATACTGTCTCATCCATACATCCTGAATGCACCATTAGGCGATAAAGTCTTTGTTTGTTTTCCAGTAACTCGCTCGCTTGTTTTATTTATAATCCCCTCAACCTCCGCTGGAATTAAATATGTATTGTCTTACACGATATAAGCGCCACGGTAAATTAAAAGGCCATCTTTTTCTCTTTAATTTTCACACCGCGGGAAGGCTGTATGCACGATGCTCGCGGCCCCCTTCCCTGCTAATTAGCGCTCTTTGAATTATGGATGTTCTCGTGTCACCGGGTTATGTCGTACTTGCGTGGGCTTTGCAATTATTAAGTAATGACGATGCAATATTAATTATATACTATTGGTATAAAACGGAGTAATGTGGAGGAGCCGGGATAGGAGGGGGACTCTTGGGAGAGACGGACCGGATATACACAACAGGTTCATGGAAAAAATACGGAATTAAATAAAGTTTTTATTTATTTTTATCAACCGTTTGACTCAGTAAGTAGTCATAGTAAGTATATTAATTTATCTTTTGATTTTATTCAGGGGTAAAATGTCTTTAACGGCTGTCACGAGGGCCTACTCAAAACTATGTTAGCTAACTGTTTTTTGTTGTTAGCTTACTCCGACGAAGGCCTATTTCTTTGCGTCGCTATTTCTGCCAATCAGAATTTTTTTAAAGTAATTCTTGTTAAGATGTCTGCCTTATTTCGAGAAAATTCCTCGCCTTGGAAAGCCCTAATTTAAAGAATAGGCGAAATAAACTTCTAAAAATAAAAAAAGCCCTTCAATATGTAGGCCTACAATCCGGCCTACCTATTTTGTAGTCAAATATAAATATTTACGGTTCTAGTAATATTGCTGGGTGATAAATAACAAACTAAATAATACTTTTAAATTGGGATTTTTCTGTTTTTTCCTTTCTATAAGCCTTTTCTGCAACTGTTTGTCTCTAAACAGTGTCACACTTCTGATAGATATAGGCCTATAATCGATAACTAATCGTATGTATTTGAAGTCGATTATTCGTGTAAAAGTTTTCGGATACTTACAACAAAATACACTGACTCTCACACCCCGGGACCTTCTTTTTTTAGGTGTTTGTGACGTAAATGTGCCCGAGGTTAAACGAAGTAGTATTCCTCCGCCGCCGCGTGAATTATTGATCTTTGTAATACCCGTATTGATATCATAACGTGGCTGCTCGCCGGGTGGTAAGTTGAGCTGAAGGCGGGCGAGCGTCCGTGGCATGTGGCGACTGAGGGGGACTAAATTATTCAGCGGCAGCTCATTTTTTTTCTCATGCAATAGAGGTGTGTCGGTCAATTTGGATATCATTTTTAACTGTTAAAGCTCAAACAGCATATGTACTTGAATCTTTAGACAAAGCAGAAAAAAGGAAAACAGTTATTTGATTTTTGAGTCTTTGAAAATAATAAAATATGAAAAAAAGACGATAAAAAGAAAAAGGAAGGGAGAAAGTAAGAGAGGAGGGAGGGGAAACAGAGAAAGAGTGTGTTTGCTTGAGATGTTCTCATGCAGGGAAAAAGCATTCTTGACAGAATGAGGATGAAAGCTCTGTTTAATTGCAGAAGACTACACGCACGTACATACACACCAAGTCCCCCTCTCTCTCTCACACACACACACACTCTCTCTTACACACACACAGGGTGCCTGTCATCCTCAGGAGCAGAGTGAGGGAATTTTAGGGGAGGGGTGGAAGCCCCAAACACCCCTCTCTCAATAATTTATCCACCGCCAGCAGCAACAAATGAGAATGTGACCAGAGCGATAGAAGACAGCTTCGTCTGCGCTCTCTATTAGTCTTCTTCTATTATCATCACAAGCCAAGACCGTCCTGCTGCTGCTGCCCTATATGTCTGCACATACCTGAGTGCTGCACACACACACCACATACACACCACACACACACGGTGGGGTTGTGTTACCCTGTGGAAACCTGAGGCCGAGTGATTGGTGTCTTTTCAAATGGTGCAGCAGGAGATGCCGTCTACTGGAGCTGCGGTTCACTTCCCTGTACACTCTGATGTGTGAATCGACAATATATTTCTATATATCTATTATTTCTATCTTAAAACATATGAGATGAAAAAACAAAAACAATCGCACTTATTCTACTCTGCTTTAATTATTTCTACCGCACATCTCCAGTTTGCAAAACAACATCTTACATCATAAAACAGAAAAACTATACACAAAATATTGTTAAAAAGCAAATTGTACTTCCTAATAGTAAAGTGTAATTTAACTCATAATATACAAGTTAAAATAATCTAGTAATCTAGAGTATTTTGCCTGCTAAATCTGTACAATGACTTTTAGTAACACTAAGATATTTTTAGCCTTTGTGTTTAATTTAAAGCCCCTGTGAGAATTTTTTAACAGGATGTGAAACACAATGATATTATGAATATTGATGTCTCTTTATGACCTCAGAAAGCAAACAAGACTATTAACTATGTAAGACCATTAAAGTGTTGCTACTCACTACGTGTGAAACTACTGGCAGGGACTAGGTTGCTCCACATGATCCGAGGTGAAGATTCTCAGTGAGTGATCTGTTTGGCCCTAAAAGAAATCAAATAAATAAAACAGAATGAGATTTAGATACTTAAAGCACCTCACGGGAGCTTTAAGTATCTAAAAGCTCCATCTACAATAACAGATAACAGATATTAATGCAACGTCAAATAGTTTTTAAATAAATCCTGTGGTAGTTTTATTCTGAGTGACAATTGAAAATGATAATTTACGATACCTTTTATCATAAGCATCATAAATGTCAAAAGTTATGCTTCAGAAACTAAATCAATTGAGGTCATAATGGAGTGAATTTTAAAATAGAGTCAAAATTAAAATCTTTTTGACCATTTTTACCTCAGCTTCCTGCATTTTGAACCACTTTTTGGACATTTTGAGGCTAACTATCGTGTAAACCCATATGATATCAAAAAAGAAAAAATATATATCAACACACAAGACCCCTAACCCGCTGTTTTCTAAACATAAGCTCTGTGTCTCATAGTCTGTGTGAGGTAAAGTTGCCTGCTAACTAATACACCATCCATTATGCAGAGACGACTGAGATGTGCAAACACACATGAAGAGATGTGAGAAAACACAAAAAAGAGATACTTACCGTAGCCATGATGAACTGTCAAAACTGAAACAAACATTGGTGACATTTATGTTATTTCACTAAAATAAAGCAAAACTGTGTCTGAACTAGTTTAGTTTAAAACAACAAAATAGGAGTATTGACTTTTATTACTAAGTAGGAGTGCAGCAGGGCTCTGTATTAGAGACACGCATAAAACTCACTCATATGCACTTGTTTAATTCATTCAGCGGGCCTGAACAACAGTATTATACACCCCATTCATTATTCAAGTCCTCTCCATTATCAAAGTGCCCAGAGAAATAAGATGAACCCAGCCAGAAATAACTCACTGTGGCGTGATTTTTTTTTCTACAAAGCACTTAGCCGGTCGAGTCCAGGCCTGCACACAAACTCAGATTAGAGTATATGAACGTATGATCACCTCACAGTCTGCTGAACATAATAATCCTCTCCAAGAAAATGTGTCGGTACATACGGAGTGGAGGAAAGAGGAGAAGTATAGATCATTAAGGGAAGAAGGAAGAAACCGAAAATATTCAGGAAAGTGGAGGGCAAAAGAAGTGACAGAAGATGGACAGAGAAGAGATTGAACGAAGGTAAAGAGGACAACAATAATGATGATAGGAAAACAGAGACAGAGAGAAAGAAAGACAGAAAAGAAAGACAGGATGAAAAAAAGGAATTTACAAAAAGAAAGAAAAGAGGAGAGGTTGGAAAAGAAAAAAAACCCGGAAAGGGCAGGGATACAAGAAAGTAATTCAGGTAAGAGAAAGAGAGAAAGAAAAATAGAAAAAAAAGAAAGAGAAAAGAAAGACAGGATGAAAAAAAAGACTACAAAGAAAAAAGGAAGAGGTTGAAAAGAAAAAATAAAAAGGGCAGGGATAAAAAAGTCATTCAGGTGAAAGAAAGAGAAAAAAGAAAAGATAGAAAGAGATGGAAGGAAGAAAAGAAGAAAGAAAGAAACAGATAAAGTAAGAGAGAAGGAAGGAAGGAAAAAAGAGAAAGAGAAAAACAGAGAAATGAAAGGAAGAAAGAAACAAAGAAAGGAAGAAAGACAAAGAGATAAAGAAAGAAAGAAACAGACAAAGAAAGGAAGGAAGAAAGAAAATAGAAAAACAGACAGAGAAAGAAGAAAGAAAGAATCAGTGAAAGAAAGAGAAGAAAAAAAGGAAGAAAGAAAGAGACAGAAAAAAAAGAAAGAAAGGAAGGAAGGAAAAAAGAAAGAAAGAAACAGACAAAGAAAGAGAGAAAGAAGGAGGAAAGACAGAAAGAATGAACGAAAGAAAGAAAGAAATCCCTGCTGGTGGACACATCTGTCAAGACGACTGTTTGATTCAAGCTTTTTATTCGTTTTCAGCTTGATCATGTCAAGGTGAGTGCGTCCCTGCTGGCCTCTGACAGTCTGACACTAAACTCCTGTGACAGCAGGAGAACCCAGAGGACTCTGTGGAGGTAAGAGGAGGCCGTGTCCTCCTGCGAAGGAAAGACAATATCAACTCCAAAGGCACGTCCATTTAGACCATCTATCAATCAACTTTTTACACCACTTGTCAATGAGCTCATAACGAGACGGAAACTGATCATGAATTTGAGATATTTGTAATCAGGCTTGAATAGAATTCTAATATGTGTCTTGTAGCTGCTGTGTAGTCCCCCTCATCACCATTCTGTCTCTGTTTTAGAAGACAGGATTTCAACTCTGAGTCTTTTCTGCTACAGTGAGTCCAGGATGTATAATAATTGCTTTACATACGAAGTACAGAAGTAGGAATTTCCCTCTAAAATCATGTTAAACAATCAAACGAAATGGTATCTGCTAAATAACAACACTGAATGAAAGCACTTTTTTTTGATAGTACTCTACATTCTCTCGATCTGTTAGCCTTGAGGCCAAAAAACATGTAAACAAGCAAGTAAAAAGCAGCTTGGATGTCGACACAACCCGCCACCCCGAGACCTCAACACTGACAGAGGACACATGGGGAAACAACAATGGCAGCCACATCTCTTTCTTTCCCTCTACAGGGCTGCGCTTTTGAAGACAGACATGAAAACCGAGCCACGCCACAGTGGGGCCCCTGAAGGAGGTCCCCTGGCAGATGCAGCCACCCGCCCTCCTCCCCTTGCCTGTTCCCACTGGCCCCAGGCCCTGAAGATAGCCCTGAGGCTAATCGACCAGGAACACAATAAGAAGCAGCAGAGGCAGCCGGTGCTGAGGGCGTTAGTCTGTGTGCGTACAGATCAGGCGAGAGAGAAACATGAGAGAAGGAAATTCATCAAGCAACACGAAATACGAGGAATGATCCAGATCAGACCGACTTTTAAGACACAGAAGATCTATGTCCACATAACAAAGGTCGATCATATCCTATTGTGGAACATTTGATATTGAACTGCATACCTGCTGGATCAGATCAGACAGAAAAACAAAGCTGGTGTGTTATGAGATGAATAAAGGGTTTGGATGAACCACTTTGAGGGGAATCAAGCTTCTCTGGATTCTACCAACACCCGAATAAGGTTTTGGAGATGTTACACCAATCTTATGTTATCTTATGGTGAAGCTAATTAGTCTGTAGTCATTGCTGATGCTTCTAACAATGGAGGGGTCGTCAAAAAACTTGGGACAGAAGTTGGAGGTGTAGCAAGTGAAAAAGAGAGGCACCAGAACAGTTCCCTGAGGAACGCCAGTGGTACTAATGACCATCCTCTCTGTTTCTAACCCTCTCGATCCAAACATCTTTTTAACTGTGCCTGGTTTCTTTAGCAAAGAGACTAAACACAACCCACCCACTCTCCTCCAGCAGCGGCCTGTTTGTGGGGGAGCCCTGACGAGTCGATCACCAAGTGCAGCGGAGTTTCGCAGCTCAAGGAAGAACATTTATGATTATTACTTCATGGAAATGCAATAACACCAAGGTGCTAAGGCAGAAGAACTACCGCATCTGCAGTGCAAAATGACTATTATTATTATGATTGATACTGTATGGAAATGATCCGCTGCACTCGGTGATCGACTCCTCGGGGCTCCCCCTCAAACAAGTGGCTGCTGGAAGAGAGTGGGTGAGTTGTGTTTAGTCTCTTCGCTAAAGAAACCAGGCGAAGCTAAAAAGATGTTTGGTGGTTAGTACTATGGCTGGGACCCGTTGATGAAGTTAGGTGCTGTTCTGAGCATTATTTGTAGCTATAGAGTGGTGTTTTGGTTGAGGTTTGCGCATGGAGATGTAGACCGCTGTGTATTGCTATCGTGCGGTCGTTGCTGAAGTTGGTATAACTAGAAAAGCAAGGGGTTGTCAAAATTCATCTCTCAAGGGAGGGAGGGTCTAACTCAGTGTTATGGTGTGTTTGACTATGTTTTAAATTTACACCGGAACATCCCTTTAAGGAAGCATGTAACCACGTGACTCCATGAACAATCTGACAACACACATAGTATCAAATCAATCTGCTGAAAGGAATCCAGCATTTTTCTATTCTACCTGTTGACACTGTGGCTGAATTGTTCATTTCTGACTCAGACTGAGCAAAACCCTGTCTCTGCTATCCAGCCCATCCAGCTGCAGCAAATGGTTGTTCCACATGAATCAGGTTAAGCTCAAGATTTGTGTCTGAACACAAGAAGTTTTTCTCCCTGTTGTCGAAAAGTGTTATAAAGAGTGTAAAAAAGAGAAGTCTAGACCTGTTATTTGTGTAAAGTGTCTTGAGATACTGAACCACCACAGTCTATTTATCTGTGATCTGAATGTAGATTATTAACCCACTGAGCAGGCAGGGGTTTATCTTCTCATTATACAACTTTAAACACAATCGGAGGATCTAATTTGCCCTTGAAGCCTTTTAAGAAAAGCAGGCGAGGGTATGTAACTCAGAGTATTGAGGATATTCTGGTGCGTCTATAAAAAGCTCTGTTGAAAAGGAGAGTGATTCTCTTTATTTAGTAATGAGGGAGCCACGGTTCAGTAGCGCACATACACACAGCTGAATGTCTCACAGAGACCCGACCACGAGCAAACCTCCCCATAGCTCTCACTTTGCATCAAGTCACTGAGTGACGGGTACATTGTCCAAGGCAAGGGGGAAAAGAGTGGTGAGAAATGTTTCTGTGAGAGCTCCTCACTCAGTCAGGGAAGCAGCTCGCCGCAGACCAGCACAGAGAGCCGACACACATGTATTTCTGAGGAACCTGATTGGTTGAGTGCACGCCACGAAAAAAACAGGGTTCTTCTGAAGTTCTGTGGGGACTGAATGATTTAAAGATTCATGAATAATTGAGCGATCATTTGAACTTATAAACGTTTTTGTTATGCTTTTTATGTGGCGCACACATAAATAAGAGAAAACTTTTATCGTGCAGTTCCCTCTGGTCCCATTGAAAAGTAAACCATTAGCTGATGGACTATGATCAGACTGTACCAATTTATGTTCGCCGGTACAGTGTAGAGCATGTCTAAGTGCCAAAAACCTCAAATAAGCCACTGAAAAGATACCCAATCTCCAGTGTTATCTAAAATCTAGGATAGCTACGATTTGATCATTTAAAAACTTCTTTTAAAAGAATTTTATTTAGACGGATATAAACTCCCGCTCTTTGCTCAAAAATAGGACACAATGCTCAAATCACAGAAGATACCAGTTTGTATTTAATCAGTTATCGAGAGCAGAGTCTCTGCAGGTTTCAACAAGTCAAATTTAAATCTGAACATTTTATGTTAATTCAATCCAATCTTTGTTCCTATGGCACGTTATTTATTTGTAAGTCAAGTTAATACATTTTAATACATCATATTTAAGACATTTTATGAGATTTCAAGAGAATTTTAGACATTTTAAGGCCTTGAATTCAAATTATTGGATTTTAGACATTTTATGGCCCCGCAGATAGAGGTGTAGCCGTCTCTCTGATAGAGTCATTGTTGAATAGTTATATTTACAAATGATAAGACACGTTTCAGTGAAGGTGACAGGGTTCACTAAGAACCATCCTGTCTTTCTTTTTTTTTCTAGCTGGGTTACGAGGGACTTCCCGTGGTTTGAAAGTGCTTTTCAGAGGCCTGAATCAACGATTGTTATAGAGATAAAGTCAAGACATGATCAACTAAGTGAACTTTGTCTCTGACTTTTAATGCCATTTCCTTCTGTAATCTTAATCTAACATTTTCTGCCTTTGAATCAGAAAAAGAAGCATTAACGTCATTTTGGACAATAAGGCTAGATAATATTGCACAGAGGTTACTATGAGTTCAACAGAGTTTAATGCATAAGAAGAAGGTATAAAAGGGTTAACGATAGGGAATATGTATTAGACGAAAGTAGTTTTTTTTAGCATTTATAATTTAAGGAAAGACAAAAATCCTCAAATCATTTGTGCAGCCTGTCAGGGAGGTTATCTGCTTTAAAGAAGTGTCCTCTACAACATAAAACTGCTCTGTTATATTTTCATATCTTTAAGTTTTTTTATATGTATAAATATTAATTTTTGTTTCTTTAAATCCATCTGAGTACAATTTTCAGCAGCAGAGACACCACCATCTCTTTTACAGTAAACAAGACAAATGCAACTTTGTCTTAAACCCCTCCGCGGCGGGGGGCAACGCGGCCCGGCGTGATGAAAATATACTGATATCAGCACAAGAAGGCAAAAAACATAAAAGGTTAAAATATAAAAATTCTGTTGTTCTTCAATTTTCCAGTCTCCAGTGGTTTGGGCGAATGTAAAGTTTTATGTTTTTAGTTTCATACAGCAACAGAAAATTGATAATAAAAAAACAACAAACTCAAAGGCAGCTCAAATGATTTCCACAAACCCTTCACAGACGAGCATAAAGACTTATTTTTCTGTCAATATTTTTTTTATTGCTGTTATAAATGATCACAATAAATATTTCAAACGTAATAAAAAAAAAAAACAGCCTTAACTTATTAATTTATATTAAATACAATGACAAAAATAAATAAGCTATCTCTAAGTCAGACGCTTTAATCTGCTTTAAAAACCAGCTGAAGTAAATGCATGTGAAAAGTTGGTTGCTACATTATTTTAGTAGTATCAAACTGTGTGTACAGGCTGGGAGTTTTGCAGGTATAAATTTGCTGAAAGGAAACTTAAACCAGTCTTGGTAACTGCTCTGTATATAGAATAACTAACAAAGAAAATTAATGTTCATCTTTAAAAAATAAAACATAAAAAAAAGCAACAAAATGAAAAAGTTTTAACAATTTATCGTCTAATTCCTGAGTGATCATCAGTGTCAGCTTTTGACTTTTTAGAAGTGCAGATTCTGATTTCTGAATTTAGGCTAAGTGAGAAGAAAAACCTCTACTGTTCAATCTCTGACAGTCGGGTTGCAGGTCAAGATTGTTTTCAGGAGTCGCTCCTTTAGGCACTATTCAAGATCTTGTGCTGTGCACACCCAGAGAGGAAGCCCACCAGCTGAGGTACTTTTTTGATTTCCTCTGAAGATGTCACATTTTCCAGAGTCTTGTTGCAGTTCACCTGAAAGACAAAAAAAAACAAAACGTTAGAGTTAATTACTATTAGGCCTGCTGATTGTAATCATATTAAAATAATTTAACATTGTACATAATCACTTATTTCCTGATCCTGTATGAGCTGTTGTTGTTTTTAATTTTGCTGCTGCCCCCTGTCTTTCTCTCTCTGTATTTCTCCCCAACTCAGTAGCGGTGAGTTGGAGTCATGAGTCTGGTCCTGCTCAAGGTTTCTGCCTGTTTAAAGGAAGTTTTTCCTCGCCACTGTCACTCATGTTTGATAAGATGGGTCAAATCTGTCCCATCTTAAGGTTAGGTCTTGGTAATTCATCAAACAATGAGCGTTGTCTAGACCTGCTCTTTCTTGGAAAGCGTCTTGTTGTGATTTGGCGCTATCTAAATGATTCATTTCATCAGTCCAAGTAAAAGTTTGTTGTTTTGTGTGTGTTGAGCTCTAACCCTCTTGGCTAAGATTTCACTCTCTCTCTTTCTTACATTTGAGCTGTTGATGTAGATGTTCAAGTTCTTCAGGATCTCCGTCTCGGCGTGCCTTTTACGAGGGTGTCCGTGGTTCTTCACGTGCTTTTCAAGGATTTTTTCCACTTGGCAGAAGAATTTATCCTGTGTGGAAAAAAAGAAACACGATAAATGAGCCTCTCGAAACATAAAACCCAAGAATTTAGGCGTTGAAATGCAAAATGAATGCTTCTGTTTCTAATCTACTGGATTAAAGATATTTAAAACTTCCTACCCCGCATCTGTCGCTGCCTTCAGCCAGACGCGACACATCCTCGACAAAAATGTCCTGCAGAAGACAAAATTACAAGTGTTATTGCTTCAGGCAGATTTTATCTACTTGTGATGAAGAAAAGCAGCGCAAGTTATATATAAAGTTTGTTAACCCCGCTATGTTTGAGCTCTTACCTTTGAGGGGGACTCGTTGATTTTCTTGGCCAGGTCGATAATACGCTGCAGGTTGTGCCGAGGTGTATGGCCAGAAGATTTTACAAGGGATGGACTCAGCAGCATCACCACAGCAAGAGCCAGAAGAGGCGCCATTGTCTTCATGATTTAGATTTTTGAGTTGGTAGTCGATTGTGAGAAGGAACCGATTACTCTGCCGTGGCCTCGCAGCTTGTTGTGAGGTACCGACCAAGAAACAACTGATTTATACTCGCACTGCCCACGCTAACACCATTTTTTTCCCCTCAGCACACAAAAAAAGATGCAGCAAGTCTGCAGTGTTACAAGAGATAAGATCAGTTTGATTACTGCTGTGGCTGATGAGCAAATTCACGAAAGTGAGCTTTTTTTCTCTGAAGCAGTGGAAATGGTTGCCATGTTACGCAAAGAAAAGAAAAAAATAGACAAACAATTGATTAGTCAAATAAAAAGAGAGTCCTGACTGCAGCTTTTGCCCTTCACATGAAATTTAATGACAGAATATTTTGAGTTGTGAAACTGAAGTGCTGAACAGCAAACTGCAACGTGGCTTTGAGTTTTTTTTAGAGATCACCAGAAAGTGTTAACAGAGCATGAAAGTGTTGAACTCATGAAAGCCGGCAAAATAAGTAAAGATAGGCTGAAGGATTAAATCTCAATCTGGATTTAAGGAACTGAACGATGATAAATCTATCAAACCAGTATAAAGGTTAATCTTAAGTGCCTTTCATATGTTTTTCTGTCCTGTTTCAAACCTTCTAAATACTTTAACACGACTGTTTTAATCAAACATCTGAACTATGAAGGAAATGAATGTTGAATGAAAGTTTACTGTGGATCCCAAATCGTCTCTTTTTCAGTGGAGGTAAGAGGAGAGAGAGCTGATGCTGCACTTTGAGATCTCAGAGTTCTGGTCCTGGTTCTTGCGGATGCGGTAGAAATGCTCGATGTAGCTGGAGCGCCCCAGCAGCTCTACGAAGTCCTCGTCGTGGGTGATGACCAGCAGCTGGAAGTTACGCTGGCGGGAGCGACTCTTGATGATTCTGGGGGAGAAGGTCGAACAAGAGCCACTTAGTTCATCCAAACACAGCCAACTCTCGAACCTCTTATGGGGCGCTCACACCAAGGGTAAGTAAAATGATCTACTCGCTTAATTCGCGCGAATCTAGACGCGCGAATGAGCAGTACTTACTCCGACATGATCCCACACACCGACATGATCAGTTTGATGATACCAGTGAACAACCATCTATTTTCACACATTACCTGGCAACCTTCATGCTGATCAGTTATCGTGACACAAATATCCGCTCAAGTTGAGACATTTTCAGCTCCCGCCCAATTCGTGTCATTCGCGCTGCCAGAGCAGCAGGAGCGTCTAATCGCGTCTTTGCATTGACTTAACCTGTAATTCAGTCGCGCGAATGATTTTACTCCCGCTTGGTGTGTGGAGACAGTTTGTGTTTTAAACCAAATTAAAGCGTCCAGGATTGATGTTGAATATCTTCCAGATCTACTTCCAGATCATCGATCGTTAAAATTCACTTCTTTATCTGTATTTTTAAGAGTTAAAAACTTGATTTAGGTTTTAGACTCGGGGTTATGTAAAACTGCTTTTATGTGCGTGTGCATGTCCGTGTTTGTGTACTGACTCGACCAGAGCGTGAGCCAGGGACTCAATGTTGTCTCGGTCCAGGTTGGTTGTGGGCTCATCCAAGGCCAGGATCCCACAATTCAGACAGAAGGTCTCCGCCAGAGCGAGACGGATGATCAAGGACGCCAAAACCTAAACACACATTTAAAAAAATAAATAAAATGAGCTTTAGAAAATCAAGACAAACTCCAAACATCTTCATTTCTGCTGTAAAAGAAACCCTGCTCAGGTACCTTTTGTCCGGCACTGCAGCGTCCTCTCATATCCAGAACTGTGTCTCCTTTGACCATCACTACTCTGTAGTTGTAAACCCTTCGCCTCACTCCTGCAGACGAGTTCTCGTCCACATCAGACCTGATCTCCACGTACTCAATATCTGCAGTGGGAGGAAGACGGAGGGATGAAACTCAGTCTGTGGAAAGCAAAAAGTACAAATGAATGACATGATTTGGAGCGAGTCGTTGTGCACCTTGACCCCTGTATGTGCTGCGCCACAAGTCTCTTATGATCTTGTTGATCTCATCCATCTTCATGCTGTGGAACTTCATGATGGTTCTGAAAAAGAGATAACAAAAGATGTTGAGAGCCAAATATTGCCCTTGATGTCCAAAACAGAGGTCTTCTGACCAATGGGCGATGTTTCGGATGCTTTGTCATCTCCTTGTATTCAGTCTAAGGTCACATCAACAGACTGTTTCTAAAGCAAAGTGATCGCAGTCATCCTGGACACTGACAGAGAGTTGGTGCTTAGGTGGACTTTGAGCCTCCTGACAGTCAGTCAAAACCATAGACCGTATATACTGTGGACAACTTGGCTCCGCCTTCCATCATTACACGAATTTGTGTATCCCCTGGGTGAGCTACGCAATCTTCTTACGCCCAGAAAACATGAACCCCCTAATAACTCTTAAAAATGGAGCTGTACAGAAATAAGGAGGACTTGAGCACAAACTAGTCTTACAGTAACTACGTGTCAACATCGCAACTGAGGGGGAGAAAAAATTATGTTCTGTGTAATAAATTTCTAAAGTTTGTCCACAACTCCATAGGGATTGCTGGAGGAGGCAGGATTTATGACCTATACTGCAGCCCGTCACCAGAGGGTGCTGTTCTCGCAGTGGCTTCACCCAGCGAGGAGGCAGACGGCGTCCATTCTATGTACAGTCTACGAAAAAAAACACGTCCACCCATCATGCAGAACTCTTAGAACTGAAAACTGAAACTCAAACAATTTCCGTTTATTCCAACAAAAGGGTGTTACTGAGGCTTTCTAGGCTTTTGAAGCCCGTCTGAAGGAAACACATTTGAGGAAACACAGGTTTCTGCACTTCCTCATCGGCTTTATTTCTCAGCACCAAAGGTTGCCGCTTGGTCACATCCCACCAAGCCGAAAGGAGCATGTAGGATTTCCTGGTTCTTGTATTTAGGGATGATACTTTGCATCTCATTTCATTCACATGAGCTCCTTTGTTTCATACAGATGTTAAAATTGCGTAGAGTAAGACAATTCATAATTTCAGTTTATTATTTAGTAAGAAAGGGAGAATGAAGGCTTGACCTGCTGCATGATTGGGAAACCCCCACAAGTGTACACACACGTCAAAATGTCAACTTTATACATTAATTTACTAAATCCTGCTGATGTTGCTGCAGATACAAACTGGTTTAAAAAGACACGAAGGCAGCGGCACTCAGCTGGATGTTGCTTTTCCGGCCTACCAAGAAGTATTCGCTCTATAATCTGTAAACTGACGAGAAGTTCATGTGTGGTTTCTGAAGACTTGGGGTGATAACAACATTACCAACCGTGTTTCTTCTGATGAGGGATGAGAAGATAAGACCTTATATAGGAAGAGGGCACAGAGCTGCCACATCCATCAGTCTAATTTACCATATTTAAAATACGTGGCTGAAAGTTCAAGCTTATGATGATGGTGCTTTTTGCAGAAAGTAAACGTGACTTGGTCATGATTGCGATCCTTGCAGGTGCCATGTTATGTTTATGAATCAGCAATAATCTACGATTTTAAGGGGTTACTACAGCTCTAAAGAGGCTTCAAATTAATAAAAAGACAAAATCCACAGCTGCTGCTCTGCAAGAACAAACACTAGCAAGTTTAGTATGACTGCAATTAAGCTTTCAACAATTAAAGAAGGCACGGTCCAAAGTTGTAATACATCAGAGTCCAAAGTTGTCCCCTGCAGAGTCACAGAGAATGGCTGATTCATGCTCAGAGGATTAAACTCACTGCACCAAACTTGATATCTAAGCTTTTCAGTTAGGGGTCTCTTCAGACAATAAAGACCATCAATGAGGCCTGTGAGCAACATAACAACAGCAGATTATCGAACAGCTGTCATACACTGATACCAACAGCTAGCCTTGGATGTTTTCAGTAAAGCCGAAACTTTTAGGTAGTTTCATGACTGCAAAATTGTGTGAAAATTAACACCCACAGCAGACTCAATTAACGAGAAACTCTGGTTTAATGTATATTAAAGCTGGGCAATAAAACGATAATAATATATATTGAAAAAAAAAAAAACTCTGAAACAATGAAAAGGGGAGTTGCTCCAGGTCAGAAATGCAGGTGAAGGCTCAACAGATGACGACATTGCCAACAACACTGGCACGAAAACGTCGGTGGTGTGGAGGTATTTTTACACAACCTGAAGCAGTGCCACGCGGCAGAGCACGCGCAGAGCAAAAGGTTACAAACCCCGAGTGGAGTAAGGAGCCCATGGCGTCTGTGCAGCCGAAACAGCCAAACCATTCAGTCCGCTTTCTCTAGCGCAATGCCTCACGATATCGACTGATATGAAAAAAATTTGCGTGATAAACTTTTTCCCATATTGCCAAGCCCTGATTTTTTTCACTCTATATCTCTTTTCTAATACTTCTTTAATATCTTTATGTGATTTTCAGATAAAGAAAAGCCTCAAATTTCTCACAGTGTTGTATTAAAATTTCATTATTTCAGCCTCTGTCCGAAACGCTTCATTTTAGCTGCTGTCTCTTTAAGGCCTACTGTCTTCTGATTGGCCACCTCTCCGGAGGCTAGACTTCATATATGTAAATGTATAGTATATACTGTATGTATATTATGTCTATGGTTACCCCCTGTGGGTGTCACTTCACACGCTGTTGACGGCAGGCCGTTCTACTTTGCTGGGAGCAGATGAACCAGTAAGGAGAGTCTATAATTCTTGAGTTAGTAAATCTCACACATAAACCACAGACTTGCGTTTTTGCACAGTTGAGATTTGAGCACTTTACATCTACTTTCTCAGACAATGACAAAATACGTTTACCTTGTGATTTGAAACTTTGCATACATGTAGCTCTGACTCCAAACTTTGTAACTTTGCAGTTTTTGTTGTAAATGTGGAAAAGTCCCCCCTCCCCCCTGTTTAAACAGACTGTTAAAACGGCCATGGTCTCATTTCATTATCAGATACAAATATTCATCAGAATTTATATCACCTGTCTCTGTCTTATTTGTCTAAATCATGGGAGGAAAAATATAATTAACCAATATTTAGTCATAGTTTTTCTCAGAGTTTGGAGTTAATCTGAAACATTTGGAGACAGAAGTGCACTTGGCACTGATTGGAGCAACACATAAAGATTACAGAGTTACACTCTTACTAAACTTCTGACTCAGGTATGTGTAATTGCCCCACACAGCTTTGTCTTTAATCTTTGTTGTTTGTTTTTCACACACACACACACAAAATGATTCATTGCAAAGTGAGTCAGAGGCAGTTTCATATTCACTCCCCAAATCAAAACATCTCACCATGAAACCATTTTCTGTGAATTCAGAGACTGTGACCTGGATGTAAGGTGATCTGGAAGGCTGCTGAGGCCCGCTTCACGATCTTGATAGCAGTGCAGACGCGGAGGCATCTACTAACCCACACAAATGGTTAACATGTGGCTCGGCTTCAACTCTGATTCTATCAGAGAGGCTGAGTGTAAACTTCCTCGCTGAAGCTCGCTTATGCTCAAGTTCATTTCTGTTCATTTTCTGTTCAAGAAAAATACTTGTATCACACATTATACCTTTGATTTTTTTAAATTGGTATCCTAAATGAAATGCAGTGATTGAAAGACGAGCAGTGGAAAAGAATAAAGAGCAAGGTGACTCATGATAACTCAGTCATACTTTCACTGCAATTAAACAGTTTTGATTTTATTTTCAAAACCTGTTCAGCTCCTCAGCATGTTAGGATGCGCTGATGCTCCTGATTTGCTGAAATATTTTCACGCCACTTGCGAGCTTTCGTCACACTGATGTGCATTTCTCATGTAAAACTGACGCCACTTCACAATGACGCCCATGCCAGAAACTCAGGGGGTGTTAAAACCATGACTTCTGACACGTCTGACTGCGTGAACTCGTCACACCAACATATGGGAAGTTCAACCACTTCAACCTGAAGTACTGTTACCACCAGTGTCGTCACTGCTTTGACTTGTGGGCTTCAAATGAATGCATGACTAAGCTCAGCCGATTCACTTGAAAAGGTCTCTGATTAAATCTTTTCTCTCAATTTTAAGCTGCTCTGGTTTTATAGTAAACTTGTCAACCAATACTTTCAAAACTTTTCTATCAGCAGATAATGTTTGTGGATAACAACTTCACTTTTGTCAGCATTTTCAAATGCTGCTTATAATGGCACCGGAAACGGTAATAGATAAAAACTCTTGCAGCATTATTACTCTACATCAAGCTTCATCTCCGGTTTCTTTTATTGGTACGCAAACTGCACATTGCATTTTGTTTCTGCATTTTATGCACTCTGCTCATGAAAAAATACTGATATGACTGTCATATGTTTTTTTTTTTACCTTCTAAATCGTTTTTAATGCTTTTTACCTCCTGAACTGTTTTTTTTTTATGTAAATGTATTTTATCTTATTTATTTTATTTTACGATGTATGTATGTGCCTGCTGCAACCCGATTTGCCCATTTTGGGACATAATAAAGTTAAAGTGAAGAAGCATTAAATGAGTAGTGATAACAAATGTTTAGATGTCTTTTTTTTTTACATCACCCTGTTAATTATAATCATAATAATACTAATAATAAATATAATAAGAAGAATAATAGGTTTATTTCTATAGCACCTTTCAAGAGCAACAAAAAGATAATCAAAACTTTAAAGAATAAAATAAATTTAATTCAAACATAACTCCTTTGTACCTTTGCACTGATGCAAAGGTACAATAGGAAGAGGACACAGATGATATTGAAGAGGACTGATATTGGATATCGGTCCGATATCAGCAAAAAAACAAACATCGGATTATATTGATAAAATGTTCAAGCAAGGATTGTAATTTGAAATCTTTTCACTGATTCTCTTGTTTGTTTTTGTTAGTGGTGTCCCTCACGTTTTGATATTGATATCAGATATTCGTCCGATTTATCAGACGGATAACTCAGACTGATATGAACAGAAAAACAAATATCGGATTACATAAGCCTGCGTCTTAAATCTCTGATATCAGCACTTTGATAGTTCATCCCAGACTCCAATCTGGCACCTCTATCTAGCAGCGCCCTGATCCAGCATGCAGAGCCAATGTTATCATAACAACAGTGTGTACTAATGTACTAACAAAGAAGCAACGAGTAGGAGTGATGTTGGCTGTGTGGCAGTATTTTTCGTTAAAGTCTGAAAAAGATGTTGCAGCTGAGAGCAAAACTACAATTACAGCGACGACCAGTAAAAATAAAACTATCACAGAATATTTTCCTGCATCGCTGCTAAGTAAGAGATTATTAAACACTCTCAGAAGTTCTGACTCTGTTGAATGGTATTGACGAAAACCAGATTGGAATTTCTCCACGTTGTTATGGGCGTCAAAGGCAGCTTTTTATATGTCTTATATGATCATCACATTCAATTTGTAAATCACAGCTGCTAACTTCTCTATTATGGCACTTACGTCACAGCGCAGTCAAGTGTCACTGTAAGTGGTTTCAGTAGTATTACACTGTTCTCAGTTCTGCACTGCAGCAAATTAAGGCCTCATTAGCTGAACACAAAGACAAACTGAGCAATGCTTTCCCTCCAAACACTGGACATCCACATCCAGATCTTTAGGCGATCTGCTAACAGCACAGAAAAGTTTTATTAAAACACTCTCTTTACGCGAGGCTTTGACACCCAGAACCCTGTTTTTAAAGGTTATTAATGCTAATCTGTGCACAGCTCTACCATAATTAATGATGTGATAGTCAACTCTGGAACCCTTTATCTGATTTTCCAAAAACCCCCGGCGCTATGACCAAGAAAAGTTTGAGAGGATGTAGCATCATTGTTCACTTTGATTTTTTTTCCACTATGAGGCAAACATCTTCTTACTGATAATCTGAACAGACTGATGTGGATGTGATGACCCAATTTCCAAAAGCCTGATCCAGCAGATAAAGTACAGATATCACATAACAGGAAAACTACCAAACATGGTTCGACACATGCAAAACGCTGCTCAAGTTTAAAACAGATCTTATCAACCCTAAAAACAAAAAAAGCATCAAGTATTATTTTAAAACTTTAAGTTGCTACTTCTCGTCTTCTCTGCCGATATTACTATCCACACTCACAAAGATTGCTGTGCAAAACAAACAGTGAACAGAGACAGGGTGACAGCTACTTCACACTCTAAAGCCACATCAGTTACTTTGTTAATGAGGCCAGCATAAAAGATACATCACAGGCAGTTCTCACGCAGCTATTTCACACCATCTCAATCAAAGTGTACGACAAGCTGAAGGTGACAAACCCAACATATTTCCTTACACACTTTCATTCACAGATCTGACCTATGACGAATACTGCTGCACGATCTGCTGGCTCATATGTTTCCATCTATGGTCATACCCAGGAATGGAGAGGGTGCAGATATTGTGATTTACATGAAGGTAAAGTGTGCTTGCCCGTAGTTTTTAACATCTGAATTATTTTCTGTGCATGATGGCATATATGTATTTAAAGTACGGATCCAACACACTTTTTTATTCATAAGACACCTGGTCCCAACCGGCAACTCTTCACAGTAGGAATGTCCCGATCCGATATTGATATCAGTCCGATATAAGTCAAAAAATAAAAATATCGGATTTTATTGGCCTGCATCTAAAATCTCTAATATAAGCACTACTTTCAAGAGCAGCAAGGTCACTAAGTGCTTTACAATGAGATAATAAAAATTACAAGAATGGACATAGCACACAAAAGCGATAAAGAAAATTAGGGGTGTCCTGATCCGATATTGATATCGGTGTGATATCAGCAAAAAAAGAACTTTGCATACATGTAGTTCAGACTCCAAACTTTGTAACTTTGCAGTTTTTGTTGTAAATGTGGAAAAGCATGATACCGCCCTTTAAACAGACTGTTAAAACAGCCATGGTCTCATATCGTTATCAGATACAAACATCTATCTGAGTTTATATTATCGGTCTCTGTATTATTTGTCTTTGTTATGGGGAAAAATAAAGGTAATTGACCAATACTTAGTCAATTTTTAGTCATTAGTTTTTCTTTAGAGTTTGGAGTTAATCTGAAGCATTTGGAGATATAAGTGTACATGGCAAAGACTGGAGCAACACATAAGACACCTGGTCTCAACCAGCAACTGTTCACAGTAGGAATGTCCCAATCTAATATTGATATCGGTCCGATATCAGCAAAAAAAAAAAATATATATCGGATTACATTTCTTATATAGACTAAGAAAAGTAGGGGTGTCCTGATCTGAGATTGATATCAGATATTGGTTCAATATCAGCAAAAAAAAAAAAAAGTATGGGACTGTATCGGCCTGCATCTAAATTCTCCAGTTTAGGCACTCCTCTTAAGAGCAACATTACAGAGAGATATTAAAAATTCAAAGAAAGGGCCAGGCACACAAAACAGATAAAGAAAAGTAGGAGTGTCCTGATACAATATTGATATTGGATATCGGCCCAATACCAGCAAATTAAAAAAAACAAATATCAGATTATATCGGCCTGCATCTAAAATCTCTGATATCAGCACTCTGATCCAAGCAGTCCATCCAGACTCCACTCCAACACCTCTATCTAGTAGCGCCCAGATCCAGCATTCAGAGCAGACGTTATCACAGCAACAGTGTGTACTAAGGTACTGACAGAGAAGCAAGGAGTAGGTCAGCTATCGGCTGTGTGGCAGTATTTTTCGTGAAGTCCTAAAAAGATGTTGCAGCTGAGTACAAGACTTGTCATGCAGAAGTTTGTACCAATATCTGATCAATTTGGGTATTAGCCAATACTGAAGGCTACAATATTGGTAAAACAGTTACATCGGAACATCTTTAGTTCTCAGGCAGCTCTACACCTAACTACAGCTTCCTACATGAGAAAGAAACTTCATCTCTCATTATGAATTCCATCATTTATTAATGTTTTATTTTGGTCATGAATTATTTTGCGTCTAAATCTAGTTTACTTTGCCCTTCATTATTATTCACTGTATGAGAATGTTGGTCTGTGTTCAGTGAGTTTTTCTGCACCAGCGCGGTGAGCGGGTTCAAAATAAAACACAAACGTAATCATGGATGCTCAGGAGCTCATCATGTGTTGTTGTGGTAAAAAGCAGGGATCAAATATGATTTTTCCTCACTGGGTTCATGTTTAAATGTCAATTCTGCTGTGTTTGAATGCTGAATATGACAAGAAAGTTATACTTTGTAGACTGAGCGATACTTACTGATCAAGAGCCTTGTAGTAGAGATCCAGGTCTTTAATGACCAGCTCTGTGGTCCTCATTATGATCATCTTGTTTTTGTAGCGCTCATCAGCTTTGTCATATTGATCTTCTCTCAGCTCTTTTCTGGAAAATAAAAACATAGATCATCGTCTCTTATTTATGTCAACTACGACTCATCAGTAGCCGTCAATACTAGGGCAGGGATGACATGCTTTTCTCCCAATTCGATTCTTCTACGAACTTTTGGATTTTAAATTGCGATTCTAAGATATTGACGATTTCCTCGATCTTCAGTCTGCATTTTTAACATCAGTGAAACAGTTGAATAATAATGATTGTCTACCAACTATTCCAGGAATCATATTTCACCAAAAAATACACATCAAATGAAAGTCAGTTTTTAAGATTTATTCTTCAATTTGAGAAAAAAAATCGATTTTTGAGGAAAATGTGTGGGTGTGGGAATCAGGGTTGCCTCATGACGCAATATTATCACGATACTTGGGCCATGATTCGATATCATCACGGTTTTAAATAATTTGCGATACACTGAGTATTGCAATATCATTCAATGCAATTTGTAATCGATACTTGGCGGATGAGACGATACGATACATCACCAGACAAAATATCGTGATTCTATGCTGTATCAACTCTTTTCTCCCACCCCTGATAAATACATTAATGCTTTTAAAATGTTGATTTTTCTGCAGATATTTATGAAAACTTGTTCTATACTCTTACATAAATTCACATTTTTACACGCTATGGTGCACCATCAGGTGTCACCATCTCGGTTAATTCGATCATATCTATAAATCTGAAGAGCTCACCTGTGATGCAGGATCTCCTCCTCGAAGCCTTTCTGTCGTCCCAGCGCAATGCTGCGGTTCCTCTTCAAGTCCTCCAGCTTGCGCTCAGCTTCACGACGTTCTCTGGAGAGCAACAGAAAGCAGGAGGGTGAAATCACTGCGGCCAAATTCTGACCTGACTCTTCAGTAACAAGTGTCACACTGCTGAGTTACAGGAGTTCAGGGCCATCTTGTTTGCTATTTCAATTTAACAATCTCACACATGATCAATAAACAAGTACGGCTCTTACTGGTGGAGCTGCATGACTTGCATGTTGCCCATGTCTTTCTTGAGAGCGTCACGTTTAGCCACAACCTCTTTCAGCTCCTCGACTCGCTTCCTCAGTGTCAGGTTGTCCTGCAGCCAGCGCTCCTGGACCTGACAAAGATCGGAAACTTACGGTTTTAACTCCAGAGAGCTTTACACTCAGTGAAAAAACTGAATTAAGACAATAATGACCCAGGTGGCTGTACCTTTTGAGTGTCTATGTCTTGACGGATGTTTACCATCTCCTTGTTGATCTTCTCTTTGTGCTTCTCGGCTTCGTGCAGCTGAGTGTTGGTTTCTTGAAGTTCCGACTCTTTTTGCTGCGACAGCAACAGGCAACATCAATAAAGATGTTTCCAATATCGTCACAGACAAACGTCGAAAGATATACTAAAGAAACCATGACGAGACTTGAGAACTTGAGTATGTGAAACTAAACATGTTACCTCTTTGTACTTGTCTTTGCCTTCATCCAAGTATTTCTTGATGTCCCTCTCCAACATGGTGATCACTTTCGCTCGCTCTTTGATGGCGTTGATCTGACGGTGACAGTGAGTGAAGATTAAACAAAAGAAAAAATTCAGCTTCTTCGCCTTTTTTTGTCTCATCTGATGGAAGAGACGTTCTTAAAATGCTCACACGCTCACCCACTTTCATAAATTCACTGTTTGTTTTATTAGCTGCCTAAATGTCACATTTCATAATTAAGAAGTGGTTATAAAGAAGGAAAAAGAAGAGAAGGTTCATCTTCACCCGAGCCTGTTCACGCAGAAACGAAGGGTATAAGAGAGGAGTGAAACAACAATTTGTACCTGACTTTGTGGTGACTTTTCAGGAAAGAAAACACGACTGTAAAAGACAAACAACAGTGTGAAAGTGTGCACCTTCTCCTGGCCCTCTTCCTGCTTTTGCCTCCTGCGCTCCACCAGCTCCTGCTTCTCCTGCTGCAGCTTGTCCAGAGCGGAGGACAAAGGGGAGAGCTGCTCCTTCGCTTCCTGATTGAAGGAGAGAAAAGATGAGACACAACGTGGGGTATTTATGAGTGACACTTTAACAGAGCGTAAAAATGTGTTGATTTACATGCAAATGTGTACGTTCTTGTTTTTTTTTTGCTCCACATCATCATAAATCAGAGAGAAGTCATAGTTAACCATGACTGAAATTCATACCCTGATATCCCTGGTTAAGGTCTGTATTTCAGCGGTGTATTCGACACACTGCTCCTCCAGCTGTTGCTGTTTTTGCATATCGCTGCTCAACTGGAGTTTCTCCGCTTTCGTCTCGTTCACGGCACTTTTCAGCATCTGAATCTGGTCCTGCTGGTCCTGGATCAGCTTACGTTTCAGTTCCATCTTGCTGGAAGCTGCAAAGAAAAGACGGGTTACCCACGAACAAACTAAACATGTTGCTTACACACCAATCGCCCGGTGGATTTACTTGGATTCTTTGAAAAGATAAAAAAAAAGGCAAATCTGCTAAACCAGACCAGGACTACAGGAAAGTAGGATTTCTGAGTGATGTTATCTTACTGGTGTCCAGCTTATGCTGAGTTTCTTGTTTCTCTTGGCTGACTTGTTGGATGGTTCTGGTCAGGTCTACTCCCTGGAGTTTAGCTGCATGCTGAGCGATTTTCCTCTCCACCTCTCTAAGGTCCATCTGAAAGAGTAAAGCGCATCACATATCAAAGAAAAACACCAAATCTTTCATTCTGTCAGTAAGAGGGGACACAAAAGGGAGAGGAAGGAGGTGGACATTAAAAAGTGAACCGGACAAAGGGATGGTACCAGGTATCTGTCCATGAGTGAGATATCCTGCAGGCAGGCTTTGGCTGTTTCCTCCTCTGACATCAAGGTACCAAGCAGAGTCTCCTGCTCCTCCACGTCCCCCTTCAGCCTCTCGATATCTCGGTTCACCGCCTGCAGACGGTTCCTGAACTCGGGCAACTCCTTTTCTTCAAGCAGTGTGATGGATTGTCTGAGAAGTATTAAGTAAAATGAAAAAAAACAACAACTGACTTAATGAGCACAAAGGACAATGGAGCCCATTTACAAACATTTAAAGACACTGTCCTCGGCTATTTTCTCTCCTTTGGTCTCCTGCAGTTTCCTTGATTTTCTCTGTAAACATGCGAATGAACATGAGGATAAAAACCTTTTTTCTTTTGGTGTTTATCAAATTTGTAAAAAACCCCAATACAATGAAGGATTATCAAGATTTTGTGACTTTGGAGTTCATCGGAAAAACAAACTCTACAGTTTTTCTGTCTTCCTTTTTAACCTCCATCATTTAGTGAAGTCTTTTAATGAGCTTTTGGTTTGTGCCAATCTTGCTGAAGTAGTGACGAAAAAATCTCATCGTGCTGACTTTGGACACTCAAATGCATCATTAATTGTGGAATTTGTAAAGACAGTGCTGTCTCTTTAAATTCTACAGAAACGTTGAAAAGTAAACACTACAGGAGATCTGATAAAAATGGTTCAACTTCACCAAAACCAAAGAAACTACTATCAGATGTCGACTTTTTTTTTTATCCTAAAAATGTTTCATAAAAGTGAAAACAAAAATCTGTTGACAGTAAAGTGATGGTAAACATGTGATAAGAGAAACGAATGATCATAAAGTTAAAGATAAACCTTTAAGAGGTGAAAAATGAAGTGCTGGGACCAGATGAGACATTTTTTTACGGGGCCTTAAATCTTAAACCCGTCTTCGAGAATGTGTTTTGGTTGCGAAAGTGTCAGTAGAACATTTCCCATATCTGCTGTGTTCTTAGTTTACTTCTTTTCTTTGTGTTTCTAAACGCTCAGACGCTCTAAATGTCATGACCTTTCCTGAAAAGTCAGATAAAGAAACAAACAAAGATACTGCTTGTTCATCGACGTGTGAGGCTCTTCTAAATGTCAGCACAGACCAACAACATGATCTCTTATATTTGAACATAGCTCCATCTAGTGGCCAAAAGCTGAACAACCTGTTCTCCTGCCAAAAAACACAGACCCAATGATGAATTCATAAATTCAAAAATACAGTGAAGTAATCACCTCTGATTTTTTTAGTTTAGTAAATCAAGGTGAATATAAGTTTCTGTATGAAACAATGATTGGAAATAATAAACATAAATAATTAAAATGACAAAATGAACAAGTCTGCAGACGATGAATTTCTGTCCTGGGATGTTTGTTTTTTTGTCATGAATTTAATTTAGTCTTACAGCTCTGATGAGGAGGACAGACGCAAACGTTTCATCCTCTTCTCCCAGCATGCCTTGCTGCTTGAATGAACACAGCAGATTGATGCTGTACGTCTATTTTTAGTGTGACAAGCAAGTCCGCAGTCAGCTGTGTGTTGGGATTTTGAGAGTGGAGGATTGTTTTTGACAGATTAAGTGTACGGCTCTTTTTCAGTTTTTTTTTTTGCTTTAGTTGTAAATGCATTTTTGGAAATTCACGTACTGTTGAGCTAAATGAAGACAGGAAACCATGTTGACTGATTAAGATGATGCCATTGCCAAAACACACCTGTCACTTTTTCGCCTTCCTATCAGTGTGCTTGTTTCATCCATGGATATGATTAGTAGATACAACACGCCTCTTTTAAACTGTGTTCCTACATGGCAGCCATCTTGGTGAGGGCATCGTTCCCATTGTTGCTCATTTCAAAACTGATTTTACTTTTTCATCAATGCCAAAAAATGTGCTCATACAGGACATTAGATATTAAAATTTTTTTTAAATAAATGTTCTGTATGAATAGCACATAATTTGGCGTTGAGATTAAAGTAAACCGCATAAAAACCGGTTATGAAATGAACAAGATACGATATATTTTCCATGTGCATCTAATGCCTTTAGTGGGAACTTTGCCCCCTCCAAGATGGCTGCCATGTAGGCATGTAGGTTAGCGGGCTGCTATAGTACACTGGCGTTTTTAGGCTGTGTCCGAAATGAATCACTCAATCCCTAACCTCTAACCCCCATATGGGGTTTCACTCTATAGTTGACTATGTAGTGAGCTCAATCACCGGAGGTTTCGGACACGACATGGCAAGACGCAATGCATGACGGGATGCCCGCCACCGTTGAGTGACCATCGGATGGTCACCACATTTTGCAATGCTTTATGGGAAATTTTGAGTCGCCTATATAGGACATTGGAATTGATCACTGAGGTTTCGGACACCCCTCAAAATGGCGTTAACCCCCTATGTAGTCGCCTATGTAGGGGTTAGGGATCCATTTCGGACACAGCCCTAGTCTTCTATGTATCTGTGGTTTATTAATATTAAGTCATTGCTTCCTCGCTGTGGTGCCAGACTGACATCTGTTTGTTAAGTTTTGGTCTGAAGAGTTTGTTCTTGTATTTTTAAAACATTTGCACCTGTCAATCAAAAGTGACACACAAGCAGATTATTCGTCAACAAACAGGTGAATCATACTGAGGAAACAGGAGATGGCTAAAACAACCATCTGTATTATACCGGCGAGCACATTCAGCATGTCTAAAAAAAATAAAGATCACATGTATTTGTAACTTCAGCACATCAGGATAAACATAGATTCTCCGTACCTGACAGGCCTGAGAGCCATCATATCATCTTTCTTCCTCTCTTTCCTCTTCAGGTCCTGCTCGGTGTTCTTCAGCTTGTCCGGCACCAAGCGTAGTTTGGACTGCATGTCGCTGATGACTTCCTGCAGATCCGACTCTGAGGGGAACGTCCGCTGGCACACGGGGCAGCAGGGTTCCCTCTCCTCCGTCAGCTGACTGATGAACTGGGTGTACACTGCTGTGGCTCCGGCTAACATGGCTGCCAAACACAGACGGAGGAGAACAACGCACATTCAATTACCTTTTTCAACACAACTATTGAAACTGCTAAGAGTTTGGACAGAAGAAGATCCACCCTCAAACTGGTTATCTTAAACTCCTGGTTTAGAATATTTACCTCTCTGTTTGGAGACTTTTTCCAGATCTTCTTGCAGTTTGCTCAGATCCTGCTCCAGATCCTGACTGCCACACACGTTAAAGAACTTCTCTTGATCGTTGGATAACTGCTGCTCCTTCCTGCGTACTTCAGCAGCTATATGACTTTTATTTTGCTCGCTTGACGCCAGATCCTTACTGAAAATGATGAGATTTACACAAAGTAGTCAACGCAACAGAAAGTAACTGGTTTTGTGTGGTTATGTGTGATATTTAAAGTTGATAAATTTTGCCTACTTGAGTTTGGCGAGTTTGTCTCTTGTACTGTTGATTTCTTTTGACTTGGCATAGATCCAGTCCTCCAGCTCTCTCTTATTGGGGAAGTGGCCGAGCAGCAACAGCAGATCCTCGCTGTGACGAGACTTGATCTTTCTTACCTGCTCCTCTTTCTCCGTCTGGAGGAGAGATGAAAAAAGATGACGATGAAGATGGGAAGGGGAGAAGCAGACTCGGGACTGTGGCTCATTTACCAGGGGCCACACATCACCTTGTCTTTGGTCAGCATGTCCATCTGAGTGCGCGCGGTGGTGTGAGTGTTGAGCATCTCCATTTCTTTGTCCAGTTTCCTCTGAGTGCTGTCGAGTTCAGTCTTTTCTCTTTGGAGCTCCACGACCTCATCCTTGAGCTCGTCTACGTTGGAGTTCTGAACTGCGTTCTGCAGCTCACGCTCCTGAAGAAGAAAGACACACATGCGTACAAATCAGAGGGAAAAAGAAGAGTCTGGATAAATCTATGATGCATGTGGCTGAGCCTCACAAATATTCCACAAATACATCCGTGCAAAAAGAGCTTTCCAGCAGCTGTGTTTTTTTACCGCCTTTGTCAGTTCATTCTCCAGTTCCTGAAGTCGACTCGATGAACCCTCCAGCCTCTGCAGCTCTGCTCTGATATTCCTCAGTTCTTGCTGCTTCTTCCCCTGCAGGTCTCTCTTCAACTCCACGGTTCTCTCCAGACCGGTCTTCTTATCCCTCATTTCATCGATGGACTGCTGCTTCTGCTGCTCCTTCTCCTGCAGGTCCGCCTGAGTGAACGGAGTAACAAGAGGAAGTATCAGGCACCGGTGTCACACATGGAATTAAGACTTTTTTAATGTTCAAGATCCACAAAACCAAAGATAGGATTTTACTGCTTTAACACACAGTGAGGTCACAGTGGTGAACACCAAGTTCACCAACACACAAATGCAAGAAGACAGCAGAATTACAATGTGGAAATTTCTTACCAGAACCTGAGTGACTGTGTCTTTTTCCTGATCCAGCCTCTGTGTGACGTGACGGTTGAAGCTCTCCAGCTGAAGAGAGGTGAAGGGAGGTCGGTCGTAACCCTCCATTTCCAGATAGGACGACAGAGAGCGAACCTAAAAATGAAGAGACACATTTTATCCCGCTGAAAGCGATTTAAACTGTCAGTGTTGGCAGCAGGTATGGAGGTTCGCATGTCCAACTTATACTTTACAAAAGTGAATTTGAGGAAAAAGACTTAAGTGCCGCTGGCTAAGTGCACAGAAGCACATGTCTCTGCCTAACCTGAGTGTCCCGATTCCTGATGTTTTGACTTTGACGGTCAGCCTCGAGCTGCAGACGACCTAGAAAGAGACAAAGGACTGTAAATATAGTCTTAAAGAAAATCATATCCTGGTTCATGGTCTCATAGAGGCGTTTGTCTACCTTGTTCTACCAGGAGCTCAGCTTTGACTCGGTTTAGTCTCTGACACTCCCGTCCAGCTCTCTCCAGCTCCTTCTGGCAGTCCGTCAGCCTCCGCTCCTTCTCTCTCACTGTCCTCTGGTGGTTCTGGTAAGTGTTCTGCAGTTCCTCATCTGAACCCTGAAACACCTGCAGCGCACAAGGTTGACAGGATTGAAAATCAGGGTGACTTCACTTCTTCTATGACAGAAATAAATGCACTAACAGAGCTTTAAAAATGACCTGGAACAGGCGGTGTATCTGAGAGCTTGATTCATTCATCCTCTAATGACTGTTTCAGTGTCATGTGTTACCTGTTCCATTGTTTCCTCCAGCTCCTTGTTGTCCTCCTCCATCTGTTTCTTTCTGCTCTCCAGAGCCTTTATGTCATTGTCCAGCTTCATCACTTTCCCCAGTTTCATGTCAATATCTGTCAGTCTCACCTGGAAATGATCGTAAAAGTTCATCAGTATCATAAAAGGTTCTGTGCTCTTTTCTTACATGTTTACACCAGACTTCTGGTGTATTTGGCTTTAATCATGTGATTCCAGCTGCTGGTATGTCAGTTTATTAATTTATCATTCAGGAATTGACACATATGTGGTGTAAAATACATCTAAAATCTCTAACCTCTATCTGTGTGTATTGCCTCTTTGAGAAAAGTATATAAGCAAACCTCCAGTGGATCAATCTTGTTCTCTATCTGCTGGGTGCTGTCTTTGGACGCCATCAGTTGAGCCTCCTTGGTGGCGACGATCTCTCTGATCTGCTGGGCTTTCTCCTTATTCTGCTTTAGGTAACGCAGCTCCACCTGACACTCTTTGACTGTGTGACCCTGTTTCAGACGCAGCTGACGCATCGTTTCCAGAGCTTTAATATACCTGCAAAAAAGAGACATTTAATTCTTCTCAGCTTTTGTTTTAAGGGAGTATCCAGCTCATGTAGGCAGGTTTTATTTTTTCCTACTTATGTATCCTGTAGATTAAATTAATCTGATTAACATTAGACAAACAGAAAGATGAGTTTGCTTTACTTGGTTGCAGCAAAGATGGAGTCAAACTTGTCTTTGAGTGCTTTGCCTTCACTGAGCGGCCAGTTGGACTCTTCTTGGTGGCAGAAGATGACATGATTCAGGACAGGCTTTGACACACCCAGCGATGAAATCATCTCACGGTCCAGGTCCCCGCACTTTGATGACAAGCTCACCTTCTCACCGTCTCTGGATAAAAGATGACAGGGGTCACACATAAAGACGGAGGTCAGGTAACATGTGTTTTTGTCTAAAATGAAATGATGACTTTGAAACTTCAACTCACTTCATTCTGGTGATGACTTGCTCCAAACTCTTGAAGGTGTAGTTCTTCGCCTTCTGAGTGCAGGACATAGAGCGATGGATTGTCACTTTCCCTCCGTTTACATCAGTGAATAGGAGTCGAATTTGAGCTTTCACGTCTGTCTCATGGGCATCCTGGAATCAAAAAGGCACGGAGTGTTGCTCAAAATGAGGACTTAAAGGGATATTCCAGCGTAAATTTAAGTTATGGTCAAACACACTGTAGCACCAAGTTAGACACCCCCTTAAAAGATGAATTTTGCCGACTGCTTGCTTTTCTAGTTATACCAACTTTAGTAACGACCGCATGATAGCAATACAGAGAGCCTCACGCTCAACCAAAACGCCACTCTATAGCCACAAATAATGCTCAGAACAGCACCTAACTTCATCAACAGTACATATAGGGTCCCAGCCATAGTACTAGCCACCAAACATCTTTTTAACTTTGCCTAATTTCTTTAGCAAAGAGACTAAACACAACTCACCTACTCTCTTCCAGCAGGTGCTTGTTTGCAGTGAGACCTCTGGCCAGTCTCAACGTTACCATGTATTTGACCCTAAATTAAGTTTACCCTTTAAGTAAAATCTCATGCAGGCACTGCCAAGATTCACAGAGAATACACCGCTTATACACTTGAACTAATTTGACAGATTAAAGCACATCTGGAAGTTTTATTTCTTTTCTTTTATTCTGCTGTTGTTGAAAAAACAAGATCTGTTCAAAAACAAAGTGAGTCTTTGCTGTGCCTAGATTTCCCCCCAATTCATCCTAAACTTCTTCTAATTGACTCTTTCTAAACACAGAAACCCTTCAAAAAAATGTACAAAATATCTGTTTTTTAATCCCAAACACAACACAGGTAGCTCACCTTTGGATCATGAACAAACGCCCCTCCTTTAGATCCAGGAGGAAGTTCACCTGATGTTGCATACCTGAGGCACTCAATAATAGTCTGTAAACCCAGAAAATACACAAAGCACCCTGATTATATTACAATAGTGTACATTATGCATATATATGTGTGTTATGTTAAAGACAGACAGCAGCTCTCAGACCGTTTTTCCTGCTCCATTGGGTCCGACCAGCACAGTCAGAGGAGTGAAGAAAGAGATGACCTGTTTGTCTTTATCCTCAACCCCGAAACTCCTCACCCCGAGGATACTCATCTTATCTATTCTGGACATGTTTGCTGTCTGAGAGAAAAGAAAATGGGAGAAAGAGGAGAAGAAGTTTCAGTTTAATACAAACCTAAAGATCTTAGCAGGCTAGCAAACAGTGGAAGTTTGGCTACATGCTAGGCTAACATGTTGGCGATACGCTGCCAAAGCAGAGTTTACCGAAATAAAAGACGATTTTTATATTATTTACGTTGGTCTGCAGTCTTATAAATGTTGTAATGTAAATCCAACTCACCGCTGAGTGGTGGCGTGAGAAGTGAAAGTTGTTTTCGCGCTGCTGTAAGGAAAGTGACGCAAAGAGCGTCGACTTCTTACTTCCGGTATCAATGCGGGCATAGAAATGTCAACATAGAACGGCAAGTCACAGTTCTTATATTATCCATACAGTGGCTGGTACACATCTACGATAAGGAGGCATTTATGTACCACTGATCATATCTATTTCACGTCTCCTAAAAATTAAAGGCTGCCAACAGTTAAATCAAGAGACAATGATCACATTTATCACGTTCATGAATTCTCAAGTGGGCAAAAACACAGCAAAAAAGTGGGCTAAATGTAGGCCTCTCTATTCATTTCAGATCTATGCCCAGTCCTCAATTCAGTTCAATCTACTGTATTTCATTGGTGAACAATCCATGGTCATGACTGACAGACTGACAAGTTAAATAACTTTTTTCAAAAATGCATTTAATATCTTTTATCAGGGACACCCCATTATATTTGAATTACTTTTTCATCTGTTTTCATCAATCTGTTTTCTCATCATTTTCCACCTAACCTGTTATCTATATACCTACGACACCTACTGTTCATATTTTTAACAGAGTTTAATGCATAAGAAGAAGGTATAAAGGGTTAGGGGGGATGTATTAGACATAAGAAGTAGAAAGTAAAAACTAAAACATTAGGTGAATCATCGTTCCAACATTATGGTCCCAGCCTACATGCAGACCTGAGAGCGAAACCTAATGTTCATATTTTCATAAGTAAACTCAAGACCTACCTTTTTGTTTTGATCTTTTAATCTGCATTATGTGATTTTACCCTATATTAGTCCCAGAGTAACTATTTTGTGTTTTATTACCTCCTTTTACATGCATACAATGTCATCATTTGTGTTGTTTATAGCGTAGATACTTGTGTATTATCTCTATATTTTTACTTATTTTATCTATTTTATCTTTTATTTTATCTATTATTTATCTCCTCTTTTACTGTATTTGCACTGGAGTACTGTAACAAAAGCAACTTCCCCCTGGGGATTATTAAAGTATTTCTGATTCAGATTATTTTTTTAAAATCTACCTTCTGTTATTGTTTGATTTTATGACTGTTTTATTTAATAAACTTTTAACGCTTTATCACCTTTATTATAGTTTATCACGGTTTTAGCATTTTAGTCCCAGGTCCAGAGTTTCCTCATTTCCACACTCATCTGGAACAAGTTGAAGAGTCCTCACCTTGTCTTTTGTGTATGAATCTGTGTGTGTGAGAGTGCTGTATGTGTTGAATTGGGGATTGGGGGGGTGGGTGGGTTTGATATTTGTATTTTTATTAATTTTATTTAATCGTTTTTAATATCCTGCTTGAATGGACAGCACTATGTGCTACATTATATGTATGAAAAGTGCTTTAAAATTAAGTTTGATTGATTGATTGATTGATTGATTTGATATTAAGATAAGACAGAACTTTCTTGTCTTGAACTAAACTGTTCAAGTCAAGAAATTTCTTGAAATTAAAAGGACATAAAATCTTTTTTTTTCTCTCTCTTTTTGTTTGGAAGTTGAATCCAAGGCTAACAGAGTAAAACTACACACATTAAACATGCATGTATTGATAAAAGGACCCCTCTAACATTATATTTTTCAATTTATGCCAAATCTTCTAGACCTCTTTAAACATAAACATTCAGTCCAAATCCAAATATAAAAAGTAAAAGTACTTTCCCATTTATGCTTTGTACTCTATAGTATGAGCAGGGGATACTAGATTGGATTTTGTAATAACTATTTTCAGAAGTGGATTATTTGTTGTGAATTCAGGGCAACAGGAAGCAGTATATGGGATTGACTCAAAATAAACAATAAAGCCCATGTTCATCATGACTAAAGCCCCCCTGAACAATGATGTGGGTTATTGGAGTTTTGCCAATAGTTCAAGAACCATTACTGATGTTTATTGCAGGAAAAAAAACAAGCTTTAAAAGAGCTCTGGTTCTACAGGTTGGCGCATTTAGTGTCAGCTCGGTCTATTTCTCTGTGATATGAAAATGCAGAGAAAACCTTCAGCCTTTCCAGTGACCACAGCAGTATCTTATTGTCTTAAAGGATACTGAGGTTACTTGTAGTTATAGATACTCCAATAAATCTTAAATGCTGACATTTTCTTGCATTATCTTTCTTTACTTGCAGGTCAGGTCCATGTGAAAGAGTTTACCACAAGAGGACACTGTTTCCTAGTGGGAAAAAAAACATTGCTGGCAAATCTCATGCAGCCTCTCCTCTTCTCTCTTCCTTTCATAAATGTTTAATTTTAGCATTTTTCACAGATGCACACACTGCATGTCTTAGCAGTATTCAAAACTAACATCCACAATGAGAATTATGACATATATCCAAATGATTATAGCACAATTTTAAAAAACTTACTGAAAAGAAAATAATGTTTTTGTTTAATAGGCAAAAACTTGTCGTTAAAAATTTGAAACCAACAAAGAAAGAAATAAGTTTTCAACAAATGTGTTTTTTTTAGCTGCTTTCCCACAACCCAGAATTTAAGTGAACCTGAATAAAAACAGATGGCATGAGTAGGAAGAGAATAAATCCAATCTGAATAAAGGGGCATGAGTTATTTTGAGCCCATGTTTGGGGTTGAGGAGCAGGTTGTGGATGTCCAGTGGGACCTGCAGGATTGGTGTTCACCACCTGTAGCCAACCCCCTGAAAACCTGAGAACATCATCTCCCTAACTTCCTCTCTGTTCGCTCCCTCTTAAACGGACACACACACACACACACACACACACACACACACACACACACACACACACACTCACACACACACTCTCTCTCTCTCTCTCTCCCTCTCTCTCAGTCTCAGTCTCTCTCTCTCTCTCTCTCTCTCATGCAAACAGCCTTCTGCTTTCAGCCCACTGATTCAGTCTGTCTGTGTTATCAGCTGGGCTGACTCATGGTGCCTGAGTCTGTGTGCTTATGGCCTTCTTTCTATTTTCATCCTGTGACCTTGTGTCTCCTGATGGACCATGGGATACATATTTGATTATTTGATGTTGATTTTTATCATGTGTTTGAGTGTGAAGGCCTAATCTGACATGTTAGGGGTCAACCCCCCATTTTCACCATCTGATGGAACTGGGTTTCTTTGCATTTGATAACCTGACAAACTAGAAACAAGCAGATTTTTTCAATGTTATCTTCAAAAATATTGGAAGTTAAATGTGGGGTAGGCAAGAATCCATTGAAGAAGCATCTTTTTTGTGGTGTATATACAAAAAAGCTTTTAATATCAGCCAATAGCTATTAGTTATTGATGACATTTGCATGGCTGCCAAGTTTCAGAAAATGACAAGACTGAGACTTCAGTGCTATGATCTGACCGAAAAAAAATTTGGCCTTTTTTAACAGCGTTTTATACCTTATGACTGATGTCCTCAATTCCATGCCAGCTGCTCTCCCTAATGCTAGTCTTAATTAACCAGAAATTAGAAATGAAAATTGTAACAACAATATTGACAAAATACATTGGTCAATATTGCACTTCAAACAACTCTCCATCATTTAGCTTGGAACAAGACAGTTAGAGAATCCAAGACCCGCCTTACGTTGCTTCTGATTGGTTTATATTGCATGGATTGGTCTGGGATTGGTTATCTCGATCACTCAATTAGAGTTACTTGAACTACGGCCAGCCAAGTTTATTACCATGAAAAAAAATAAATATAGAGTATTGAATGGGGAAATATAAGCGTGAGAAATGTCAAGTGTGGCGTGACGTGTGGTGTGAGAATGGGTCAAATTGCGGGACGCTTAGCAGCTCTACATGTGTGAATACCGTGATATCGCTGATTGGTTGTGAGGCTGACGCTGCTCCCTCGCGTTGTGAGGCACGCCCCACGTCCTCGAATAACGTTCACGACATACATCTATGGTTCACGAGCCCAAACGAAGTTAGCGTGCTACAATATCGGACCGTAGAAATCAAACAGGAAGTACGGAAAATTGTCTGAATCCTCGTTTGACCACGACTGCCAACACAAGCAAGAAAACGAAGTAAATACCGGAGACTAGCGGAATAACGGGCGCTTAAAAAGGAGGTAGATCACCTGGAGAAGAGCTAAAAAGCCGGGTCAACATCAAAGAAGCTAGCATAAACGCGTCGGGACGCCTCGGGATCTTCCGGATCCTATAACCTTTCTGCTGGACAGGTAAACCGCTTTAACAAAGTAAGCCAAGTGTCTGTAACAGAAGTGTTTCTTGTCAAACGGACCTGCTGCGTGTTGTAGCGCCACTAAACTGTTGACCTCGGGTCCTGGACTATGTCACTTTATACTATTTGTAGAAGTCCTGCAAACATTGTTTTTGCTGGTAGTCTGTTGGTATCTACAGTAGCGCCAATGCGTCTTACTTTCACGTTGACTGGGACCCATATGTAATTATCTGAAGTATTTATCTGCAATATATCTGAATTTAATTGGAACGATACTAGCGAGCGGGAGCGTCTCTGTGGGCGGAGCTTGCTGGAGCTGTTAGCTAATGGAGACCGACGTCCGCGCATGGTGGCCATTTTGCTACGGGACGCTCGCCCACTCATGACATTACAGTCTATTGCACATGTAGCATTTAAATAACTATAGATTGATTAAAAACCGATTTTCAAACGTTTTGGTTTGTAACAAACTGAAGAGTTTTAGTTATGTTCCTGCATACTCAAGAATAATTTTAACCATGGGTTTTCATAAATAAACATCTAGCAGATTGGTAGAGCAATATCTATAGGCCTACAGACACAAGGCAGTGATATTGAATCATGTATATAGAAAACATCATCATTCCCTGTATGTTTAATTAGTAATATTTCTATTATGAGGTTAACAACAGTAATATATAGCAATAACATGTATACATATTTATTTTTAATATAAATGTCTGCCTCATTGCCATCTTAGATGTTTTTAACAAACCAAACAGTTTGGAAATCATGTGCAACTTAAGCTATGTTTAATAGATCACTTCTGCCTCTTCAACTAGTGTAAAACTGCTGGGTCAACTTTGTAAT